CACATAATTTGTTAAACACTGTCACATACCCCACCCCCCTTGTGTGTCCTTCAGTTTTTACAGGCTTTAAAGCCCGGATGTCTGAATAAGTCAGAGATGGAGAATCTTCTCCCGTCAAACATCCGAATGAAGCACAAAGCAGCTCTGAGTTTTTCCATGTTCTGTCTCAATTTTATCACATCTTCTTCTGTTCAATGGGGAAAATAAAAGTGAAAGTTATTGTGCTTTTTGTCAGTCATATAAAAGCTTTTGTTAAGATGCTTGTGAGTAAAAATTCATGTGCCTGCATTTTCATTTAGAGGACCACAGCGAGGACAGAAAAAAGCCGGGTAAGGCTCTTTCCTCTTTCAGAAGAAAGGTTGAAAGTCGACATCTATCCATCTGTCTGCATTCAAATTAACCCCGTCAAAAACGTCAGATTAATGCATCAAGATTCAGTTAATCATACAACTTTCAAACTGCCATATTTGACGAAAAATAAGCATAAAAATAAAAGCCTGGTCCAAACCGTTTCCAACTTTGCCTCTTGTGTTGAAAAAGACGTAATGGAAGCTGTCAAGCTGTCAGAAACGTTTCAAGCTCTATGTGTTGATTTTACCGCCCAGAAGTCATTTGTGGGCTAAAAATCTTTGGCAGTGACACTGAGTATTGCTGTTGTTTGGCTTCAAATGTGGCTAAATAAGACCTACAGTATATTTATATTGTCCTTGTATGACAAACATTGTAATGAGGGAGTGCTTTGTTGAAGCAGCATGTGGTTGACGTTGATTTGACGGTGCAGATCTGCTGAGGCTTTCATTTACAGCAACACAAGCTGTGCATCCCCTCCCCTTGTTCTGCGCGCTTTTATTTTTAATTTTCCTGCTCAGGAGATCTCGAGGAATTAAAATTCATATTTCATCAAAGCGTGAATAAAATGCTGATTACAGGAAATACATCAAATGCATCTGTAGTGTTTGTAGGAGAGACTGTGAAAGTCTCTCTCTGTTATGTAACCGTTATCTCATTAATATAAGTGCAGCGTATAAGAAATGTTATTAAAGTAAAGTCCAATTAGGCCTCAGAGCATGTAACATTAAACCCACCCAGGTCCTGTTCTGTACACCTGGTTCTGACTCCATCTAAAGCAATTCTCTCCCTTTCAGAGTAGATTTCCACTGATTTAGCCTTTCAGAGCAGGATTATATTTAATCTATGTGAAATTGGCTTGTGTTTTGACAAGCTACCCTTTTAGTTATGCATGAAAGAAGAAAAGTTCTGACTCTCACAGATGTGGGGAAAAAAGCACTAAAATGTTTTATGAGAGTGTTGGGCCTTTTTTTTTTTGGTTCAAGGCACTAAAGCTGGATAACCGCTTCCTGATAAAATAAGAGGATTAGGAAGTGAAATAACAGGTGCAGAATTTGCATCGTCCACTAAATTAAGACGTTATGACTCAGTAAGCCACGTCACAGTGAACCTCTGTTCTGGTGTGTGTTTTTGTTTGAAGGGCTCTGTGGACGGAGACTAGAACAATGAAAAACTGAATCACAGGACAAGTGGGCTTTAGTTTGAGGACTGAGACAAATCAAATGTCTCAGGTGCTCACAGTGAACCTCCCCCACACATTTTTGGTACCACTAAACTTAATTAAATCCAATTGCAGTTCATCAGATAACACAGAACTTTTACTTTAGAGAAGTTTTATTTGTGTTTTTGATGATCGTTTAGTTTTTAAAGTGTGAGTTTTATATGATCATAAGCTGAGGAGAAAACATGTTTATTTCAAGTATGATTAAAGGGGACTTCTGTGCCCCCTTTTTGGCCATTTAACACAGTCCCTGTGGTCCAAGTGAAGTATCTGTGCCATGCTTTGGTCTAAATATAATGTGGATCAGGCACCAGAGGAGGTTTTAGACCCAGCTCTCCAACAGTTTTCCTCAGAACGGTTGATTTTTGTGTGTGTCTCCAGAAATGCAAATGAGATCCTTCTCTTCAGAGGGGTGTGTGCCTGCTGAGCGATAAACAAAGGTGGACTTGCCAAAAGTTTGGCTCTGAAGGTGAGGGTGAAGATACCATCTGAGCGGGCAGATACTCTCCAGGAAAACAGACTCCAAACAGGTCTGTCTCCAGACATGGGCAGACCATGGACAAAGGACTGGTTTGGCTCACCTCACAGGTCACGGGGAAGTGGATACTCTGTATAAATTAGTTTATGAGCAAACACACTGAAATTGCTGTTTTCTTCTTTGTTTGGTAGCACCACGTGTGTCGAGACAGATGATAAATTGAAGGAAAATAACCATTGTCTCAGGAAGGTGTGGAGCCATTAGAGCAGCGGAAAAGCATTCTTCCAGATGATCCTCCCTCTAGAGCTGAAACAGTTGCTTGATTAATTGATGAGTCGATCAAAAGAAAATTAATCTTCTGATTAATTTTGAAAACCCATTTATCATTTTGGTCATTTGAGCAATGCCGCTTGTGAAGCTTTAGGGATGGCAATACAAATCTGACCTGAATATTCTCAAAGATGGACTGGACAGAAATGTAGGTATGGACCTTGCAGGTAGATTTTCCCTTGTTTGTTTGGATGTTGAAAAGGTATCTATGATCAAGTTAAGGGATGAACTTCCTCTGTGTGAGCTGCAGAAAACAAATGCTGAGCCATACTGTTGGCAGATCCTGCAGAGTGCATTGTGCACAAGCTGCACCAGCCCCAAGCCTCTGCACCTCTGTTCCTTTTTGGTGCTTCAAAGTTGGGGTACACAATATCAGCAGTTGCTGCACAAGGCTTAATATGCATGGTGGATAAGATGACGCATTAATTATGCGTGCACTATGACAGCGTATACAACAACAATAACAATCAGTGGACTGTTTAGCCATCCAACAAAGGTTAGAAATACACCAGCAACCGTATTTAAAATGCTTGTTTTTCAAACAATACATGAACTGTTTGTTGAAGCATCAAATGTTGTTTGTCTTTTTAAAGCTTCTGTAAGCAACTTTTGATTTGTGTCACATCTGGCACCCCGTGTGGACAAAGCAGTCTGTGCAAAGCTTGTCAGCGACATGTTTGGGTGGTGATTTATTATCACAAATCTGATCTTGCTGACCTCTGACAGTTAAATGAATATTTTACGTGGAAAACAAGGCTGCTTCTTCAGCTGCAGGGCTTGGACCCACCCCCTCACATCATTTTCAGACAACAAAAATTGCCACGTAAAAATCTTCAGGTCTCATTCCTGATGGTCTGTTTTGCTTTTGAACATCACTAAAAGGCATCAACATGAATTTTGGCCTATTTTATAAATGTCAAAAAACTCCTTCTAGGAGCTTGAATGTCTGTGTTATTTCACAACAGTGGGAATGCCAGAGAAACATCATCATTAGCCCAACATTTCTAGCACCACCAATAGTTTATGAATTATTTTGGGTCAACCACACAATATAAGAGAATTACAATGACCATTAAAGTCTTGGATTGCTGCTGCCGCGGCTTGGTACTTAATCATCTTTATGTAGCAATGTGATGGTTTTCTATACCTGCTGTAATATCTTTTTTATTGTTCTCTTTCAGTTTTGGGGCGGCTAAAGAGAGACATGAAATGTAGGGACTAAAGAGTGGGTGTAGACGTGCAGCAAATGGCTGTGGCTGGTACCAGTGACCACTGTGACCAGGACTATAGCCTCAGTAAATGGGGTGCACTTAAAACGACAGGCTAATGGCGCTCACATACATAAATATCTCCTGGTAATTTGTTAGTTGCAGTCTCGTTGCGTTTATCTGCTGTTTGATGTAGTGTACTAAAGCAATATTCAACAAATAACCCCTGAGATCTTCCATATATAATGAGCTACTTATAGATCTGTATCTGTCGTAGCCATGATGTGTTTCAGATCATTTTCATTCTCACCACATAACTCAGTGACCCTTCTGCCCAGCATGCTTCCATCTGTGTTCATTGTTTCATGTTTCCCCAATGATAGAACCAGGTGCATCCTATCACCCTGCTGCAGATTAACTGTAATCACTCGCTCCGGGTACTTCACAGGCTCTCACACTCTCTCTCATTAGTTTTTTTTATATGATCCAAACATCATGTAATGCAGTGCCATTATGACTGATTTATATTCATCCTTGCTCTCTGTCCATCTTCCTCCATCTCATAAAGCACCGTGGCCCCGTTGACCAGGAGCCACTCTGTCACGAAGCCGACTCTGCTCCATTATGTCATCTAATGAGAGCTGCTGTTCGTCTCAGATTAAATGAATGCACGCTCACTTGTCTGCCTGCAGGTCTCAAAGTCACAGCAGATCCTTTTCTATTAACACACTTTAATACGTTTCTTATGTTTTCTATTTCCCATGCCTTTTGATGCTGATATGGGTCTGACATAAAGTGTAAGCATAAACAGGGTTTTAAGTTAATCATCATTTAGTTTCACTTCGTCTGATCTTTTATGATATATTACCCCACTCAGGATATTCACTTTATCTATTTCTCCTCATTTTTCTTCTTTTGATCATTATAATTTTATAACAAGCGATTTAGACTCTTTGCCCTTTGAAAAAAAATACAATTCAATTGAAGTTATTTGATCACCTACCTGCTACAGCTTTCTTGGCAGCAGAGTGACTTTGCCCTTTCTGTGACCAGTAAGAGAAACCAGTTAGCAGGTTTTTCCACCACAAACACAGGTTGCCTTGGTTACTTTTGTCTGCTTTTGACAACATTTGCAAAAGAAATTAGTTAGAGCCGGTAAACATGCTAATTGCAGATATCAGGCTGGAAAGTAATCGTGCCCAGAACATTAATCATCCTTTATTCTGGGCTGATGTCTGCAGACTTCTTCCATCTGAGAGAGGGGAGAGCTGCAAGACCTCGACATGTTGAATGTGGATTTATTAGTGGATGCAGAGTGTGGAAATGGTCTGTTTTGGATGACTGGAGAGAGACTAACGCCTGTAGGTGGCAACCATACCTCATCAACAATTGAGTCATGCGTGCACGCGCGCGCATACACGCGCAAACACACACTCAGAGACGTCAGATCTGGGCTTTATGCGTTAATGCTATTGATCCCTGATAATTAACGACCGCTGGGTGATTTAAATGGGCAGATGGACGCGCGCGGCAAAGTGGTCAAAGTTACAGTGGTCCCTGGGCGACACGGGAACACGCTCACGCCTACGCACGCGCGCGCCTACAGTACCTACACGTAGCCGCACGCGCAGGAGAAGCGCGCGCTTGCAGATCTGTGCCTGGAGACCGTGATTTCAGCGTGCTCGCTATTCAAGTCATGGACTGCAGCGAGCGGGGGAACCATTAGGAGCCGGTGGCAAAAACCCGCTTTATTTGCAACACACGGACGATGCCTCTGCCGCTGCTGCTGCTGCTGCCACACCACCCGGATCGGACACGCGCTCTCTGACAGGCGGAATTATTACTAATAGCTGCGTTTATATAATCAATACGAACGGATTGCTTTCGGGGTGGAAATAGCATCCCGAGGATTCTTCCCTTTCTTACTTGACTGAAGAGACTGTATGTGCCATATGCTCTGCGATTTTTAGAGCAGCCTATGGCAACCCGCTTGTCCTGATGCGACGCGTGTGATGGTTGCAGTGGGACGGATATCCTTAATTTCTATCCAATAGGCGTTCTCAGGGTTTTTGTAGGACGCTTCTGCACCCTCTTTCTACACTGACCTTAACAATGCTTTACACGGCTAATTGTTAATTGTCATGTCTGTCTTCTGATCCTCCTCATTTCTTTTTAAAAGGAGGAAATTCAGCGCCAAACACAAGAAAAAAAAATCCACAAAGAAATAGTCCACTCTGGTTTGTTCTTTTTTGATTTTTTTTCCTCCAAAGAGGACGACCACCAGTGGGAGTCAAAAAACCTGGACTGTGACTGGTTTGGGGGGCCTGAGACAGACTTGATCCCCCCACCGTCAAGAACTCTGCAGGATTTCCTCCTCCTCACTCCTGAGGAATATCTTCCAAGTCCTCGGGGTTCTACTGCTGGTTCCTCTGAGGGGGGTTTTCATCGGTGCTCATTACATCCGAGGGAATGGTGGCCGCAGCGCACATCCACGCAACTCTTTCTGTATGTTTGGCGTTTTTTCGCAGGCGAGCATCTTGACTTGTGATCGAGAGAGACGCGGACTGCAGCAGCCTCCTTTTTCACATGGAGATTTGTGCCTCGGTTGTTCTGCGAATCTTGAAAACGGGGACCGGGGCCCTGCTGGTTTTTCCTCCACTGCTCTCAACCCCGATACCATTTATTCGAGAAAATGCGTGAGTATTCCACTGAAATCACTTCATTCGAGCCTATTCGGTGTGATTCTCTGTTATATATATTGCCATGCAGAGCGACCGTTCATCGCCGTTCAGCCGGTATTTGCACACGCTTGGCTCACAGACTTCAATGTAAAGAAATCTACTTTTTCATCTTGTCATACATCCTTTTCTTTCTTTGTAGAGAGGTTAGAGTATCTGTCGCATCCCCTTTTCGGCGTGTGAGCGCGCGTGTGTGTGTGGATGTGAAAGGGAGAGATAGGCTATAGATGGAGATAAAGATATACAGGAGCAGAAAGGGGGTTGAGGGGGGATGTAAGGGGGTGACTGGTGCAACAAATTGTGTGTTTGAGCGCTTGCTGGAGGACTGTATGGTCCGCGGTAGTCCCTGTTGCCAGCAGGACATTAGTGCTCGAAAAGGGCCTACGTCATATGGTAATTCAAATTCAGTTCAGGTATTCTCAGCATACACGTTTGCAGCAAAAAGAGCGCCCGATTGGCCAGGTGGGCACGCTGGCCCACAGGAAGGGCGCTTCGAGTTGGAAATGTGGCAAAGCGAAATCTTCAGGTCAAGCTTTATTTCACGGGAAATGCTCATGCACACACACCTCGTGCACATTTCCCCCCCTCCTCTCTATCTCTCTCTCTCTCTCTTTCTGTCTGTCTATGTGCTCCTTCCTGCGTGTTGACCCAGTATGTCTGCAAACCCCCACAGCCAAGCCACCCAAGGGTGATGCACAGAAATGAGGCTGTCACCCCTCCACTCCCCCCACCTCAGCCTGAGTATGCAAACCAGCAGTACAAGGTGCATTTAAAAATTTAGTCTCCCAGTTTTTAAAAGAGCGTGAATAGGAGCTGTCCATCAGTGGGAGGTGCTGAAATGCCCTGATGCTGAAAATACTCCTGTGTTGGCTGAAGTGGGTAGAGGGAGCTGCATTTTGGAGCAGACATCAAATCTGAAATTGCTCGTTTCTGCTGCAGCCAAAAAGCATTATACTTAAGCCTGGACAGACTCTGTCCTCAAGTGAACACTTTCATATTCACATCTGGACATTTAACAACCTGCCAGTAAAACGAAGGACACGCTCGGAGTGTTTAAGAATGGCTCTGACATTCAGAGTTGCTCACAATAAGATTATAGTCCAGCCGTATGCCTCACCTTTGGCCTGCTTGATTGGGTTGGGAATTAAAGTCTGGGCAGACATTTCAGCAAAAGGTTTGGTTGATAGTAAGAAAGTAGTAACTGTTACACACATGCCCATTTTGTAGCAGTAAAATGTCTAAAAAAAACCTAGTGAAACTTGCATTTTTTTCTCATTTAGAACTGCCTCAAATTGAGTTATGATTGGTGCTCTGACCAACATATGGTGTATTCAGAGGAATTTATTACTGGCTTTTAATCATTTCAGCTGTCCTTTAACAGTTTGCTGTTCAAACTGGCATCAGATTCAGTTCCAGGTCTATTTTAGTGCACTGTAACAGTCTCAAATTAATAAGTGTTTCAATGGGGCATTGGGTCAACATGACCCATTTGAGAAGCTACATTCAGCTTTCAGATTGTGGTTAAACCCCACGCCCAGCACTTTAAATGAGTCAGTCATTATTTAACGGATTGTGTAAAAGAAATTAATGGCCCAATATGGTGCATTAATGTATGTATTCTTTGGTTATTTTAAGCAAAAATCCCAAACATTGGCTGGTACTAATTTCTTAAATGTGACCATTTGCTGCCCTTCTTGTCATTTTCAGAATAAAAGTCTTCAATTATTTGCAGAAGTGATTTTACAACCATCAATTTGACCTCTGGGGAATCATAAAGAGTGATTCTTACAAGTTTTTAACACTGAAATTAATAAATACTGATCATGAAATTAACCAGCAGATGAATCAGAATCGCAGCAGCCCCCTCTAAAAGGCTGTCAGCTTCATTGTCTCTTGTATGAGTGTGTCGCTCTGCTTGTTTAAAAACTGGTAACCGTCGCTGCCTGTCTTGTAAACATGATTTCCTTGTAGCTCAGGGACCTGTCATGGCACGTGGATTTTAAATTTGTCACCTTGTAATATTTTGGGGTCAGCAGGACAGAAAGACAAAAGCAGAAGGAATGTGATCACCCTGACAGGCGTGGTAGGTTTTGGCACTTACCTGCACGATGAGGGCCTGAATGGACGTGAAGCGTGCCAGGATCGCTCACCAGAACAGCTCCGACAGAAGCCTTCACTGTGGGAAATACGCACTTGGGCGAGTACGTTTCTTTTCATGCGTGACACCCGTGCAGTCAACCACTGGTTCAGAGCAGGGTGGACGGTGACTCATCCAGCCGTCCAGGATTTTTCCACTTCACTGAACTACTTCTTTTGTTCTGCTGTGAAAAAAAGAGGTAATTTACCTTTAATAAGGGCTTTACGAGATGCAGTTTCATCGTAATATTGCTTCCTAAATTTCTCCAGGTAGGCCGCCTCTTACACCTCAAACAGACATGTGCAGCGGGATTGAACTAAAGCGCCTTGTTGGTTTGCTTTGTTTTTTTGAAAATAATGCACTAATGTCCCAGTAGAGGACTGTGTGCACCTGTTCTTCTGTGGAGGTTTGCAGTTTCAACACACTTCCTTGCCACCATCACTTCAGCCAAAATTTCCAGTTATCAAACACCATTAAGGTAAGTTTACATCACAGGAGCTCAGGCAAAATTTACATCAAAACATACCCCCTTTAAAAGTCACAGATCGCTTTTTTCAGCCACTGAAGCCAAAATAATAAGAGACCACCTGCCAGGGATTTTACAAGCTCAAGCAGGGTGGGTGTTCATAAAGAGTCATTTTAAGAAACAGCTGAACACCTATGCGCAGTAAATTATGGCTGCCTCGTGAAAGCATAATCTGCATAAGAGAGGACCTTACATGACTCACATTTTATCCATCAAATCTCTCGCCATGTCATCGTACAGAGAGCAGTGCAGGAACAACAGAATGGCTGTAAACTTCACCAAAACGAGCCTCGAAATGGATCTGCTGCTCCAATTCTCACAAGCTTTTTACCAGGAGCCAAATTTTTCCCAGAGCTGCCCTTCTTTCCAAAACAAACAGACCCAGTGGTTAAAATTGGTTTTGAAAAAAAAAAAGAAGTAAATTAAACAGTTTTATGCTAAAATCACAGTCGCTCCAATTCCACTGATTGACACAGGAGTAAGGAGGGGCTGCTGCAACTCGCTTATACCTGCCACACTAAAACTGCTCCAGTATTCTTGTCTAATGAGATTGTAAACAGTAGCTTAATCATCCACAGGGGTCTACTCCCCCGTGTAATTAATGAAAAGTAAAACTATAACAGATCACAGCCCAGAATGAACCGTTTATGTTAAAACCAGAGTTTCTCAAATGGTTTTTGGTGATGCCTCAGGGTCTGAGAGCTCTCATGTTGATTCAAATATGTGTAGGTTTTACAAAAACCAATGAAAAGCAGCAAACAACTGAAATATTCAGTGTTGTTCTTACTGACAAGTTAGGGTGTGCAGCTGTAGTGCAGTCACCCACAACTAAGACAGGACTGTAGCTTTTGTTACTGGCCTCTGCGGTATAATGCTCTACTACCTGGAATCAAACAAGCACAGATGACAGGTTGCCTTTGTAGTATAAACTAGAAAATTGAGATAAAGTTGGATGTAAGCTGTTTCTTTTTGACCTGGCATAAAACCACTGAATAACAGCAACATACCAGAATATAAATATATAAATTACACCAAATTTAAAGTCTTACTTGAGTAATTTATTACCCTCAAACTAGTCTGCATGTTGGAATTTAAATTCCCTTTAAATGGCAATGGAAAAGATCGCTGCAGACCATCTCAACCATCCAAAAACCTCATAAAGAGTCAGATAAAATGCTCAAAAACTATATTAAGCCAAACAAGCAAAAAGGTCCAAAATATGCTCTAAAGGAGCAACAGTTGACTGTTGAATTTGGGCAGGAAGGTGCGAGATGGCGGGAAGTGCAAAGTCCTCACAGTACAAACATTACAATGTTGTTAAGTGACTCTGGAGCTGCAAAAGAGTTTGTGTCGAATGAAAAATTCAGAGTTGGCTACAACCCCGGAAGACACTACATGTTTGTTTTGTCTTTAAAATGTCAAGTGACCTTCTCAGTCAAACTAGGATTCATTATTCATCTCCTAAACTCCTCGGGTTATCGGTCGGCTGAAGTTCAGCGGTGCTGTGGCCAAGTGTCAGCCTGATTTTAGAGTGACAAAAAAGCTGGTCCTAATTTGTTCTAAGAAGTGAATAATGTTCAGCGTAAGACTGTGTAGCTTCTAAGAACAGTTGAAAACATGGACTAATCACTAGTTGTTGGTTTCTAGCTGATCAAAAATTGCCTAATTAAAGTCATTTATCCAGCATAGTTAACTTTATTTGGCTCCAATGACTCATATGTGTGATCACAATATTTTGCTCAGTGGGTCAAGTAGCTTCTCGCTGCTATTTAGTGATGACTGAGTAACCTCCTGACAAGTCTAAACCTTCATTTATATAATGATGGTGTTTGTTAAACTACAGCAGATCTTCCTTTGCTGAAAACATGTACTAGTGTGGATAAATGTCCATCTTTGTGTTTCGACCTGTCATCTGCAGAAATGCTGATTCATTTCTAAATAACTATCTCCTCTATTGCACTTACGCTTTCAGAGATTGATGGGGGCAGTCAGTATTTTTGAGGGATATGCTTTCCTATACGGGGGCACCGTTTTGTTGTTTCATCAGTTTATATTGTCGCCTCGGCCTTCTGCATACGACTCTGTGTGATATGAGGATTGGTGTTAGGAGTGGCGATAAATTACATCTGAGGTTGTGTCAGGATAAAGTGAAAAACAGCACCGTCCTTCCAGCCGCGTGCTTTTTTATCTTAACTAAAACAGAAAGCGTTGTCTGCTTTTCTGCATGCATATGTCCTGTATGTGTCTGTGTGACAAAAACGAAAGCAAGTGGGAAGCAGCCTGAGATTACAGCGACTTCAAGCCGGCACCATTTTGATAGATAGCGCTCCGTATCTTTCCAGTAGTACCTCCGCGAAACATGTGTTTGTGTCGAGTCAAGAGACAGGCCCATCTGAACGAGTTGAACTGCTCGGGTGTGAAAGAGACCAATGCATGCCAAGCTGGAGAGACTTAGTATTCACTGTGGCAGCTTAAAGTTATGCCTTTGTGCACCAGAAAGGGGATTATTCAGCGAATCCTGCTCTGTGTCATTCACCAGTCTGCATTTCTAAATCAACAAATATTAATGTAGTGATGTATGAAGAGGCTGCATCTGCCTGTGCGCGCCTACCACTGTTCATTACCGCTGCGTGTCTTATCTGGAGTGACAGCAAAGATGCCCGCAAAAAAATCACAACTTATGGCACAAATGTCATCATGACACATTCACTGTTTTGACTGCAGCCGTTGGTGCCTTATTTCACCATCTGTGCTGTGTACTATGTGTCTGCTGTGGCCTGCAGCTAAAACCAGCCATCAACTCCAGTGAGAGAGGCTCGGCGAGGAAGAGTATGTTCAGGGTATGGGTGCTGCGTTTCTGCCTCTTCAGCAACCGGCCCCGGTCTGCAAATGCCATAATGCCCTTTATAGATTCCTCCACAGATTCCCAACAACCTACACATCCACGGTTTAGCAATAATGCCCCAGTCAACATTATTCTCTGTGATTATAGGTATGGCGTTGCTGTGATGTGAAGCACAGCTGAGAACCGCCCACCACTCTAAAGAATGCATAATCACAGTAAACAATGTCCTAAAGGCAATTACGCCTTTTATACAACACTTTCGCTGCTTTTATTGTTCCATTTCAAAAGTTTTATTCGCAGTGCAGGAACAGGAACAAAATCAAGGCATGCATAACATATTCAGAGGAGAGCACTGAGCTTTGCACCATGGGATTTATTCCTGAGAACGTGTAGGTAGATGGTTTGATTTTGCATATGATCCCAAGCTGATAAAATACTTTTTAAGTTCAGAGTCGCACAAGTCTGAGAGTGAATTTTTGTTGTCCTCTCTCTGTTTTATAAGTTAACAAATTCAGGAAAGTAAAATCAGGTCATTGATTAGCTGGGGTGGACAAAGTACACAACTGCACTACTTCAGTTGAGGTATTTATACACCAAGTCAAGTGATACTTTAACACAAGTGGAAGTGGCCTAGTTAAATTACTACTTCAGTTTAAGCTCTTTCTTTATAGCCACTTAAGTCAAGAATACGTGGCTTTACATCTCGCCTTATGTTTATTAAGAAAAAACTAAATACCTTTTTAAGACTCACTGTTTCGATTTTAAGCTCCAAAGTAACAGAAACAATAACAGGTACAACTATCCACAAAGCAAAATAAAGGCCCTCCAGTTATAGCAAGCACTGATAACTTAGTGTTAAACTTCCATCTGGAGAAAAACAAATGTTTACAAGGACAAAGTCTCAGTTATTTGATTCTGCAGCCAATTAAAAATGGTCACTGTATCGGAAATGCTGACTCATTCCAGCCTGAGGTAAAGAATTGGTGTGTATGTGGTTTCCTAGCGCTTTTGTGGCCAGCTTCAAGTGGACAGTGGAGGAACTGCGGTTCAGCACTTCTGCATTGGCTCCATTTTTTTAAGACCGGAGGTTGCTGCTTGGTTTAATCATGACATGCTTTGGATGGCAAATATTTGAAGGCTGTGATGAAGGCTGTGGGTGGCAGGGTGAACTCTTGAAACAATGTGAGTCATTCTTCATTTAAAAACTTCAGACATAGTGCTCAGGTCATGCTTTCTGTCCCAGCCATGGTTACCATCTCTTAATGAACTGCCTGAACCGACTGACATTTGACTGCTCGGCATTCAACCAAGGGAATGCGCAACATAAAGGTATGAAAACGCCACATCAAGATGAACAAAAGCACAGTTTATCTTTGTATCAGATCTTACAGAATTAGAGAAAATTCAACAGCATACATACATTCAGAGACCTGACACAAGTCATAGCACCATATTTGTCATTTAAATGTATGAAGTGATGGAGTGGATTAACCCCCCCCCCCACTCAAACTTTCACCCTTGTTAAAACTAACACTTGAAAAATGTACCACTTCTGTTAATGAGCAACATCAAAATGTTCACAAATCAAAAAACATCTACACATCTAAGTGATGGCCAAACTTTTTATCAACATTTAAACAGTTTTAATCACCTTTCCTCATTCTGAAGCAGGCTCTAATCACATATTTATGTATATCAATAAAATACTGCTGAAACAGGGTCTCTATGACCCTAAAATATTTTTTAAAGTTCTTAAACTCAGCCCAGTTTAACCTCTAAATGCCTTTTGAACTAAAATAGCCAAACTGGAGTGTAACCCACATGTGGACTAAAAGTTTTGGGAGGTTTAAATGGTCATGGTCTTTAATATTTATTTAACTTTTAACTTTTTTTTTTGTAATAGTGACCTCCAGGGTTATAAGAGACTGTTAGATTTTATTTTAGAATTGAAAACTGGAATCCAATTCAGAAAAAAACAGGAATTGCATGTCCAGCTGAAGCAATGCAGGATGAGTTGAGCCTTACAATACCAGCAGCATGACATGTTTTAGTTATAGTTGTTAAAAAGGTTTAATTAATCATTTAAAGAGCGTAATATGTCATGTGTTTAGTCCCTCAGGTTGGAATTGAAAAGCACTTTTTCTGAGGATGAATCATCATTAAATACCACCATGATAATTGAGTATTTTTTAGCTGCAGAACCTTAAGGCTACCTTCCAGTTAAATAAGAAAATGACTGAATCAGTTTAGTCAAAGGTGAATGAAGTATGAACATTTTTGTTTTTCAAGTGATTGAATATGGCAAAATAATTCATCCCAGGGCTTCTCCTCCTAACCTCGTAATTCTATCAAATGATTCACCTCCTGGTTGAAAATCAAACAGTCTCCCGGTGCAGGATGATGAAAGGCGGCTCTTACTCCTTCATGGAGGACAGCAGCTTGGATTCACAGCTGGTATAATGGATTTGAAAAGACAGAGTCATGGGGAAAAAAAAAAAGTATCAAAATGTCTGTCGAGACTTCAAAACTCATGCGGCATAATCTGTTTTTCCGCTGTCCATCTGTATGGTCAGTATGTTCCAAACAGTCCAACGTTTGCCAGAATGTGAAGCGAGCAGCAGTTTGGAACACAGCGAGGATATGAATGGACAGTTGAGAAGAATAAAAATGCTGCAGAAGAGACTTTGAAAGTTCCAGCTGACAATTTGATTGTTAGTTTCAACATCACAAAGTCCAGTTTTCAAGATCCGCATTGTTAATACGACGCAGGCTAGTATGGAGTCTCGAATGAAATGAAAAAATAACCTAACTTCACCATAATTAGTCTAAACACTAATTACAGGTACGTCAGCTAGTCAGTTAGTTTGTGCACAGGGGAGAGAAAGTCTATATTTTTTTCCAGCAGTACATAAAAGCTGTTCTTGAAAGAGCGATGGCGCTGAATCAAATAAATAGTGAAGATGGTTCAGGCTTTTTAAATATTTTGGGGCCTTTTTTTTTTTTACATTTTGAGATAATGCATCTGAAGAGTAACAGGAAATACAGGGAGCAGAGATGGAGGCAGGCATGCAGAAAAGAGTCATGGCTGCTGCAACAAGGACCTTCAACTCTATTTGAAACGAGCTTTGACCCCAAGACCACTGGCACCCCTGATTTGTGCATTTTCAATTAGACAATCTATAACACCTCGATAAGGTCATGTAAGTCTTACCTCTTAATGAAGATAAAATTTGAACTTTTTTTCAGTGCCTGGTTGTAAAGCAGTGCTCCTGCTCGACAAAGGCCATAGCTCATCCTAAGCTATTTCTTACTGCAATGGAAATCAGGGGGAATATGCTGAATGCACTAAAACACCAAAAGAAGAAGCTTCTATAACAATATTTGGAGATACAGATGTAGTACCGTGACATTCATGCAGAGGTGACACGCCTGCAGGGTGTAAACACGCAGACCAGACTGCTACATGGTGCAAATTTCTAGTCCCAGTTCTGCCACACAATTGAACTGATGTCTCTGCCCCTGACTGAGGCCCTGTCTGAGGGATGGACCCGGCAAAAACAGATCTAAATACACAGCATGATTGAATATACATTTAAACAAGAGACATAGACATTGTCTGGCCTTCATAGAGGCAATCCTGCCAACACGGCTCAAACATACGCATCCTAAACTTTATTCCAATACTTTGCCTCTTTCTCTGTGAATCAAAACAGTTTCACACCATAAGGAATTTCCTGGAGGATACCCCTACGTTACAGTTCTCCCTTAAACTTTTTGTGGTTTGACTCTGAGCGCTAATTAGAGACTCACAGATGGCGAGGAAAAGAGAAACACATCTTTCCCCTACAAAGACCACAGGCTGCTTGTACGTGCAGCGTGATGAGTCTATATTGTAAGCCACCCACCGACCAAGTTTGCACAGCACCTCCTCGTGCCGCTTCAGTACACAACCACACAGCAGAATCCAATCCACACCAAAGAGCGCCATGAAAGTGTGCCACCATTTGATGTGTCAAGTTCAAACCTCGTGTAGGTGAAAGCAAGCCCTTGGAAAGGTTTTGCCTCAGAGCCCAGGCAAATCTCATTGTCTGCTTATCAGCCTCAAATTTACTCCGCCTTACTGAGATATTCCCTTAGAGAATTAGGGATAATAGTAGAAGTGATGACTGTCATGATGAGTCTCTATCTCTCTCATGTTCGATGCCCCCCCTACATCTCGGCAGCTTCCCCTCTATTTATCGAATTCCCCACATATTAATATACATTTTATCTCCTTCCAGTTCGCTTAGCTCTGATGTCTTTGATGCCATTTTCTTAACATTGCTAAGAGGCATGCATGCACGGACTTTCATGTTGCAGCTTACAAAGAACAGTGACTCATGCTACAATGAAGGGAGCCACAGGATCAGAGTAAGAATTAAATTAATATCTACTTCATTAATGCTTTGGCAAACAGTTCAGATTCCTGTTGCTGGAATACACTAGATTGGCTTAATTGGCAAAGATGAAACCCCAGCAATTGGCGCCAAGTCAAACACTACTAAACCGAGAAGGGAATCTTGTACGGCTGACAAGATTGCCTCTTTAGTGTGTGGCTCGGAGTCGCCTCTGCTACAAATTCTCCCTTTATGACAACACTTTTCTTTAACCACAGTGTTTTCTGGGCTTCAGCTAGGCTGTTAGAACATCTTGTTCCCTCGTTGCCATGCACTAATACATTATCGGTGAATAGCATTGTATACCTCAAGAGCATTGTGTCCTTCAAAGTCAAAGGAAAAGAAAGAGGAAAGCTCATATGATGTTGTTCTTTGTGTATTGTATGTTCAGTCATACAAAAAGAGCCTTTTTACTCATTGTCGATTGTGTTTAGTTTTATCCCAGTATCAACTGCAGCTGTAGTGTCCGAGGGCCAATTACAGCGCAGGTTGATCTTTTGTCGGTTTGTATTCTTTGACTGTTTTTATATCACAGGAGATTCATTTGTCCCTCAAGTCTCTCAAGCAGATCTTCTACTGAGTTGCCGCCATTTTTGTTTTTTAATTTGAAAGCAGATTCAGGACCTCCATGACCTGAAAATTAGAAGAAAAAAAAACAAACAAACCCTGGGAAGTGTCCTCTTTAGGCCCTCCCTTGAACACTAGTTTTTTAATGTTTATAGTCTTTTTTTATCCTTGCTTTGGGACCACTCTTCTTTTTATTCAACTTTGCCTTTTTTTATAATAATCCCCTGGGCATGAGTATTTCCTGTAAAGATAGGGGGCGTGGCAGTGCACAGACACCTGTTGATTGAGAGTGAGACAGTGAGACTTATTAACAGTCATCCATTTATCCATGTATATTGACGTGTCTCAGTGTTGTTCTTAAAAAATAAATATAAACAAATTATTTCACTGATTAAGCACTTCACCCTGCCTTTAAAGCTCCTGTGGAGAAGTTTTGGTTTGTGTCAATGTTGGCGCCCCCTGTTGACAAAGCACTCTTTTCTTATCTTTTCCTCTTACTGAACAATGAAATCTACCATATGTTGTGAACTTATTACATGTTAACTAGTTATGAGTTTCCTAAGCTGCTTAGCTGACACCTACCCCCTCACACCAGTTTCAGGCTTAAAAAAATTACAATATTAAAAGGTCCCTAATGCTCTCATTTGATTTTGAATATCCTAAAAAGGCATCAATGTTAATTTCAGTCTATTATTTTAATGTCAAAAAAAAAAAAAAAAAAAACCTTATAGGAGCTTTAAATTGAAGTTTTAGACCAGGTGCAGCAATGCAGCCTTTACTTAAAAAATACACGTAAAAGTCAAGATAACAGAGTACATTAAAGTCCCAACTAAGAATTATTTTACATTGTCAACAAATACATTTTCTGAAATGTGACATAAGGGAATTTTAAATATGGATGCAATAAATTATTGAACTTCAGCAGTTATCCCAGATCTCACAATGTTACTTTAAACATTCAGTTAAACAAACGCCCTTGCAATGATAAATGGCCAGAATAAATGTATTTGTTGGTAGCAAAATGAAAAGATGTTGTGTCTGTTGGCTATTCCAATTAAGGGAAAAAATTGCTCATAAAAAGTCACATTATTTGGATAACTCAATTTTTAAATGCTACGACTGATATTCCATTTATCTCAATTTTACTGGCAGCTAAAGTCTCGGCCACAAATATCTCCGAACTAAAATGCATTATTCATTTAGCAATTTGTGTGCAGCACTTGAGTAGAGCAGGATAAAAAAAAAAGAAAACAAATAGTGTGACACGAGTGTTTTATCACTCTGATTAACATATTTTGACAATTTGTAAGTATTTAAGTCTTGTCTTTCTGTCAGAACCACCGAATATGATGTAGTATCAGCTTCTCAGATGTGTCCCCATCATTGAATATGGATGAATTGGTTGTGGTTTAAAGTATATCACAGCTTTGTCTTTTTTTCTCTCATGAAACACAATAATTCATTTGTCACGTAAATAATCTGCAGATTAATCAGTAATGGGGAAATATCACGAGGAGATGCTTTAGTTTTTAAGATAATCCAAAGCGGAAAAGGCTGTCCCCGCTATGATTTGTTAGACTGCTGGCTCAGTTTGTCGTCTCCATTTCTTTGAAATGTCTTTGAAAACACACAGCTGAAGCTAAATTCTGCAAGCTCTCCAAACCAGTACCCGCTGCTCTGACTGTAATTATCCAGGCGGGGGACACGGACACAACAGAGGGGGAGTCCCACATCTTTATCTCATTCACACCTTGGTAATGAAAATGACTAACAATAAGGGCCAGTTAATAGTGTTAGGGACTGTAGCACTGCTTGCCTAACCTACCTACCACTTGTTGTGCTGTGTTTGTAATTAGTCGCTCCTGCTGTCTGATTAGATAAGAATACATCACTGTCCTGGATACAGAAATACACACAACGTATCACACAATGTTCCATCGGGCTGCGGAGTCAGACTGTTTTCCACTTTTCCTCTCTCACTGACAGCATACGAACGACAGGGACAAGCAGGTCAGACAAAATTTGGTGCCATTATTCCAAAGTCTAAGAATAGAATCCGACTGTGGTTTTTAGAGAAAGCATTGCATCTCCTAAATGTCAACTTTCAGGCTCTGGAAAAAAAAAAAAAAAAAAGAAAAAGAAATGGAAAACAGAAACCTTGTTTTTAGCTCAGCTGCCATATATTGTTTTGTCAATATAATAGTTTTGGAAATGCTTTTAAAGGGAAGAAGTTCAGCCCATCTTAAAAAGAAACGTACTAAAACACAGAGATCCAGTGGCATGTTGTTTCCATGATGCAATGTAAGTACGTTTTCTTACACTAGGGGCTTCAAAACATGTCTTTTCATCATCAGTGAATTTGTTTTTCCCTTCATGGTATATTTTATATATTTACCATAAAATCCGGAACATACAGTAACTCAAATATATGATGCAGCCTGTTTTTTTGGGGCTTTCTGGAGGCAAAAAAAGTTTAACTGTGCTCCAGTTTGAGGACTTCCATAGTGTTTAGAAATGTACGGTTTCTGTACAGACGTTTAGTTCTTTCTATACCATCTGCCACCCTGACAGCAAACCATATGGCAGCTGAGCTCAGCCTATGGTAGCATTGACAGCTATGAGGTACAGGCTGTGACCAATTTGACAAGACTGATGTCAGCCCTTTCTGTTGGTCAATTATCATCTTGGATTGAGGCTCTCCACATGGTTTATGTACTGAATAATACACCACTGTTCTCTTCAAACACATAATTATGGCCAAATGAGGGAGAAACGCGTTAAAAATGGCGCCCTAAGCAGACATGCTTCACTCTGTGTTAAGCATGTTTTGCACATTGAAGTTGCTAACCTGTTTGAGTGCTATCTTTAGGGTAAAATACTGTAACACAAGAGTAACTTGCTGACACCAGTCCAATCAGTGTGGGATTTAAGATGACAAAAAATGGATTAAGAGTGCATCTTTTACACCAAAATTTGAAGAACATTTCACAGTGTAATCTGTAATAAAGCTATTAATTCAAATATCAAGCTATTGTCCAATCACAGCCTCGCAGTTTTACAGCAATAAGTCAGGTTGCAGTTTTAATCGATCAGTGGTAAAAGGATGGTTTAACTTTGGCCGTGGGATATACTGTTACTAGATGATTCCAGATGCCAAAGGTCAAGGGGCCTCTCATCTGTTAATCTTTGACTCTAACATATATTTTTCAGACCTCCAGCTACTCCAGAGATTTTTTAATCACAGGGATAAACTGAGAATAAATTGTTTTAGGAATAAACTTGTAGCCATGAAGCTTTTTCCAGTCCTGCCAACCGCTCTGTGACATTTGTCCACTCACACCACATCCAAACACAGACTGCAGAGGATAATTTACAAAGTGGCCACCAGTGCTAATTATTCTCATTAATATGCATTCACACACCACTGATGATGCCATTAGAAGCAATTTGGGATCCGGTGTCTTGGCCAAGGACAGTTCAGCATGGTACTGCAGGAGCTGGGATCAAATCACCAACCTAAGTTTGAGTCCCCGTAGCTTGTAAGTTATTTATGGCTTTCTTTCATATGCTGATTTACGGTTTTTTAAATGTTGGTTGGGTAAAATAAAACATCCAAAGACTTTATTTAAACGTTTTGGATATTGGGATGAGTTCTTAATTCATTCTCACAGACAAATTTACTGATCAGCTTGTCAAAAAATGCAAAAGAACACTCAGCATCACTAGAGAAAAGGCCGCTGAGCCAGTTCCTGTCGGAAAACTTTCAATCATATGATGAGTTGACCCAGGCAAGCATCAATATTTCCACTCACTAGATTGTCTACCTGTGTCTCCCAGTTGTGTTTTGTCATCTCTGGGTGATGACATGTAGACTATGTACCATGATTCATTTAATATTGCGTGGAGCAGCAGGGCTGAGGGGCATATGGCCATGTTGGAGCCGAGCCATGCGGCTCGAGGCGGGGTAAACGGATGGGCAGACATCGCTGGTGCATTTGCTGCTCGACTCTGCGTCATGTTTCACTGTTGTCTTTACAGCGAGCGCACTGTTTAACCAACTGCAGTAAACAAAACAGCACAATCAGATTTCTTGCTCCATGTTAGAGAAAGTTGGTTTTGCAGGGAATCAGGGCTGTTGCACTGTAAATATCATTTGTCAGTGCATGAAGATGAGAGAGACAGAAGGCGAGGGAAAGTGCTTGTGTGATCCTCAAAAATATCTTTGGCGATACAAGACGCTGCATTCGCACATTATTCACGGACAGTTTGTACCAACACTAACATTCTGCTAAGGTTATGATCGGCCATGATTGGCTAAATGCACCAGAGGAAATTCTGCTGCAGAGCTCGGGAGCTGACGACGGACTGTGTGTGTCGACTGTTGATTATGGGGAGAGCCTGTGGTTCCATCTATTTCATATTCATGAGCCAAATGGTTCACGTTGTATTATTCATGAACAAATTAGACGTTCAAAAACACCAGTGTGAGTGAGGCCGCATGCAGGATAATTCAAATGTACAAGTTTAACCTGAAACTCATCCACCTTTTCCTCAGCCGATGCAAAAAAAATGTGTTTAATTCTCTCTATCACTGAGCCTGCTGCTGTGCTCCCTGCTGCAATGAGCTGCCGAAGCTCGATATATCTCTCAGATTTTTATTTTTGGAGTACATAACTCTTTGTCACTGTCCTCACAGCAGTTTCAGGCAGCCACGAAGCGAGAGACTCTGTTTTTTTAAAAGAAAGATATATCCTGTTTACAGTAGGAGAGGTTGAGAGTCGACTGGCTTGTAAGAGACCGGCTTTGTTCTGCCTCTCTGATCAGCTGGCTTGCTTGCAGTCGGGACGGAGCAACAGAAGTGTGTCCAATCAAGCTGAGCCCCTGTTTTAAAAGGCCCTGCAGTCCTTGGGCAGAGGCCGTGTTTATGACCCAAAATCGAGGCAACGAGCCTGGCTCGCATCCAAGCCCTGGAGCTCGTATATTCTGTTTGAGCAGAATATCCAGTGGAAAGTGCAGCACTGCAAGGAGGTCCCACGAGACACCTGTACATGTGTAACCGACTGAGTGTGCATGCGCCTGTGTTTGTTTGTGTGTGTAAACAGTGTGTAGCGTGAGGGAAAACCTTGTTAACCTTCAAACCTTCAATGATTTTTTAAGTGAAGACATGGATGGAAACGGCAGTAACAATGAAATCACATCAGATTTACTGAAACAGGAGGTGTGTGGTCTGAGTGGTGTGTTTGCTGCTTTCTTAACAGAAGTTGATGAATGACGTCAATAGGAAGGAGAAAAATAGACCATCACATTAACCAAAAATAACCTGCCAACATAATACCGTCACTCTCAGCTATAATGAATAGAGTCCACTCTGTGACGCTGGAATTACCTTTGACTCCATTTAACATTTAAATTACAAGCACCTCATTTACATTAGCCAAATGGGAATCTAAAGTCATTTTTGTGATTACAATGCGGTGCTCAATTACTGTAATGGTCTGGATTTATAGCATATTTTTCCCATTCGCTAATCACAGTTTGACACCAAACTGGGTCTCATCTATTCATGGGCTGATCCCTCACCTGAAGGTCACGACCACTACTCAATGAATCTGTATCAGAATTGATTAGAAACATAATTTTTCAACAACAGAAAGCTGATTACACGAGTAATACTGATCAAAATCTACGACTCCTGCCGAGTATCACAACGTAATATCTGCTGGTTATGTGTGGGAATTAGACTGAAGACGAAGACAAAAACATAAACAAATACAGTTATTTCAGACTTTTTATGACCCTTGTTCTCTTCATAATACCAAAGTTTAATCACGATATTATCAGTCTGATTAGTATGGTTAATGTACGGTATAGTGAGCGGGTGGTTATGCGAAATAGAATCCAGCTACCGAAGACGTCTACAAACTGACACAAAATATAGATTTGAAGATGATTTTATGAATGAAGATGATTAATTCATGCAGATAATAACTAGTCCCCTTGCTTCCTTGGTGGGTAATGTTTCCATGGCAACAGATCCTTAATAGATAAGTTGGCATTCAACAGAACATTTTGATTCACAGTCGAGTTGAAACATGGGGTTGCTTATCTGTTAGAGTTCACATTAAAGGGAACATTTCCATCTCAGATTCCATTAGATGAGAAGAACAGGACTTCTGCAGGAATATTTATGATGACATTTCTGTTCTCATTCAGGTCTCCTACGTTCTGTAGCATTTCAGCCAACTAATGAGGATTTTTTTCAAAGACAGCAGTCGGAAATATGTTATGAATTTGTGCAACTGTGAATCATGTGAAGCTGCTTAGAAGCTACCAGAGGGACAATATAAAGCCAAACAAATAAGCTTCACTCCACCTCATCTGAAAATACTCTCACCAGCTCTGCTGCTGTTGCCTGGATTGCAGGACAGGAAGTTTTCGTAACTTTTCCACTTTCTTTGTATGTTGTTTACCATAAAAGTCCCTTTTTTGTTTAATATATCTGATAACAACATAGAAATACATTTTAATTTGATGGATAGATAATTGGCACCTAAAAAAATGTACTTGGATAATGTTAAGATGATAATGATTATTGAGGTTAATATCTATGGGGCGGCTGGTAATTTACCGACTTACAGAGAGGGTATGGCAGTAAATATGTGTGAATTTCTCCAAACACCTTTTTGGATGTGTAAAAATGTGAATCTTCAAGTGTTTGACAGTCTTATTTGGGCATTTTTTAAAACATGCTGTATATACTGAGTCAGCTGAGAGTGGAAAAAAATGAAGAATAAAAACACAATTAAAGCATAATTGGTACCTAAACTAATGTAGGATAACAGAGGGGAATATAAACAGGGTGAAGTACAGTATTTCAGTATTCTCAGTGGAGCATCCTCTGTTTCCACCTCCACCACCGCAGGCACAGCATTATTCTGTGGGAAACACTAACTTAGTCGACTTGAACGTCACATTAACATTAGACCTCCTTTACAAGTGAAATCCTGCTTAAAAGGGTCAAACAGAAATCATCCAGCATATTCCAGGACAAAAAAAATCAGGAAAATCCTACATTACACAAGAAAGTGCATAAAAAGGGCTGCTATATTTAGTCACTAAAACAACAGCAGTTATTGGAGCCCATTTCCATTATTCTCAGATTATTACAGTCCAAACTTCAGAGTTATCTGCTTTTTTCAAAATCCATCTTTTCAATTCTCCTGCATCCTGTTATGATACGGGGTAAAAACTGCAGCAGTAGAATAACTGGGTGCAGCCTTGCAGTCAGCCCCCTCATTGCTTGTTGTGTTGTGGCACTGTAATGGTTTGTTTTCCTCAAAGTGGATCTATGCCAGCACGGCCCACAATTTTGCCTCCTTCGTGGTGATCAATAGGCATTAGATTGAGACAAGTGTTTTGTCAAGTTGGTTGTTCAGGGAGTGACTGGCAGTTTTCTGCTTCACTCAGACATCAACATGAACCTCCGCTTCACCTGACTGAGCCAACACATGCCTCAGACTGGATGAATGAACGTGCCGCTTACTGGGCTGTCATTGCTTAGTGCTTATAGTGTTCAACTTTTCAAGCTGTGCTGGGGCTCCAACTTTTTCCACTGCAATCTGTTTCTAGATCAAGCTACAGTGAAAAATGGGCCCGATGTTGACTCACAGCAACAAGGTCCACAGAACTTCAGCCAAGGATGTTACTTTTAATAGTTTGCATGTTGTTCCTGTGTTCCCAAGGTTGATTACCAAAATAAAAGTTTCAAATACTCCTGCGGTGGCCCAGTTATTACTCTGAGAACTGAGGGATGCTCCACGCCACGTGCTGCTAACCAGCACCTGCTCCCATCACTGTGGGGCTTTTCTAACTGACTATCAGATGGTTCAACTTGAACCTGCTAAAAAAACAGCTAATCTGAGACTTCCAGAGCTGGGATGTACTTCAACAACACAACTACGAGGAGAGAAATATCCAGCGTTTTTGGCTGATAACTCGACTGTAATGTTCGCAAAGCCATCTGAAGTGTAGGATGCTCCAGATGTTGTCTAGACACGGGGGGTGATGGTGGATGCCTCGTGTCCTGAGGGGCGCACACGTCTGAGAGCTCAACCTAGATTCCTGTTGTGATGAACTGGAGGTGAATTGGGTGGACGAGGGCTGTAATAGTCTTGACTGAGATGAGAGCTGACAGCAGCAGCTCTCATCTCTGTCGGAGAGCGGATTTAAAGTTTGACTGCAGCTGGATGATTGGCTGATGGGAAAATGTGGCGAAATCTGATTGGTCGTACTGAAAGGGTAAAATGCCCATTAGCGTGAGCTGATAAGAGAAATGAGCAGAAAAGGAGAAAGATGTGAATAAATGAGTCATAAAGACTAGCTTCCAACTTCAACTTGCACTGAGATCATGGACTAGAAATAGAGTAAATGGAGCCAAGATGACATCATTCAACGGAAAGTACACCCTCTCCAACAATTGAAGCCTCAGCTTCTTGGTTTGAAAAAATTGGTCATATTTGCACGATAGCAGCCACACCCTGTAGGAAAATCTGCTTTAACAACCATCCTAATGTAAATGTGGCCAAAACATAATAACTGAACATGAAGCTGTTGTGAAACTGAACCAAAACTTCACAGTATATCTACATCATCATGGTAACAAGTCCACGATTTGAGTCCAGCCATCCATGTTGAGTTGAGTGAGACGCTCTCCGCTCGCTTCGGGCTCTGTGTAATTTTACCCTTTGTCTCTTTGTGGAGAGCTGGTAATAGTGTTTGACTAAAGTATGGTAACTTAAGTATGGTCGTGATGTGAATTCATACTTGGGTCTCAGTGCTTTCACAATCCTGAATCCTTCATTGTGACCACAGAAAATATCCATAAGTCTTGGGCTGTATATTCAGGGATACATCTGCAGCTCTTGCACCGTTCTGGTGTGGCTGCAAATGCTTCTTTGGGAGTCTTACTGCCAAATATGGACATTGGACCTGAATACAGGCTCTAAAACTCAGTCTCATGCGTCAGTAATGAGGAGGCATCAAGATGAGTAAAAGTATTGAAAAGTATAAGCATTACCTGCTGAAAAGAGAAATTTTGAGCTATTAGAATATGTATTAACACAATCAAAGATGATGCCCACTGCCTGTTTTAATCACTAGTGGTATTATCCTTGTGTTCCCGACCCTGTTCCTGGTTCAAATCCTTGCTGTGGTCTTTCTGTGTTAGAGTCTACATGCTCCCTTTAGGTACTCTGGAACATGCTCACTAGGTTTTTTGGTCACTCTAAATTTCCCATAGGTCTGAGCATGCCTGGCTGTCGACTGACTTGTCAGCCCTGTGATAGGCCGGTGACCTGTCCATGATGTAGCTCGTCTCACCAATTTGCCAATGACAGCCGAGATGGGCTCTGGCCTCTGCGCAACCCCCAGACAGGATAAGAGTAATAGATAATAGATGGTTGTATGGACCTTTGGCTCTGAAATAAAGTACGAAGTCCTCCCTTTTAAAGGATGCTGGCTAAAGAAATGCAGGTTAAAGGTACTTTTTTATCAGCTTCACTTTTAAAACCCTGACTTCATTCAGTGTTTATGTAAAGTTTATTACTTGGTCTTTTACTTAAAGCTATAAGCTGACGTCATATCTTCAAATTGGCGACAATAGAGACTGAAAATGAAAAGCCACTTCCTCGCTGTTGCTCTCTGCTAATAAAACGGATGGAGAAAAAAAAAGCCGAAAAAATGTTCGATAGTCAGCTCCAAGATTTTAAAAAAGCAAATACTTTTCCAGCCTGGAAACAGATCCAAAGTGAATTTACTCACCAGAACCAAACTCTGCCCAATTTGAGAGGCAGTGAAGACCACATCATTAGGCTAAAGCCGAATTTTATGATTGGTCTAAACTCGCTGCTGCTTAATGTATAAAAGACATCTACACCCCTGCAGCAATCTGTATTAATCATCTCTGCTTTTGCTTACTGCCTCTTTCCATTTGAACACATTTGGACACAGTTTGAGAGAGAGACGCTATCATTAGTCTTTTTGCACTCCAGCTTTTTTCTCCTCTCGAGGTGTTGTGTTTGGTCGGCTTGAGTTATAGCTCAGTAGGTGTTGATTTTCTTTCACACATCTATTGCGACTGTTACACCATTCAGACTGCGACGCCATTAGTGGTGTGGAAAAACGTTCACTTTAATTACTTCACAGGGAGGGGAATTAACAAAACATACAAGCTGTCAGTGCAGCAGCACCATGGAGACACTTCACGGACAGACCATCAGCTGAGACTGTAGACTACAACGGTGCAACAGGTCCCGGAAAGCTTAAAAACTCCTAAATGTTCAAGTTTATTAAAAGATAACGTTTGTGCCAAAGGACTTGGCTGACATTGGAATAAAAATGCTTTCACTTATAGTGTCCAGCTCTCTTTAAACAATATCTTATAATTCTCAAACCAATTTGCATTTGATTTAGGATGTCAAATGTGCAGCCTGCTCTGCTGCCTTTGCTCGACTCTGCAGCCGAACAATGGATAACAACTCACTTAGTATGTCACATTTATTCAATTATCAACTAGTTGCATATTCATGCACAGCTCTCTGTACAGTCTGAATTGTAAGGTAAGATACAATGAAAAAGGAATTTGCACAACAAAGGCCTAATCCGTCAGTGGCTGTGGAAGCACAGAAAGTGGCGGTGGACTCGTGGAAGTGCAACAGGACAGATAATTTAATTATTGAAAACCTGGTGGGCTCCTTCCTCTGCTTTCTCCTTGCGCTGTTCAAGGTTAATTGTCAAAAGTTCAGGTTGATATACAAGCACAGCACGAGGGAGGAGAGCGGAGCGGAGACGCCACACAATAAATTTAATTTTATTAAGATTATTGTGCGTTCAAGCAATATTTTCCATTAGGCGTGGACTCTGCTGTGGAGGCCACTGTCAGAAGCAGCTTCAAACAGTTGCTTCAGTTTTCTACACAAGTTGCTGCTTGTCCCTTCCTTTCACTAACATCACAGAGAGGAGAGAGAGCAATGAGACACATTTACTGAGTAGTCAAAGGTAATATGAAATGTCTGGTGAACCGTACTCTAATCGGAGGCGCTTTGCCGTGAGATTAACGAAGGTGTTTGGCATTGCAGAGGCGCTGCGGATAGACGCAGGCCATTCCAGACACCAGCATGTTAGCGTGTCTCAGCCGTTTAGAGGATTGCTTGTGTAATGCCATCTGTATTCAGGGGATGAACACCCACTTTTACACCAGGGCAGAGAGAGAGGAGCAACAGCGACTTCAGCCAACATCTGTCGCTTTCCCTCTATCTTCCATTCACTCATCCGCTAGTCGCTTTCATCCACTTACAAATCGTGACACAAGACCGGATATGTTAATTGAAGAAACAGCTCACTCTTCAAAATGAATATGAAGGATAAAAGCGTTTGTGAACATGGGACATGAGCTGCGACAAAACGGAGGAATGATACAAAACGCTCCGTAAATAATTTGTTCCTCCTGGTTTACAGGATGAGCTCAGTCAGAGACAACAAGAAGTTCTGTGTGAAAGAAAAACTACACACGGGCCTCAGTTAGAAATAGGTTTGGTGGTTTATCAGAAAGATTATTGCGCAAAATACAGCGGCAATAATTAATTCAACTACAGAAAAATGTTCTGCTGTTTTTCAGCATTTAGATTACGTTTTTTCCACCACTTTTTCTATATCTGTCAGCAGAAAAAGCCCAGGAAATGAATCAGTTATAAATAAAACACATTTAAATTGGAGTCCGTGTGCAGACCATTTCATAAAGCTTTCGAACTTTGCACCTTTTTGGAATGAAAGTGTGTTTTTATTTTCAGGTCCTACATATTTCCTGCAAAGCCAGCAGAGTGTTGTCTGCAACCTATTTAGATGTGTTGTTTGGGGAGCTGTTAAAAGAGGCAGTGTTTTTCTTGGGGGAAGTATGTTAAAAGGAATAACAAGTACTGCAACAGAAGGAAAAGAAAATATTGTCAAGTTCCTGTAGAAAATATTAAAAATCCTGCATTATATTAAAGGAACAGTCCGTAGTATTTCGCAGCATTAAGCAGAACAGACAGTAGAAATAGAATACATCACATTAACTAGTATGTTAGAATGAGTTTTTAATGTACTGAATATTGAAAATGTTTTGATTTGTTAACTTAGTTTGACTCTTTCATCAATACATAAGAGAGGCTTGCTTCCATGGAGGCTGGCATTTTGCATTGTGTTTCTACGGTAGCTCAGAATGGTCAAACTACTCACTATGCAGGGTTTAGTATTTCGTGACTGGTCAGGTAAAATGCAAAGAATAAGTGATTAGCTGTTGTGTGAGATTGTGTTCATGGACATTTTTGATGGTAAAAACTTCAAATGCGTACATCACTTTACTCGCAGTAGGGGGGGAGCAAGGGAGCACTTTGGTCTAAAATCGGACCACCAGACATCACTAAGTATTTCCATTTGTACACACTCTACCCTCAAAGGTCTTTCAATTTGTTTCAAACTCGCTGCAGAGATTCTTCCCTCTACTTTGATTTTGTCATGACCTTTTATTATCATGTCATCAGAAACAAGAAGAAAACGCTTGGTGCGTCTAGAACAATTTGAAAAGGACAGAATTGCCTATTTAAAAAAGAAGGGTTAAAATCGCACACACTCACACACCTCTGTTCCCCTGCTACTCTTCAGGTGGAGAGGTGGCAGTGACATTAATAACAGGGGCGAAGGTAGGAAACTGTTCTGGTGTCGGAAAAGGTGTGACACCTGTCACCACTGAAATAGTAAATGATCCATTATGCAGATCTGGATGAGGCTGCCATACACAAGCGGCTGTCACTCCTTCCTATATAAAGGATTTGTTTGTACTGTGTGTCTGTTATCGATGCTAAATGAGCTTAGGAGGGAGAAGGTGTAATGCTGTGAAATACAGCTTTCTGTTGACACATCAGCCGCTCGCTCTGGTTTAGGAGACACTTTGTGTGTCTAAATGTGATGAGATTTTTTTTCGTTTTATTTTGGCGGCAGTTTAGAAGATAAATTACCAGTACTTTGTCCAAAAAATTGGACCAGACTGTTTTGTTGCTTATTGTCCCCCTTCATCTTTAAGTGCTTTTCATCTTTGGACGGCAATACCAGAATTCACTCAGCGTTTGGCATGCAGACAGTTGTATTCATCTTTAGTAATTTATGTTTAGATGTCTGAACATTTTGTGTTGGTTTGATTCATCTGTGGGAGTTTCCTTGGTCACAAAGCTCTTGGTGCTTATGCTAACTGTCCAGGTTTATCATGAACCTGCAGCCGTCTCTGCTCTTAAGTTTTCCTCTGTCTGCAGAGCAGGAGTTTACGTTTCTACTAGACCTTTGAGAAACAAGGAGCTCAGAGCAGCAAATATAAAAGTTTTCATAACCTGCATAAACATTAAGTATGTATGAAATTCACTTTCAAAATAGAGCAATACACATGCTTATCGTACGCCTGGGTCTGAGCTGTTAGTGACTGACTGGTTTTGTGTTCAAACTGAGATTTCCAGTGCTTTTTTTTTTTTTTTACTCTATAGGGTATGGTATCAGATTTTTTGTGCTCTTAGGTCAAAAGATTTAAAGCAGCATTTACTAGATGTAGAGGATAAAATACTGTTACCTGCATCTATCAGTGCTCAAGGAGACTCACATTTGTCAGTTTTTTTCATTGAGAGAGAGAGAAAAGCAACGCATCTGCTTCAACATATCCACTACCGTCAGCAGCAGTGAGTCATCCTCTGACAGAATACCTCCACACCCAGTGATGGTGAACAGAACCAGCTACCAGAGTCTCCTGATGGCTAAGTCACCAGTTTATCAAACTCTGACCTCTGGATCCAGGATATAGAAATTTGGGACTTTTCCAGTAATTTCATAGTGTTGGAATACTTTTGATCGACTATGATATATGCAAATGTGACCTCCCCTTAGACATCCTGCTTCAAAAGTCTAGTTTGTCACTACTTTGTGTCTGATTTCTTCATTTTGCTAGATGTCTCTTTCGGTTGTTGTTGTCTTTTTTGTCTGCTGTTCACCATAAATCTCAAGTTTTACGCTCTCTAAATAAATGAGGAGTAAACTGAAACATAATTCCTCCATGCTGCCTGATGTGCCTGTCAGAGAGTAATGCTGTAACTGTATAGTAGATGTGCCATAAGTCTTCTCTGTGGGTTTGTTTGATGTAGAGTATGTGACATGAGTGATCAGATCATCCCTGTGCCACCTTTGCTATACCATTGGACCAATCAATCAAGTATTTAACACAACCAGGTGATTAGTAAGACAGCTAGGTAATAATTATGTATAGATTATCTTAAGTTGTGTATGTGCAGATGGTTCCAATGATTTAAGTCTCTCAATGTTTTTTTTTTTTCCACATTTGTATTCTAGTCAGAATCAGGATTGACTCTCACACGCAGTCTGTCGTGTTTCATAAATAAGGAGCCTGAATAATATCTCCCTCACACACCAGCTACCCAGAGAATGATTTTTAACAGTGGTAAGCAGATATAATGGGGGGGGGGGGGGAGCTGGAGGTTATAGCCATTGATCTGAACCACCTGCCAGTGAGACAATTAGTCTATTGGTTGGAATAAATGGGGACATCACAGGCGCACGCAAACTCTGGAATCGTTTTGACTCCAACCTTTCCCACTGCTGTCAGAACAAGGCCAAAACAAGCAACTTTGTTGTTCAAATATAGCTCAAACAAGCACACCTTTTTTTATTTTTCTTCCACACAGACCGAGCAAGGGGATGATCAGCACGGCCTATTTTAGCTCGTAATTAATTGACATGACATTATTTTCGCTCCCGTGGTGTTTTCAGGATCAAATTACTATGGCCTTGTTTGTTTTTTTTTAAACAAGGTGTGACGCATCTGTGCTCTGCAGTGCTTCTATGCACTTCCTGTCTAAATATATGAACCTGATGCTATAAAGCACACAAAAATCTCCATGGAGGATATACAAACCTTCCCTTTGATTATTTAATGTACATCTCACTTATTAGCCATTTCCCCTCATACCCAACATAAATACGCAATGGTCTGTTTGTTATTTATAGGTCGCGGTGCACATTTGCATATCCCCATTTTGGATTCATTCCGGTGTCAGAAAGATCTCTCCCCCCGTGTGCTTACTGCACCAGGAGAATCCCGACAGCAAGTTGCACACTTTAAACACACAAACACGATTTATAAAACCCTGAAGCATGAGTAGTGAAAAACAACCCTGCTAAATATTATACATAGAAAAAGCAGTCTATCATAGCGCTTTCCATTTTGGAGCAGGCCCTGATTTTAATTACTATACATGGTGAATTAGCTAATGAATAATGAATGGATTCCTCACACTAAGTGCTCTGACTGCTAATGCACTTGCAATTCTCTCTCACTCTCACCCCCCCCTCACATACACACACACACAAAAACACACATATCGCTAATGTTGCTTTCTGATTCTGTCTTTTTTTAGTCCCCCTCCCTCCTCTCTCCAAGTCTGATTCACACACAATTTCTTCCCCACATCTGCTTTTTCTCACTCTCCCTGAGATTTGATTAGATTTTTCTCTGTACGGAATTATTTAGTGATGAGAGTACAGAATGAGACGGGGACAGAGAAAGGCTCCGGGACAGAGGGGAGACAGATAGCGGCTCTCAGGGGAGTGAAGAAGAGGAGGAGGAGGAGAAAGGTGCTTCGAGGAAAGAAAAAAAACAGAGGGTGAAAAAAGCTGAAGGATTAAGGTGCAGTGGAGCCACAGACATGTAGAGTGAGATGGAGAGACACAATGTACTTGGCGTGCATAACTTCAAATTCCATGGTGCTTGGGGAAACATCTACAAATATACATCTACAAATATGGGAGAATATAAGTAATACTGGATTATACAAGCAGATGGCTGTATATTTTATCCTGCTTGCCAGCTTGGGAGAGCATGTAAAGGCTCTGCATGGATTTTTATTCATTTATTTATTTATTTTTTGTATATGTTGCCCTTATGTCGGCACTTTTCCTTTCTCTTCCTCCATTTGCTCTAGTTTGCTTCCTCAGTGCCAACACATGCAGGTTAGCTGAAGCAGAAGTGCCTCTAGGTGTGAGTGTGTTTGTCTGTCTATACGTGTTAGTGCTGTGACATACTGGTGACCTGTCTAGGGTGGTTCTCACCCAGTGCATGATGGGATAGACACAACCCCCTAAGGCCCCAAATGCAACAAGTACCCTATAAAAGATGGATGAGTGGATTTGCTGACAGTATCACTATACATTATGTCATGTATTCTCCATTATTCAAAGCTGCTATGATTTATACATCTATGTATCTTGCCCTAAAAACCAACCGTGCAATTGCTGATGAAATTTGAGTAACACGTGTATAAAAGAAAAAAAAATCTATTTTTCTAAAGGCAGAGTGATCGCTGCACTTATATTTATCATGTGTCTTAAAACAATACTCCAAATGAAAGCTAAGCTCGCATCACATCTGCTGGTTATACGAATAAATCACAGTTTTCTCACAAATCCATCATGGCAGAAAATCAATGCTGTGTCTCTGCTTTGTTTTTCCTCACAGCTACTTTCTGGTACCTGTTTAAAAAATAAATACATTTGACGATTATTAGATAAATAATGTCCCTCTGTTGATAAGGACAATCTTTTTCTTATCCTGCAACATTTAAACAACTAAGTAAATAAGTTTCTAAAAGATCTTTACCTCATAAAAGGGTACATGGAAGCTCAAATAAACCAGATTGGAGAGGACTGCATTAAAGGCACTGCAAGGAGTTTTTACCTAATTTTAAAACAGTCTCACTCTTAAGCTGATGTTCCCACATCATTTAATAAGATTATCAACAACAAGACTGGCTGATCCTTTCTACTAAATTTTAGAGCTTGTCTTCAGGTCTAAGTTTCATTAAACAAAAACCTAAGCCCATATTTGACTCTCACCTGATGTTTACACTAAAAAAGATGTAGCTCAAAGTTCAGTTCGTAAAGATTAAATTTATCTGATTCAGCTGAGTCCCCGTGCTTCAACCTCAGCCCCTAAATAATTGTCATGTCTTTGACCAAATGAAATGCTGTATTCCTCTAAATAGACAGACATCCAGTTTGAAAGCTTAAAATCCAAGTACGTCCCATATTAGTATTTTTTTTGACAATTTAACAGAAAATAAACTGCAGCTCTGCAACCACAAAACATACAAATAACCGTTTTCTTTTTTTTGTTGGCTTAATATTTGGCTAAATATTCAGACTTAAACTCACAAATACACATGGAAAATCTTGGAGCATCCTGGGATGTCTCCACTCTTGAGATTGAGCAACACTCCATCTCATGAGGTACAAATTTAGCTGTTCAAATTAAGCATATACAATAAATGAGTGCAGTTAAGGGCATTCATGCATATGCGCTGGGGGTTGCTCTGTATTTTGTTTGGAAAATTCCCATTTTAACCGCAGTTTTATCATCATAGTTTATGTTACTGTTGGGCATTTATTGGCACACCAGAGCACATATTATGACGAGTAACATTAGTGTTACCAGTACATCCAGTAAACCTACCACCAGTAATAAATCACAAAGTTTTGTTGATGTTACATTGCTGGAAGTAGCTACAAATCAGTGCATTACCTAAACAAACACTGTGGGCTCATGGGAAATGGAGTCTTCATCCTTAAAATTTCCACTGAATCACCAGAATCAATACAATATGAAAATTCCTCACAGTGCCTTTAAAAAGTAAGAACTTGTGATGACACTGTATTAAATTAGCAGAATTTGTTCTTTTCCATTTTAAATTAAGCTGCAAAATTTTAGAGATGAGTCATTTTGTGATTTCAGTACCTCAAAACATAACACAACAGAGTGACTGAGTGCTCTGGTCCAAATGTAGACACTCCTATTACTTATAGAGGTATTATTTCTGCCTAATCAGAGAGGATTTTTATGAACTACTGTTGAATACACAGCTTCAGCTTTTAGTCTTCACTCTTACCTCTTTAGATGCTGCAGCTTTGTTGTTGTAGGTTGACCTCGCATTAAATATATGCGCTATATACATGCATGTTATGTTGTTTAGCGCCATAAAAACATGAAGAAAATGTCCATATTAAGCATCACAAAGCTGCACTGGGGATATTACCTGCCTTAGCAGTGTATTTAGCATTAAACAGGCATGAACATAATGTCCTCCTGGTCACAAATGTGTTTCAGCTAGTATTAGTCTGAAAGACATAATCGATCCATGAAACCAAAGGAGGAATTTACATAATGTCTTACACAGCCCCCATATATGGGCCAAGTTGAATACAATACAACACAATGGCTGGTGTTAGCTTGGGGCAAAAATAAATGTGTAATTTGTGTAAAAATTCACAAATAATTGACCATATAAGTCGCACATGCACAAACATGGCTCAGGGTCAAAGACGCTCAGTGTTTGACTTGAACTATCATGTGTGAAAGGGGGGAAAACTCAAGCAACCTTGGATGAACAATAAGCGGCTGGACAGCTCTGCTTCAGGCTAATCTGGACTAAATATAAACAGTGTCAAACATGTAAAGATAACCCGGGGTAATGATAACTTAAGATTAAAGCCCAAGGTTAACAGGTTCAAGTGTGAAAACAAACATGCACTGTAGCATGATGTATGGAGCGTAGAGCATTGGATTTAATGCAGATTAATAACCAAAGCATGATTCAAGAAGGTTAAATTCATGTCAGGGATAAAATAAGTGTCTTCATTCTATTTAAATCCAGTGTTACCTTGCACTTGGAGTATTTATTTATCAAGCTAAAGGCGAAGGTGGGCATGATTTGAATGCTGGAGAGGAAAAGTAAAATTTCTGAAAATCCAATAAACTATTCCAGGAGATACAACAGCTGATGTTTAGAGATGTGATGGTACCTGGCAGGACAAATAAGAGAGGGTTTGAATAGTTGAGATAAAAAATAAATGTTAGTAACCTTTCATGGCAGCAGAGGGCGCTACTTTGTGCTCCTTACCCCTGCAGCAGAATAAGTGCGTACGGACATGGGGCAGAAGATACGGACGATGCAGTCAGGGATGCACTACCAAGATACCTGCTGATCATTGAGGCATTTTCATCCATTTAACACGGTCATCTGCTACCAGTAAACTAGTAATAAAAATATCAGCAGCATTTCCACACCTGCTCTGCATGTAACATAAAGAGATTTAACAATTAACTTAATGACAATATACAAACTTTGGTCTCCTCCAGTGCAGCTAAAACACCACATACTTGATCTGTCTTGTAGCCTTTTTGATTTAACGCCATGTGTTCATGCTTTGAGGGTAGTTTTGTTCATGCCCTTTCAAAATAAAAGCATGTTTGATATCGAAACAGGGCTCCAAGTAACCTCAGCTCAAGATAGTAAAACAGCTTAATAAAAAAATCATAAATCTGTTTAATCCTCTCTAAAGCATGATCAAAAACGGAGCTACTTACACCTTTATAAAAACAATATGGATCATATCGTGACCCAATCATTGCATAAATCATAGTGTCATGACATGTGTCTGCCCAAATTATCCCCCTGACTATGGCGTGTGCAATAATTCTCCCTGTATTAAATTTTTATGTTGCCATCTTTCACAGTGGTGAAATTGTTACTTGAACATTTCTCAGGCAGCTGCTTGTTCAATGTCACAGAGTATTTTGTTCAGAGGTCACACTGGTTGGTGATTTATTGTGGTATAACAAAATATTTCTGTTGTTGTCATGTATAATAATTTCCCTCTGAAGTGCTAAACCTCAAAAACACAATGCACAAAATGAAAAATGAAACGAAAATGAAAAACAACTACAACCAAGGACAAACAAGGACAAACCAACTGGGAAACACATTTTTGAGGGGGAAACAACTTTTGGCACAACACCAATCCTTAACAGCTTATTAGCATGCCAGCTGAGACTTCTCACCACGAACAAATAATGAAAGAAAAACAAGATGGACTACCTACTGTAAGCTGTCAACACTGGATGGAAGCAATCAATCAGGCATCAGCGGTGAGAAAACGAACACGACCCCGAACCTCGCACATCCACAGCTAGTCTGCTCGGCAGTTGGCAGATAATAAAACATCCCCCAACACCATCATGATAAGAGGTAATGATCATTATCATCAACGCACAATACAAAGTTAGAAAGGATCATCATATTTGTGTTGCAACAGTGCAACAAATCCCAGGCCTGCTAAATGACCTTGCACAAGCAGAACAACAATATGGCTCGCAGCGATGTGATCCATGTGATTTGTGATCCTCTTGGTAGATCCGAGCCTTTATGAGAGACCGTGTTTACAGTGTACATCCATCTTTTTTACAAAATTGTTGACTGCCACTTGAATAATTGCATTTCCTCTGCTTTGATTTCTGACTGATTTTAAGACGGTCCCCCACAGAGTGCCATGCATTGGCTGCCGGAGTATCAAAGCAGATTAACAGAGAGGAAAGAAAAGAGAAGAGAGAGGAGAGGGGAGGGGAGGGAGGAAAAAAAATCAAAATCACACCGCTGAGAAAATGTCTCTTCTACGCCTTTCATTTATCGAGTCCAAATATATTTGATGGTGGTTATTTTTACACAGACCTTAATCCTCTGCTCACCCTTCATCGTGAGGTAGATAATTATAGTAATCTGGTCGAAAAGGAATTTAATTTCCTAGCTGTGAATTGGTGCAGTGGGATGGACTAGGTGCATTATGAACGGAATGTATAATGTCCTACATTATCAACAGTTAGATGACAACACAAATACAACACGGTGCTTTGCACAGCACCCAAATTTGCAATTTCCAGATTAGCCTTAATGACACCAGATGGGTATGAGATTGTTAAGTCAAGTTTGCTCTGCTTAAAGCTGTAGTTCTCAGCCTCACAGAGGTGGCTCTTTTGCAGCCTGGATTGCCATGGGGAATTAAGCTTAAGCTCCAGAGGAAGTTACACACTAACCAGTGCATAGAAGGTGTAAATAATGGTAGTATCCACTCTGACTCATGCAATTAGTTTATCAAGGGCCTTTCCCAACCTTGAGTTTGGCAGTGTGATTGTCAGCCTCTTAGTTTTTCTTGGAAGACCAAGGTACTACATTTGGAAGAGAGGATGGAGCTGGAGAGGACTGAAGGGTTGGCGAACCCCATGTTACCAAAGCTACGCCAGTGGCTGATTCATTAACTGCTAAAAAGACCGCTTAATGATCCTCTTTCACGAAGTATGTGTTTGTATATGTGTGAATAGCTGAGTTTCTTGTTTAACCAACTAAAGCCGGTAGAAGAGGTTGTAAAACATGGTGGTACAAAGCTTATGTGCATGCCTCTGTAGTAGAAGAGGAGCTAGTGAACAACCCAAACTGGGATTACAGTAACAACTTCACATCATAAAAGCAACCATAACTTCTGCAGGAAAATTCAACAATTTATCTGACTTCAACCCAGTGCCTGTCATTAACAGAGACATGAACAAAGCCAATTCCAAAACCTGTTAAAACAAGAGTTGATGGCTGCAGATCATCTAAACCTCATCTTTGACTGAAATTAATACTGAGACAAGCTGCAGCTGTTTTCTGCATGTTGACGATGCTGCAAATGTTTTCAGTGGGTGTCATGTCAGGACTGCAGGCAGGCCTGTCTGGTGCCAAGACTCTCCAGCTACATTGAGCCTCGCTGGACTATGTGCATAATTGTTGAAATGTGAATGGTCTGCCCTGAAAAATACATTCTCTGAATGGCAGCATATGTTGCTCCAAGTCTTGAATATTTTATTCATCACTGATGGACACTAGCTCATCCCCCTATCATTACAGAGAGGAGGAGACCCTGTCCATGATTCCTTAAAAGAACATCAAATTTGGATTATTCAGACCATGCCACAGGTCACAGGTGTTTTTAAGTCATCATTATTTGTAATACGTTACATGTTTAACCTTCATTTTGGTGATGCAGATAAGAACTGTGCTCACAGCTGATGGTTTTTGGTTAACTTGAGCCCATGCAGTGATTTCCACTACAGAGTCATGACTGTTAGAAATGCAGTGCTGCTTCACAGCCCTAAAATCACAGCCACGCTGTATTAGTTGTCATCATTTAATGATATTATGCACCGCAGGTGTGGAAAGTATGAATATTTTTGTTATATTAGATCAAGGGACATTTTTCTGATTGCTGAACTTTTTGCTCACAGTCTCTCATGGAGTTGATACACTTCAGAGAGATTCAGCCCCTCTAAAATCTTCTTTTAAAACCCAACGTTAAGAATGGCGGTTCTCCTGTAAATTAATTTTATTTTTGGCCTATTTTTGGAGATTGAGTGACTTTCAAGCTAGCCTCAAGTGGCGACTCTGGAAACTGCAGCAGCTTTTTGCATTATTACAGTCTCTACATTTCTTCGCGGTTGAGGTTTTATTTGAATTATTGAAGGAACAAAGCTACACCCTAACAGAATCCACACATGCTTGTTGACAGTTTTTCTAAAGAACTATTCTGTGTAGAAGAAAAGCCAAATGACAGTACCATAATGTTAGGCAAAGTCTGGCTATTCAAAACTTCCTAAATGGTACCTTACTAAGATCTCCTCATTTTATAACTTGGCAGGGATGTACTTAAAGCAAAAATGTTGAGAGGCATTCATTGTTCCTTCTGTTCAAATTAAAGGACTAGGTGAAGAGACTGCCGTACAAGTAGGACACCCTAATGGCTCTCTCCTTACACCTCCCTCATATAAAAATCTACTCCTACTTCTGGAGGCTTTGTGTCTTATGCTGAGCTTTTCTTTTGAAGATATTCTAAGTAGGAGACATATAAGAGCCTCTCATTGTAGGCACACAGGACACAGCTTGTAATATGCACGCTGCTCTTGTCCTGCCCTTGAGCAAGTCAGTGATTCCCCACTGACTCACTGCAGCGCTCAGGGGACGCTCTGTGTGAAGATGACCCTTCACTCTGACCTCCCTGGAGGGAGCAAAGTGAAAAGAGACTTTCACTGCAGGGATCAATAGGAGTATCATACCGTTATCACTTTATTCAAGTCACTTAAGCGATTTAGGAAAGAAGGGTTCAGCCTGCATTTAATCCTTAGGCTAGATATGCAGCTTGCTATTGTATGTAATTCTTTATGTGTGTGTAGCTACTGCGGGATTAAAAATAATCCTAATGGGAATATATCTGTGTTCATTTGATAGTTAAAGCTGTAATTAACAGTCCCACCTAAGACCTTATAGTGCCGCAAAGTGTTTATGTTTTATAAGTTGCACAATATTAAGGAGTCTGTGTGCTTATGCTCTATTTACTAGGCATAATGGCATTTTAATTCATCTTAGTGCATTGTATGTCTTGAGTGCAATATTTTATGCTTTTTGTTGATGTTTGCATAAAGGCAATTACGCATTAAACAACCTACTTAAATTCTCACAGGTGCACACTTATGGAAGCATAATGAGATGATTGGATGCTCTGTGCTTTTTAGACTGTACAGACTAATTCATATGGTGTGGGCCATTAACCATACCGAGGCTGTTTTCACACAGCTTTCATCCTTTTTTCAGGTAGCATTTTCAAGACTCCAAACAAGATTATGAGCGCTGGAGCCTGGCCTCTTAGTCGATACACATCTGAACTCAAGCTGGCATCTCAGGCTTTGTAATCCATCATTGTTGCATCGAGACAGTGGAGTCCACTTTTAAATTAAAGGAGCTCACTGTAACATACAGTCTTAATGCAAACAGAGAGGGAGTGGTCAAGCTGCCGCTCCAGCTCTGCCAAGGACAGTCAGGGGGAGTATCTCGATTTGCTTTATTCAATAGACTTCTGCATAAAGCTTATGCTGCTTAAAGCCTGGGACTCGACAAGCAATAGTAAGCCAGACATTAAAAGCACCAGCTGGAAAACACATGAACAAGCACGGCCTTACTTATGGCGCACAAAGAGTCCAAAAGAAAGAGCTAATGGCTGGCCCACGCTGAAATGAAAATTAAAATCTTAAAAGATTCTGAAAATACGAGAGACCCGACATATGATTACAAATAACGGCAGATTGAACAGTTTTGCTCTCATATTAAGTTTGGAGTGCAGCAATATGACCAACACACTTCACACACCAACAGATTTCATTTACAAACACTCTCTAAAGTGGAAATCTCAGAAAATCTCTCACCAGCAAACGCGACAGTACACTAAACAAACATGGCAAATGTTGGGATGGTAGTTCAGCTGAACTTTGTTAGATGCTCACTTATCTGATACCAGACATTTCACTTCAGCTTTAGTCTAAGTCATTTTAAGACAACTGTGGTTTATTTTGGTTATATTCAAGTCCTCTTCCTTGCATAGTTTTGGTCTGTGACACTCTTATATATACTATACCCACACCTTGTCATATAAAAAATAAATGCTAAAAAGATATTACGCAGAATGCAATGAGTCACATCAACAACATTTGTCCCCACGGATCTAAATTTAACTGAATTAGGCCAGTGTTTGTGAATGAGTCAGGGTCTGTACGTTAGTTGTACAAAATGATAAATCATTTCTTAAACACGTAGGTTGATGTTTACCATAAGGTAGCTCAACACCGTTGAATTTACAGCTTGCTAATCGCTACAGATGTCATGTTGAGTTGTGCCGCCTTGTCAGAAATGTTACCATGGCAGAAAAATCAACAGCAGACACCCGTTTCTGAGAGTGGAGAACTTGGGATTTGGAGAGTTCACCGTATTTATGTCTTCAAATCATTATACATCATTTTTATTTACCACTGCAGGCTGTTTTGACTTCAGGTGTCTGTTCAAATTTGTAGTGTTTTTTTTTCTTCTCCCATCTTCTACTCAAAAGGAGGCCCATCCTCATCGGGAACATTACACTCAGTCTAGTGTTTGGTAGTAATGTAAGAAAAACGTGTCCACGGGTCATTTCTTTTCTTCTTCCTGAGCACACAAGCTGCTGGTTGTACTTATCACGCTCACTTTTTGTTAGACTTAAAAAAGAAAAAGAAAAAAGATCATTGTGGCTTCCTATCAAGTACTTCTCACTGGGCAGAAACCATCTAATAACAATTAGAAAGGTGCATGAAGGCGGTGAGAATTTGTACCTGTGCACTTGTTGCAGATAAATGGTTGTAATTTTGTAATTTTGTGCGCCCGAACAACAGGGGTGATTTTTTGTCCTGTTATTTATCAGGTTATTGAGCAAAGATTGCACCATACTTTTCACAGTCAGTGTGATTGTGACAAATGAAGTTAGTCCTTAGTTTCTAAAGCCAGTCTTTCTATCCAATGTATTCATGCCCTCCATTCTACAGTCAACTTGTGTTCATTCAGGCTACTGCACAGGTTCACCATAGTCTGTATAATGCCTGAATGTAGCATCAGGGAAGTCAAAGATTTGTTTCTGAAGTCAATTTTGAAGCCTAAAGAAGACTCAACCTATAGCTATAGTGTTCCTGCCTGTCAGTCAAGTCAGCCATCCCTCTGATTTGCTGATCTTGTGAGCTGAACAACTTCAGTATCAACACTTTATAACAAAATTCGCTCCCCGTACCTTGGGTGCCATGGGGCTTTACTGTGTTTACTTTTGCTTTTTTGGCTTAGCATGTGTATGTTGTTTCTGTTGCTTCTGGGAAACTGAACTTTTTAATACCTCAGTATTGACTTTTTTTCTCAACTCCAGAGGTTGCCGCATGTGTTTCGCATGACATACTTCACCCAACAGGATACCTGATGGTACACATTGAACATGTTTAATATTTACAATTCCAAATCAGCGTGGCTCTAATCCTCTCCCGAGCAGATTAGGGGAAGTAAAATCACTCGTACACACCTTACAGCCCAGGGAAATCTGACAAGTTAATCTTTGGAACAATCAGATAATCGGGTCTTTGCTGACTTTTGTTGGATAGAGGGAATCGGGCTCAAAATCAGACTGATTATGCAGTGGTTTGTACCCCACCTAAAGAGAGAGCTGCGATAATGGCTTTCATATTTTTGGAAAAGTAAGCCACCAGTTTTAGCTTGTGAGAACACTGTGGCGAGACTGCAGATTGGCAGGTAAACCATCAAATAATTTCATTCACTCCAGATTAAATGATTGGCAGAGTTATTTCAGACTTTCAACAGCTACAGAGTGCAGATTCCTTCCTTTTGTTGTCAGAGGATTTGATGAATTAGCTGCTGTCAGAGGAGAATTTCTCAAAATTTAACAAACAAATGGAGAAAATTAATTGCTCAACATACTGCTTTGACAAACCAAAGCAGCTGCATGCATTTAGCAGCTGCAGGACTTTCCCCCCCTATTTTCAGATTGGAAGAAAAGGTAAGAATAATATTTAGTGACCAGTCTTGCTGTATTTGTTTGGATGTATTGATTTGTTAGGTTTGTGGGTGTGTTGACGTTTTTCTCATACCTCTGCTGCACCTTCTGCTAGAGTAAAAATACATTTTTCAAAAGCCAAAAGAACAACTTTCCAAAGTTTGAAAGATCTCCAGTGCTGTATGGAGCCTAAGCTGTTTGCAGGAATGAACAATCACCTGTTTCTACAAGACAAGAACATATGTCCTGCCACAACATATACCTTAATACTGAGCATTTTCTAACATGTGATCTGTTTTGACACTAATCTTCAGTACATTCACCGTCTGTGAGCACGAGCTCTGCACATATGTGTTAATGACTTCGTGATAGTCTTCGGGCAGAATCCAGAGGAAGGATTTCCAGTGAGAGGCAGAGGCACACTGGTGGGCAGCAATCTTAAACAAAAGAACAAAAGACTGCGCCACGTATGGTGCCATCTGTTGTCAGTATCCCGTCACCCCAATGTGAACACAAAAGCTCCAGAGAGAACCGCCTCCAACTTCCTCTATTCAGTCAATTTGCAAACTAGAATGGCCAGGATTCATTGGCAAATAGCTGTGACTGAACAGGGGACACTCCAGTGAACTAATCCCTTCGAGCACTCTGCATTTTGCAGGGAGGGCAACCTGCCAAGACTGGCCATTGAAGCTACATAGCTATTGTGTCAGTTTTAATGCAGCACTGTTGTCTTTCTCTGCACCAACAATGACTGACAGTATTTCGGCCTTTTGGAGGTATTACCAACACGCCAATGAGAGGCTGCAGGAGGACAGGAATCTAAATGCTTCCTGCAAATTGCAAACTTAAGTAGTGTTCATCCCCGGTCATGAAAATGTGAAATTTACTTGTTCTATCATTAAAACACGACTCTTTGGCCCACTTTCTACTGCTCGAGAACCTGAAAGAAAACGCTTTTAATATGTTAACACATTTGAAAAGTGCCAAGTCCCACTGATGAGGCATAAAATATAACAAGGGCATCGCTTGGATGAGGGACCCTTTCCTTTTTTTTTTTTACTTTAATAATTCATCTTTCAAACAAGATGAGTGTCACAAGTTCATTCAGAATCATTTAGCAGTGAAACATTGATGCACAGCAGCTTCTTCACCTACTTCACCCACTGCACACATCCTCAGCTATAGCGGTGATCTGTTTACCGAGTGTAGGAAGGGAGCGTATGGGGTCTGTGTAACTCATTATTCTGCCACTGCTGCTGGTTGTGTGTACTCACCTACATAAGCCCTGCCTGCCACCTGCTTTTTTTTCCCTGCGATGAATTTGCTTCACAGTTTTCAAATCTCCTAAACAGAAAGGTTTTTGCAGTGACAGTATTAGTCACTATCTGTGTAACCAATTACTAAGATGCAAACAGACCTCACTGTGCTGGGCTCGCTCTCAGTGCAACTAGTCTCCACTCTGCCGCGGCAACCTGCAACACAGGACTGGCCAATCCTGCAGATCTCTTTTTAGGAAACGCAGTCATAGGAGCAGATTGGAGAGCTACACAAGTGACACGAATGCTAAGAGCGCCCTCGCATTCAGTTAGTCTGCCACCCAGGGCATCCTGTCTTAATCCCTTTGCAGAGAGCAGACAGAGCCTTGGCAGAGCAGAGTGCATTTGAACATGGAGGTCCCTGCAGATTATTTAGCCCATGCAATTATCATAATGGAAGCAGCATAAGGTAATACGTGAATAGGAATTGAATTATCACTTGAAAGGTGTCTCCTTACCCTCCGCTCTCCCTCTCTCAGGTATTGGCACAAGATAGCAACCTTCCTCTACTTACCTTGAGATTAAAGCACATGAAATAGCATGCAGGAACTCTGCGCTTCTATAATATGATAATGTTTAACACCATAACACAAGAGGTGATACAAGCGCAATTCCTTGAAAAACGGATGCACCCCGGTATCCTTGTTTGACACTTACTAAACCTACTTGACATGCTAAAAAACAAATCCCAGTGCGCACAGACATTAAAAACAAACACACTGCAAAGGAAGGTGTAGGCAATGAGCTGCGCTGGTTTTTATTTAGCAATCTCTTCTATATAAACCTTTACTTGGGAATTTTTTACTACCCTGTTGGGGACTTTTTAACCACTCTCAATTCAGAGCGAATGTGATGGCCATTAAATAGACAAAAGCAAACAAAATCAAGGCGCCACAATTGAATAGTCAAGATTCAAATCATCCTAAGGGTTAAAATGGTCAGATGGCTGATAATATCATCACATTTCTTATCAGAAAATAGGAACTGATTAAAAGTAATGCCTTTTGTACCACTTTCAGACATCACATCGAAGCTTACTGCCTGATTGCAAATGAAAATGTGTCTATAGGTTTTTGTCCCCGCAGTGGTTGTCTGTCTGATCATAACTCCAGATGGCAGTTTGATTGCTCTCAATTTTGCTTCTCTTTTTAATTCAATCTCGTTTCCATCCAGGCTGGAGAAAATGAGCCTGGTCATCTAAAATTGTGATGATTTTCAATAATATGATCGTACCATCTGGGAGTGCGGCTCCCCTGCAGGGACAGCAGAGGTTAAGCTCAGGTCAGAGGGTCAACTGTACCGCTTCTTTTCTCATGGCTCATAAAGAAGAGAGCTAGATTGGTGTCAGTCCTCTTGTGGTTGTCAAAGAAATTCAGGCTTTGTTATTCAGCTTGCCATGAACCCACATTTTATCCTCAAACTCAGCAGAATGAATGAATACCTGAGTAATAAATTGGCAGATTTATTCTAAAATCATGTGTACGATACACCTTGACACCTTTTTTGTCATTTCAAAAAGTGATCTGCACCAATATACCGGCGTAAATGCAGAGCAAGGTCACAGTATTGTGTCACAGTATTTCATACAGAATATGGAGCTTGAAGAAGAATGTGCCTGTTTTAATGTGAAAAGCTTGACAGATGCATAGCAAGGAAAAACACACTAATGAGACAATTTTTCAACACTGCTGACCCTCATAAGTTCATAATCATGCATTCAAAGAAAATAGCAGTAAAAGCAAGTCTCAGCTAATTAGTAGGCAATAGATCTGTGCAGACCTTACTACAATCAAAGCTAACAAGATGAGCTCAAGTACTGCAGGGATAGAGTGTAGGGTGGTCATGGAACAAGCGAGAGCTACACATCTGCATAAAAACTGCACATTGCTGAATGTAATAGAGGCCTTAGAGCAGGTAGACAGTTCAAACCTTCTCCCCGAAAATCAGGCTGCAGGAAAGAAAAAGTTTATAATTTTTCTTTATTTCTGAGCCATTTACCTTTGCTGAGCTTTAAACCTTTAGACAACAAACTGCAGTGCCAACCCTAAACTTAATCAATACTTTCTAAAATGATAATTAAATAAAATGACTCTGGATGAAAATGGATGGTCATGTGGGACAGAAATCACGGAGTATTTATTACCAACTCTGCAGTTCAATGAAGCATTTTTAGCCTGTTTAAGCTCATTGTTTAAAATTTTATAGCCAGCACACAGTGTCAGCTCTACGGCAGGGTCAATACTATCAGTCAGCTTGTTTTTGTGCCCCCTAGTGTCCACAAATCAATAAATGTGGCTTTAAAACCAAAAGGACCCAAAGGAGCTATTATATGAAGCATTCAGAAAAATCCAATTACATTGTTCTAGCACAATGTTGTATTGAACGAGCCAGAATGACTCACAATTGCATAAAATGTAGTATATGTAAACACATTCAGGCTCATGTGAATAAGTGTCCCTTCAGTCATCATGGCATTATGTACCCTATAGCTGAGATCCATTCCACCTTAACATTGGCGCCCTTGGCAGCCATCCACTCATGAAGCCCTTTATCTCCACAGAGATGGGAGCAAACACTCCAGCGTAGCATGACCTCGCTTCAACGTTTGTTTTTTCCCCCCCTGCAGCCGCCTTTCGACGTGGCTTGATAGAACGTTTCATGGGTTGTATCTCCTGCCCAATCAGGACGATGTTACCCTCCATCCACTGAAAATGAAAAATGGCGGTTTCACGCTGTTTTATTCCAGTCATTTTGCCAGGATGCCCATATCACTTTCATATTACCTTGAAGATGAAATATTGTTGCTGTCGTCAGTTGAACCTGAACGATCACATGGAAGACACAGAAATTATATAAATTATGTTTCATTCAGGGGTAGAATAATGTTTCCACCATTTTTCTTTGGGTTTCCCAGGATGTCAAGTAATATCCCGCTCAGAGCGTCGCTAAAGAAATAAACACAAAGAGGATGGTGTGCATCATCTCTTCTGTTTTGTGACCTACACTCCAGAGCACTGCAGCAGTGGCCTGTCATTCTTCCCACAGAGGAGAGCAGAGCGAAGAGAGGCCACGCTGCCAACACACCTTGTTTGAAACGCTCACTAAATGTGACTACTGCCAAAAGCCTTTTGTTTCAAAGCATCTTTTTTACAGCTGCGCTCCCAACCGAACCACATGATTAAGTCAAGGCGCATGAGAAATCATCTTAGGTGTTGACAACGAGAGGAAGAGACTTAGGGGATCATAGAAGCACCCCCAACATGTCAAAATACTGTACCAGGCTGCAACTGAGTGTTTTTCTTTCATTATTGATTAATCTGATAACCTGTGTTACAGCTGATTGATTTATCTGTCAGCCTGTCATAGGTACAGTATGTAGGATCTAACAGCATTCTGCAGAACAGGGTTACAATGCAGTATTTATGAGTATGTTTAACTTCCCTTTCACATGAAATGGTTTTGTTTTGGGGATGAGCTTTTTATATCTACAAAAGGAGTGGGTCCCCATCCAAAGGACCACCTACAAACTAGTAGGTCAAATTAGTGGTAAAAACTTGACTGCTTAAGAATCATACTTGTGACATCTTGTCCTCAAAAGCCACTGTTACGGACACTGGGGGTGAGTGAGGGAGTGTATAAACTGTAGACTGTGTATAAAACATGGGCCTAGTCTCAGCGCCCTCACCCAGTTATTTCTTAAGCAGAGTTATGACACTGATAGACAGTGGAAGCCATATTAGAAATGCTGACTCAAGCTAGCTTGACCCAACAAGGGGCAAAGATGTTGAGCTGAGGCAGACGTTTAGTCTCCTCGCTAACAGCTACAGTGTTCCTGCCTGTCAGACAAATCACTCATGCTGCTTATTATGAAAAATCTATAACCTTAATCTAAGGTGACCATATTCTGACTTCCCAAAAAAGACGACACGACTATGTGGGGGCGGAGTCAAGGAGTTGCATGAAGTCAATTTTGAGAGTTTTTGGGGTCAGATCGACTCAGTAACACAGTAAGTCCATGTGACTCAAAATCTAAAGTACAAAACCGCGGACATCTGAAGGATTTTATAACCTTCCTCAGACAAAGCTGGACAGACCTGGACAGCCCCCAAAAAAGAGGACATGTCCGGGTAAAAGAGGACTTATAATCACCCTACTTAATATCTACAGAACTATTGAGCTACAGAAATCAATGTTGTTTTTACAGCAGGCTGTGAGCATGTTCATTTTGACGTCATGATGGCCTTATTGAAACAGCCTTATTGAATTGTATATGCGGCTCCCAGGTCTTCTGAAACCAGCCTCAAGTGGACAGTCGATGAACTGCAGTTTTCAGCACTGCAACATTAGCGTCATTTATCAGGACTGGAAGTGTCTGCCTGGTTTCACTCTAATCATAGAATCTGCCGGCTTTGATTGCTTAAGATTCGCATTTCCACACATATGACTTTTAAATACAAAAAGAAAAAGAAAAAAAAAATCAATAAAAAAGCTTTGCCCAGAGTTTCCAAGAGCCCAGCATTACATCTAAAACTGATCCTTTTGTTCAAAGATTCTTCAATGTCAAATGCCGAGAATGTCAAGCATGAAATTTTAACATTTAAGACCCTTGAAAACAGTGTCCAAGACCAACTCTGCGTAAATAGTAAAATGCATGATGGATTTTTAAAATAGTTGGTGATCATTTATCTTATCCTGCAGCTGCATGTTTCATCTTTAATACCAAGCATTATCATGCACACAGCCTCAAGAGTCTGAACGGCCTCAACCTAGATACAGGCATGAAAACAGTTTAAAATTGGCTGCAGCAGCAAGCCTGTGACAATACTAGAATAATATCGTCTGGACAGCACACACTCCCAAAGAATACAGACAATGTTAAAGAAAATACACTTTATTTTAGCTGTTCTGAGGCTCATGCGGTCAACGAAAAGGCCATCATTCCTGTTCCCGTTAAAAGAATAGACTTGGCTGATAAGTCAGCAGTACCCAACAGCCACCAAGATTTATTTCCCTCACACCAGCACTATGCGCACTCAGGCCAAGATGGGGGAGGGGGGAATTGCCTTTTTGTTTTTTTCAGGTGGAGCAGAGCTGGAGAGTGAGGCGCTCACGGTCTGCATGTCAGAATGAGACAGCAGCAGTGGTGGCCTCTGGTTATGATGTGCCCGAGTTCAAGATTTGAACACCGCCACCCCCGATACCCCTGGAGACACACGCTAACAAGCACGCAAACACGCTCACTCAGTGGAACAAAGAGGTTGAATTTCTTAAGTGTTGTATTTAAAGACTTCTTTCTTCTTCTAAACGATACAACACAAAAAATAGGAGGTCACATTCACACTCTTGACAAAGAAGTGATTATACTGCAGATGTGTACATACATGTAGATGTGTAATAAGAAATGAACAGCAGTAGCAGCCTGACAACAATCTGTGCATGAATGTGCAGTTTTTAATAAAGCACACTTTGTATTGTGCTCTCACTGTACTGCAACAGTGCTGTTTAATTGAATTGATTATTTCCTTCATCTTCGTAATTATACTGCAGCATGAAAGTTCATTCATCCTGCTGGGCTTCAAATAACAATTTCCTCAAAGCAAGGCAGTTTATTAGTATGAAAAATTAAACATTTTATATGTTTTTTCAATCTGCTGCATTTGATCTGCTAAGGCGCTTTATTTCTTTTATGCCTGTTAATAACAGCTTTGTCATTATGGCTTTTGTTTGTTTGTTTTAAGTGACTAATTGTATCACAGTATTTTTCACAAATGATGCCCCCTGTGGGGTCCAGACTGAAGCGTTTAAACACCCTTTTAGGTGTGATTGGCACAGCCTGAAGAACTAGCAGTGATATTTCGGGGTCAAAGGGAGGTCAAATTTTGACAGTCTTTCTTTTGGAGTTTAACAATCTTCAAAAACTAAATGTTTGTATATCTTTGTATGTTTAGATTTTAGGGGCTTATCTCTTGTCAATGATCATAGTAATGTCTACCGATTGTTTCTGTCAACCAAAGTCCGTGAAGGTTATAAACTGTGTGCACAAGATAGCAACTTGTATGCAAAAGAAAATTACTTGGGCATCCAACAACATAATCTTGCATAACCAAGTTTTAATCTTCGGGAGAAAGTTATCTCAAATGCATGTGCTACACATGTTTAAATTGCGCACACAAGTTATTATCATGCAGGAAGCAGACACTATCCTGTGTGAACTAGTAATTATATTGTATGAACAATAAAATTATCACCTCATCTTCTGGAAACAAGTTCATATTTTTTAAGAAAAATGAGTTTATGGGTACGAGATATTCTCTTGTGGAAACACATTAATTATGTTGTGCACACAAGTTTTTATCTTACAAGTTATTACCTTGTGTGCAAAAGCTAATTTGTGTGAAAAGGTTGATTAGCCATGTGCACAGTGTAATTTCATGCAGAAATGATCTGAATTCTTTAGTGCATAAAATAAACTATTGTCCTTTTTGGACCTTCAGGGGCACCATAGTATGTCGCACATCAGAGATGTATAGCTCAACATTAAAAAGATATCCCTCTTTTACGTGATTAATTTTTGGTACCCTAAAATATAAGTTTCAGTTTTATATTGTATGAAGAAAATTCTACATAGTCTCCTGTGAGAGGCTGGGATCTGGTAATGTTCTGAATTGTAACCCGAGAAACCCAGTCCAATGACTTACTAAGAGTTTAAACCCTCTTTTGATTTTGTTAAAAACAGTTTATCTAAAAAAAACTTGTCTTCGCTCTGGCATTTTCTATCCTTTCCGGGTCTTTAATCCCATTTAAAACCAACAAATGACTCAATCCTACCAGCATGTCTGCGTAGCCTTAGCAGCATATTCAATAGCAGAATAATAAATAGGCCAGAGTGCTGCTCTTGGTTACATGTAACTGCACTAATGAAAATATGTTTATTTTGACTCAGTTTTAGGTACTGATGGGTTCAGGCCAAAAATAGCCCCAAACGAATGCACTATTTATTCCTGTTTGAGTAAGTCACAGTTCACAGCTGTCTTCCTGATAATATTGAGCTATTTTAACGAAAAGGGATGATTCATTGGTGATCTGTTTTTAAAATTATGTATTCCATACCAGCAAACTGTTCAAGTGCCACAGAAACCGCACTGAAATCCACTAAATTATCAAAGTTTTTTGTGTAAAACACTGATAACCAACCGGCTTTATCCTTTAAAATATGTCCTAACATTACTCTGTAAATTGAGAGGTATGATTTATCATCTATTATTCACACTGTGGATGTTTGTACACTCATTAACACCATGTATTTAAGTCTTAATGTCACACACTGTTACAAAAAAACCTGCTATCCATCTGTGTCTCTGAGGTATGTTGTCTGTTAGTCTTGTAAGACCCAGATGGCCTGTGAGGTTACAACAGCAGCACAAACGAGGTAAAAAAAAACAAGACCTGCAACAAACGTATGCAAATGTAATGAATCAGTAATGTGCTTTACTGAATTAGCAACATCACATTCAGTTCATCAGACAGCCCTTTAAGTGGCCACAGGCTTTCTTTGTCGATTGCTATGACAAGCTTGCCAAATTTCATATCAGCCACTCTATCAATTTCACACTTAGGAGATGAACAGCAAATGGCTGCGATCGGTCTCTTTTAACAAATATGTGACTTTTGTGAAGAGGCTTTTTCAAACCTTTGAGTAATCCAAAAAAAAAAAAAAACCCTGACATAAATATTCATTTTTTAAATGTTCTTCCCAGTGACTTGGGAGTAAACAGCTTTCAGTCACATTTGAAGCAGCACAGCTTTCAAAACATGAAACATTTTCAGAAAATCTGGAAGACGAGTTGCACCAGAGGGGTCTAAAAGTTAAAACTGTCTTTTTGCACTGAGATACCCGCTGCTTACAACAAAGTCCACATTTTGTAGTTTCTGTGCAACCGTGTAGCACAAACATCTGTTTCTGCTACTTTGAGTTTGCAATCATTTCATCTTCATGTAAGTAGTTGAGCTCATCTTACAGGACTATAAACTGTACTTACATGTGCAGTGTCTCAGCAATTAAAATCATTTCAATAAGAGAATCAAACTTCACTGTATACATGGATGGTAAAGTTGTGATTTAGATCACTTTTTCTTTACTCCCTGTATTATTATTTTTAATCCTTGCAATGGCAAAAACAGAAACTTGTACATAGCATGAAGCTAACGTGCTGTGAGGATAGTTGACCCCAATCTCACCACAAGAGTTAAGATGTGTTAGTGTTAATATAAACCGCCCCTCTGACATCTGTAACATCAGTAGTGTGCATGTGAGTGTGTGAACATGCTGTAGCAAGAGGTGTTGACATGGAGCACTAACACAAACGTCTAACTATAAAACTATAGTGTGATGCTGGTCTGGTGTGGGATCAGTGAGAGTGAGTAAAGCAACAGGAAGCCAGCTTATAGAGCAGGTGTGGCACACTGGGCTGACTGAGTCCTTGCAATCAGTCAAACCAGCACTGATCTACCTTAGGAAAAACTGAAGAGTCAAACCAGCCCATCACCAGGTTTATTTATGTACTTCCAATTTCTTTACATGTGTAAAAAAGAGCTGATAAGGAAAAAAGGTGTCGGTCACCACCCTGGTCTGTGTTGCCATATACGCTAGCATGCTCAACACAGATAAGCAGCTGCTTGTTCTGCAATGAAAGGGAGCAAATATCTCCTGCTATGTCATGTGCAGTGACGATAGCAGCTACAGTGGCAGTGCATCTTCTGGGTAAGATACCACTCTGAATTTTGTAGTGATTGCAATGGTCTATGACACAGACTACTTTTGTTTAAAGTGTATTTAAAGTGTGTCTTATGCAGCAACTGTGGTACTATCAGCATGGTTATTACTATTATGCCTCTAAGTGTGAATATTTGGTTACATATTTATTTATTTCAATTAGACTGGAAGACTACAAAACAGTTGAACTTCATTTTCGTGACTCCTGGGGGAAACGCCAAATGTGCCAACAAGCTAAGACTAACACTAAAATCAAACGATGACTGCAAAAACGTTGTTCAATAATGCATTATTTCTCATTTCGTTTCAACCTCGCTGATGTATTATCTCCTTCAGTTTGACTTGTTTGGAGCAGTGTTAGTACACTGCTCATAATTATACAATGAGATTATCAAACACCGTTTCTCTGTGTTTTCAGAGGTGATAAAAAGTGTCTTGATTGATAAATTCGCAGTAATTCGGGACTTTGTTCTGCAGTCTGCCAAGTTCCTTCTACGGTGGGTGTGTGTGTGTGTGAGGATGTCCAAACTGAAACATTTTGCTAGCTGAAGTAGAAAGTCTTTGCTTGTGCTGCACAACATCGACACGACTCTAATCTTCTGACATTGTAAGTTAAGTGCTCTGAAACACTCTGCTTTATACTTGATTGAGACATATGTTACCACAGCACTTCTTCAACAAACTCATTATAACAAACGAATTTGGCAAATCACAGTGGTGTCAGATGTAATGCTGGTGGCTGCTGGTGCAGAAGCAGGAGAAAAAAAAAACATAATGGTGCGAGTGTTTTTATGTTGCTGGCAGGATTTTAGATGTAAGCAGCTACCACTTGCAGCGGCTATGAATACATGTGGAGAGTGCCTGGATTGAATTAATCCATGCAGTGTTGCATCAACAAAGAGAGAAAGGATGTTTAATGCTATTTTTTTTTTTTTTTTTGAAAACATGTGCCAACTCTTCGTGCAATGAGATAAAATGTATTCAGATTTTTTTATGGAAAATGCATGCGGCCAAAGCTAACAGCTCTAAATGGTACACCTACAGTATACACTCATTAAAGAATTACCTCCTCAAGGATACAAGTGGAAATGTACACAGTGGTGTTTTACCAACAGCTGATAATCTCTATTAGTGTGTTTTTCAAGTCCGAAAATGACATCTTTTAGGCCACAGCACAGAGTTGCTGCAATTCTATCCTGGCAAAATAAGCCCCTGCCAGTGAAGGGCCTCTTTTCGATCCGATCCCCTGGCAGAAACTCATCTCCCAGCTCTCTCGGTGTCTCTCCATCACGGCTGGTGGATGCAAACCCGAGCCACATGTAGAATCATTCCCTCTGATTAAGTCAGCCACTCGTCCTCAACTGAGAACATTTCTGCCTCAGTTCACAATTTTCACAGTTTAGAAAACACCTGTCACAATACACTTGTCTCCTCTCTGCTCTTGGGTTGATGTAGAGATTTGATTAACAGATGAGTTGGGAGCGTTAAAAAGAGTCAAAGACAGCTCTTACACACGGGGAACCAGCTGGCAAAGTTAAGACTGCTCCGTGCTTAGAGAAGGCATTGGCTGCACCCAAGGAGGGTGTCTAGATTACTTAGCACAGCATGACACAACGTTGGCACGTTTGATCATTTTCCAACGCAGATGATGTCTTTGGTTTATAGTGTGTATTGATTTATTCGTAGGTTAGCATCTTTGTGGGCAGAATATAATGACGGTTGACAGCAACACATAAACACCGTGTGGATGTGGGAGGTACAGGCTGGACTGAATGTGTATGAATGTCTAGGTCTATTTTTATCTTGGGCTCACACAGGCAAATTCCTAGACACTTTGGCTGCAAGAGCTAATCTAATCTCATCTAAGATAACTGTGTAACGAGTTTCTTGTTAGCCACTTGACTTGAGGGATAATGAATTCTGCAAAAGTAAGGCAAAGACAATGCCAGACCTCTTCTCACTTTAGAACCGCACCATTTGTCAGGGATTTTGATGCGATGATGAATTGGGTTTTAACGAAAAGTAAACAACGCTGCTGGAGTGCTGTGCATAAAACAAGCATTAATCATTAAATCAATGAAAAGCAACAGGAAATGAATTATAGATAAGATATTTCAAAAGGCAATAAATAGTTCATTAAAAAGTTGAGATAGCGATATCACTGTGTTATCTATAGATAGATTTTATCAGTGATAAACTGTTGTGTTTTGCATCAAGATGAGCCTGAGCACGATCAGGCCGGGATGGCTGATCTTTCCCTGTTTGCCAGTGGAAGCATTTCACAGGTTGTGTAGCTCTTTGCACAGTTTTCAGCACAGACTGATACTTTGTACTAATTTCTCACTGGCACAGAGTTTTTACAGCATTGCAGAGAGTCATTGATTGAGAGTGGAGCTTGGTGTCAGGGACTCTGCCCAGAAAAGAATGGCTCCCAATGACACCAACAGATTGCACTATTTCTATACGGCTTTGTGTGTCAAATAACTCAACGATCAGGATTCCAGTGAGTAAGTGGCTTAAGAGAAACTCGCAGGTCTTGAGCAAACGGGTGGCAGATGCTCAGTTCTCATTTTTCATTTTCAGTCTCTAGAGTGGATGCATCAGCTTCTGTGAGGTCTGAAAATCTGGGACAATCCAGGGTTAGGGAGTTAACAAAAGCTTGTTATATTTCACAGATGGGCATTACTGATAATTAACCGAAGCTGTTAATTTATCTTGCTCTTGTTCTTATGTATACTGCACTAAAAAGGGTTGTTTTCACAATCAATTTCTCTTGATCATTTTTGATGAATGGCTGTGTCTCTACCGATTCTAGAAATGCTGACAAAACTGCCATTTGTGATTTCTCAGAGCTCAAATTTTGATCTTTAAATGGTTTGTTCAGAACAAGTGACAAAAATATCTTCAAAATGACGACAGATGGACAAAGCAGCAACTGTGCAGCTGAGAAGCTCAAACCGTTCATTACATTTCCCCCATAAAAATAACTGGGCCAACAGAAACTGTAGTCCCTGATGATCTCCAGTGATACTAAACAGTTTTCTCTTTTCTTTTTCTGTTACAGAGAACACAAACAGCAGATGAACTATGAATGCTGAACACGATGATCTCCTCCCTCCAGCGCCAGACAATGAGAGGTCGTAGGCTGAAGGGGGCGCTCTCCAACCCCCTCTTTGTGCTGCTCTTGGCCCTCCAGATCCTGGTGGTGGCTGGGCTGGTTCGTGCTCAGACCTGTCCTTCTGTCTGTTCATGCAGTAACCAGTTTAGTAAAGTCATATGCACCCGCCGCAGTCTACGAGACGTCCCAGATGGCATTTCCACCAACACTCGCTACCTGAACCTCCAGGACAACCTCATTCAGGTTATAAAGGTGGACAGTTTCAAACATCTGCGCCATCTGGAGATCCTGCAGCTGAGCAAGAACCACATCCGCAGTATTGAAATTGGCGCCTTCAATGGGTTGGCCAGTCTCAACACCTTGGAGCTCTTTGATAACCGGCTCACGACAATCCCCAATGGAGCGTTTGAATACCTGTCCAAGCTGAAGGAGTTGTGGCTACGTAACAACCCCATCGAAAGTATACCATCCTATGCCTTCAACAGAGTCCCCTCCCTTCGAAGGCTGGATCTAGGTGAGCTCAAACGTCTCTCCTACATTTCTGATGGGGCCTTCAAGGACTTGAGCAACCTGCGCTACCTGAATCTGGGCATGTGCAACCTCAAAGAGATTCCAAACATTTTACCTTTGGTTAGGCTTGAAGAGCTAGAGATGTCAGGAAACCAGATCACTGTTATCAAGCCCAGCTCATTTACAGGACTGTCTAACCTCCAGAAGCTGTGGATGATGCATGCCCAGATCCAAACCATTGAGAGGAATTCTTTTGATGACCTTCAGTCACTGGTGGAGCTCAATCTGGCTCACAACAACCTGACCTTTCTACCACATGACCTCTTCACCCCGTTGCACCACTTAGAGCGGGTCCACCTCCATCACAACCCTTGGAACTGCAACTGTGATATCTTGTGGCTCAGTTGGTGGCTGAAAGAAGCGGTACCTGCCAATACCAGCTGCTGCGCCCGCTGCCATACACCTACAGCCTTCAAAGGCCGCTACATCGGAGAATTGGATCACAGCTACTTTCAATGCGACGTTCCTGTCATCGTTGAGCCACCAAGTGACTTGAACGTGACCGAAGGCATGGGGGCAGAGCTTAAATGCCGTACAAGCTCGCTAACATCTATCAGCTGGCTCACACCAAATGGTTCATTGGTGACACACGGGGCTTATAAGGTGCGTTTGTCTGTACTCAATGATGGAACACTGAACTTTACAAGTGTCACAATGCAGGACACTGGGACTTACACCTGCATGGTAAGCAACACAGCAGGTAACATTTCTGCTTCTGCTGTGCTCAATGTCACTTCTGTGGAAAACAGTGGGGTGACCTATTTTACCACTGTCACTGTGGAGACCATCGAGACCCCGGATGATAGCCAAACTCCACTTCCCCCATTTGGCTGGGTGTCATCATCGACGACAAAAGGTACTCCTATTTCCACAAGGACCACAGAGCGGACTTACACCATTCCAGTTCTTGATCCAAGTGGCGATGGAGCCTTCAATGGCCTGGATGAGGTGATGAAAACCACCAAGATTATCATTGGCTGCTTTGTGGCCATTACGCTTATGGCTGCTGTGTTACTGGTAATTTTCTACAAGATGAGGAAACAGCATAACCAGCAGGATCCTGATGGGCCTGCCTCCTCCATGGAGGTTATCACTGTTGAAGAAGAGCTTGCAGGTGTCGCTGCCATGGAGAGACACCTATCTCTGCCCCCTCTAGAGCACTACAACCACTACAACACCTACAAGAGCACTTATCACCACCCCCCTATGCTCAGTACCATACACAGCTCAGCTACGCAGGAACCTTTACTGATTCAAGCCTGCTCAAAAGACAATGTACAAGAGACCCAAATCTGATCTTGAATTTGACTGAATAAACAGTTTCAGCAGTTTCATACTTGGAGTACAATGGACCAAAACATGAAGATAAAATAAATCAAAGTGACATTGACTTGACAGAGTTGATGTCGATAATACAGCATTTGGCAAAGGGACGACATATGATACTTTAACAAGTGTCTTTACAAAACAAAGATTATTTATTAAAAGTATGTCTAGTGGCTAAATGAAGAAAAACAATTTGTGATAGCTTTTTAGCTCATTTTATTTCTCTCTATCTGTGTAATACTGCACAAGGGAAAGAATGGTTTACCAAGAGTGAATATGGGATGCATTAAATGCAGCTCATGTGAAACCACATAAGAAATTGGCCTAATGCTATGATATAAAATCGATTCCACGCTGTTAATGTAATCAGTTCAGTTTACCAGATGGAAGTATGGATTTGGAGGGCATTGCCATACTATTTATGTGTTTTTATTTTGAAGTTGTTGAACATACCCTGTTCTTTTTGGGCAGAGGTTTTTCAGAGACGGGAAATAAATTGGGCTTGTTTTCCTCGCCATCATATTCTGACTGTCATTCAACCCAAAATGAGATCTTTTAATGACACAGCTCTGGAAGATATCGCAGTGAAGCCAGCATGCCTGAGGAGCAAAGCAGCCAAATGAGTAAATGTGCATTTCCCTCACGGCTCCTAAACAGCCATACATCGCTCACTTTAATTAAGACTAAGTTCTTGGTCTCACTCCTTCCTACCTACCCTTTTACGCTTCTACCTTTACTACCTTCCTCTCTGTCTACCTGTGAATCCTCCATCATCCCTGTCTACCATCACTCTGCTTTCTCCCTACTTCTCTTTCCTGCATGTCTCCTTGTGTCTTTGATTGCCCCTCCGTCACTTAGCTCGGGCACGTTCCTCACCCCTCGCCATGTCCCATTTGTCTAGCTTTATCCGCTGGCATGTGCCGCACGACGACAGAATATTGCTTGAGAAAATGAAGGGGAGCATAAGGCTGCGGTCTGCAGCTTCCCTGTTAACCCAGTAATGATCTACGTCCACTCAGTGTCGCGTTACCTTGCCATCACCCCAGGGTCACACGAGCTTGGGTGCTGATAGTCCATCTGTTATACAGATAAAGAGGCAAATGAGGCTGCTTTGTAATGTAGTGTGACCCTGTCAGGCTAAAGCAGAAGGGGCTAACATAGCCAGTCAAGCAGTTAGGATCCTGCAACAAAATAAGGGGAGATGGGTTATAGCTCATTAATCTGTATCAGCAGTTCATTTGCAGACTAACAGAGGAAAGCTGATAACAAAACAGTAGGAGACTTTTCCACTCTCGGTGTGCCTAACATCTAACAGGGGATAGAGGCCTTTGATATTGAAGCGACCCCTGCTCGGTCTCATTTTTGTCAGAGGAAAACACACACACTTTGATGTTGCATCATTTATAGACCATCAAAAAATTGTCTCTCCTGTAGTCTGTTTACGCTCTGCTTTTTCATTTAGTCCTTTCAAAGAGCGAGGCTTAAGGAAGGGGGAGGCAGGGATGAAAAGTGAAGAACAGTGGGTGGGAAGGAGGGGGGAGCCAGACCAACGACGGTCATGAGGGGTCTTCAAACAGAGATATTGCAGATATGAAGGCAGAGGAGGGAAAAAAAAAGATAAGGAATAAGGAGGCAAAACTAGCCATCAGACTGTCGCCATGGAAACAGTGACCTTGTGCAGAAAGTAAGAAGAGGTAGATATGCCTTTCGCTTTGGTCTCTGTGCAACAGGCATATTTAATTTCCCACAGGCGATTTCACAAATGCGGATGATTATCAATAAACTCTTATATGCAACACATCATAACAAGTGGATTTGATGAGATTAGACCAACACATGACGTCACCTTTGCAGAGCAATGCACCGTGTCAGTCACTTAAAAGAAATAAATCATCGCTCGAAGGGAAAAATTTAGCAATTTTACTGTCCAGCAGTTCTATTCGCCTTATTGATTTCCTTCTCTGTGAACACAGCCGCCGCTGCTTTTAGTACGAGCATAGTAAAGCACCATCACTCACAAAATTGTTCTCCCGTTTTAAGTCTTTAAGATGCATTCTTTCAGTTTGGGTGATGAAAATTGGATGGAAAGAAAGGATATTCAAGCAAAACACACAAACACTGCATATCATGTATGATGAGCTATTAAAAAACAGACGGTGAAAGCTTTTCGCTGGATGACAGGAATGAGGAGAATATCAATGATAACTGTAATGAGTGAACCATTCTTTCCCTTTCCACTGTTTTCTTTTTCAATGCTCAATTCCTTTTCAATGCTTTTGGTGGCTTAATGATTCAATGTTGATGCTGGCTACAGTGAAAAAAATAAGGTTGAGAATTTTTATATATATATATATATATTTGAGGACGAGGCTTGTGAGTTTATCCAGAATGAATGGAATATCTCTGTATTGGTATTTACTTGCGCAGGATGGCTTTATTTGGGGAGATATTTGAACGCCAGAATGAAATTAAGAATGAGCTGCAGGAGGTTGGACTTGAAATACCAGCAGAGTGAGCTTGATTTTTGTGCAAAAACCCGAAGCCAAGGTGATCAAATTCTTGTGTGTTATTCTGCCAACTGTCTATGTATGGGGGAGGGTTACTGTATGTGGGAATATTCTCTCTCATTTTTGGAGAGAATAATCATCAAATGGTTAAATTTCTACAAAAAAAATATTTTCAAAAACACAATGCAAAAAAAAAATCTTCAGATCATAATTTTACATGTGCTTCAATTGTTAAAAAAAAACGAAAAAGCAACACAAAAAAGAAGAAGAAAAAACAAGAGACTGTGCTTGTAAGGAGTCCAACTAATTTCTCTGAGGATGATGTTCAAATATTGATACCTGAGATTGTAGTTCATACTGTACATGAATACAAATAAAATTGCAATTCTTTTTTTTTCCATTAGACTTCATAGGATGTTTTATTCACAAAAACGTCGTCATCATTTCGCACCTTTTGTCCCGTTTGCACATGCATGGAAATATTCAAACAAAGCGGCTTACACAGCGGCTCCCAGAATGCTGAAATGAGGAGAACAGGCTGTAAAGAAATGCACTGTAGCTTATTTTATGAGGTCAGAGGAGGGAAGTGGATCTCTATAAGAGGAAAGGGAAGTGATATTTCTGTATTATACATTGGAAGCTGGATTCTTTTATCTCATTTGAATCACTCCATCTGTCTGGCACAATCATTCGATTCATCCAGGGCAATTCTGAGACTTTCACGGCACAAAAGCTCTCTCCACTGACTCAATATAATGAACTAGGAGCCTTGCAGAACTTTGAAGAACATTGTTAAGATCAGAAAAACACGAATCTAAGCACCCACTCTACGGGCTGTTCAAAATGTGCACAACGTTAAATTCAGTTCCTGCTGTAAACAGTTTGTTATTATTTTATGCTTACAGTTTTTATTATTATATTTTTAACAGTGCTTGAAGCCATTTGCAACTATTTTGGTCCCATGTCCTCCCAAAATTTTATCTATAGGACCTTAAAAGTCATTGGGGAGCATTTGTGCAAGGTGAAATAACTGGTGTGGCACTTTTTTCCCCCCATTTTTCTACACAGTGTTTCCTAATCCAGTGGCCAATGGTCGATGAGTTTTTCCTGTTAAGAAGTAGGGAGGTGAATTAAAAAACAGTTGCAGATTAGAATCAAGTCCAAGCCATTAGCATCATTTGCCTTTTCAACAGCCACCCTTATTAATGCCGTCCATTTGGTTCTGCATGCCTTGCAAAACAATAAAATGAAGTGCAGCAAATGATAACCAAAGAAGTAACCATGGCAGACAGAAGAGGGGGGCCACACTGCTTTCATAAACCACTTTTTTACTGTAAAATCCACTCACTTTGTGAGACAGGCAGCTTTCTGGCAGTAAACTCTGTTTTTGCAACAACTTCAGACTTTTCTTTTCCACAGAGAAGATCAGTGGGTTTCAGGGATCCAATCCCTCAAAATGGAGTCGATCTGTGATCATTTAAATCTTAATTTCAGTGATTTAGTCTGAGTTACCTCACAATACTCGCAGAGGACTGCCATCTTTGCTGTGGTCTATGAGACAATTGAAGTCTGTATGTAAGATCAGCTGACTTTTAAGGCCCAATTAAGGGGCAGAGAAGTGAAGGTAATAGAAACCATAGTAAAATTTGTGTAGTAGACACAGAAAAGCTGAAAAGGCCTATTTTTTTCACATGGAAAATGTCTATTGACAAAAAATTGGATCAATAAACAGAATGTATGATGGCATTGGTATCAATAATAACATACCTATATGGCTAGAGGCGCAATCTATGATGTCAATCAAGAGCAACATGAGCCTCTTGGCAATTATTACTAATCAAACATTGATCTGTTTATTTCAACACTTGAATAACCAATCGAAATCCAGATTGACACTCCTAACTTTCAATGTAGGTTTTAGATAGGTCAGAATTAGCCCTCATCTCTTCCTTTCACAGCCCTTCACTGTCATGTGACAGAGATAACCAGCACCAAACCAGGAGAGCTGAAGAGGGACGATAAGGAGAACACTAAAGGACTTCTTTGTAGGCCATCCTACCTTACAGAAAAAGTAACTCTAAAGTTGGTGATGGTGATAGTATTCTGGTAAAAATGGCAGCACCAGCAGTGAGTTCCTCTCTAAGTTAGGAGAAAGTGGCTGAAAGACTTTGAATGGCTCACTGTAAAGCCTGCAGGATGGAGATTTCAAGCAACACTGCATTAAAAAAATGTTCATATGGTAGTTGTGGTGCTCCTTCATTTTCAGTAGTTGCTGAAAGATGTTTGCCGGTCCCTCTTACTATTCAAAGTTGGGAGCACTGGTACTATGCCCTGCTATTCATTGGGACATCCCGTTACTTGAAGTGGCTAACAGTCATAATTGCCTTTGTGATTGCTCCATTTCACTCTTTAAGTACTTGACAGCTGCCAGGCAAAATGTTTTCAGGTAATTGGTGCAGGCTTCATTCAAGCATTCATGGGTAAGTATGGTCAATCTGAAGTCCTAAAATGTCTGTTCCAACAATGAGATCTCTGATTCACTTGCTGACAGATCAGTTTATTAAGAAGGTGATGTGCTTAACTCCAGTGAAATGAGGTTTGATGCAATTGCATCAACCAAACAGTAATCTCTATTTTCCAGGCGGTTATAGTATTTTTAATGCTTTATGTGGGAGATGGAGGTATTCTCACAAGCAGTGAATCAGATGATTTGTGGGAGAAGGTGTACGTTTAGCACTGAATGCGCACATCATTTCAGAGTCCTTTATTTTCAGTACATTTGTCTTGCGTCAGTGCTGGTACGTCATCCTCAGATCCAGCTCTGTATCCAGAAAAAGCCCAGTCCCAGTTTTTGTGAGTATAATCTGACAATGTGGGAAGAAAAGAGAAAAAATAAAGAGCACAGATTGCTTTTCTCTATCTAGGCTGGTGTGTGTGGTGCATTCAATGGTCGTCCGGAATTTAAGAATCAGCTGCAGTGACAAGTGGCATGGACATTTGCCTCAGGTTGCTTTGTGTTTCATAGGTTTTTAGTTAGAACTTAGAACACTGCTGTGTAACGGTTAAGCCTTGAATGTCTGAAGGTTCCTGTGGTGCACAAGTGCACGTGTCCACAGCACAGAGTGGAAGCTGCATTATACTCTCCAGCACATAAAAAGAAACAAGGCTTTTCAAACAGACTACAGTAGAGCAACACAAGAGGCTGCACAAGTGTGCCTATGCTGCTGCAGGAAACAGGTAAACAAAAAGATCGGAATCTTTCATCCATACTTCAACATTTACACAAAGCTTAACATCCAATCTATAAGCTATTGTTGAGGGTCTCTCAAGTCTTTCTTGGTTGAAATTTCTGTTGTGATCCATGATAAATGTGATACAAACTGGTCCTAACAGGATGGTAAAAACAAACCACTCTACTGATGATAAACTTAAAAAAGGGGGAATGACATGAAAAGCTACTTATAGTAGGCCAATCTAGTCCCAAGTCTCCTCATGTACAGAAGGCTTTAGAAGGGGGCGACCAAGGCTCCAACCCTGGGCCCTCTGCCAAATGTCGTTCCCCACTCTCTTTTCCACTTCCCAACTCTATCCAATGCCTTACAAACTGAATAAATACCCTGATCGCTGGAAATATTCTTAGAAACAAAGAAAGCTGCATAGAAATGCTGAAATTCAATCTAACTCAACATGCGAAGAAGTGACACAAAACACTATTATCAGCTGTCTTTTGGTCTGAATGAACAATTGAGATGGCTCTGCAGAAGTAAAATAAATAAAAAAAAATGTTCCAACAAAGACCAAATGTAACCAATCAGATGAATAATCACATGACTCTTAAGCTTACACTTGATGGTTGTATTAAAATGATCACATTAATTTGTATTCTTTTGTAGAAAGAATGACAAATGGCCTTTACAAGCCGACGCGACAGAACAATGAAAAATTGCCCGACAGAAACAAATTTGTCAGCACCTCTCTCAATTTGTCTCAGGTGAGCAGGCCTGATGGCCAAGGCGACTTGTTTGTTTTCAGTCTGTAAACTTTACTTATTTTTTTGTCATTGACAGCCCCGCTCAAAGCATGACCTACAGTGCCTACTTCTGATAAAATCTACCCCCACTTTTTAAGTCTTATTTTGGGACTGGTGCGTTTATAAAGAGATAGGGCAGTGGATCGATTGGAGAACTGGGAAAAGAGAGTGTTCAGTGATACGTGATAAAAGGCCACAGCTTGGAATCAAACCAGAGCCACAAACTCCACAGCCTGATATAAAATGATACAACGTGGTTACACTATGGTACAATACAGCGAGATATGGCACGACACAGAATGACATGATATGGCAAAACAACAAATAATGCTACAAGATATCATACAGTACAATATGATATGAGATACAATTAGGGCCCAACTGATGTAGATTTTTTGGGGCCAATGCCAATACCGATTATAAGGGGGGAATAAAGGCTGATTACCAATTAATCGGCCAATTTTTAACATTTTTTATGAATTTTAAAAATCTTGTTATTTAAGTAATATATCTACATATTTCCTTTTTTTAAACAAATGGCTGCTTTTGAGCCTTCAAAACACTTCTTCAAAGAATTAAAGGCAGAAAACTCATTTCAAATCCTTTTTATTGCTAAAAGAACTGAAAAAGACTGAGGTATTTTCTGTAAAGTGAAAACAGTTAACCTCCAACTCTTTTGCTCAAGGTGAAGTGGTCCCACACCTTGCTACGCTCACTTTCTTTTGACATCTGTAAAAACAACAACAAGAAGAAAAAAAATGAGAGAACAGCAAGTATGCATTAAATATGCATTGTTTAGAAGAATCTGTCTAGGTTTATAAGGGCCATTTTCAAACTCATAGCCTACATTCACCCTTTTTTTTTAGTTGTGTTTCCACAATATGACTTACACCACACCCCTGGCTATTTATTTTAACTGTAAAAAAGATGATAAACGAATTATTTTCAGCTTATTATTCAGACTGTAGCGGGTATGGGTCTGATTATTTTGTCAACCTCCGTCTTGTCAAACTCACACAATCGTCATCCTCTTAAATAAGTAGCCTGTATAAATAAATAAAGATAAAGCTAACTCACGTACATCATAAAAAATGAGTAACACTCGATATACTGTAGGCTACTGCTCTTCACACCGACTAAAGGCTGACTGATCATCTCTGTAACATTCCTCGTATTTATCATGAATCAAACTCGGACCAGAAAAGCGTTTTCAACTGATTCAATATGTTGCGATTCGATTCAACGAGATATGAAAGGACGTTTTGATACAATGAAATACAGAACCATAAGAAATGATATGATACGTGATCAACAACAGCAGGATATGGTACAATATAACAAGATATGACACAACAAGACCTGATTGATATGATAACGAACTGACAGTGTAAGGATACGGTTTAGTATGATTTGACAGATACAGTTTATTGTCCTCTTTGGGTAAATTCTCTCAAACTATTGTCCTCCAAAATTGTTCTGATAAGGTAAACACAAATAATAAAATAAAAAAAAGAAGTCCTAATGTAAGCAGAGAAACACACTGATAAGACCTCAAACAACATACTTTGCACATTGACTATTTAACAGTCAACCAAAATAAGTCAAAAAATGAAAATAAAAACACAAGCACAACCTGTCCAACTTTCTGTTGATTATGACTGAACCCGCAGCTTTTCCCATTATAACAAACTCAATGTGACTTTGTCTGGTATGTTCTTACTTTTTGTTGGAACAGGATTACTAATAACTTTCAATTTCACTTAGGTTCAAAGTTCCTCAGTGAGGTAAAACTGTACCTATCTGAACAATAATCTCCTTTACGCCAATTCAACATTACCATCTTCTGCTTTTTTTGCTGCAGAGAAAGTTTTTAAAACTCACAAATAAGGACAGAAAAACTTTCATGCTGAAATTTTCAGTTTTCTGTGAGTAAAAGGCGGTAACATATTTTCTGCAGAAAGCATTGTACAACCTGTAAATGCTGGTGGTATTTCAGAGCTTTTGTGTTATCATAACAGAGTCTGACTTTTTTTTAATTCAAACCATTCAAAGCATAGTTAGTGAAAGAGCTCTTTCAACACTCTTTCAAAGCATGATACCAACTTAACAACTGCTGAAGGCACCGCAACACAGTTCAGGTCAAGACTTACACATTCCAGCATACAGGCTTATCAAACTTTAAAATACCGCACAGCAACTTATTCTCCTTTAAGGCAGAATTACTACTCTAGTAGGTCCATTTTGGCACAAGTTTTCTTTGTTTACTTGCACAGAGTACCTTGTCAGGTTGTTAGAGAAATCCCTTAAAGGGACGGTTGTATTTTCTGAATATTGCTCCAACATCACCGAGAAGGCATGCAGGATCCATCATTCTGAAGCCAAGAGTATTCTAAACCAGCCAAAATATGTAGATGCTATGTTAGCAGCACACTCTTTTGTTTATATCAGTATAACCGTAGGGAAAATTCTGCAAGCCAAACTAGTTATTTGCTGTAGTAAAGAAAATATACAGATGTACATTTGAATGTAGTTACATTTAAATGCAGGTGTTTGTCTGCAGCATCAGAATTGTAAATAAAAATACGTAAAGTCCAAGAAAGAAAAGAAAAGAGAAAAGAAATGCAAAAGAGGGTCTGAGGCACTGGCAGTGAAAAGAGAGCAGCTCTTTTATATGCTATACACCAAGATGCTCCAGATGTGGCCGACACTGCAACCTAACTCCCCCGGGACTTTAAGGACAACACACTGAATACAGAAATCAACACTGCACAGAAGCTGTATATAAACAGCCCTCAAAGTAAACCATTGTATTTAAAACCAAACACTGATAGCCACGCCAGATGCTCTGATTTTCAGGCCTATTTAGCCACAAGTGCAAATTTCCCCTTTTAAGCAAAGCCCTGCTCAGGGAGAATAGTTCTAAGAGAGGACACCCAGGTTAAACAGACCACGAACAAGCTGTAAAACAGATGGTTTCTCACTCCACTGCTGTTGTCTATAATAACACCTGTTACACATATTAAGAGGTGGACACACACAGAGGAGAGGCCGCAGAACTGTAGACCAAAAGACTGGGGTCAAAAAATTGAGCTTAAAGGGTAAGTCCTGTTCTGATGCCTTAGGCGCAAGCCATGTAACCAGGCATGGTAGCTATCCAGCTCTCAGAATAAATGATCAACAGTTTGCCTGAATGAGGCATCATTTGGCCTGCTGGCTGAGATATTTTTATTTTGGTATAATTCACCATGCTGTTTGTGACTATTAATCCTTTGTTGGAACGATATACACTTGAACTGTCCAATTTGGCCTTCGCCATCTTGATTTGGAATCAGACATGACCATATTTGCATAGATTTGTTTAGATAGATAGACTTGTTTAGATAGATAAATTTGTTTGGATGGATGGATGGATGGATGGATAGATAGATAGATAGATAGATCTTACAATACAGCAATAATAAGTCTATAATACAATATGTATCGCAATATTCAGAATTTACATATTACAACATTTATCGTAATCAAAAAAGAGCTGGGACTACCTAAACAAAGGTGTTTTTCAAGTTCCTAGTAAAAATCTATATTTTCCTTTATTTGACACAACATTTGAGCACATCATGATTACATTTTATTTATTTTGCCTGATAGTTATTCTTCCAACTGGTCCTTGAACACATCATGTAATCACAGGTCATCCCAGATGTCAACACTTTTGAATTTTCAGGACTTGCCACTAAAGTTTGGGTGTGATTACATAAGCTGATTGAGTAAAGGAGGTGGTAGTAACTTTTCAGAAAGAACAAGAGTTGAAAAACTTTTTTCAACCCAAAGACATTCGAAAATATGAAGCCAAACTTGAGGCCTCTTCACACATTCAATCATCCTCGCGAGCAACAAATCTTTCTTTATGTGGTTCAGTAGCTAGTGTCTAGAACTTTATCAGATAACTGATGTATGTTTGTGCACCAGTGATATGATTTACATTTGGCTTGATGCAAGGCATAAGGTTATGGGAGCAGTAAGTCTTGAAGTATTGATGTGCTCAAACGTTATTGAGTTTTAGAGATGCAGGACACGGTCCACAACTGAAACAACACTATCTTATCTGGAGGAGGTATACTTTCAAACTGTCACAAGTCCACTGTGGTAGCTAGACACTTTTGGTCCAGCAATAGCTTGATATTACCAATATTGTTACATCCAAGGAGGAGGAAAGTAGGTAAGTATGACTTTGTAATCAGACAGTGTCTGAATCTGACTTGAATCAGCAGCTCCATTTACCATAAGGAAAATATAACATACAAAGATGCATAAATTCAGAGGCCCTGAACTTGCTTTTAATCTGTGATTCAGCTCCATGTTCAATTTTAGAGTTGACTGTTTTAGAAAAGAGTGCTTCAGTCTGACCTTAATAAAACAAGGGACCCTGTTTCTCAGATTCGATGGGAAGAGTTCATCTGGTTAAGGTTAGTGATGATGTGTTTGGCTGACCTGAATATATTATTAAGGCTAATTCAGAAAGTCTCTAAAGTGGCTGACCTACAATCTTTGAACAGATTTCTCAGAGCAATCTAGACTCTAAAGTGGCAGACAGACGTACATACCATGTGGTGTTAGAGTGCTGAAGGTCACTCAGAATTACAGGAGTCAAAAAAAACAAAAAACAAAACTGATGAATCTGCCTACTAACATTGAAGACCTCAGTCAATAGACAAAAAATATTAAATATATTCTGCATTTTTTCTTTTTACAGTTACATTCGATGTGATTTTTCCAGCAAAACGAATTCTCCATCATCAGACTCAAGTATTATCAGATGATACCTGCTAGATGACACTTGGGGATGGGGTGGATGGATCAATCCTCATTTGCATATAACCGAAGGAAGTAGTATTTTTTAATAGTACAACCTCTCCCTGTTTTACTTTTATGGAAAAAATAACGTGGATTTAAAAAAAAGCAGATTTTTCAGAGCAGTTTCAAAAACCCTGACTAGCATCTACCCCCTGCCTTGGTTTCCATTGTAGAAAATTACTCCATAAAAAAAAGTCTTACGCTGCTAGGTCCTTTGCTTTTGTAGCTACTTTTAATTTCAGTGCTTTTTGTAACCTACTGGGGATTTAAGCACAACCGCTTTTTGTGATTATAGTACAAACTTAACCATAATTTCAAACATTAACACCTTTGACTGTGACTCCAGAGTAACACTCTGAACTTGTAACTGAGATCATGAGACTCTTTACAGGGATGATAACTGAAATAATAGATCAACTAGGAAGTGGAGAAATTTTCTTCTAAAGCGTCGTATAAATGCATGTATGCTTTTCTTCTCTGGTAAGTTTTAATTTTAGGAATTCTGCAGACTTCAACTTAACGTCACATAATCATCCTGCAAATCTCAAGAGTTTTGAAACCACGAAATGTAAGTCATCATGTGGTTTTAATTACTTCATTTTTGTGCAGTATGGCTTGTCCTTGTCTGGCCAATCACAGCAACAAGGTAATTGTTTTTTTAGCCTCGCCCCTTTGTAGGGAAACCAGCTGGAGAACTAGAAAAGAGACCAGACTATCTCTGGCTGCAGATGGAGTTTGTTCTACCATGTAATTTAGCTAATCTGAACCATCTCTGACCCAGACACTGATGTCAATGTGAGCGCATTCTCCATTTAGAAACTTTATAGCAATTTGCTTTTCTGTCAGAAAGCCCGCTTGTTGTTGTCCTAGTTCACAGCCTTCCTGATCAGCTGTTTGGGTCTGCGGGCTTGGGAAGAAACAAACATCCAACCAGACCTAAAGTATGTGATTCTGCCAGTGATGATGAAATGCCGTTTACAGTGGACACAAGAGTACACTTTAATGAGTCTGGGTTTACAGAGAAAGAGAACAAGACTCCACCAACCAGAGGAGGAAAACAACCATTTCTAAAAAAGACAACTTCCTAAACCTTGAACCAGTTTCATTACTCTCCTGTCTCTTAATATATCACTGCGGTGTCTTTCACAAACTATCGTGTTTTGAAGTCAGTTACTGAAGTTCTATCAGTGAGAGTGAAACAGATGTAGGCCAGGGCCTAAAATTGTATTTCCGGGCGCTGATAGTTTCCTCTCAGTGTAGTTTGGCATCTCTCACCGTTTTGGCAGCTTTTATGCCCAAAGAAGCTACAGACATTTGTCTGCACAGACTGGATGAAAGAAAGGAGCCAAGTGTCTTCTGATTTCGTGGAGACGAGATGAGGAAACATTCGTGTGACCTCATTGCTCACTCTGTTACTCTGTGTACTTAGTGTGTTCAGCGTATTTAGAGTCTGTGTGTGTGTGTGCGTGCTTGCGCGAGAGATACCAGATGCTTTTTTTATTTGGTTTGATTAATATGCTACTTAATGGATAATTTATCTTAATATCTGACAGGAGCAAACAGCTGAAAAACTCTGCGAGGAGAAAAAACGGATTAAAGGATGACAGCGCTGCTGCTTCAAAGGCTCATGTCACAGCGCAGACTTTGAGGTGTACAGTGTTTACGCTACATTCAGTAGTTTGTTCACTTACAGCTGAAGAGGAGGAGGAAGAGGAGTCGATTTTTTCTCTGTTAGCGTCACTGATGTTCTTGAGTGATGGCGTAAAAACATCTCAGAGACCTATTACTGGAACATACTGTATCTACACCGTATACAGAGAGCCAAATGGTGGTTGTCAGTATGGAACTGCAATTACAAGGCAAAACAAATTGCTGCATGTTGCCTTGACAGCAGCATATCAACATCCACCTACTGCAAGGCTGCTGCAGCAAACAATCCAAACGTGGGATTTGAGCAACCTGGCAGCAGCAGCAAGCAGCATGTGGCCGCTACATGAAAGTGATACACGCTCAACATGCCTGTTCGACTCATGTGGGCTGGATATCTTAAATATGTGTTGCTGTTCCAGAAATGAGCTCCTCTCCTTGAGAGAGAGGAGGCTTATGAAATGACATGCTGATGTCAGCCAATGTTGCCCTTTGGGGTGGAAGAAGACATCTGCTTCCCTTAATCTGTACTACTCTGTGTGGTTGTTCCTACAAAAACCACCAGCAGGCAAAATCTGACAAGCTGAGAATCTTCTGATGAAAAAATAATTATTTTATTTATTTAGTCCTTTTAAGTGATGAGCACAAAGTGAATTCCAGAGTGAGAGGAAGAAAGACAACACTATTTAAATATTGTAAGAAATAGTCTTACAAATGTTTTTTTTCCCCCAAATCTGTCTCCTCTTCTTGTCGCACAACACTATTTTAATCATTCTAAATATAACTTCATGTCAGCTTTTTCTCAGTCTTTATATGCAAACCAACCACACAAACAATGCATAATTTTAAATGGCCCACAGAGCGCATTACAGTGGTTATTCTTCCAGCTTGCATTGAAATCAGAATTGCTTTATCTCGGAGCGCAAACGAGCAGAAACAGCGTGACCTGACTAATTGGTGCTGAAAAATTGGGAGTGATTTTAACAAGACGAGATTGTCACATCCAGGAGAAGACGGAGTGTAACAGGACATCACATGTTGCGCATACAAGTCAAGAAGCATATGAAACATCAACACATCCAGTATGGAGTATATACAGGAGAGACAGAAATAAGTCTGGATGTGCTGGTGATCCCTGGCAGAGTGTCAAGCAGCGCCGGGTCTGTCATTAAAGTGCACTGAGCATCCAGGTTGTCATGTAGGAATAGCTGCAGAGGAAGAGTGCAGATATATAACAGTAGTGTATGTAGGTGTGAGGGTGAGTAACTGTTACCAATAGAGCCAAAAGAAAATGTCAGATATCCTTAGCACCCAGCTTTTTAAATTAGAAATGGAGCTTTGCTCTGTTTATGCCGGTGTCAAGAGAATATTTTTGCACACTTTTTCAAACAAAAACAAACTTCTGCTTGGCCTTTACTTTTGGCCCTGTTGGACTGTGATGGGCATAAATTTACAATTGTTCTGATACCAAGACTCGAGTCAGTACAGGCCTCTAGTTTTGCCTTTGGGCTTCTGGTGAGTATTACATGTGGGCGATCTGACTGTTTCACGACTGTCACCGATGTCTGTCACAACACGCTGCACTGTCAGCACTCATTTGGTTCTTGCACACACACTTTTTGGTTTTAGTGCACACATGGCCAAGATATGCTTCCCCTAGCATTAATGCAGCCAAGGTGGCAGGTGAAAAAAAAAGCAGTGTAACTGAATGGTGATGGCGGTGATAGCAACCCTGACACTCCATTCAGAGCAGAGCCACGCTCATCTCTAGCTCTGTCAAAGCAAGAGTCATAATTAACATGAAAGTGATTCATGGTGGTCAGGCAAACTTATCCTCTGTTTTTCCTCCAAGTTTGATAATGAGGGAGTAACAGAGCTCTCTGATATGACAGAGTCTCAACTGATGCCAACATGTGACTGCGTCTCATAGTCCCAGGAAGTGACCTGTAACACTCTAACTCACTGACATCCCTGCTAATTGTAGCTTCTCTAAAACTATGTTGACTCAATGATCCACTCAACTTATTTGAGAAAAATTCTTAACACCAGAAGTTAGGGCTGCTTGATTTTGACAAAAATCATAATCATGATTATTTTGATTGAGACTGATTTGACTTGAAACCTTTTCAAAGCCTTAAAATCTCTTGATTCCTTGAAAAACCAAATAAGTTGATAATCCTGTCTAGCCTACCTATTTTGATAACTAAAGCACAAATACACCTTTTTAAAAAGGCATATCCACTACCACTAAAAAAAGCATGCAACAGTCCTACACAAAATCAGACTTCACTTCATTTGAAGGCATATTTCATATTCATATTTGGTGTTTTTACAATGTGTCTGGGTAAAATTGAAGGATTTGAGCTCTTTCGCCTCTTAAATTTAATCATAGGCTGCAGACCTGATAGAAAAAATCTTTCTGAAATAGCAAGAGGCAGACGCTAAAGCTCAGGATATATGTCGTGAAAGTACAGGTAATTCTTGCAAGAATGGAGCACAGTGTATCAAGTAGATACACAGAGGTGGTCCCTGATTGTAGAGGTTCACAGTCTTTTATCCTCGCTTTCTCAGTCTTCTCTGATGGACGTCATCATTTCCAAATATGGTCAACAGACAATTTCAACAAGAAACACTTGCCCTTGGTTTCATCTATTCCTTATGTGGCTGCTGTCCTTGCATATATACATTATCACAGTGATCTTATCCTTCACATTATCTTCATTTCACAACCTCAATGCACAACTTGAACAGCGTTTTTTCATCAAGATCTAACAAATCCTTTTATCTTTTTAAGTTTTTATGAAATGTCCTTTAAAGCATCAAGACTTTGACTTGTGGTTCATTATCATTCAGAACAATGCCTCTCACTTTTTAGCAGTCATTAGTTTGTTAGTGCACACTCACTAAAGCCTCTTTCATCATGCTCACCATGTCCCTTGGCTTTTCAAACCCCAGTTCTTCTTTCAAATCAGCTATGTAAGAAAATGACATTTCTTCCAGTGGTAGTAAGCTAACACAGCTCACAAACAGGCAGGTAGGAAAGTAGAAAAAAATTTAAATCACAGATTCAGTCAGAAGCTGCGCAGCACTGAGATCTGAATGCAGAGTGACTTCTAAAAACATCTTTCTTTCGGCTCCGGCACAAACATTAAAGTATCGCATTACATACTTGCGTGAGGGAGAGAGACAAACGTCATAGTTCAGGAATATACGCTAGATTGCATTTGCAGAACAATCAGTTCTATAAGTGAGTCAGAACACTCCAGTCCCCAACAATTCTACTCTGATATGTAACCTCTTGGTGTACCAGGACTTCTTACCAGCTGCTGACGCCCTTTGCATTCCTCTCCACGTCACAATTTCTCATATAAGCACTTGCACTCCATAAAACATCCTATTGCAAATGTTACATGATGCGTATTTATCTGTTTTTTCAGGATGGAAACGCCGAGCTCAGGCAAGCTCATTAGTCTCTACAGTTTGATGAGGGAAATCTTGATAAAACGAAGAGGATGGACATCAATGGTTGTGTAGCATCAAAATGGCACAGATGCACAAGCTCTTTTTTCTGTATGACTCATTAAAGTAGTCTTTCTACTGGAGGTATGTTGCAAAAATTGGTATTTTCTACAATCATGAAAAATTTATAACACAATACTTATTATTTATTGATACTGGAAATAACGCCATGCTGCAAAAAGCAAAAGAAGTACCATGATTTGAATTAAAGGTCATAATTCCTATCATTCTGAGTATGCAAACTCCAACAGTGTGGTGCTGCAGGATGTAAAGTTTGCAAAATGTCAGCGCTCAGCATCCTCCCACCAGGATTTTGTATATTTTTTAACATTGTACTCGTTTCTTATTGTTACTTACTACAACACGTACTCAAGCCGAAGCAAAAGAACTGATATCAGGGGGCAGAAAATGGTAATGAAACATGTCTTCTGAACAGGCAGGAAATGATAACACATGGTAGGATGTATAAACCCATTAAAGATTACCCTAACTATTCTTGGCCGGATGCTCTGGACGTCATGGTTTTGGTTTTGAGAGTCTCACACAGTCAGAGGAGCACGCCTGCTGCTTCAGTGGCAGCTGCAATGAGCTCAGTGCACCGCAAGTGTCTTATGCTAAACATGTGGTTACCTGCGTTGGCAGAGAGACCGCTGGCAGTGGCAGCAACAGTCTCTGCCCTTTTCCATGCTTTGATGAGCTGGCAGATGACTTCCCGACTGTTCAGGCGTTCAAATGACAGGCTGCCACTTCGCTCTGGCTCCTGCAATGTAAGAGCACTAATGTAACAGCGAGGATTGTTTATGTGGTTATAACTGTAAAGACAAAATGAATTATTGATCAGCTCTCCCGCTCTTACAGACTTGATAAATTTCTGGGTATTGCTTCAGTAAACTGAGCAGCAATAGGTCACAGAAAGAATGATTCAAGCACTGAGATACAGGCTCCCTGACTGTAGGCAAGGTCTGCTGTGTTTAATGCAGAAGTCCCTATCCAATATTAATGTTACTAATATTAATATTCCATCACAGTGTGTTTTCAAAGTTAATGGTCATAGATGGCATTAATACATCAAAGATTTACAAGAATCAGATAAAAAGACAAACCAAATTTCCATATAAGAAGTAATGAGATTCAAATTAAAACTGCAGAAAAAGCTAAAAGAAAAAAAGATCAAAACTCAAAGGACATTAAAAGGATTAAAATTCTGAATATCTATTTAAATATAAAGGTCTAAGGATGTTTTTTTAGTTCCCCCTGGCAAGACTCTCAGAGTCAATTGGCCCTGATGGCAGTAGCTCAATCACCTATACTGTACATGGTCTGCTGCCAGGAATTTAAAAAAGTCCATGAGGGGCTTGGCCTGACAATCTCAGATCACAGGCTGTCTTTTAGGGGAATTAAAACATTGGAGAAATGGACCATCCTTTTCAAGACTTAAGAGGGATCTGTAAAATCTCAGAAAACCACTGAAAAGCTGAGAGACAGCCAGACGGTGGACAGTGCTAATATGGTGCTGTGATGAGCGCGCTTTACTATCTACAGCTACAGCACAGCAGGTGGGGTGGAGAAGAGAGGATTACAGCAGTAAAGACAAGATGATATCCATATAAAGCCACACTGGATGTCGAACATTGCGGAGATAAAAATAATCTTTGTACTTTTCCAGGGTTGTTAAAAGAAACATGGCTGAATCAGCCTTTTAGCAGATCAATCTGGCTTCACATATTAAACTTAAAGTCATAATCTCCAAGCTGTCAATTAAGTCACTATCTATTCCTGAGAGCCATAACAGAGTAATGATTGAGTGCATAGCCCACAGACAGAAGTCCTTACATTTGCAGTTTTACAAACTGTGAGTACACGACAGACCCCAGTAAAAAAAAATAAAAAATCATCATAATCAAAGAGGAGCTCATAGTCGTGTCTTTTCCAGCATTTAGCTGAAGTTGGTTTCAACCAAATTAAGGAAAAGCCTGAACTGTGTGAGGAGCAGCTTTCTAGTTTCTTCAGTCAAGGCTAGTGGTTTTTTCATGAACTAGGGATGCAAAAACTGAAATTTTAAACCATTCCTACTAGACAGTGAAAACTTGCTCCTGATGGCCTCTTACAAAAGGTTCCAAATATTATTTCACAGATTCTTTGTATTTGAAAAAGTGTAACAGACTGCCTGACTGCCAGTTATATTTCTGATAAAATACTAAATTATTGCATTATACACTAACAATTCCACCTGTTTCCACCTGTTTCCACCTGTTGAAATGAAGCAAAGCCCATGAGCTACTCCAGGCAGGCAACTCCAGCTGCACAGATTTCATACTTGGCATTTCATTTTCACTTTCACACGACAAATTGGCTGCACAATGTCCTCAATGCAATAACTGCTCACTGCTTTAAGAGCAGCTTTTAACAGCAAGACATCTAAGTATAAAGCGACAGTGAGAGTTGCTTCACAGTATAATGATCTAACTGCTTAAGCACTCCTGTGCCTGCAACAGTCTCTCTTTTTTTCATGCTTAAGTCTTGGTCCAGCCACTGGGCCAACATCAAACTGAGCACACTCACTGATCTTACTTGTGTCACTGCTGTTGTTGTGGATCAGGCTGTGAATGTGTGTAGACAGCTAATTATACACGGTAAATAGAGATACTTCTACAAAGTAGCAGCGACTCAAGGTACTCTTTTAAATGCGTCCCTGGCTGGCAAAATCCTTCAGAAATAGGCGGGTCATCGAGTGTTAGAAATTCTGTGATTTTGGGGCATACCTTACTTTGGCTTCTGGGTTGTCTCCGGTCAATTTTCTACATATCTCAAATTCATATTATGGCACCTGTCACAAGAGTTTTTAAATCGGTGTAAGAGACATTCAAATTCATTCTGATATCTTTATGATCAACATACATAGGCCAACCAGACAACACGAAAGAACGCTGACTACTCCTTTAAAAACAGTTGCAAAAATTGTTGCTGGTAGATGAAGACAAAGTGCCATACATCTTCCTGTCCAAAAAAAGCTTTTAATCATATTCCTTCAGTAAAGTTTGACAATAGTGAAGGTGTGTCTGCATGTACCAGAGATGGTTAGTACAACAAAAAGGTGACAGTTTGACCACAAATCTACAAAACTTTCGAGCCTCCTTGGGTTACTTCAAACACAGACTGTAGTTATGCAATTAAGGGCTCTGAAAAAATTATATTTATACAGATAACTGCATGCTTCAGGACATTTAATGGACTTAAATTTGTGTGTCATCAATTCTGAAGACAATTTGCGATCATTTATTCAACAGTGTAGCTAATTTAAGAGGAAGTGCTTTTATCATGTTCCTAAAACACAATTTATAGAAATACAAGACTAAATAAGTAGTAATGTAGTCCTTGCAAAACTCTGTTTATACTTGGATAATAACATTATACTAAGTAAAATAGTGAAATGTCCTTCAGTGTACCCATTTAAATTTCCATATATAACCCCACAATACAACCTAAATACCTAATAGTCTATTCGCAGGCTATGAATATTGTTTTTATGTAAATATTAATATCCTAATGGAGCCATGAGCTGTTGCCTAGCAACAGCTGCTGTAAGTAGAAGAAGACAGAGGAGTGGTGGGAGGACAGACGTTGGACAGAATTTTTAAAAGGCAGTGGAGGAATACATAGAATATCAAATAAAGAGTTCAGTCTTTTTATCAGGGTTACTTTAGGAAGGAGGACTAACTGTGGGTTAAAACCCCAGAGGGAGTTATTAGGGAGGAATTTTTAAAAAGTCTTAAAAACCACAAGGAACATGCCAAAGGATTTGTTAATTGCATGAAAAAAATCACTAATAGAGTTTAAAAAAACAGGACTTTGGGCAAAATTTCATGGGAAATGAATGCGAACTATTTTTCCTTCACTAAAATTAATTGAAAAACATAAAGTTTTTGAAAGCCTAAAGTCTGGGCATGATGGGGACTTTGATGGGCTGCTCATAAAGAAAAACAGATGGATATTTTTCTTGATGAAATGTTTATTTAAAGCATTTAGAGTCTATCTTTAACACATTCCACAGTTGATGATGAGGTGCTTTTTCTTTTGCTCTTATTAGCTTCAAACATTCATCAAATTTCCAATAAGCCAAATGACTCCTTGATGATTTAGTGGAAATAATGACTTCTCATTTTTTAATCAAGTCCTCTGTTATAGACTGATCATGCACTGAGTCAGATGTTGTGCCAAGACTCAGATATTTACCTGCATCTATGTGGGTGGTGCAACCAACCCTAGTAAAGACAATGCATCATTGGGTGAAGAGGTTGAGAAACGTGGTGATGTGACTACTTGAGCTGCAAGTACACCACCACAGCCCCCACACGCCTGAGCAAAGCATGCTTTAAATTGTGCTGCAGCATTAAATAAAATGGAAAATGCCACTCAGGATGTACAGTACGCCCTACTGTAAATCCATACGTACTGATATCAAAATAATCCCTTCAAAGCAGGAGAGAGAGAGGAAGAGAGTGCCCAGGAGAGTGTGTGAGAGAGAGGTAAGAGGTAAGTGGGATCACAACTCAGCGTTCACCTCCAGAACTTAGAGTAAGCACTTTTGTGGTGTTAGAGTCTGGAGCAGAGCCAAGCTCTAACCAAAGACCTCAGCACCTCTTGAAAGGATTACATGCCTTGACATTTTGACATTTGTATACATACAAATTACATCTCCCCTGCTTTCTCAGAGGTTTTGTTTCCTGCCAAGTGCACATGCAAAGCTGAGCTTCAGCGTGATCACCTTGGGAAAACCAATCCGTGATCCCTCCTCTTTCACCGTGTATGAGTTTGGGAACAGACATGTGTTCGACTGTAGGAAGGTTTCTCGTTCTTTGTGAAGGTATCATCAGACACGTTTTAGTGTGTTTCTTTTTTATTGCCTTTGGGAGGTAAAAGTGTTTTTATTTCCATTTGTTTATTTGTTGGTTTGCAGGAACTCATAATGAAATTTGGCAGAAGAGTCGGCCAACGGCAAGGACAAGGAGTTTCTGTGAATACAACCTGTCCATGGAAATCAATAACTCCCAGACAAATAATAAAATAGATAAATAAATACATGTATTTTGTGGCTCCAGACAAGTTTACAGTTCTTGACTAATTTTCTTTCAGGTTGTATTTTTTCAAATCAGATTTTTTCCAACAACAAAGCAGTCCATTGAAATGAAAGAAGTCATCTTACATTAAAAATACATATATAACAATAATAATTTCTGACATTTTTATAATGTAGTCAAACATTTGCAGCTTAAAAAATTTCTTCTTTTGATATGTTCATTGAAATTTGTGGATACCGTAGGTTTGATATAATGGGCAAATTTTCTTTAATCAAAGTATATTTCTCCTCTTTCTGGCAATTTAACGAAAAAGTCTTTTACGAGTAATTACCAGATTAAGTGACTACAATTCTAATCAATTGGTGCGGCTCTTAATTCCTTACACTCAAAATTCATTAAAGTTGGTGCAGGAAATAGTTGAAAGGAAGCAGAAAAAACTGTTAATATCTCTACACATGTCACAGATTTTGACTTTAAGTTTTATTTGCTAGATACTTGAGGGACAGCACTCAAGAATATTTTGTGTATTTGTGATGTGAAATTGCACCTTATACAAATCTACTGCATGTAAACATGGCATTATAGTTTGGGTTAAGAGCTGGTCTAACCAAGGTCTCTTCTTCAGAATTTATCTATGAAGGAATATACTTTATTCTGTGTACTACAGTCTCCTTTAGCCATAGACCAACCAGTCAGGCCAATTACTAGCATTAAAAAGTAATAAGTTTTGGTTTGTTATATTTCTTGTTGCTCTGTCCTTATAGGAAAGAGTGTATTTGTTATTTCTAAAAATGAAGGAAAAAGGCAAATCTCTGTCACAGTTCGCATTGGAGAGCACCCATCCCAACGTTGAGGGGAAGCTCATTTCATTTGTGAAATATTCATCGTTTTCTACTCTCCAAAAATACTGATTATTGGAATGAAGAATTGATAGGAACTAGTATTGATAAGTGGAAATGGAGTCGGAACTAGAATAGATAACAGATTAAACAGTACCCTGTAGTATTAATAAAATGGGAAAAAATACATGAAATATCTTTCAATATGACACACTCCAGTATATGACTACCACCCACTCCGTCTTCAGTAGAAATACATTGTCTTATCTTGTCACCAGAAACTGAAAATGTAGAAACTCCCTGAAAGTAGAGTTGATAGTAGAGCTGTCATATCAGATTGCATTAGCTTTCCCTGGTGTTCGCTGTGTTATGGGTTGACGGTATGTATGATTCACACGCAGTGTTAGCAACAACTAGGAAACAGCAGTAATCGCAAGGACCTTAACCAGCAAGTCAGTGGGACAAAGTCTACACTTATGCTAAAGGAGGTTTAAGGATGTGACATTAGAGAAGGGGAGGTAAATATCAGTGTTTAGTTTTTGATACAGCACTGCAGAAAAGTCAGCAACTGAGGGAGGATCTCCTCTGCGAGGACAGGACCTCAGAGCCTTTAGCCTCATTTATGGAGCTTCTTGTTGAGTCATGAGAAATAAGTGAGTGTGAGGGAAGGGGGGGGGCATAATTGAAAGGCGTGCCTTGTTCATCTCCACCGGTTCAAACACACACACACGCCGGCATTGTAATTTATAGAACCTTTGCCCTGTATTAATGTGTGTGTGTGTGTGTGTGTGTGTGTGTGTGTGTGTGTGTGTGTGTGTGTGTGTGTGTGTGTGTGTGTGTGTGTGTGTGTGTGTGTGTGTGTGTCCTCTTATCTGATGGATGGTTGGTATTCCACTGGTTCATTATTCTGGGACTGTGTTAAACATGAACAAAGGAGAGACCAGCTCCATGTGGCTCCTGTGACCAGACCAGGATAAAACCCTGATATGAGACTCATTTTTGAAGAGCTGTTCATTTGGATGATGGGAAGTTAAAGGGTTAAAACAAAAACATAAATACAGGAAAATACTGTAATTAAAAGCACTTAGATTTATTGTTTTTTTTTTGCTGTTATCACTGGAGGGGTGCTCTATAAGAAATGCAAGATAATCCCCTGGTAATGAAGCATTTCTGTATAAAACTGTGGATTAAACATTATATATTAACAGCTGAAGGAGGAAATGTTTCCCCGACTATGTTTTGCATAAAATATTAGTGGGGGAAAAAAAAAAAAAAAAGTTATATCACTTCTGAGTCTGCTTGTACGATTCCTGACCCCAAACTGCTACAGATCTTAGGGAAAAACTATTTTCTTCACACATGGGACACGTATATGGAGGGAATTTAGCTTTTGAGAAGCCAGAATGATTAAAATACACATTTCTGCAGGCTTACAGTAAGAATTCACTTCATATATATATATGAATCCTTTGAGATTACAAAAGTAGGCTGTTGCTGTTCTTCGACACTCTGGTTGTTTCCTGTATAGAGCTGAGTATACAGTATGGCAAATTAATGTTTTAATCAATCGATATCCATATTCAACTTTGATTCTGTCAGTCTGAGAAGAACCTTGATGCAGACTTTGGCTTAAAAGAACCAGACAGATTCATCATAAATAAATCAAGTCATAGCTAAATTATGCAGTGGGGCTGTCGCAACATACCAGTATTGACGATAACTGTCTTTCTGAAAATATTAAATTATTAATTATGGCATAAAAGAAGCATATGGTAGTACCATGAAACCAACTGGTTTACAGTAGGGGGCTGTAGCAGCAGCGAGGAGAAGACTCAGCGAACAGCCAGCTAGCTAACTCTGCATAACAGACAGTGTGTGGCTGCAGCGCAAATCAAGTCATAGGAGATGACAGATGAAAGCAATGTACTCTACCACCCAAGAAAAAATGTCCTCCACAGTTTGGGAGATTTATGGATTTCGTAAAAAAAGAAAAAAGAGAAGAGCTTCCTGCCACATGGCTGATGAAATGGATAAAACTTTGAATACCATCAAGTCAGCTGCATTTATTAGGACAGTAACATGCTGCTCTACCCTTGCTTGTCTTAATAATCTTTGAGCGATAGCTTGTATTCTGAATATTATACCGAAATAGTACCAGTACCTTAAAAAATTTTGGGCCACAACAGTCATGAGGTGGAAATTTTAAACCCTGACAGCTCCCTTATGGACCAAATTTACCCTGAAATAGTTTTCAGGCTATAACTTTTTTCTTCCAGGCAATAAAAAGTAAAACTAGTGAAAATGAGTAATATAAATCTCACAAAGACCACTCTATTTCTGGTGCTTTTCTGCAGATTCAGCATGGGGAGGCTACCTGAGCTGCTGTTAATTTTAGCTCTGACTGCTTCAAGGATCAGAGCTCATTAACAAGACCCACTGAGGGTTCATCACTTGGGTTATAAAAGGAGCTGTTTTATCCACTTTGGAGCAGACACTCCCTGTTATTCAAACTAGTGGAAATGTTTAAGGTCAGTGTCTTTCTAATGCACTTAAGTGAGGGGGGCTGCGAGCTGAGCTGCCGCTGTCAGAATAATTTATACAAAGTTGACATTTTAGCCAAAACTTTTAGTTCACAAGAATAAAGTTGAAGGAGAGTAATCAATTCATGAAAATAAGGCTGTAAATTTACACGAAAAGAAATTGTAGATTTACAAGAATAAAGTCACGCAGAACCACACTCAGGCTGCACTGTCGCCTGCTTTCCCTCATAATGGACTTAATGTCTCGAACACTCAATTCAGAATCCTGATATCCATGACAATGTGGTGCAAATGTGCTAAAAGACTGTGGATTCAGTAAAACTCTACAAAAGAATAACTTTACAAGATCCTTCATGTTCCTCATTTACTGTAGGCGGCAGACTGTTCCTAGTCAACATAATTTACAGACCAACAATGACTGAAATCAGGACTTCATAAGAATAAATTCCTTATTTTAGTCTTGCATTATGACTTGATTTAGTTCACTCTTCTATAACGTTTATATTCTTATAATGTTGCAACTCAGCTCTCAAAAAAGGGTCACTTTATTCTTGTAAATTGAAGACTTTGTTCTCAAAGTCTTGGAGTTTTATCTATAAGACATATAGATGGAGGCAGAGGAAAACTCTGCCTCCAGCGAAATACTAGCGAAATATTATAGTCTAAATGGTTTCAGATTCTGTTTTCTCTGTGAGAGGAGCAGTTTGGTCATTGTGTTTTTCAGCCAAAAAAAAGAAACGTCCCACATAATCGTTATCCTAAACCAAGCCTGTTTTATCTTCATCCCTGCTCCTGCAGTTAAGTGAACCCTTTCCTGTTATGCTTTGTCCTCATTTCCTAAAATGATGGCGGAAATCATGGGGCTGAGGTATTGTTGGTGAGATAATTATCATCACAAGTTGTTGACTGTCATAGCATGGTGCACACATCGGGGTGCACACAGTTAGTGTAACTAAAACAGCTGGGCATGCTGGTTTAACTGCTGATGTGCAATGAGATGATAAACTGTACATAATAATTATTATGTCTTTCATTTTACATTCTCCAATTACAGGCAGAAGTTAAGTGGTTTGCAATCATGTGTTTATTTTACATCCTGTGCTGCTGGTTCAGTTTTTTGTCTCGAAAATCAAAAAACAATCACATTTCAGTCATGATGTTTCTTACTGTTCGACTGCGTGAGACCTCAGCTTCATCAAAAAGTGATATTTCCTCTGTTTTTTTTTCTCTGATGTAAATTTGCCAGTGAAAGTTTCAAACTTGCAGGACTGGAAGTGAAAGATTCCTGCATAAAAACCATTAAATGTTGCATTGCGGTTTCCAAAGAGCTCATATGCAAATAATACAGCAAGTTTGAACTGGTTAACAAGCACTTCACTCCACTTGACTCAGTGCTGACTTAGCTGTCTGAGCTGGAACAGGTGCAAAATCGTGACACTGCCACAAGTGTCCATACAGGTCATAAGACGCCGTCACAACCTCCAGTCTCTTCTGCAAAAAGTCCCCTTGTTCTCACTCAGGAGTGCTACAACTAACAATGTTTGCCTGGAACAAGAACCTAATTAACACCTGAAGAGGTATCTAACAAGGATCAACATAGCAACTCTGGTAAGAGCAGTGAGAGTCGTAAATAATGAGTCCGGTTTTATGCTAAATATGTGCAAAATTTGGCAAAACAGCAATTAGAAGTGGAGACGATTCTGAAGCAAATTTTAAGTGTCATGAAAAGTATTTACATAAGGCTGGACCGCTGAAGTGGCTACACCTGTATGAGAGTAATGAGCATCCTTGAAACATATGATGACCATTTGTCACCCAGGTAAAATCTTACAAAATAAAAGCTCCTCAAACAGATATGCAACAGTGAAATCCAGCGCACATGCTTTGACAAACTTAACAAAGTTTAACTCCAGCATAGTTAAACCATGTTGCAACTTCAGTATTTATCAAATGGTACAAAGTTGTATAAGTTTCAGCAACTTTATTTCCATTCGCACCAGTTAGACCCAGGTCCAACTTTCCTGTGATACTTTATAAAGTCAGACTAGTGGGCCTATATAAAGTAACATAAAATGTGATGGCAACAGACCCTGTTATCAGTATGATTTATTAAAGGGCACTAAGGAGAGAAAGTCATCCGTGATTGGAAACTACTCAGACGGTGAGCAGATTTTAAGGTTTTTGTTTTGGCAGGCAAACCTTGTTTGATTTAATTAAAGAGCTCCCCCCTAAACTCCAGCATGTGTCGGACAGAACCACAGCACTGTCCCCTTCTGCAGGTGCTGATTCCCCTCAGGTTTTATGCAAATGAAGCTCCTTGCTCTGCACTGTCGGTGCAGTTGAGTCCAGTGAAAAAGGGGTAATTCTCTCTGTTCTGCTGTATAATGATGAGCTTGGTTACAGGCCCCCTAGATTTCCCTGTTGAGAGCTGTTGTTTGTTGTGTTCTGCATTAAAGGTTCCACATTTAGCTGCCCATATTTTTCCTCTTGGTTTGTGTTGTCCTCACTTTCTTTTTCTGTAACATTCACTCAGAGAGGATAAGTCCTGGTCCAGCTACAGCCATCCTTGATCAGACTTGGTGCACTAGTGCGAGATCAAGTTAAAGAGTCAGTCATGGTACAGTCTCGCGTAAGAGATAAGCTTTCTTTATTGACCTAAAAGTAAGACAGTTTTCCCCTCATAAAAATACTTGTGGGATTCATTCAGGACTTAGCTATTAAATGCCCTAGTTCTGTAAACACAGACAGCTCTGTAACACAAGTGTATCCCCTCATGACCCAAGTCAGTCATCACTTATTGCTACAGTGTTAAGGGGGTACAAGATAGAGAGACACAGTGAACAAAACAAGCTGCATGAGTTCCAAAAAGTATAAAATCTAAAGGTGATGAGTCGACAAGAACATGTGTGACAGAACCTGATATCATTAGTAGATGTCAGGTTTAGTAGACCTGACATCTTTCTACATCTCTACACTTGCTTTTCTTTGTTTATTAAGTGTATTCATTTAGGACAACAAATGCATTAATATTTTAGCAGTATTCATCAATGAATATATGCTGGATTTGCACTATCGCTAACTTGTGCAGTAACACTGTACACATTCAAAGGGAGAGTCACTGTGATGATGCTCGGCTCAAACAGCATATCCCCTGGGTTAGCTATGCAATCTTTGTATGCCCAAAGGCTGTATCAAGTGTCAATCATAGAAAACATGAACCCCCTAATAACTTTTAAAAATGGAGCTGCACAGAAATAAGAGGACCTGAGTACAAACCAGTCTTACAGTAACTACATGTCAACATCGCAACCGGGGGGAGAAAAAATTATATTCTGTGTAATTAATTTCTAAAGTTCGTCCACAACTCCATAGGGATTCCTAGAGGAGGTGGGATTTATGACCTAGACTGCAGCCCATCACCAGAGGGTGCTGTTCTCGGAGTGGCTACACCCAGTGAGGAGGCAGACAGCGTCCATTCTATCCACAGTCTATGGTATAAACCTGTGTTATCAGCATAAAACTGCATTTTAGTGTCTGGACAAACATTTGAGAAATCATTTGCATAGAAGCTAAACAGGATTGGCTCCAGTATGGAGCCTTGTGGAACTCCAACTGAGCAGCTAAGGTGTGCTGCCTGTGTAAGTTCCAGTTTGTATTGTTCAGCTTGTTTCCTGTTTGACAAGTATGACTTTACTCAGCAAAAAGCGCTGCAGGAAAAATTATTATGGGAAAGTTGTGAAAGAAGCACTTTGTAGTTTATTGTATCAGATCCTCGTTTTGAGTCCACAAAGACAGCTCCTATATAACCACCCTATCTAATAAAGTTTTTATGTTCCCAAGAAAATAACAGGTGAAAAAAGTTTTTAGAGAACAAACACTAATATTTAGGTCAACGCGGTAGCTCATACCCAGCTGGTGCACTCTGCCCAAGGCCTTCCAGTACAGCAACTCAGTCCTCATACACCCCCCAGTGCTCCGATTGGCTGGGCTGCAAGATTCACTGGCCAATAACACACAGATACAGAAGGAGCCACACAGCGGCTTGACATACCTTTGACATTCACATATTTATGTGCGGGAGGATATCAGAGATGAGTCTATTTTGTTGCCTCTGTATCTCAAGTGAGTTTTTTAATCATTCTATAAATTGCAGAAGAACTTAAGCTGCATTGCTTTGCTAGAGTTTACTGTGTAGTGTGGGTGGTATGCTGCAGTAAAGGTAATCTGAGGCAACACAAGAGACTTAAGTGAATGGATGCGTTGCTGAATGTGTGACCTGCTCTTCAGCTTAAATGTAGCAATCAACTCTTTAAATACCCAATACGGTTCTAAATTTCTCCTCACTTCCTTCCTTTTTAAGTCTTAAATCCCCTCTATTAACAGGGAGATCCTGCAGAGGATAAACTCTATGTTCCTCCTACAGCTGAAGCTGAGGTCCGCCCTCTTCAGAGGGATATTATAGTGGTGTGATTCTACACAGCCAGTATAGTACAATCAATCACCACCTCCTTCATAACCGCCTGGTTCCCCTAGTGCTTCAGCCAAATCCAAGAGCAAACTGCAATGCATCATGATGTGAGAGGAGAACTGTGACGTGGCCCTCCTCTAAAAGTGTACAATACCACAGAGTATGCGGGGGATATCTTCTCTGATCTCCTCCACTTGTTCTGTAAACTACCAACAAGTAAGAAAACACGACAGCCAAAGACGCTTTAAAGAGAACCTCTAGTACCAGAGTAATCAGTTCATTTACGGGGGTATAATGACTGTTACTGATGTTTTACAGCCTATAAATCAATGTCGAGACATATGCAGCAACCACAAATGAAAAATTTGGAAAGCTAGTACACCCAGCGGAAAAACACACTCAGATTTTTAGAGTTTTGCACCTTTGCCCTGTTCTTCATTTCCTGAGAAGAAAAACAGGCAGTGGATGTACATCTACGTAGGAGGATGTGGATGAGAAAAAGTTTGTTGGAATGATTAATAGGTCTAAAAAAAAAAAAATAGAATAAAAAAAAGAACAGTCTTGCATTCACAAAGATAAATAAAAAAAAAGGAGAGTGATTTTTAAGCAGCTTGTTCATTGTAGAGGGGAGTTTGCCTCCTGTACGTTAAATAGGCACCTTGGCTAGAGGATAAAGTATAATACATTAGTGATTAGAGGTTAATAGTGTCCTCCCAAGCTGCTAGACGCAGACTGAAGGTGAAAACCAATTTAAGGGTGTAGCTGTGAGCTGAACCACACATGTAACTTTTAAATGCAACTCCTCTTAAAGTACAAATCTTCAAGGTAAAACCAGGAGAGGGGCTATCAGTGAGAAATATAGAAGTAGTAGAGTATCTGCAATGGTTTTTCAGTGATTCAGCATATAAGAAGAAATGAGTGTAAAGCACTGTGGGCTGATGCCCTTGCACTTAACTGAGTGACCTCCTGCCTTCAAAGAAGTCTCAAAAGAGTTTTTGCTCTGTCTTTTAAACTCTGCTTTCATGTGGCCACCACATCAAACTAAAGGCAATGGTTTTAGAGGTTTAGGAGGGATTCATCACTGTGTAAAAGTGATGCACTGCTATACAAGAGAAGCTTAATCTGATCAGAGTGGCATGGTAACACTTTGCACTTTGCAAAGTTTGAATTGCAAAACCATGCCAAATAGAAAATATTAATTTGAGCTGCTTGTTCAAGTTGATTTCACCAAGCACAGTCTCTTTACAGTTGCCCATAAGCAGCTTATTTAAACCAATTTTACTGATAGTCTGACAACAATTTGATGATGTAGTAAAAAAAAGGGACTAAGCCATGAGTATTTTCTTTTACATATTTACATTGCAAAACATCATATTATTAACCTTAAGTATCTAGAGAAATTCACATATATCAACACCCTATTAAAATAATGGCCTAAGTCACTTTTTTTACGAAAAATTAGTTTTTGGCCTAAATCATCTCTTGATAATGCTGGCCATCTCTGGTAAAATCGCCTAAATCCTTAGTTGAAAGAATCATGGCATGATCATGGCGATTGTACCAGAAATGGCCAGCATTATCAAGAGATGGTTTGGGCCAAAAACTCATTCACTTACGTTAAAAAATGACTAAGGCCATTATTTTAATAGGGTGACGATATGCAAGTATGGACTTGGTTTTATTCAAACTGTGATCTTGTGCTGAGCCCGATCAATCGATTGGGGGCCTGGATCCGACAAAAGGTTTACTCATCAACAACATCTTCAGGATTAGTACTTGCTCACTGGGTCATTGATCAAGGCTAGTGTTTTTGCCACAGTGTCAACAGGCATGGGTGGGACATGTGGGGCCTGGCATGTTTCTCCCTCAGGTTGTCCTCTGTGTCTTTTGGGAAATTGAGAATGAAGCACCAATCAGAATCAAGTACCTAATATAGCCAGGCTATCAATCATGTTTTGCAATTAAAGAGAACTAAACCAAAATGTTGCTATATTGAGTGATTCTACAGAGGCATACAGCACGCATAAGGCTCATTTTGATTTAATAACAGTCACATATTTCTCTGTTGTCCCTTATATGTGTTATTGGGTATTAGACAAAATAATATTGCCGCCAATTCTTTATCTCCATTAATGCAGCTCTACCTTTCCTTTCCAAATTGGCTCACAGCGTCACCTCGTCATGACTCTTTTCATTGGCATTAATAATTACAGACATGCTGCACTGTACTGTCAAAGAGTATTATGTTTTCCTCAGTTTATCAGTTTTTTTTTTTTTAGAAATTCATGAGTTCTCAAAGAAAGCCTGCATTAAAATCATGATCATGGAAAACGCATCGTTCCGTGTCGTGATGTACCCTGAAATTTCCATCCTTCTGATTATGATCATAAAAGTTCCCTACACGCAAAGGTAGACTGTTCCTTACAAGCCACTCAAGGAGAACCACAAAAGTCTACCATCAAATTTATCTACCAAGGTCCATCTTTAAGATCCCTTGTTAAACTGTGTGTCTCCACAAGAATAAAGGTAGGCTGTAATTTGTTTTCAGTTCATGATTCTTACTGTGTGTATTTCAGTCCCTCTATACTCCCTGACCTCCGCGTTGGACACAAACCAAAACCCATTCTTTCTAAAGATGTTAACCACCATAGAGGAATGTAGTCTTTAGCTTACAGTGTTCAAAAACAAATTTTTCGTGTGGAGTCCTCTTCCCTCGAGTAAAAACAGCGTGGTTACAGGCATACCACTGATTCAAAATAAATCAGCTGACATGAATGAGCACACGTGTAGGGTTGTTTCTGGAGCTGCTGGCATGTGCTTTTGTGTGATTTTGTTTACATGTTCCTTCTGCTGAGTATTTGTTTTCTCCAGTGTGGACACTTTTAAATGAATGCTTGATCTCAGTATGACAGCTTGATCAAATTCAGTCTATATTTTCATCTACAAACTGCTGAAACACCCTCCTGCTCTTTGGTGAAACTGGTGGAGATATAAGAATAAAGGCAGCTGAGATTAGAAAATAAAAGCGACTACGTTCTCTGATCATGGATCCACATGCCGGAGAAGTCGCTGTTTCTTAACACTTCTCTGTGTGCAGCTGAGACTCAGCCTCTTTGTGATGTAAGGCACATTAACAGGCAGGCAGGAGGGACAGCTGTGGTTTGAGACAGACATACCTGCTGTGCCACTGACGACTAATTACAGTAATACTGGCTTTACTGCCATCTCAATCTTTTAACTTCAAACACTGTGTAATTTCTGTGCCTGTTTCCTGTGTTCCTTTATTAATTCCTCACTGCTAAAAGCCTCCAGAGGTCAGATGACAGGAAACATCTGTTACAATGGATGTACAGCATGATTAACTACTCTAAATACACTGCGTGTCTATATTCTCAGGTGGTGTCGTAGCTTCAGTATACATTAAAAGCTTTGCACACCTCCCGTGCAAACATTACACCTCACCTAAAAGACCAATGTTGATTTACTACCAAATCGCGTCTATATTTTATAGATTACTCCACGATTCAGTCAATTTGGTTCAGCCCAGAGCAAAAATCTTGTATATTTGAACAGATAGTACACACAAACTGGGACTTGTCTCTTTTCTAGTATAAGAAATGCTGCCATTACAGCCTCAAATGTGTAATTTGGTATCCCAAGTATGCCGTATCAATGCACCAACCCATCATTTCATAGCCTGGGAGAAAATCTGCCCTTTTCATCATCTCCCAAATAGCAGCATTAACAATAATCTTATTTTTGCTCGGCACAAATGAGAAGTGATATCTGAAAAAAATTATCAGTTGACAACAAGCTTTCGACAGGGCTGTTCATGAGTGGAAGCAGAAGTCAAAGCAAGAATACACTCTACAATCAGTCATTAAAAATATTTTTTTTTTTCTTTTTCTTTGACACAAAGTTTAGAAAATTAAAAACAGGTTATTACACAGAGTTAAACAACATGGCCAAATAACAGGGCATCTCCAATTCTTCTCAGCAGACTAAGGGCATCACAGCGGTATCATGGAGACACATAATATCAACCGATCCACAGATTCAACTATCAGCATCAGAATCAAGAAGGACAAAATGGTTTCTCTCTGAAAATATAAGAAACAGGGAACTGAAAATATTTAACACTCTTCTGGCAAACACTATTAACTGTAACACACTGCAAGCTTGGGGCCAGAACTGATTAGAGATTACACTGATAATTAATCTTTTATCACCAAAGGCCAAAATGATGGTTAAAGCTGCAGCGCTGCCTCCCCCCTCTAGATGGAGCTGCAGTTCGGTTAATGGTTTTGACTGATAATGATTTAAACGAGGACACAAGATGGATGGGATGGTTTAGTGGTATCTTGATCTAAAAAATGGAGATAAAGTTGAGGAACCAGCACAGGTACGAGGAGGCTGATCTGTAAGGAGAATCAGGGGTTGGTGGTGCTAGCTCTGCTGGGATTAGTCACATTAAAACGATCACTTTAAAACTGTTTACCCACCAAGACTGTGATCCTGGAATTAGCTGTGTAAAATCAATTGTGCTCAGTTTCTCTGAGAGCTTTTTTAACCTTAAAGGAATATTCTGGCATAAAATAAATTCATGGTCGAACACATCGTAACACCGAGTTAGACAACACCTCAAGAGATAATTGTTGCTGACCACTTGCTTCTCTAGTTATAACAACTTCAGTAACGACCACACGATAGCAATACACAGCGGTCTGATGAGCCACAAACAAACTTCAACCAAGATGCCACTCTATAGCCACAAATAATGCTCAGAACAGCACCTAACTTCATCAACAGCACATATAGGGTCCTAGCCACAGCACTAGCCACCAAACATCTTTTTATCTTTGCCTAATTTCTTTAGCAAAGAGACTAAACACAACTCACTTACTCTCTTCCAGCAGCCGCTTGTTTGTAGCAAGACCTCAGGCCAGTCCATTACGGACTGTAGGGGGGTGACGCAGCTCAAGGAGGAACATTTATGATAATTTCTTCATGGAAATGCAATCAGACCAAGACACTGAGGCAGAAGAACTATCGCGTCTGCAGTGCAAAATGATTAATATGATGATTATTACTTCAAGGAAATGATAAAGAAATGATTATAAATGTTCTTCCTTGAGCTGCTTCACCCCGCAGCAGTGCATAACGGATACCAGTGTTCCGGTGTGTTTGAACCTAAATTAATTTCATGCTGGAATATCCCTTTGAGACTAGTTGGTTGGATGACATTTAAATCTTTAAGTTACCAAAACATGACCTTACTTGCTCCAAGATGACCCCACTTCCGCTAAATTTCAACAAGCAACTAGATGTACATCAAGGTATAGCTTTTACCCATAACTGTGAATCTTTATTCATTAAAAAAATCTCTGTCCCAGGGTTTAATTTGATGTATTCGATGTCATAAATTCCATTCCAAATCTGACAAGACTACACTGAGTATCACAGCGCAGGTCACACGGTCAACATCACTTCAGTGGTTAACTGAGTGTTTACAACAATGTTTGTTTCTGGTTATTCTTTTATGCTCCCAGGAATTTTCATTGGCTTGGAGTCTGCTTAGGAAGATATTAATGTCTGCACTAACACAACATTGCAATCTCTGAACCATGCGCAATAGCTAGAGGATAATTATTTTAATATTTGGTTAGACAACAAAGCATCTTCCATTTGACTTTCCCTCAGGGACTCAGCAAAGTCTACAGCCTTTTTGCTTTGCTCTAATAAGTAAAACAGTTCAGTCACTTTTTTTTTATAAATGATACAAAGACTCTCTTTCTCTCTCTCTCCTAGTCATTTTGTCAGTCAATTCCAGTATTCTTGCCTTCACAGTACAACAGGGAAATAAACTGACACCATACTGGAACAGCTTGTTTCCTAACTTCTGAGAGCAGAAAAAACAAAGGGCCGAAGGGACATGGGATCAAAATTGAGGGGGAAAAAGTATTCTGTATAACTTTGCAGAATTAAGTACAATATGATGAAATAAACATTCTGCTGCCAAACAATGTCATCGCTTTTTTGAATGAAGAGTTTACATCTGACTGTGGCAGTCTCCATGGCCTAAAAGAGCCAGTCTGAGCTGTTCCTGGTGGGCTCCACTAACTAAGATAAGGATATAATGTTGAAAATGGCTGACTTCCAAGAGATGAGTGGAGTAAGCTCCAAGCCAGAAGATGTGATTTAACGGGTAAGTGTGAAACTCAGGGAGTCACTCACTCACAAGGCTGCCTCATTCTGTTGCACTCAGAGGACAGCGAGGGAAGCTGGAAATAATGCTTTTTGTCATGCGACAGGGCGCAGACACACTTTGACAATTTGCATGGCATTAAAATACTTGGGGGAAAACAGATTTGATATTTGGCAAGGCAGATGTATGTTTTGATACAAAGCTGCTCGTGTGCCGGGTTCCTCATCTCATCTGTGTTTATTGAGAATCTTTTGGCATTTCCATCGCTGGATATTCACCCATGAGGAGTGTTTTTGAAAAGAAAAAAGACAGTACAGTACAGTGGGAACCCAAAGGCATGTAGCGGAAAGATTAAAACACACTCTGCAGAGACACAGAGGAAACCATTATGTAGGTTTGTAAGTATGCAGCCTTAAAACACAGTAAAATAGCCTGCTGTGTCTGTAGGGTTGGGCAATCATCTGTGTTTTCGTATTGCTATATTGCCTCAACAGGATGGAGATTGAACACAGCATGGTTGGATGCAATGGAAATTGGTGCAAAGACCAAAGATATGGTAAGAAGACATATGGGGCAGGAGATACAAGGTTTGTCAGATTGCAAAACACACTTGTCAGGATTGGCAGATGGAGAAGGAATTGCTGAGAGGGTGCTTTGAATTAAAGAGATAGCTCTATACTCTGAATCAGGGTTGTATAAGGTAAAGGGTATGAGGTAAAACCACTTTATCATCTACAGTGGATACAGGTCAGTGCTGCACCTATGTGGAGAAACTAATACAAATAGTGGCAGGTAACTTACTGTATGTGGAGATAGAAATTTACTACTGATCACTGAAAAAAGTAGACTCACGCCAGATATGAATATTTTCAGCCCTTACAGCTTTGCCCATGATGGAGATCAACAACTGTGTATTCGTTTTCATCTTTCGTCATGTCAGTCTGAGCACCTATAGAGAAGCTTCGCATGATTCGAAGCTCCAAAATAAGCTCTTGTTTATCATATACTGGAGCCAGCGAAAACTCTCATTTCAGCACTATTTAGTCTCTGCCTGGAACACTGCATTTTGGCTCCTTGTGATATAGAGTCAGACGCAGCTTGTGGCTTCTACTTTTCTAGCATAGCTTTGTAGTTACAAAACTTATGCTTCTACAGCTATTTACATCTATTTGGACACCTTCCTGTCAGAACCAATAGTTTTTTCTAAAGTTTTACTTCCAGTAATTCTTCTTTTGCACCGTACGGGCCAACCTTTGCTCCCCGCACGCATCAGTGAGCCTTGGCCGCCCCTGACCCTGTCACCAGTCCAACAGTTTTCCTTTCTTAGACTACTTTTGGTGGGTACTGACCACTGCAGACAGGGAACACTGAAACAGAGCTGCAGCTTAGGAGATGCCCTGACCCAGTCATCTAGCCATCAGAATTTGACTCTTGTCCAAGTCACTCACATCCTCACAGTTGCCCTTTTTCAGCCACCAACACATCATCTTTGAGGACAAAATGTTGACTTTCTGCCTCGCATTTCACACCCACTAACAGATGCCACTGTAATGAGATAATCAATGCTTTTTGCTGCACTTGTCGGTGGTCAAAACTTTATGTCGAATTTGTGCAGATGCCATCTGGGACATGCCCTGTTTGATGAATCTTAAGAGAGAATATTGATTTTGTTTCTCGGCTCGTCATGACCTTTTCTGACCAAAACAGATTATTTGATTTAGCGCGTAAAAAGCAGAAACAGAGACGCTGGCCTGTTAAACATGTTGCCAAAGGAAAGGGCTTTGTAATGAGTAAGTGCAGCAGTGAAAATAACTTCTATATTGATAATTGGACCCCATTCACAGTGGTACAAAGCTGAGATGCTGTCTACTTAAAACAGATGTGTGCTGACCGTTAACTAGAATGTACCTTATGTTTGATAAGCACCTCATTGAACCCCTCTTCAGAAAAAATCTGAGATATCCTTTCAAGAAGCAGAGACTCATTCTGATAAACACTGGTCCTTATCTCCTAACACATGCAACTCCACCCCAAACACCTGCTGTAAATTCCCAGAAGGGTGCAGATCCTAGATTTGATGTCTTTAATTATTCAGCAGAGGAGCGAGCAAAACTGAACGATCAGCAATCAATGTGCGACTTGTCAATAGTTAATTTGATCATCTAACAGCACACGTCTGCTCTTTTCTATTGTCTATTTGTCTCTGGCAAACACAATACTCTAAAAACTTTTCAGTAAAAGAAGCCTAATATTATCTATTGTTCTAGCGCTTACCTCAGTTTGAGTCTTAGTAAAGTGGCTGCTCTGAGGCTAGAGATTTTTTTTTAGATGTGGGTGGTGAAAGGCACGTCAAATTTCCATTATCTTCAAATCAAAATGGCTGTTTACTTCGTGGTCCATGTTTGCTTTTGTTTGAAGGCAGTGCTTCAGTTTTCCAGTCCAGTGCTCACCGAGGAATGAAGGGCTTATCCATCAGGGTTCACAAATATCTGCTGCACTTGATCACAACATGAAAGACTGAAGAGGTCTCCAGGCTCAGAGAGGTAGAGAAACTTGTGTGAGGAGAGAGGGCACGGGGGGTGAAACACTGTCTTGTCAGCACTGGTTAAAAGTCTGCGGCTTTATAGGAGTGCGGTGTCAATCATTGTGAAGCACAGCTGACAGGGTCAACTGATCTGTTATGCAGTATGTGCACTTTTCAGGCAAGACCCTAGGGATGTGCCAAGGGTAGCTTAAGTACAGCCTCGCTGTTCAAGGGACTACAGATGACCTCCAGATCTCATTTGGTGTTCCTACAGGACTTCATAAAAACACACAGCCAGGTGGGTATTTGGCTTTTACCTGAAGTAAGCACAAAGTATAAGCTGTGTAGTTTTGTCACTATTGCCTCTCTGACGCCTTGAGTTTGGCATTTTGGTCCCTGCCATGTTGATTATCTGAGGCCAAAGTGACTGTTTTCGATGAAAAGGGTGGTGCTGATGAGGAGCGAGGACACGAACAAGTTCTGAAAGCTTTGCAGTCAGTGCAAGAGGCTCAAATATTTGACTCAAATAAGTCAGAGTTCCCAGGACTGAGAGGTCTGGTTCTCCTCAAGGTTTCTGCCTGCCCAAATGAAGTGTTTCCTCAACAATATCACTTGGAAGATATTTTTATAAGTGTTTTTAAATGAGACATCAAGGGAAATGTTCTTGGCTTGTTTTTGTGTCTTAAGATGGTATTTGTTATGAGCTGAATATTTGGAGGTAGTTGGAGCCCATTCAGCAATTCCCACGACAGTCAGAGTCTGTAATAAATGCAGCGTCGCCTGAGGGCTTGAAGATCACGGCCATTCTGTACTTGTTTTTGGTTCTGCCCCTATTCTAGATTCTCTGACTCTTTTGTTGTAGTATTTAGAGTGACAACCTTATTTTTCCAGTTTAACTTTAAAAAAGAAAAAAAAACACAATGGGGGAAGTTTGTGTTTGATATCTGGCACTGCTGGGTTGACAGTTGAACAGTTGAACGGTTAGCAGTAGGGCTAGGACGATATGCTTTTCTCTCGATTTGATTTTTCTATGATTTTTTTAATGCCGATTTGATTTAAATTGTGATTCTATGATATTGTCGATTTTCTTAATTTTTAGTCTGCATTTTTAACACAAGTGAAACAGCTGAATGATTATGATTGTCTACTGACTATTTCAGGAACCATATTTCCCAAAAAAATACACATCAAATCTTAGTTAGATTTTAAGAATTATTCTTAAATTTGAAAAAAAAACATAAAAATCACTATACTTATGTGAATCATTTTTTTCTCCCACCCCTAGTTAGCAGCATCTACCCTTTAGCAAAGGGACCAAGCCTTACATTATGCAGACACCCAACCTAAATTTTTTTGTAAAAATTGTGTTTTTGCTGCTATTTAATCAAGCATTTAAATATCAGAATTAATTAAGATTCAGAGTCTACCATTTGGCTGCTCAAGAGACAGCAGGTTGTGGCACCTCTATAGCGGCTTCATCTCTTGGCCTTAGAAGTCGAGGCCCAGAAGAAAAAAAAAAAAAGAACATCCAAGTTGTTTTTTGATGGATCTGTTATCTTTCAGTAAAGCAGGAAAATAAATTTTCAAAGCAATGCGCCTGGCAATCTTAATGCTACACATGCTTCACATTTCATCTTGTTTTTGACTTCAGTTATTTAGATGGCGTAAAATGGACCTCAGTAAAGATTCAGCCTTCAAAGTGCACTAAAAATATGTCTCATACCTGCAAATGTGGGGTCAAACTTCTCATCTTAAGCAGCAGTAACCCATGCTCAAAATCTCAACGCCCTTATTCCCCAAAAGATGATTTATTCACATTCTCTCTCCCCTGTACTGTACAACCCAGTCTGAAGGTTTACAGTAACATTTAAGTGGGTCAACAACAAAAAAAAAAAATAGAAAAAAGTTTGGAAACTCAACTTACCGAAGGCTTAAAGCGACACAGGCAGAGAGGAAAGGCAAACAGCTTACTCCCCTATCTCCCTCCACTCTCTCCCACACTGGATTAAAGGGAGATAGGGGGAAGTTGGGCATGGAAATGAAATGATTTATTTAAGACAGGTCGCTCCTCAGGGAGTCAGTCAGCACCGTCCCTGGGGGATACCCAGTTTTCTGTACACTGCCTTCTGTACACCCTCACTCACACGCAGACACATTTTACATATAAGAAAGAAGCAATAAAGATGCAATAGAGTGACACGCTGTGATGAATGTGTCTGCAGCGTTGTTAGTCATTTCGAGACTGACTTATTTGCTGTCATCATGATTCATTTTCATCTGCTCCTTAGGTTTCATCTCTTTGAGCGTGCATGGCTTAATGTGCCTCTAATCGAAAATGATGCCCATATATGCATGTATGCTGACACTTCATTTGGATGCGAGATTAGATGATACTCTGTGTGGTCTCTGGGTAGAGCCTCATGCAGCTAGAGGGAAACATTTTTACCACAGTGTGTGTTTATTTTTCTCTCCTGGAACAGGAAGGGCCACATACACCCAGCAAACAGTTATGTGGAGTGTGCACAGTTTTTACTGACACAAACTGGCTGTATCATTTGCATACACACATTTGGAAAATGGCAATTTGACGTTTCAGTGTGCCTTTTACTGGCCGGGCTGCAGTTAACCAGATTTCAAGCTTGGACGTTAGGAGCAACATTTGGACAATTTTCAGTGTCAGAAGGATTATGTATAGAGTTGTATGTTGCAATTAGTGTTTTTCAGTTCGACTCCTGCTAGCAAATATCCTGAAAAGCCAGTGCATCTGAGGGAAAAATAAAAAAATAAAATCTTAAAGGCCAAATTTAAGAGCTGTGATGATCTGCTTTGATTTACGAAGATGAAGTCGCTTCAAAAAGCAAGGAGCAAAACTACCAAGACAAGCCTTCAAATAGTATTTGAATGAATTGCTGTATCAATGTCAGTCTGATTCACCGCCAGGTACTAGTCCTTGATCACAAAGTGCAACTTAAAACCGGTAACACTCAACTTGACTTGCCTCACAGTTCGTAATGCTTCTGAAAACTGAACTGAAACGCACTCTAGAGACTTCATTCTTTTACTTTATTCAGCCACAATGACCTCTAAGCAGAAGATGCCGGCAAAAGTGTGTTCAAGTCTCACCAGAAGTATCGCCTCCTGCATTGTTATCACTGATTCTTAACTGTAATAGAGATTTTGAGGAAATTGGGAACACAGTTGTTAATTGGTTTATGTTTTAGATCTCACAGGGGGTTGTCCTCTGTTTCCTCACTGATTGTTTCACCTCCTGAAGGACTGACAGTATTTGAAGAGGTTTTTATCTTCACTCAAAGATAAGTCTCTCTAGTTCTTCTGCAAACAATATGGATGTTTCTTATGCATTGATCTGCCAACTTACAAAAGCAGGGGGACTTCAGCATGTTGAAAAAAAAAGGTTTCAAATGAATTATTCATATTTGTCCAACTGCAGTTAAATTTTAGAGACTTTATTTTGTGTTTTTTATACAGTGAAGTCAGTTTTTAGTAGGGCTGGGCGATATGACAAAAATCTCATATCCCGGTGTAGCTCATTTTATATCCTGACAACGATATATTTCACGATATTGCTTTTTTGTTTTTGTCTTTTTTGTTTTTTGGGGGAAATTCAATTGATAAATACTTTTTTCCAACATGTATTTGTGCAAAAACATCAAAACTGCCATAAGGATTATTCAGTATGTTGCAGCAGACAGTATACTTCCAAACAGTAACACCGCCCTTCTCTTTCTCAAACTTTTTACCTTCACATTGCAAGGTCCTAAGGGGAGACCTTGCAATGTGAAAGTAAATTGTATTAAACCCCCTTAATCTGAAGGAACCCACAGAGAACCACTGAAATAGAAAACACTTGAGAACTGTGCCTAACAACATAATAATAATAATAATGTCGGCCTGCAGCCTATTGGCAGTATCGGGTAGAAAAACTAACATATACAACAATAACAAAATAACAAACCTCTGAGGTTTTAATAGCTGTGTGCAGGGCCAAATACAAATGTAAACACGTTTAAAGTGCGGCAACAATATAATATAATTAAATTTAACAAAATCTAGTGAAAAATTTAAATCACTCTTTCAAGTTTGAACTGTATAGCAGCAAACATAATGTTACATAAATCAGGTAACACAACCTTATTAATGTGTTTTTGACTGGGCTTTTCATATCTACGATTGAGTGTATGCACCAACTCACAAAACTCCTGTTTCTCGACTGTGTAGATTGAAACCATATCATGTTTGAGTCTGTCGTTGGGACCGGGCTGCGGCATAGTTCGCAAACAACAGTGGTCTGGTCCATGTCTGACTTTTTAAGCCCAAACCAAGTCCATATAACTGACGTTTTCCCTCTTTTGGGTAAAAGCTCCTCATCCTCAGTTTTTGTCATTGGCTCGTGGTCATCTTGTTGAGAATTGGTGTTTGAAGGACCGCTACCGTCTTTCTCAGATTCCATAGTTGTTGTTTTGTTTAGTCAAGTTGTGTCTGGCACGGCTCTGTGCACAGTGTGCTGTGCCTGTGCATGCCATATGTCACGTCGTCACATAAAATACTGCTGTAAACCGGTGTTTTGTGATAGAGCTTGATGTTAAACAATAGACATTTTCTCTCGCCCAGACAATATATATCATCATATCGCACAGTCCTAGTTTTTAGGCCTGCGCTTTTTGTTTGTTGGCAGCAGAAACAACCCAAGAAGATGTTGTAACACATGCTCTATCACTTTATTAAGCTGGTTTATAGATCTTGTAAGCAAGCAGGTTCATTTCCAGCAGTTGGAGTCCCATTTGTGGTCACAGGATGAATTTAAGCCTCAAATTTCATCACCTTTTAGCTCCATGGTGCTTTCCACCGGGCCCATAGGGACAATTTAAGCTGCCAAATCCTCACCAGCTAGTAGCTATTTCTCTCTGTAAGCAGTTTGGTGCATGGCTGGTGTAGTGCAGTGTTTTTGTTCTCAGACCTTTTTTTTCCCATTGAAACAGCTGCATGCTGCTGCTGGAGGAGGAGATGCTAGTGAGGGCAGTAAAGGTGAAGTACCGCAGCGAAGTAAAGTTACTGCCTGTGCAGCCAAATAAATGAGTCAAGGAACAAAAAACCCCTCTAAGCATTAAACATGTTCCTGTTTTTATGGGGATTGATTAAATGTCAAAGCTTTGATTATAGCCGTTTTAAAAATCAGCTATATGGCTGACAGATCATAATCTAAATGTCTAAATCCAAACAGAACAACTATCAGACAGAAGCTCTAAAGCTTTACATCCTGAACATCCAAATTTAACAGCAAAGAAAGATATCACTGTAACCTGAAAAATATAATCTTTTAAATGTTATTGTTGAGACAAACAAATAAACATGACACAGTGTGTCAGTGCCAACCTGTTAATGTTTTATCATTGTTTTCAGACAAACAGGGCTGTCATTATCTTATAACCCATCGCATATATAACATCAAATATACCTTAAGTGGTGGAAAAGTTCCTTTTTCATTGTTGTTTTGATTATTATTTACTGATGGACATTGTTGTTATTTGAGAAAACTTCAGTATTGTGAAATGATCAGGCTAATTTTGCTGCTAAAAAGCTGTGATAACCTTCATGTATGATGTTTTCAGCATTTTAACTGGGAGGTGGGCAGGAGAAAAAATAACTGTGGAGGCTTTTTTAAAACTAAACTACCGCCCTGAATGATTCAGACTGGATTGATACAATCTGAGGACCTTAAATAACCCCTCTTTAAAAACGGAAGGTGATTTTTTTCCTCGCAAATCACAGACATGGTTTATTCACAAGGGATTAATAATGCAGATATCCTCCACAATTATCACATACTATCAGAGGTCCCGAGGTAATACTAATCCTGTGCAGATAGGGCTTAGGTTGATTGAAAGAGCGGTTGAGTCAGTTTTTTTCTTTACCTTGGTGACCACCAGCAACAGACCATTTTATAAACCAACTGTTTTCATCAGAGAAAGTAGAGTCTTGCTTCTAAATTTGAAGAAAATAAAGAGTTTTCAAAAAGCTTAATGATAAGGAGAGTAAATTATTATGAGAAAAGAGTGTTTTTTTCACCTGCAGCTCATTGGCTTTGTCCTGATTCAGAGAGTATAATGCATTTCCCCTCAGGTCCTTTTGTGTTCACGTTGAAATATTGTACAGCTGGCCAAGGCACACACATATCACATCACAGCCTCCTTTTCACACTGCACAGGTAAACAAATGCCATGAATACTGTTCGAACCTCCCATTCATGGAAGCCGGCTCTAAGAAACCAACTGCCATTAGTTGGTTAACCCGCCAACAATATGAGTCATGGGTTGACCCTGAGCAGCGAGGAGGAGGAGGAGGAGGTCAAACGCCACATTGACATTTGAGCAGATGAGTGTTATCAGTCAAATGTTCAGCCCTTCTCACAAAAACACAGAAGTTTACAAAGTTCTGAGTCAGCACCTAAATGAGAGGAGTTTTCAGGGTTCTGCCAAGCAGTGTCGTGTAAAAGTTCAAGACCAGCGTGGCTAAAGTGAACCTGTAGATGCTGAGTCCTGATGTCGCTTACAGAAGCGTCAGCTCCTCAGTTTTTATGCTAGTTACCTCACCCACTACTAAGGAATAATGAGTCAAACTAACCAATCCCGGGTTCGACTGAAGGCAAGCAGAGACAACCTCATTGACTGACCGCCTAACGATTGATAAACCAGACATGTCTATCAATCATTCGGCCAAACTCCCTCAGGTTTTACATCAGTCTTTTTATATGGAACATACAGCTTCTGAATCACCGACACAGTGAGGGGCTGCTGCAGCTTCACTGGGCTACAAAGCGACTCATTTAAAGTATATTGTTGGCTGCACTTTTCCAAAGAAATTAAATTCATCTTTCAGATGAATTTTAATGTCATATATCATATTATTTGGCATATCCTAATAGTTTCTGATGACTTCTATGCTCACAAAGTTGCAGATCCTCATTTAGGAAACTGCCAAATTGCACCGCCATGTTTTCTACAGTAATGCAGGAACCAATCTCATGAGAAATTATAGTTTTGTTTACTTTTACCTCACTAATGTCAGCTTGTGTCACTAAAATGATGGAAAATACATAATCAATATACAAACTAGAGTCCTCCCCCACAGTTTCAAAAGATCCTGGAGGTAACCCTGCGCTCTGTTGACAGCACAAAATCAAACCTGTAGTCATAAAGAAAGGGTCTTTCATGCATGTTCCTGTGCATCCCTACTATGTAACTTTCTGCAAAAAACGAATCTTTGTTTTGTGATGCAAACACCCCTACAATGTGATTTTGTATACATTAAGAAACAATCACTATGCAAACATAAGAAATACATATAGAGTGCTGCACATCTCTGATAACAAACAGCAGAATGCAGGATCCGCAGCAGCATTATACCATGAAGATAAAAAGATCACCATTATGACTTGAGTGACAGCTGAGGATTTTCCAGAAACTCGGGGCAGAAACTACTGAACAGTTACACGCCACGTACCAGTGGAGCTGCCAAACTGCAAGGCTTAACACGGCAGGATCCCACTTCTGGCAGACTCAGCTCTCTCCCAAGGCTCAACATTTCCTTGGTTATAATGTTAGAAGTTATGTTTTTGCAATGAGCAATTACCCGAGCACATGCAGCATGCTGACTGCTGGTAGGGTTTTACATGTAAATAAAGTCCTTGTGAGAGGTGTCAAGGGTAGCCAGGAGGTAAGGAAGCATGCACACAAACAATTAAATCCACCGTGTAAACAAAAAGCTTTCAACAAAACAGGAGATTAAATGTGCAGAAAAAAAGAAAAAAAATAACTTTTGTCGCCACTTTAATTAAAATGGTTGATGAATTCCTAAAAAGTGACAAACACTTATGAGATGGCCGCAATAAAAAAAGTTTTAAAGAGCAAACAGTCATGAACTCAAGGTTTTAGACTCATTTGTGTAAAAAATCAACACTTAAACTACTTTTTTCATTAAATGGAGGGACTAATTTCTTTTCTTAAAACTCTTAGCAGTTGAAACACATGTGCATAATCACTCTTTGCAGAGAAACTTTAATGGAAGCATTTATTATGCAAGGACGACATGCTGAGCCTATGAGCAGAGTGCCTCCCTATAACCCAGCTCCAGCTCCAGCTTTCCTCAGAACCAGTGAGCTGTTTCACTCCAGCACTTTGGAAGAAAAAGCACAGTTCTCGAAGCCTTTCCTGGTATTCCTTATTTATTCACTTTTCAGAGAATGTTAAGCTTTTGTACTTTGCAAGCCTGTAGTTTTTCTTCTCTCATCCATACAGAGCCTTTGATTCACACCCTGATTGCAGGCAGACCTTACCCAGCAGGTTTATACCAGGTCAGGCTCTCTGACTTTTCCCAGGATTCCTTTTCTGGATCAGACAGCGTGAATAATGTGATATGCACTTCTGTCCCCTACATCCAGCCCTGCCAACACATTCTGTGACATTTAAGTGCCTCTCAGCTGCCTGGTTACGCATATCAACGCCGCAAACACAAAGTGAAGAGGAAATTAGCTTTACTTTGTCCTGGCAGACAGAAGAGCTAAAGTATGACACATCTTTGACATTATCATCCCTGATAAGATATCCTTTGCTTTTGTGAAACACTGATAGTGCAAATAGAAATCGGCTTTAGGCATTTCTTGACTGTAAAATGTGTGAAAACTGACAGTTCTGACTCAGATGTATGCAGGTTAAAATTTCAATTACGGGTCCATCGTGTAGTAAACTGGGTCAAGCTGGGGTCTGTTTTCAGCAGAATCCACAACTGGTTCAGTTGGAATCGGTTCCAATTTTTTCAAAGCTATCAAATGTCCGACCAAAATTATGTCCAAATTATTACACCCTTTAAAAGTATGAGTCAACTGCAGTGCCTCTAACACACAGCTGCTCTCCTTAATCTGCATTAAGAGCACTAGCAAACCACATCAGAGACGACAGCCTAGCGGCCCGTCTCAGCCTGCTGACTCATAGCTGCAGAGCCAGTCGAGCTGCAGCACTGAGGAGGACGAGCTGTATGACAATGCCAGCTTGTACTTGACAGATGACAGTTAATACCATCAAGAGGGGGGGCTGGGAATCACTCGAAATTATTACATGGAAATATTGCAAGTGTGAAATTTGAGGTAGCATGTTTTTTATACTCTGCATATTAGAGTTTGTGCATTTTGAGTGCACGCTTAGGATGCTCCTAAGAAGCAAAAATCCCTTAAAAAAAGGTTTGTCATTCATTTTGGGGGGAATACAGATGATTTATTGAATCACTTTTTATACAGTATTAACATTATTCTTCAATAATATCACTCAGTCTGATATTTCCATCCACGCAACATTAAATATTTTCACTCACCCCTCATACCTCGGGGTGGGAATCACTAGTGGCCCCACAATATGATATTATCACGATACTTTGGCAACGATACGATATTATTGTGATTTTTAACATTTTGCAATTCAGTGAGTATTCCGATACAATATATTGCGATTTATACAATTTTTTCAACTGTTTAGCTAATTTAGCATTTGGCTTTCCTTTGTGTTCGTCTTATTTACACTAAATTTTATTTTCATGTAGCACATCTTGCAAACCTTTTATAGATTTGTTGTATCAACTTTCTTCTGTTCTATGATGTCACTTCCGCCAACCTCGCTGGACAAACAGTTGATTTTATTTTTCCATTATCATAGATTTGACCTCATAAACAAATTAATTGTTGATGCTAAATGGTAAATGAGACGATACGATATCTCACCAGACAAAGTATCGCGATACTATGCAGTATCGATTTTTTCTCCCACCCCTACTCATACCTAATGTTCTTGTTCACACCCTGGTTATCTACTGTATCTTTTGGTCCATCCATAAACTCCAGCTGGTCCAGAACTTTGCCGTACCATCACTTCTGTCCTTCAACAGCTTCACTGGCTCCCGGTCAAACATCAAATTGATTTCAAGATTCATCTCCTCACCTCTCAGGCCATCCGTAACCTTGGCCCTCTGAACTTGTGCACACCAGCACACCCACATGCACACAAAGGTCTTCTTCTTCCATTCACCTCACTGCTCACTTGACCATCATGGGATTTACAGCCTTTAGCGGCTCTGCCCCCCCACCTCTACCACTACCACCACAGATATGTAGTGTTGTCTACCTTTTCACTCTCATTTACTGCCTCAAAAAATGTCTTTTTAAACTGACACATGAAGTTTGATCACATGGCTGCTTTTTTAAATGTATCTTGACTTGACAGCAAAAGATTTGATTCAAACATGTTACATCCATACAGATCCACATGTTGCTTCAAATCTGCCGAGACCATGTGAGCTCGCAAAAGTCGTCCATGATCCGTAAGAGCATCAAGAGCTAAGTAACCTCATACTCTTTTTGGCAATTTAGATGATTTGTCTAAGCAAGAAGTAGCTGTTTGAGATGGTTCCACAGCCGGTTTTCAGGGCCAAGTCTTTTGCAATCAACACATCTCCCCACTTTAGCTTACCCTCCACTGACACCACGCTGTGTTCCTGCAGCAAGAAAGGTCAAGAAAGGTGAAAATGATCATTTTGAAGAGCTGTGACATGAAAATAAAAGGTTTTGTCAACATGTTAATTTCTTCAAAATACAGTCCACATTGATAGTTAAAAAAATTTGACACAAATGATTAACTTTTGAAATGAATGAACCTGTGCAATAATGATACTCTGAGGTTCCCCTATCATTCCTGCAGACAGCCTATGGCCATAGACCCACATGACTCTGGCTGCAACAACCACCGACATCAGTCTCACTCGTATGATCATTATAAAATGATTATGGTAGAGCTGACACTTCAACTGCTGTTAAAATTAATATTTTTGTCAATTATTGAACACGACTTTGACTCAAGGTCACAGCCTGTTAAAAAGTTTCCCCTTGTCGCCGGTACCTGCTAAATGCTCCTAAGTGTTATGCGTAATGGTGGACTAGTGTTTAAACTTTGTGAATAATGTAAAAAGACTTCTGTCTAGACTTGGCCTTTTTTATCGTCTTCTTCTGAAATCCTCTGGCAAACATTAATCAGCACTATACAATTAAAATTGATTGATTGATCTGATTGGCTGTATGGGTCGTTAAATCTATGCGACTCCTGCGTAGCCCATGATAATTGTCTCTGTGCCTAAAATGGCAAATCTCCAAACACGCAAACACAACAGCAGTTTGGTGAAGAAGCCCTCCACACTGCAAAAGTTGTAAAATTAAAAGTGTAACAAGACGCTAATGATGTGTCAACTTCTCTCATATTTATGAGTTCAGGATCTGGGCACACTTTGAGGCTGATCAGTTTATTAAATGTTCACATCATTATTTCTCATCAAGACATTATGTGAATCCTTTCAGAGTCACATCTCTGTTTAATTCACTTCTTTGTCAGGAGTTACAGAACAACCAGAAAGTGAAGTTGATCTTTGCTTACCCACCGACACGACTTCTTTCTCACAACTTGATCAGGCGAACAGAGCTTTGAAATATCACCTCCTAAGTGTCCCTCTGGCATCATTTCTGAGTCTGTCTTCTCGCTCGTTCTTTGATGTGCTGTTAAAGTCAGGTACTGCATTATGAAACTCATTTAAGACCACTTAGGCTCGCAGTATACAGGGCAATGAATGGTACAAACGAAGCTGAGAAACAAATTATTCATGTGGACTTCTTTAAAAGATGTACATCTCCTTTCTCCTCTTACTTTTCCTTTTTCTTTGACTCACACTTACGTCTAAGTTTGTGCTGCAAGTCCAAAACCAGAACGATTGCAAATGTCACCCATAATTCTGGGACAAACAGTGGACTCACATTTGCAATCCGACTAAAAACAGTATCATGAAATGAGTGCTCATGAGTCCTTAACTAGCAACATCTTCTAAATGGTAAATCGCTGCACACCTTAAAGCTCCAGTGAGAAGTTTAGAAGCTTTTATGAAATATACTGAAATTCATATTAATGTATTTTCATGCTCTACAAAAGCAAACAAGATCATCATAAGATTGATGATTTTTATAATGTACTTTTGAATGCCTGAAACTGGCGGGGGCGAGTGAAAAAAAAATCGATGAATTGACTGTAAAATTTAGCAGGACGAGGTTTGTGTTGAAAAGCACTCATGAGGATGTAGAGCACATTTAAAGATGGACTGCTCTGTCCACTGGGGGCGCCAAATTTAACAGAAACTCCTCAAAAGGCCAGAATGTCATCTTCGTTGTGTTATGCTGTGTTCCAGTTGTACTAGTAAATCAGGATTTCGGAGCTCCGACTCAGAAAGTCATCTGGAACACCCTCCTGAAGTCGGATTTCCGAAAGTCGGACGATCCACGCCAACCTCGACTTGACGACATCATAATTCAAGACAGCAGCGCAGTGCATTAACAGTAAAGAGTAACAGTGAAAGCTCTTGTAATATATTATTTATTCACACTTCTGTTTTGTTTTTGTGATATTAAATAAGTAGCATATGTTGTACTGCCCGACGTCTAACTGTGAAGACGGTGCTATGGTGTTTATAGAGTAAAATACTGTGTTGTGCGTTGTCTTCAACTATTGCTAACAACAACTTACAACCACTAACAACGGCTAACAACAGCTGACAAATGCTAACAACAACTGAGAATGGCCAACAGCAGCTGACAATGGGTAACTATATCATCTAACTATATAACCATCTTGGTTTACCGACTTAACTGGAACGCTGTCAACTCGGGTGTAGCGTCAATCCCAGCTCCAACATCCGACTATTGAGGTAACTGGAACGCAGCATTAGCCTCTTTATCAGCTTCTGGCCACAACCCTTCACTGAGTGTGTTCTCTCAATGTGTAATCCTCATATTTCATGTCTGTCTTCAACTGTCCTTTAAGTAAAGCCAAAAAAACACCCCCAAAGCAGTGCCCAAAAGGTCTACAAAGCCTAGATTTTCTCATAATTTAAAAAACATATTGTTTTTGCTCAAGCAATGATCAAGTCAAAAATGTGACTCACGGCATTTTTCCCAATTTCAATTACATTTAAAATGCCTGAAAAGAATTATCCATGGGGAAATTTCTGTCTGGCAGTAATAGTTAAGTTTCATCAACCAACACAGCCTTTGGGCGTCCTTATAATGTTCCCTGAAGAGATGCAAAAGCATTTAACTAGAGGTTTATTATCCCTTCTGTTCATAGTTTTTCAATACATGGTGAGAAAAAGGGGAAATTTTCACCCTGTGTCACTATAGCTACTATTGTAAGCTGTCAGTGTTATTACAGTCATGTGTGTCAGCAGGTTCCAGAGTAGTGTATTTTCCTTCTGTGCGGGATTTCAGAGTATGATTTAAAACAAATACCCTGTTCTTCTGTAAATATGTGCTTAGAGAACAGGAAATGATGAATAATAATAGGAACAACAGTCGGCCGAGAAACTGCTCATGTAACATGTAATGTACTCTGTGGTTGGTCGAGAGCTCAAGAGGGAAATTTTAAGCACATACACGTACAAGGTCCTAAAATACACTCTGAGTAAGTACTACATGGGAAGTATCTGGCTTAGGATCTAATTTAATGCAATCTAGAGTGCCAATCAGTCTTAAGAGCAAAGTGCCTGTACAGTGCAGACTGAGATTTCAGTCAACATCAAACGTCCTCTCATTCCATACCACCAGTTTTCTACCACTTGCTGAGTTTCCAATCTCTGCACTCTAACGCTACGCTAAGTGAGTGCTCCCTCGCCAGGAAAAGAAGCCTGTAGGGTGTGTGTGTGTGTGTGTGCGTGCGTGCGTGTGATCATGTGTATGTGTGTGTGACAGTGCGCCGAGGGTGCATTTGTTTGTGTTGCACATGAGGGAGCATGCTCGCTCTCTAAAAAGACCTCACAGTTTAATGGAATTGTGTGTGTGGTGAATGTGAGACAAGACCAAAAAATGAGCCATAAGCAACCCCACGGGTATCACTTTGCTTTTCACTGAGCATTATGTGGAGGGGAGACCAAATATGAACACCAAACACAGCTTTTGTGAAACGGCACTGAAGCAAAAGCCTGCTCATTTTCTCTCAAAAGAAGAGAAGAAAATGTATGGCATATGTGCACAGTAAATAGGGCACTGCTATTATGCTGCTAACAGACAACATAAAAGTGTCAGGTACGATGTTGAACCTCATTATCCAGAGAAGACCATAAGCACCACTTTTACTTTTCATATAATTTTGCCGGTAATGGAAAAACCTATCCTGAAAACATGCATGGAGTTAAAAATAACTACTTTAATGCTGAAAAGTCACAGGATGACGAAGATCACAGCAAAACAAAATCAAATAAGAGGTATGGGAAGGTTTGGGGGAAACTTGGGACAATGAGCTGCCATATTGTACCTATGCTGAATCTAAATCTGAGGTGCATATCCACAAAAGCTGGAGCAGAAAGGCCAATTCCATCGCTGACAGTTGCTTCAATAGACCATAATGCAATGCACCCACTAGACTTTTTAGTGAGGGACCCGACTGCAATCACAGGCTTGCCCTCGTGTTGAAGAACTCGCTGGTGAGACATTTATATTCATATACGCCCACCTTTGATTCAAAGTAATAAGTTCATGCCCTGTTCTCTCCAGGTTGTTCAGTCACTTGAGGTGACAAAGGAAATCAGGAGCTGAAGTAGAAGTATATCAGTGCGGTCAAAGAGAAGGAGGTGGGCGTACCAGCAAAGCGAGTTACAAATTTAAATCGAACACTTGATCACAAATAATTCCTGAACTGCACCGAGTGTCTCAAAGTGATGATATCTGTCAGAGTCTACGGGGGCAGATTTTTTTTTCTATCTCAGGTAAATAACTGCAGGGTCTGGGATAATTGAGGCTTCGCTAATAGATTAATCAGCACTCTTTTTGGGCGGCATTGTTGTAAGGGAAGTGATGGCAGTCTTGTTGTGAAATCACACAGTCAACAATAGGTTTCATTTCAGAGTGGGAAGCCCCCAGAAAGCTATTGTGCAGAGCCCTGAAAATGTAAGAAAAAGAAAAGTTGTTTTTCAGATAATGTGTAGGTGTGGAAGAGTTTGGAGCACCACACATAAAAATGCTTTTACACCTACTTTTACACCACTCTTTCCACAAATGACTTATCGAACACAAAGGCGGGAACCTTTCCTGGGCTGACATGTCAAAAGACAACATTTTTCGACGCACCAAAACACTTATATAAATCTTATATAAGAGCTGTGGAGCTGTACTACACACACTTCACAGTTTGGTAAAGGTAAATCCAGGGGGGAAAAGGCAGAGGCATTTCAGGTAAAGAACACCTTGCCATCTGTTCACCATGGGGAATTGATCTGTGTGTGTGACAACCAGCAGCCCCGGAAGTATTGTAAGAGACAAGAATGGATTCAGGAAACAATCAGCAAATCTGGAAGCCAATGTCCCAGAGTCTGAGGAAGAAAACTGGAGCTGAAGGGAGAATGAATAGAGCACAGTACGATCCTTTTCATGCCTTACAAAGAAACAGCGGGCTAACGTTTTGCAGTAGTCTTCTCAGTCCACAGAAGGGAGTTTAATCAGAAATGTGGCTTTTTACTGGCACCGAGAAAATTTTTCTGATGTTTGCAAAGAGTGACTGAAAATACACAATGCTGGTTCAGATTCTCATTAAGAATTCAATTTTATTTGTTTGTCAGTTTACAATTGTGGTAAGAAAGTCAAATTGGACCAAACAAGTAGTCCAAGATTATATTCTCTTGAGCCATTGATACTTGTTAGACGATTCACATTAAAAAGGTACAGTACGCGGAATTGGAATATTTGGTGATATGGAGGAGACAAATTAAGAGACTGAAACTCTTTACTGCTCTGGTTAGTAAAGCTTCACTAGCTATGGTGTCCTTTGAGGACAAGACTCCTTTGTGATGCCGATGTATCACTTAATTTGTCTCAAAAACTCTTCTAAACTTTGCTAATAAATATAGTTACTTACAAAACAATAGTTTATTATGCTTTTATTTATTTTATTTTTTTTATGACTAGGTTACTCTATTCCCTAAAACTATGCTTTTATTTTGAAGTATACTACTTCTGATGGAGCATAAGTTAAAGAATAAATGACAATAGTTAAAAGAACATTTTGAACAAGAACTTGTGGTGTTATAAAAACAAAAGACGTGTCTGATTCTGGTGTCTACAGATTAACCTAAAGTTGTGTGCAAGCAAGTATTATATTCTATTTTCTACGATGTCTGTTCTGCTATAAATTTAGAGGTTAGCCTAAAGTTGTGTGCAAGTATCATATTCCATTTCTACCAAGTCTGTCCTGCTATAATGCTATTAAACACAACATACTGCCCCTTTAAAATCTGACAAAGATTTATTTTTCCACGAGTCAATTTTGAGCAATCTTCTCAAATGTCTCATCTGATAAGCCAGTCTTTGTGTTTGTCATTCCATATCTTATTGTGGATGGTCGTATTTCTTTTTATATTTCTGTTTCTGGTAAACACTACAGATAATGTATTGCAAAGCCACAAGGATCATACTGATAGTATATTGCAGAGCTATGAGGCTCATGCATGAATTACGGAGAGTGGATGCAGCAGCATGCAATCATACAAGATTTTTTTTGGTGGTGGATATTGCTAAATAAAAAAAGGTACACACTTGAACATAATCTGCACTCTGCAGGCTTATGAAACATCCTCTCGCTCTAAAGAATCTCGCTGTCGAACACAGGCTTCTGTTATGCATTTCATCATGCTTCAAATGAGATTGTTTGTTCAGTAATGTCTACAAATAAAATGCAATTGGATCCTCGTGGATAAGAAACTCCTGTTGCTGTTTGCTCTTGCTCCAACAAGGAGGAAATTAAAGTATACAATCTAATAAAGGATCTACTCAAATGAAGAGACTCTGCCACCCAGTGCATCTATCTCCTTCTGCCCATGTGCTGTCGAGTAAAGACAAGGAGTGCTGGCTTGGGAGCACAATTAATTACACCCTGATATTTTTCCAGAGGGAAAAAGTGGAAATAAAGATTGCTCTGTGAATGACAGCATCTCTAATTTGTTTTGACCTATAGGCGAAGAACATTTGGAGAATGAAGATGTCATGACCACTGCACATTATTATGAATCAATGGGACTGATTAATTACACTCTTGATGGATTCACATACTTTCATTTCATTTCATTCAAGACAAATTTTTAAATGTGTCATGGGAAGAAGATTATAATTATTATTACGTTCTCAAATGTACTGGCAACCCATGACCTTCACCAATCTTTAAAAAACAGAGTTCATGGACATAAAGATTCCCGCAGCTGTTAATCAGTTGCTTATTTTTCTGTATTTCTTAAAGATTTTTTCTGAGTTTAAGGAAGCTACAGAATAGGTAGTCTGATCTGGCTCAATTTTCTGTACTGATGTGATGCTACACTAAGAAGAAGTGCTGTACACTCAGTGCCTCAGTGGGTTTGAGATCTGCTTAAAGACAAACACCCAACTCAGAAAAACTGTCAAAATTATGTCATGATGCCAAATTTCAGGCCAGCACTACTCCCAAGGCAGTAACTCACGTCTTCTTGGCCTGCCTGCTGTTTGTTGACTGGAGCACGATTCCAAAACTGTCCTCAATGTTTCATGGGGCCAACATGACTCAGGCTTACCTGACGGATGGATGGCCTTTGGTGAAAGTTAGGATTGTCAGCGAGGAAAATGAAAAGTGAGTGACCTCTGCAGAGGGGAAGAGCACTGTGGCTGTAAAGTAGGTTTGAAATACAAAATGTATAGACTGTGTCCAAGATGTGGGTGTTGCCCTTGAGAAGTGATTCCAGTGCCACACTGAGCCCACCTGCAATCTTTCTCATGGCCCCAGAAGGATTCTCGGTCTTACACTGGTTTTAAAAAAAGTCCCAGTGACGTCACTGATGGGTTTCTTTAAAGGGTTTATCAGCAGTGGTCTACATATTGGTAATGCTGACTTAACCTAGCTTTTGATATGCCAGCATCCGCAGACCTTGCAATTAGCTACAGTGTGCCTGTCTCTCAGTCGAGAAGAACTTTCTTGATCCCCAAAGGGAAATTAAATCATAGAAATAATAGAAACTCAAGTCAGCCATGCCTCAAATTTGCTAATTTTTGCAAACTTGATACCACTGACATGAACAAATCACAAAAAAAACTCACTTTCTGTACAACGAATGACGTAAGAGCCATGAGCTAGTCAGACCAAAAACATTTTTTGAACCAGGCTGCAAACGTGTTTACTTCTGCCCTTAAAACAGGTGTGTTTGCTCAGTGTGTACACAGTTTCTAGTGCTTCTGCAGCCAACCTCATGCAGGCACTTCTGGCTCTCACGTCAGCTTCAGTTCTCTAGACTTCTTGACAGCTGGTTGCAACTGAAGTACCGAGGTACAGCTATTGTTACTTGTTCTTTTATACAGACTCATTTAGCATGATACACCCTAAAATGTGGCACGCATTAAAGCTCAATGCTCTGAATTGTGTCAATTTTGGTGTCCCCTGTGGACAAAGCATTCCTTACTGATTTTGTGGATAAATGGTGATTATTGACAAAACATCTTATCCTGCTCGCTTTTGGCAGTCCAATGGATCACTTGTCAAGACTCAAGAAAAGACGGGCTGTTCCAGCAGTGTGTCTTACCCCACTGCCAATACTTTTTGGACATTAAAATAAACAACTAAATTAATAACTAACCTTCTGATTAATTATCTTGATTATTTTCTAGCACATAAAAAAAGACATCAACATCAGTTTCAGTCTGTTTCATCTCCACCTAAAAACTCCTCACAGGAGCTTTAATGCTCGGTTCATATTTCGTTCAAGCCAAAGCAATGTGGAATTTTTCTGGCTGAGATTTGAATTAAATGGAGAATGATTCAAATACAAAATTGCAGATAATGAGCCCTGCCAATGTATGCTTACCGATAAAATACAGAAAACAGACAAGTTTTGGATGAAAACTACTTAAAAGTTGTCCCTAAAAATCAATGCAGAGTATATAATTTTTGAGTCTATCCTATCCAGACAAGTCATGACAAGGTTATAGTCACTCTGTTGATGAATTTTTCTGAAGATATTCAGGTTCAGAGTTTTGTCAGTAAAAGCATTTATAGATATTCATTTGCTAATCCTGCTGATTATTACTGCTGCGTCATGCAACTTAAATAATACTTGAAAATCGACATTAAAGGGAAGTGTTCTCATGCAAGTACCCGCAAGTGTCCTTCAAACACACAGTGAGATGTGAAAATTGAGAGCATCACTTTGTAAGCTGGCACAGTTTGTAAGCAGTGGGCAAACATACTTCAAAAACCTCTGTTAAAAAATAAATTCTGCTCTGCTACAAGTCAAGTCTTTGAGAGTAAAATATATATATTTTTGGCACAAAGAGAACACCTCGCTGAGATGCACTTACTGCTGCTGAGGAATGTCAAGAGGCATACATTAGAGACCTTTATAACAGTTACTGGCAAGCTAATTTCACATCACATGAATGTATTATTTTGGGCCATATTATTGCTTTCAAAAGTAAGCAGTGGGGTTGAAATGGATTTTCAGAGGGATAGAAAAGGAGAGATGAAATGGCTCTATTCAGACCATGATGTTACTGGCATTATCAAGTCTTTGGCCAAATCATTTCCATGAGCCTGAAGTGATTCTGAATCATTAGATTTAGGCCTAGGAAGAACTCTGGCTGCATGAGGAAATTGTTTTTCTGTTTTCAAATAATGAAACCCAAAATTATGAACACCACGTTGGCTTTACAGATGAGATAATTACCAACATTATTTTCCAATTTGGGCCGCTAACGAACAAATACAAAACCGAATGATAAAATGTGTAAGTGAGCGAGTGAGAGTGTGTTTGTGTGAGAGAAAAAGAGAACAGAGAGGAGACTAAGTCACTCTTTCTGTTTGTGTGTGTTTGGAATCAAGTGAAGGGTTTAACAGCATCCTGGATCACTCTTGTTTGCATAAATGACTTTCCACTAATTACTGAAATGCTGCTTTAGGTCACCACTTATCGCTACTAGTAGAGGCAGCACATGAAAGTGGTACTCCATCAAAAATGTTTTCAGAATCATATATAGCCCTTGTGGTTTTAAAAAGCTTTCATTCTGGGTCTTTGGTTTGTGGTTTCCTTCATTAAAATCCAGTATTAATTTGAAACATAGCTCCGTCTGTCTATTAAATCCCAGCCTAATACCAACCCTTCTATTCTTTTGGTCCTGTTTTTGACTCAGACCTTTCAGATGCTAAATCCTCAACTGACAAAAGTTAGCAACTTCATAACTTTGCATCAAAGTAGAAAATGTTTTGCACACGTGCTCCAGAAGATCAAAAAAAAATGCAAACCCTTGCACACTGTCTGGCTTGGAAAGAATAAACAGCATTTTTGCACAAGACCCTTATCAAGTAAACGGTTTGATAAAAAAGAGCAGGATTCTTCAGATAGGGAGCAGCTGCAAGTCTGCAACCAATCAAGATCATCATATTAGATCTAAGTCAACAAACTAATGAATTCAATAACAAAGCAGCAGAGCTCAGCTTGCTGGCTGAATGAAAATATGAATAAGCAGTGACACACAATGAAATGTTAAATTAAAAACTTCAAGTTTAGAGGAGCTCAAAAAATCTTAAAAAGAAAAAAAAACAGTCACAGACGAAAATGTGAGAGCTGAGCATGAACCCAAAATAGAACTAGAATAGCAAAACTTTTTAAACCTAGTAAAGCTCAAGTGCCCTTGACTAAGGCTGAAAAACGGTAATCAGCCTCATGTTGTTGAAGGATGTGTATAAATAATGGTGTAATTCATCAACAGAGTCGAGTTGTGGGCCAGAGAACCAAAGCAATGAGCTGAAACCTTCATAGGATGTAAGGGAACAGTAGAGTCAGGTGATGATTACTGTTAGTCAAACCACAATGGTTTCCCAATGGCCAATACTGACGCCTGTGGTAACAAAGCAGGTCAATAATAGCCAATTTACAATGCAAATATCAATTTTTTTCTGGATTAAATAGAATATAACAATTCTACACTGATAACAACCATCATTCCATACACATTACAAGTTAGGATCCATGGTTATCTCAGCCAGAGACATGGTTCAGTTTGATTGTACAGAAAAAATACATTTGGCTAAACTATAGATTTCAAAACATAAGATTTATGTCAGAGGCAACATTAAAATCAAGTATTCTGTGCATCATAACAAAATACATAATTGAACACTAGTTTGTATTCGTTTGATTTGGTCTGCTGTCACCAACGACGGAGAAAAAACATGATCTTGTTTTTCAGAGGACATTCACATTGCTCGACAGCAACCGCACTGATAAGGCTGCTGGGACAAAATTAGTTTATTTTTTTAATCAAGCTCATGAGCACAGATGTTGGCTGATGCAAATTATTTCAAAATGTCATTAAATTGGGCTGATTAATTGGCCTGACTGATAAATATTTGTACCTGAGTGTTCAACTTTTTTAAAACACCTTTCACTGTAACAGTGATTTAGCATCAAACATATCAATACAATTACTCACTATAGCACCTTAGAATAAGAGTTTTCATGTTGCGGTGATTCAGGTGACTTCTTGGGATGAAACAGGGATTTGTTTTTAATGGTGCATTTCGACTGTGGAAGCAAATGAATGGGATAGCGCTTTTTGTATTCTAGGACAAACTTTGTCGAGATATGTAGTTTAATAAATGTCTTAACCATGACATGACAAAAATCTGTGAACTCTGATGAGTATTGGTTTGCTGGCAAACAGTGGCTGAAAGAAGTAGTTTAACTGTACTGATCACAGCCTCAGTGTCCCAGTAAATGACTGAGTACTGTAAATATACACACTCTTTAGTCTTTAGTCTTTAAAAGCTAGCATAAAGATTAGATCCTGTTTATTGCCTTTTCACTCCCTTACTGAGCAGAGTACTGGTTGTAGAGTGTCACTGCCAAAAAAATCCTTCAACAACTACAAACATCTTTTGCTCATCCTCCAGTATCAGTCATGAGTACAAAACATGAAAAAAAATGTTATTTAAAAGGAAAAAATAACTCATTCTGCTGGCAAACGTACTTCTCAATGACAAACTTTACCAGCACAGTTCTGAACATAGACTCTCCAGGTGAGAGCCGAATATCTATTCAGCCTTTTTTATGGAGGAAATATGACCAACACCATAATTCAGTGGAAATAAAGTGATCAGTCTTGTCCTTTATAATCTTGTTTCACTTTGTGGATCAGGATGAGGTATCAACATAAGAGTGGCACGATTTCAAACTCAGTTGAATAAACCCGACCATGCTTTTGAACATCATTGCTTAGATGTTATGATCATTTCAATATGCTTGAAAGATCATTCATCATGGGAAACGTCAACTCTCTGCCCAACGACGAACTGGAGGTATTGGTGAAGACTGAGAAAGCTTACCACAAGTGAATTCTCCTGTGTTTTCAGGAAATCTGACTGAATCAAAACAACCCGAACTCCAGTCTGGATCTACCAGGCTTCACTCTCATGAGATCGGGTGAAGACGCTAAAGCTAGTGGCGAAAAGAAGGGAGGGGGTCTGGATTTGGGATGGTGTAACTCTTCGCATATTACTGGAAGAGAACGACAAGTTGTGTTGTCAAGATATTGAACTGTTAGCAGTTGCCTTTCAACCATATTGTGTTCCATCAGAGTTCAGTTTTACCATAACAATACTTGTACACATCCCTACCAAGACAACGGGTGAAGTCCTGAGTAATGTTCTCCATTCTGTTGCTAGGATACAGACTCAACATACTGAGGCACCATAAAAATATCAGGAGGCTTCAACCCTGTACAGTCTACAGTCTTTATGCTACAGTCTGAAGGGGAGGCAGTAGAAAATATAAGGATGCAAAGCGTCTGGACAAAGCGGTGAAAAAAGCTGACCCTGTGGTTGGAGAAAAGTTGGACTCACCGGAGGATGTGGTAGAGAGATGCACACTGAAGAAGGTAGAGGCCATTCTCAGAAACATGGATCATCCACTTCATAACATGTTGATGGACCAAAAAACAACAGTGGTGGACGGCTACTCTCTGTTAGCTGCAGGACAGACAGATTCAGAAGATAATCCATCAGACTTTTTACTTCCTCTATAAATAGTAGATGAGACGAGATTCCAGACAAACAAGTTTCTCTTTGGAGATCAGTTAAGTTCTTGCATTGTATTGTTTTGTATTGAATTGCATCGACTTGTTTTATAATCTTCAAGCCATCTGGTTTCATTGTTAAGTAAAATAACTGGAGCTCTGTAACTGACTTAGTTTCCATCTTGACCCTACAGGGTGTATGTTTATCAACATCTGTGTTTAAATCATAATCTTGTTCATAGCCAAACAACATCACTTTTCTCCATCGCAGGGATGCACTCATTAAGCTATTTTAATCTGACTTTACAGCACACAGGCATTACAGAAGGATGAGCAGTTTCCACAACCAAGCTCGGAGCATTTGAGCATCTGCGCATTTGTATCCTTGACACATGGGTCACACTTATTATAGTCACAGCTACTTCATAGAATGCCTTCCAAAAACACGTCATAATAATGACGAAGACACGAAGCGATAATAAAACATGGAGTGAAGCAGAAACTATCAAGCCTTGACACCTTTGGTTCTCCTCCTAATGAGGCAAGGATTTAAGCTTTTGGATTCAGAAACATACTGATTGATAACTTTATCGTTCAAAAGATGAACTTGACACAAAATGTGTGCTTTTCAAATTTGAGTCAAACCATAAACTGTTAGACTCAACTTTGTTCAGAACTTTGATTCCCAAATTGCAATTCTTAACTGTACCTGTCTTTACTGCAGAGCCTTAGACCGCTGTGTCTCTTTCAAACTGTTTTTATGACCGAAAATCTTGTTCTGTTGATGAATGTTCTGGCCTTGAGGTGTTCATGCGTAAAGTTATCACTGTTGAACCCACTCTTTGTAGTTATCTTCCAACCCACCAGAATTCCCTCAGGTATTATTCACATTCAATCCCTGGTGGGTGAGGGTGGGGGTGGGGGTGGGGGGGGGGGGGGGGGGGGGGGGGGGGGGCAAGCCCTTGCTTGTATTCTATTATAAATGGTTTTCTCTCAATTGAGGGCTTTCTTGATTATTTTAAGTGGGCAAGTGTTCCGCATCTTCGACAGAAAGGCAGCCTCTCTTGATCCATTCCTCCATGATAACTTTACACATTTCTTCAATACCAGTTTTATCTTGAAGCTTTGGAGAATCTATTACAAAGCAATGTCAGGAAGTGATGGGATGAAGTAACAATTGAAGATGGACTGTTTCACCACTTCTTTTCCTCCTGTCAAGAAGATAAAACATCCCAGTCACCGCTGTAAAATCTGTTTTTCTGTTCTATTTCAGAATAAGATCTATCTCCAAAAAACAGCTGAAAATTTCCTTTTGAAAGTAAACTTCACCTTCGGACCACAGGAATCAAATAAACCATCTACCTTCTGCTTCCTGCAGCTAAATTTAGAACCACTAACATGATAGCTGCTGCGCCCGAACACATAAAAGTGCAGCCGCTTCACTTCACCTTTATGACTCACCACTTCATGTCAAGGATGGAAGGGGATGAAAATTGCTGTTGATTAATATTTAAATCTCTGCATTGAAAAGGCTCTATTTCATGATGACATGTTGCTCGAAAAAGGCTCCGACAACTCAATCTGCATTTCTGTCATAATAGTTATGAACACACTAAACCCTATAGAGTCAGCCTGTAAAATGGCCCAGCATAAACACTGCTCTCCATTTACTTTTCTATAGCAAAGCACAATAACCGTATAGCCAAGCATGACTTCTGACTCCCTCATCTATTCCTGCCTATAAACTGCTCTTCACTGGCTGTGCTTCATGTAGCTCAGCAGCAAACGCCAACATGTACTCTCTTATATTAAGCTTCAAAGGGCTCTAGATTCATGTACAATATTAATGTGACTCTGCTCACACATGTAAGAATCTAAGATCTTTAAGCTTCTCAAAGCAAGGTGAAGAAAATTAGTCTTTAACTTCCCAGATCTCCTTCAATACTTGGCTCCTCTGAGAAATCTCCTGCCGAGAACGAACGCGATCACTTAAACATTTAAACTCATGTTCAATTAAATATAAGGACTCAGACAGCTCTTTCTGAATACCAAGTGACTAGTAATTCTTAGTTTCAGTCATTAGTTTCAGATGTAGACTCACCTACCCTATTGAATTAGATTTGTCTTTGCAGTCATTTTTATGTCGCCCTTTCTACACAGAGGATTTCATTTTGTGCTCATGCTCTGATTAGATGAAACAAGAGGAGGCTTTAGTTTCTTTAATAATTATAGAAGCGGTAAATCTGTCAAATTTCAGTGAAAGGAATATCAGCGATGCTTTTACTGTAGTTGAGAACTGTTCAGTAGAATCAGAGTGTTTCAGCCTGTGGTAGGGCTGGGCGATATGGCCTCAAATTAATATCACGATATATTGAGCAGTTCACCTCGATAACGATAAATGGACGATAATTACTCCACAAGCTGCTCACCCCCTCCCACATTAACTTTGTCTACTTCAGCCGCCGCTCCAACCGCTTCAACTTTTGAACGTCCTCCATCTTCTCACCTTTCTTTACCTCTTTGTTATGGACTGGATGGGGGACAAAGGGACACCGAGCCTACCTACACACATCCAAAACCAACTTTTTTGACAGAGAATATAGCGATATGGGCAAAATGACACCGGTTATTGTCGTAAATGCCGGTATCGGTAAATTTTCGGTTCATCGCCCAGCCTTAGCCTTAACCTGTGATATCCAAAGATACTGATGTTTCAATAAATTGCCGCCCTGACTTGTGTATTAAAATCATTGATCAATGACACTGACTGAATCAGTAACTTACATATTAGAAGTGGATGAAAAGTCCCTTTGCTTGTATTGTTAGCACTGTTTTGCACATGTCACATATGAAAATATATACTATTATATTAACCCAAGAGAGCACTGGCCAGTTTTTGTTATGTGTAGGAGTGGGTGACAATGCAAATATATCATAGTGACAGGATCACTGTCTCCATTCAATCAACATTCTTAGCTATGTTAACTTTTTAGACTACTTGCAAGTTCCCAAACAGAGGAAAATATAGTACTGAAAGAAAGAATAATGAATAATTTGCACAGATTCAGGCTTTGTGTGCAACTTGGCCAATTCATGCCAAGTACAATGTACATCAAATATGATCTAAAAAGGACACTCAGTACTTGTGATTTAGCCAGCATGACAGTGTACCTTCTGTTTTATTTTATTTCATTATTTTAGGTAATTAATTGTCGCTCATTCGCTCGTCTATGTCATGAAAAAAAGGGTCACTGAAGAATATTAATTGTCATCATTTTCGTTAATGAAATTAACACTGTTAGTAACCTCGTACATATAGTCCTGGTTTCCAGTGTGCTAGTAGCAGTGGACTTGCCATTTGTTCAGATTGTGGTCTGCACCAGAGTGCTTGGTCGGTTCTATAGAAATTAAGTCAACATTTGTTAGTGTATAAATATACACAATATATACAATGTATGCAATACTCTGGATTTGCAGGTCATAGAAACATTATAACCCATCTCTGCTCTAATGTTGCCCTTTTACCCAGCCCTTGTTGAATGTTGAAAACTAAAAAGAAAGATAAATACAGTACATTTCTATAGTCAGATGTTCATAGAATATACAGGGTTTTTCCTGCGTTCAAAATTGCGTGGCGGCCGCCTCCACCTAATTTTGTGCCGCCCCCAGCCAGAGCGATTGATTTCGCTCAACACAGCGTAAAGCTCCAGCTGTGTTGATTGAGCGATTGATGTCCCGATGCAGCAGCAACGTATTTTAACTGCAGTTGCAGGGTTGCGCCACTATAGAGGCGCTATATCAACAGCAGTGCACCGGAAAGACCTGAAGCATCTACCGAAGAAGAAACGGATCGAATCATGTTTTTTCAAGTTTTTTTTCCGCTAGTTGGTGCTATCGGCATCCTGATTTTCCCTGGCGGATGGTGCAAACAGGTAAGTACTGCTTCTCTTTTTTGCATCCAAGCATGTCGTGTTTATTTAAAAAAAAAAAAAAGGTTTACTCCGTTTTTAGCGTTGCAGTTATGACAGGCAAAATCAGCCAGTACTTTAAAAAGCGACCTCGCGAGGAGGAAAGTCAAGAGTCCAGGTGAAACACAGCAGAGAAAAAACGTAACAGGCAGTTAAAATGCTATAATTCATGTTGGTGACAACGTGGAAATTTGTGTCAGGTCTGAAAGTACTTCACAAGGGACTGGTGATCGCGAGGGTCAGAATGCAGGACAGGACGAGTCGGCGAGGCGAGGGTAATTAATTAATTAGTTTCCAACTAGGAGCATAACAACGCAAAGCCGACGTGTACGTGGTTTTTATTCCTCTTTCTAGATCTTCTCAAAAACACAGAGCCAGTGGCTTTGACAAGCAGTGGCTCAATCAATTTACCTAGCTCAGGCATACTGAGGAAGGCATGCACTGCTATTTATGCCAAAAGCACTGTGCCCCAACACAGCAGGCAATTGCTGCCTCCTTAGTGAGACAGCCATCAACCAACTACAGGCTGGACACATTAAAAAGACATGAGGTGACAGCCGTTCACAAAGCAGCAGAAGAGAAGAAGTATATTAAAGATGGTAGTACCTAAAAACACTCAACTAATAAAGTTACAAAAACTAAATAACATAGTTTAGATAGTTTAAGAAATAATTGGTTGTCGTTTTTTTTTTTTTTTTAGGGAGGACACTGCAACGTGTATATATATATATATATATATATATATATATGATTGAAAACACTATCACTCTTCATGTCTGTATCAGAATAAAAACAAAAATACTTAAACAAAACAATTCATCATGCATTAAGGTGAAGACACCTCTGCGGAACAGACTGAAGGAGAGGCACTTGGATGTCTGTTGTAAGGTGGCCGTTCATGGACCAGACCAGGAGGCCTTGGACTACAAGGAGTGCATGAGGAGGTTCTACAGAATGAAAAAGAGGAGGCTGAAATGTTCTGTCTGGTTGCGAGATGTGTGGATGAAGTGTACTTTCAATTTAAAGTTGCCAGCTGATTTGTGTATGTATATAGTTTTAATAAATGAATGCTTTAACATAATAATGGTCACACTCTTTTTTGAACTCTTAACTTAAAGTATGTTGCCTGTAAAAGTAAGTGAATCGGTTGAATTTACAAATACATGCACGTCGTGGTGCATGGTCAGGATGGTGCCACCTCTGCCTCAATTTGAGCCAGGAAAAACCCTGAATATACAATAACTAGTATCTTGTTTTGATGTATGCAGATGTTTCTCACTGTTCTTCAGATACACATCATGTCCTCTTTCTTCCTCCTACCATTATCTTGTGCTCCGCGTTGCAGCAACCTTTTGCTGCCTCATGCAGAGGTACAATTTGGCATTTGTTTACCATCTGGTGCCCTTTGGTGTCTGCTTCGAGATTTATTTTCTGTGCTGTTTGTTTTAAGCTACCCCTTGGTGTTGCTTTTACTCTTTCCATCACAGTTAACATTAAATGGTGTATTTTGTTTTGCTTAGGCCAAAAAGTATTTCACTGAGTTCAGGAAAAGCATCACAGTGTGGGCATGAACTCAATCTTCAGTGGTGTTGTACATGCAGATTAAACCAAGACCTAAATCAAGGTATCTCCTTTTCTTACCCTGAGTTAATCTGTGTTTCTACACTATCAGAGTTTCCATATATTTCACAGCAGGAAAAGTCACTTCAGAATGATAAAATATGGGTTTGTATGAAGTCAATAGCTTGCACAAACCACGCAGTGCAGGACACAGTATGTCAGCCTGTCCTCTGGTAACTTGCCTCAGGTTAGACCTTCACCGGCACATGACGGGTTGTACTGGAATGATAGCAAATGCCATCTCAAACAGGTACAAACAGTGAAAGAGAACAGCCTGTGTTCAGGCTTTTTTTATTATTTTTTTCTACAATTTTCTCAGTAAAAAACAGCACTCTGTGAGACCGTAAACACTGCTGTGAAAGCTGAAAGACATAGCCAAAACATTTTAGTGGCTAGAGCTGAAATACAGCTATGACATCAAAATCAAGAAAGAGGCTGATTCAGGCGGTCTGCAGGTGACAATTCATTTTACACATTACTATTCAAAACATATAAACAATGAGCAATCTTTAATTATTATAATCAGAACGAAATCAACAAGCTGCATGTATTATTCAAAGCTATGGACATCCATCCATCTATCCATCAAGTATCTGTACTGCTTATCTCATTCAGAGTCATGGGGCCTGGAGCCGATCCCAGCAGTCATGGTTTGAGTAAATAAAGGTGTTCTTTTATCACTCTTTCAGTGTTCACTCGTGTATTACTGTTGTCCTCTATTATTCCCTCACATTCTCTGGCATTTTACACCCATGCCAAAAGAAATAATCACATAATGTATAATACATGTATAATAAATATTGGGAATGCACATTATAATTACCAAACCCCGGATGACTGCTCATATAAAGACTATTACTTATCCAACATTAATTTTAATCGCTGGCAAGAGACACTGAGGGCTAATTGCATTCTTTGGCTTTCTCCAACTGTAAAACCTTTCTTGTTTTCCTTGTACGACACAAGAGGAGAGGAAGAAATGAAGAAAAAGATGGAGAACATGCAGAAGAAGGAGATAGGAGGAGGAAGGAGAAAGGAAGATGGAGAAGAAGGAGGAGGAAGCAGGGGCGTGTCCTTGGGGATTGCAATGGCCCATTTAATTTTATGAAGGGGTTTGATAAAGTATGATTGGCGATTTACCTCGTTAGTGGTGGGATTTTTCAATTTGGTGGGACTTTTATCTTTCTTTGTGTGTTTACTGTGCTCATACACTCCAGCCACCCAAACATGTCAACGCCGTCTTTTGAGCCACTGCAGTCAGAAAACCCTGATACATCCCTGAGAGTAGGGGGAGTTAGAAGAGGGGGTAGAGGAAAAAGTAGTAGTAACAAAATACCACCTGATACCAATTTACAGCTTTGTGGTATTGTGATTATTCATAAAAAGATTGGGAACAAGGCTCTGAAAACTAACCTCAAAATAGGAATAACTTCAAGGTATAACCAAAAATCAATGTGTTCAATACTTTCAATGACATAACTGACTGCAGCGTCTTGACTCTTGCTTTGGGTGAGTGAGGCAAGCAGAGCATAGTCCACTGCTTATGTCGGCTGTACATTTTGTTTTTAGAAATGTAATCAACGTTTGTTAAATTTAAGACAAATTTAAAATGAACGGCAAAGATTTTAGTCAACCAACTCTGGATTAGACACATTTCAGGTGACAAAACAGGGTCACTTTGTAAAACACAGAATTCAGAAAAATTAAAATTAAAAAAAATAATAATAATCAGGTTTTTAAAGGGTGAGAACACATTTTTGCGTGCTATTTCTACTCTGGTAAAGTGCTGCTGTGAGTGGAAGAGTCTCTAGGATTTTAACAGTATTCTTGTCTAAGATTTATCTTTGAATGACAAAATAGGTCTTAATAGTCTAGGGTGACCATATTCTGAATCCCCAAAAAGAGGACACTACTACACACAAAATTTTGTGAGTTTTTCCAGTTGGGTCGAGTGTTTTTTACGCGCTCAGTTAAACGCATATTCTGAATTCCAAATATTAAAAAAAAAAAAAAAAAAACTATGGTCACCTCACTTAATACTGCGAGAAATAAACCACCTCTTACCTGAAAAAGAAAAACAGGCCACTCTTCTTAATTTAACTGGTACGTGGGAATGGTGATAAAAGAAACAGTGATAATCAGGGGGAGAAAATAAACTCCACCAGCTCCTTAGACTGTGCAGAAAAACGCAAACATAAAAAAGGAAATATTAAGATAAGGAAGCAGCATGATTAAATCGAGTAATAGGATCTAAACGAGAGCAGAATGCAGCACATGTAAATGTATCATGATAATCACAAACTGCATGAAATGTCATGTTGGAGAGGTTAAACAGATTTGAAAACCCCTGATGCAGAAAATAAAATTATATGGTCTGTGATATTATATTGTGTGTTTATCAGTGTGTATTTCTGAGTACTTGTATGAGTTGCTTAAGTACATTCACATAATCATCTCTGTTTCATTTTGTGTTTATCTGGCGATCGTACTGTCTCTGCTTTGCATTGACGTGGTATGCATTTTATAAATCCTGTAGGATTTCAGGTACACTAAGGTCAAACCAAGCTCCTCTGTATTCACACTAATGTACCCATATGAACAGGTGAATGAAACAGCGACGGATAAACGAGAACAGACTATGAAAAAGACATTATCATGATGGTGAACTGGAGGTAGGCTATGAGCAACACCAAAACAATGGAGCTGTTTTTGAAGGCGGCAGTCCCCAAGGTGTTCAATCAGCGCCAGAACGCTGAAACAAAATACCACATACAGACATTTGTTTTCACGCTTTGTGGAGGTCTCTGGAATGTGAATATGGGAGATCTCTGATGACTCAGGCCATAAAGTACTTTCCCTCTGACTACAAAGGCAGCAGCTGATAGTCTAGCAACTGTTTCTCTTCATGCTGCTTAGCGTCCACCTGTAAGCATACACTACAGTTACATAACAAAAAGTGGACCATGTGGGATGATTTCAGTGGCGATTTTTTAAACTAGGAAATTTTCTGAGATCTTGTAGCTCTGTTGTGATATTAGATTCTGCCCAGTTTTCTAAAAGCACTACATAAAAGCAACCCACAGTTTGTGAAGCTGATGAGAAACAACAATTCCTGACTTGTTTTTAAGAGCACAGTGTATTAAAGTATCTACCGTAAATTCCGGACTATAAGCCGCTACTTTTTTCCCACACTTTGAACTAGTGCTGGACGATAATTCGATAACAATATATATCGATCGATAGACGTGTGGTGCGATAGAAAAAAAACGGGTCGATAAAAAGTTCGATAGAAAAACACAGTTTCCCTTTCTTTTTCATCATAGCCTATCATGTAGCTTTTACTACAGTCATTACTTCCTCCCAACCAATCACAAACGCAGACCCAGGTACGCTACGGCACCAAGCCCAGCCCCTATCAAACCACAACAGACAGCACGTGTATTAGAAGAAATGATACAGCAAGGAGAAGCGGAGGACATTGTCCCGAAAAAAGGTTTCAGTAGTTCACCAGCATGGCAATGTTTTGGTTTTTAGAAGTCTGACAAAAAGCAAACAGCGGTCGTTTGCAAAATTTGCAGAGAATTAGTAAAAACCAAGTCTGGTAACACAACCAACTTGTTTTACCATCTAAACCGGTCGCACCCGCAGGAGTACGAGCTGTGTCGGCCGCGCCGCGGCTCCACGTCATCGTCGGAGGAATCCTCTGGAACCGCTGCCAGCACCAGCACAAAGCAAGTGAAGCCGACCAAACTGGACTTCGTTTCTTGCCAAAATACGACAAAGCGTCGAGCGGCGTAAGGACATCACCCATGCGGTAACATGCTCCATAGCGAGGGACATACTGCCAATAACTACCGCTGAAAAGCCTGGCTTCGACCATTTTCTAGCCACTCTCGACCCGCGATATGAAGTGCCCGGCCGCAAGTATTTCTCAAACACAGCGCTTCAGGCATGAAAATGGGTCAGGGGTTGAAAAGGTGAGAAGGGTGCGGAGGAAATACGTTCAAATGAGCTAATATTTTACAAAGACGCGAGTATTTGGATCATGGCTACTAGCAGGGGGTGCATTCGGCAGGGGTGCATTCTACGACACAACACCGGCGTGGATAAGTCCTGCTTCTCGTGCTTAGTTTGTGTATTAAGTCAATCACATGATAATTAAAAAAAAAATCTCCCGACCCCGGGAGAAATATTTCAGTGTTCAGACACCAGGCTGTGGGCAGTTTCCCACACAGTTAAAACTGGTAGTATGCTATTCCCACCTAAAGCTATTCTGTTTATTTATATATTTGTTTGTTTTGTTTATTTTCATCAAAAGACTATTTAAATATTTATTTATTTGATTTTCTGGTCACTTTAGTCTTTATGTTTGTCAGTATTTACTGACGTCACTCAGGCCACTTAAGTTGATTTCTTTTTTTTTTTTTTAGTTCTTTTTAAAAAAACTTTCAGTTGTGTTAAAATAAAAAAGGTGGTTGAATAAAGGTTTGAATTTGAATTCAGTGCTTGTGTGTTCTTTATTAAAAGTAGGTCATTAAGCAATAGCATAAAACATCCAGGGCTGCAATTAAAATATATGTTAAATAATTATAAGCACAGTTATATCGATAATTATCGATATCGATCAATATGATTTATTTTTTATCGATATGCTTTTTTTCTATATCGTCCAGGCCTACTTTGAACACTGCGGCCTATAATATGGTGCGGCTAATGCATGTTTTTTTTTTCATGGCGCCAAAAACAGTAGACCAATAAAATTGATGAGAAGTTCACAGAGGTCCAATGAAATTGTGCGATACATCATGCTAACTTTCACAGTTAATTACGGTCTTGTAAATCAGTCATTTGTACTCACCCTCATCAACATGGAAGATACTCGAAGAAAAGCATACGATGCCGCTTTTAAGTTAAAGGCAATCCGTCTGGCGATTGACGTAGGAAATCGAGGTGCTGCACGTCGTTTTGGCATAAATGAATCGATGGTGAGACGGTGGAGACACCAGCGCGAAGAACTGACTCGATGCAAAAAGACGACAAAAGCTTTCAGAGGTAATCACAGCAGGTGGCCGGACCTGGAAAACTCCCTTGAAGACTGGGTGAACACACAGCGAGCAGGAGGCCGCGGAGTTTCCACCGTGCAGATCAGGCTGAAGGCTAAAGCAATGGCCACCGAGATGAACATCGAAGATTTTGGAGGTGGGCCATCGTGGTGTTTCAGATTTATGAAACGAAAAGACCTGTCCGTCCGGGCACGCACAACGCTGTGTCAGCAGCTCCCTCCCGACTACGAGGAAAAACTCGCTAACTTCCGTACATTTACTCAAACAAAGATAGCGGAGCATTCCATCGGGCCAAATGACATAATAAATATGGATGAAGTACCTTTGACCTTTGACTTGCCGCTGACCCGGACTGTAAATAAAAAAGGTGACTCGTCCATCACAATCAAAACAACTGGCCACGAGAGGACGCACTTCACGTGTGTTCTGAGCTGCACAGCATCCGGACTAAAGCTCCCACCCATGGTGATTTTTAAGCGTCTGACAATGCCAAAGGAAAAGATCTCAAAAGAAATAGTGGTGAAAGTCAATAAGAAAGGCTGGATGGAAGAAAGCCTAATGAAGGAATGGCTTACGGAGTGCTATGGCAAGCGTCCAGGGGGATATTTTCACCAAAAAAAAGCACTGCTCGTGATGGACAGCATGAGGGCCCATATAACTGTCTCAGTGAAAGCTGCCATCAAGAGTACAAACTCTATCCCAGCTGTGATTCCAGGGGGCACCACGAAGTATTTGCAGCCACTGGACATCAGCGTTAACCGTGCATTTAAAGTGGCACTGCGCAGTGAGTGGGAAACTTGGATGACGAGTGGCGAGAAATCCTTCACCAAAACTGGCCGCATGAGAAGGGCAACTTTTGCTGATGTCTGCCAGTGGGTTATAAATGCGTGGAGCCGCGTCAAAACATCCACCATCACCGGCGGGTTTCGGAAGGCTGGGCTGCTCCGTGATGAAGAGGACCGCGAGTGCTCAAGTGAGAGCGACAACGAAGAGACTGAAGTGAGTGACAATATCCTAAAGTTGTTCAATTCAGACACTGAGGAAGAGGACTTTGATGGTTTTAGTGCGCAGGAGTAAGAAGAAGGCGACTGACTTTTCCTGATACGCTGCAAAGTTCGTGTTGTTCAGTAAAAAAGCATATGCAACGTTATTTGCGTGTTACCGACACGTATAAAAGTACGGTCGATGTGTTACAGGTACTGTTTCAAAAAAGCATTCGTAAAATGTACCGTATTTGTTTGTTTTACCATACGGATTAAATCAAACGTTAAAAAAATCCTCACGTGTAATATCTTTGTGTAAATATCTGCGGCTTAAAATCCGGTGCGGCCTATACAAGTACAAAATTGATTTTCTTTCTAAATTTAGAGCGTGCGGCTTATAATCAGGTGCGCTCTGTAGTCCGGAATTTACGGTATATGGTCTACGGATATTAAAGAAATTAATGGTTTGTGCACCTGTAGTCCAGCAGGTTTTACACTTGGAAAGTAAAACAAATCATTACTCTCACTGTTATGACCTGCTGATTACTTTCCGTGATTCAATTAACAGTGTTTTCCGCAAAACTGGAATTCTTTTGTCTTTTTATATACAGCATAAATTTGGTCAAACTCACTGGAAAAAAATGAAATAATAATCTTATTCTTGCTTGTCTCAACTTGTGGAAATAATGGCAATAATGAGTTTAGAATTTATAGAAATTAAGGATAATTCTAAGTGATTAATGTCCTTGTTGTTTCACTGAAAATGAACATAGACATAAAACACTTTTGGCAGCTTTATCAATTATTTCTCATACTGCACTGACATTAAAATTTAACTCAGAGCTGACCAGAATGCACCTGCCTTAATTCATGATGATTTCCACAAATACTATATATTGACCCAAATATAAGTTGACAGAGAAAAAGTCTCATGTGTGCAAACGAAGCAGCTAAATATGGGTTTCAAAACACATGGCTATTATTTATGCATCTTATGGTTCAGTAGATGAAGACTCTGGTACTACTGATCAAAAACCCACTCACACACACACATTTGAATACAATCTCTGTGCGCTCATCATCTTTACACATAACACTTTATGGCACCATATCCATTGGCTATTTGACAGCTGGTCATTGTCTCTGCAGCATTGCTTTTTCTTAAAATATCCTGCAGTCCATTGAATGACAGCCCTGGTACTGAGCACGACTCTTATGTGTTAATCAGTGACTCGTGCATCTCTTTGAATACGGTCTTTGTACACTCATCATCCTAGGACATTACACTTCATGACACTATATTCCGCTGCTATTTGACAGCTGTTCAATGTCTCTGCTGCATCGCTTCTTCTTAAAACAGGCATCATAACTCAGCCTCATTGGCTGGTTAACTTGTCCAACTTTTGTGCTACAGTGGCCGTGGATCTTCATCTTTCGTTCTCCTGACAGTACAGCAGTGAAGGACAGTTTATCACTCTACAATGACTATTTCAAATGACCAGTATATGCATAAAAAAAAGAATCATACTAAAAATGAGGTTATTGTGTTTAAATTAGGACCTGCATGTTCCAGCCAGCATTGTGAACACTGGGCCACACACTGTGTGGTCAAACTGATGTCAAAAGCACAAAAACATACAAAATCATGTTTTCACGTGATGAACATCTGACAGACAGACCAGCTTAAAGAGACTGAGACATGCTCCATAAAATAAATCTGTGAACAGAAAATGAGCTTAGTTTAGACTTCATTTTGGGGGCAACTATAAGATCACACATGGTCCGGCGTAGACTAATCAACACACCGACTGTGAGTGTCAGCCCCCAAACTTGATCTTTATTTCCCAGATCAAAATAGTGCCACACTGCACCCAGCTACACAAGATGCTACCTTAACCTTAACATGCCAACTTGTTATAAAACTGGCTTTTTCCAGTCTGAAGTTGATCCAGAAACAGTTCTGAGAGGTAAGCTGTACAGACCTCCAGGTAATGTCATGAATCCAAGCAAACAACATTCGGTCTGACATATCTGGAGAGGTAAAACTCACAGGTTGTGTCTAACAAACCGAATGCACTGTGCAATCTTGTGGTCAGAAGACTGAGGTGAATATATGCTGTGCTTCTATTCAAAATATAAAAGATGCCTATAACTAAATACCACGAAGAAGAGTAGAAAAGCTGAGGGCATTAAATGTTTTTACTGTTTTGCACTGAAAATAGTTAATTTCATGAACTTAATGATACTTGGAGTAAGTCCGTGCACCAGTTAGATGCATTTCCAACTACAAAAGCCTTTCACTAATCAAAGAGACCAAATTCAACCAAAACTTTAAATACAATTTGGTGTGGAGCTATAAAGCTGTAAGACCGAAACAATGCTGGTCAATTCAGCTTCTTAATGTTTTAATCATGCAGCAGGGAAAATCACTGGCAGAAAAATGTTCAGCAACAAGAGCAAAACATTTTAAAAGTAAAAAGCAACACTAAAAAAAATAGATAACAGCCCTGCTGTTTGTAGTCGTAGCTCTGGCATTAAGAGAAAATATCAGCTCGGCTCAGAGAAAAAAATAATCCTGGAGAAAAAATAAGCTGGGCTGCCTGCTTTGACGAGCTTTCAGTTTCAGTAATTGTGCTGCTCTTCAGTGCTGTACTACAGAGGAAGAAAGACACAGACCTGACAATAGATTCCACTGCCAGAAAATAAAGCAAATAGCTCGCCTTTTGTAAACAAACAGAGCAACAAAATGCTCGCTTCCATTTTATACATGGCTTAGCTTCAAGATGACTTTAGATGACTTTGAATCTAACAGAAGTCTGATGCTCTTTTTTGTTTGTTAGAAAGGTCAGATAAAATAAGTTCAGACAACAGTTCTTTCCTTGCTGTTTGCTCAATGTGGATGTTTCGGAGGAGGAAAGATATGCATGTTGTTTCATGAGTTGAATTAAATGTAAAATCTCTTGTTTGTGCACAGTTTTACATAGTGTTTATACATGAGGTTCCTGGCCTCCTAAATCCCCTTGTTATCTCTCTATCCCATGAACACCTTTGGGATATGTTTGAATACGGTAAGGCTGTATAGTTGGCTCTAACACTGGACCCTACCGCTGCCTTGTGAAGTAAGAGCCATACTGTAACTTGTGCCAGCTGTTGTTGGGTGGTCCAACAAGGTCTTGGATATGGGTTGCTATTCTTAGGCTTGCTTTTGACAATGGTTAAAACAAGTAAGCAAATGTGGATTTGGGAAGTAAGAATTTTTAAGATGTTGTTTTCTATGAGATATCTTCTACAGAGTTAATTTTTATAAAGAATATGTAGTTTAATCCTTAATCAACTATTTAGTGTCTTAATTCCAGCAAATATGATGTAATCCCTCTGAGGAAAGTGCTGAAAAGCAAGGCCAGAGTTAACTGAAAAGGCAGCGCTGTATCCATCACGTCCTCTGTCATAATCCTTCCCCCACATGTTGGAGTGGATTTAAACTCAAATAACATTCACTGCTGCTCTCTCCATCCTTAGTCTGAGCATCACCATTAGGGTAATGGTGTTCAGCTTATATGCGCGCTAAAAAATGGATTTAGGATCCATTAGCTTATTAGGCGCAAAATGACATTATCTCCCCTCAATGTGAACCCCGTAGCCGCCATTGGGAGATAAATTACGCCGTAGCAACACCCCCTGATCTGTCAATCAATGCTCTTATCACTTTGTCACCCCAAGGGATTGCAATCAGCCATTCATGGCATGCTTCAAATGAGTGTAAGAGCACTGGCTGATCCATGCAGCATGTTTATAGAGGGATTAATCGAAACGAGAGAGATATTCTGAAGTATTGGGAATGCTTGAATACAGATGAAATGACTTGAAGGGGGAGCATGGACTGAAGGATGTATTTTTGTTTAGCACTAATAGAGTTCGCTTTAACCTTGCAATCACCAGACTTTGGAATTATGAAAACAGAACATCTTGATTCATTATCAACATTATCAGGGTTAATGGGGTTAATTTCATCCAAGTTGAATGCTGTGCATTTCATCAATTTATCAATTTCCTGGGCCCAACAGGTGGTGTCTTCACTGTTGTGTTTATCAATTTGTCACCAATTGGATCCAATTTGCAATGAGGAAATCATGCTAGCTGCATACTCCTGGTGATAATCTTGTTTTTTTTCTGTGAAATTGTGTTAGTCTCCTTCAGATCAGATAACATGTTCGGCTGGTTATTTTTAATTTTTTTATTTTACCAGCAGTCTCCATGTTTGTTGTGCTCCATGTTATTTGTGCCATGTTTACAAGTATCTGTCTATTCCAAAAGAGAAAAGACACAATTAAACCCTGTGCAATAGTCTTTTGGCAGTAGCACAGCAGACCAACTCATTACTTAATGCAAGTATCATTATACTCTGGGCTGAATGGAGCTCTCTGTGGAGTCTGTTCACCTTGAGTTGCCTCTGCCTCCTGTTCTTTGGTTGAGACAAGAGGTGCCTACAGGTTACAATATCACTCGAGATGTTCTGGAGCTACCAACTTTATGTAAAAATAGATATTCAAATTCGGACTAAGCAGCTTGTCAAAACGTTAGGAAAAGCTAAACCAAAAATAAGAAACAGTCAAAATGGAGCAAAATTCATGAGACACAGCTTAATATGGCTCTTCAGAGTCTGGGGATAAACAGTGTCAAATAAGTTTGCAGAGTGTGGCCAACACTGGCAGAGCAATCACAACCAGCCTCCAGTTTCCCTTGCACATGCCTGAAATGGTTACACGACGCTCAGGTCGAGTGGTTATGTACAAGTATGCCAACCAAAGACAGTATTCCCACAACTTATTTATTTAGAAAAATACATTAAAAATTAAAATAAAAATTGTAAAAACACCAATAACTTGTCTAACCCTAGGGTGATAATATTTGATACATTAGTCATCTAAACAAGCACATCCCGACCCCTCACTAGGACTTGAACATTGTGCCTTTATCAGTGCTTCTGACAGCTTTGCTCCTGTGTTCTGCCTCTATGCTTTACACATTATAGATGAGTCCTAACAGGGTGTAAATGTCCAGCTTTAAACTGTAAGTGTGTAAGAGGCTTAATATGTTTTCATTGGGTTACTTCAAAGATAATCAGTCTGTATCTCTTGCTCTCAGCCTGAGTTGGCTCAAGTCCCTCACAAATCCTATCAGGATTAGATATATTGGCTGATCATTACTAATGGATGGATTTTTATTGATCTTTAGTTTAGTGACTGTAATGAAAAATAGGTTTTTAACCAAGAGATTTTCATTATATTTTTCACTGATAATACTGAAACACAGACAGAGGACTTCATCATTTACTGAACTTTTAAATTCGTGAAGCTAGACCCAGTAAACACTTATTGGTTTTTGCCTTTTTAATGTTTTATAATTGTAAGAGACAATCGAGATTGGATGTCTCATCATCAGTTTATGACTTACAGTTTTTCCCTTCCAGCACTCTCACTCACTGCAGAGCAGTACTTAGATATGAGGTGTTTCCAGAATACTGAGCCTAATTTATGTTGTAATATATAAGTTTTTATGGCTGCAGATTCTGTTTAAATCTTTACATTTTACAGACTGTTAAAGTGAAACTTCCAGTGTGGCCTTGGGAGGATGAATTAGCAGTAAAATCGTGCGTCTAGGGTTAGCTGTACTCTAAATTGGAATCTCTCCTCTGCCTGCTTCATTATCACAACTTTCTCTTTGTGGCTGCTTGGAGGCTAATTAAGGGGGGCAGAGAGAGCGAGAACACAAGACCCCACTGATGGAAATCAAACGAGAAGGACAGGGATGGGAGAATAGAGGAATAATCGGCTGTCTGATGAACGCTGACCGTGCCCTTGATGAATAGCTCCAATGCCTTCCTAGAATGGATGAGAGGCAAGTGAGACAAGTGCCAGGGACAAACTAGACTTTGTTCTCATGAAAAAGAGCCGTAAGCCGGGTGTAGGAAGAACCAAGAGTAAGTAGAATCAGCTTAATTTACTGGCCTCAGTCTTAATACGTATCCTCCTACCCCTTGCAGTCAGACCACATAGTGCAAATTAGCTTGCCAGAATTCATTCTTTCTCCTTTCTTTCAATTCATTTCACTGCTGCTGCAGTTAAGCCTTGACTGCTGTGCTTTTCCAGTTTACACAAGCAATTTACTTACACTGAAACAAGCCATGCATGCAAAGATGCAGAGCTAGGTTGATGTTCTAGAGCTTGATCTGCCAGTAATGAACTTGATTTATCATTAAGTCTTTTTAATTTGTCATCAAAAACCTGTATCAAAGTTGCAACCACCTCAAAGACATATAATGAGATCTTGTACTTTGATTTTGATCATATTTGATGGAATCAAAACCCTCGATTTTTGGTTTATTATGTTGTAAGGCTAGAATTGTAAACAAACTTAGCATTAAATACGTTTGAACACTCAAAAGGTTTGGTATTTTCAGATGAAACAGACGTAAATGAGCATCAGTTTCCAAAAGAGATGACAACCACATTTCTAGCAGTTGACAAAATTGATTACTATAAAACCCAGCATGCACTTTTGATCCTTTTTTGTTTGTTTGTTTCCTAAAAAGTGAGCAGCATCAAAATATGGTCTGTGGTATTTTACACACAGACCTGAATATGTATCCAACATGCTGTCTAAGAATGTTGGATGCATAGCAAGGAAGACAAGTCTAGAAACCATTATCTTTACCTCCGTTTCCTGCATGGTAGCAGGAGCCTATTCCAGCTGTCACTGGGCGAGAGGCTGGATACACCATGGACAGGTTGTCAGTCTATCATAGGGCTGACATACAGAGACAGACAACCATTCATGCTTACACTCACACCCAAGGGCATTTTGAAGTCGCCAATCAACCTGACAAGCATGCTTTCGGATCGTAGGAGGAAGCTTTAGCACTTGGAGAGAACCCATGCATGCACAGGAGAAACATGCAAACTCCACACAGAAAGACCCAGCTGGGAATTCAAACCAGGAACCTTTTTGCTGTGAGGCAACAGCGCTAACTGCTGCACCAGCATGCAGCCCAGGTTAGCAGAGCCACTTAAGAGCAGATTTCCTCACTTATTTGCTTGTCACTATGCATTTTAACAAGGGAGTGGTATACTTTTTAATGCACGACTCTTGTGGAGTGCTGGTTTGATGATGCCAGACAAGAAGCCTAACAGTTGCACTAGAACTGCACATTGTAGACTTTGTTGTGGAGCTGTAATCAACCAAAGAAATTCTTAGTCGACTAAAACCCTGAAAATCGATGGGGGGTGTGGGAGGGTCTTCTTGTCTCTTGTCTCCAGCCAGTCTCCAGTGGGTCGGGCGAATCCAAAATGGTGAAAACAAGTGGGGTGTTCTGAGACAGGCTGTTACCTATGAAACGGAGGAGCTCTGAAAACACCCTCATTAGCACTTGGTACATTCCTCCTAAAGAAATTAACAATAGACTGTAAATTGACGCGGAAAAAAAACTGAGTCAACCAATCAGAATTTTAATAATACTAAATACAGAAAGCATCTCAAACCTTTGGTTCTCTAGGACACTCCAAAACACTGGCTGTGTCTTAGGTAGGCCAATATACCATTGTGGTGTACTCCAGACTTTTGGTTTGAGCTTTAATTTCACAACTTTACAGTCTGGTGATTATTTTGTCATTTAATCAATCAACTTTCTGATCAAAAAACAACAATCAATTGCAAAAATTGACATCTTAACAAAGAATAAAGAACAAAAAGATCTAAAATGTTAAAGGGATCAAATAATCAAATTCAAGGGTGAAATTCTTTGTGTACTTCTGATCAAGTTGTCAGTCAACAGTTTGATAAATACTCAAAATCACACTGAGGGATTGATGGATACTGTGTTGTCAACAGACTGACAACCGATTCAACTAATTTCCCAATGCTCACACATTGGCAAATAGCAATTAATTTTATGAAATGGTTCCCATTTCTACGTCCAAGTGAAATTTATCAACAACTGAGAAAAATAAAATAATTATTGTGGAGCCAGCTCCTGATTTGCTTGTGTGTCAGGACAAAAATGTCCAAACCCTAAGATGTGCAGCCTGGTATTGCTTCACCAGTAGCAAATTAAATTAGTTCAGTACTAGGATTTTATAGTGGCCATTGAATAATGAGTTACACATATAATTTGTGGTTAAAAAAGGCTGATGTGCTGTCTGTTAATGCATTAACACCAAATAAACATGCCAATCATTTCTGCCTTCTGTAATGTTTACAGAAAGAGCAGAAGTGATGTGTGCCTCTCCCCCCTCGCTTTCTCCCTCTCATTTCCTACTCCAGGAGGTCAATCTATCACTTTGAGTTTCCTTTAAATCCCTTTTGACAAGTGACCTTGCAAAATGGCTTTTGTCAACATCACTGCATTGTAATTCAGACTAAATGACACCACTATGACTGTGCCAGTGCGGCATCATTCAAATTGGTCAACTAATCTAATACAAAAGTCCACTTTGTTAAATAAAACATGTCTTGTGCCATGTCTGAGTGGAATAAATCCTTCGAAGCAAAAAGAAAGTCAAAAACAGAAGTAGAAGAAGACTTTTTGTTTGAGGACAGAGATTGAATTTTATAGGCTCTGTGTCTAAGGACTGAAGGGAGAGCTATGCTGGGTGTTTGCCTTCCCTGACAGGCCACGTTATGGTTTGATCAGCATGTAGAGAACTCTGTCTGTTGTCTTTGCTCATCTAAGCATTTCCAGACATTAAAAACCCAATCAGGCCAAAAGCCCAGGAAGTCCATTTGCAAAATCTCAATCCACCCAACATTTGGTCTGATAATTATAGCGAAGCACCAGAGAGTGCAAAGGCAAAGGACGCCTATACATCTGGGCACACTGAGACTGACAAGACACAATAGTTGTGTGCTGTGTTTGTGTGATTAGGGGACAAAATTTACATTTCCTAGATGAAATGTTTAAAGATAAATGGGTTATTTGTCACCAAGGCAAGGGAGAAACGAGAGAAAGGAAGAGCAAAGGGGAAAAAACAAACCAGTGGCCTTTGTCCGTCATCACAAACGTTCCTTCTTAAGAGACGAGCTCGACTACCAGAGAGAGTCCTATTTGAATAGCATTACAGTTTGTTTACTGCTCCAGTACAATCACACTCAATAGATGTCTTTGTAGGTGTTATTTCAATCTCCTTGAAACACAATTCTCAAAAACACACTATCTCTGATGAATAGACCGCTGGTGTGTAGATACAAAGACCTGTTTTACTCTTTACAGTAAAAAAAAAGTGGGTTTTATGTACAACCAAGATCATTTACAGCAAAAGAGCATTCACGCTGACTCACATTACATATAAACCTCCGTATTTGCTGACAGAGAAAGTGTAAGATGATACTAAATGCACCACCACCCCATTATAACGTTTATGTAATAATGCTGCTGTTACAGATAGCAGCCAGGCTCAGGATCACTTTGTGTACAAGTATACCAAACAAGGTCGGAAAAGTATTTGGGACTGACAAAACGTTGTTGAGATCAAAATACAATAAGGCTGAAATATTTCACAAATAACTCCAGTATATTGATTATAAAAAAAAGCCTTGAGGCAAATTATTTGTCCTGAGCCTTTAAATTCAGACTATAAAGCTCACTGTGTTTCACGGGCTGTGCATGAAACTCTGTTTGTGGAGAACTACGATCACACAAAAGCTCTGAATAGCCTTACATACCCAATACCCTTCATCTGTTCGCCAGCTAGTACCCAAAGAGTCACAAAGACAAGTCATTGATTTTCATCGCTGATTCCACATTTGTTTCCATCTAAAGCCAGCACAAGCAGCAGAGTCCTTCACTTTTTGACTTTTAGACTTACTTCTCATCACTTTTTTTTTCTCTTGCTCCCCTAGATCTCAGACTAAAATATTACTGAAAGGAGGAGTTTCATTGGCACATCTTAAATCATGGAGAATTAAAAAGGAATAAATGGATTTCCTGTTGATTTGCTCCCATACACACACACTTGAGTGGAAATGAGGCCTAATCCTCTTCCTTCCACCAGTACAAGTGTCACCTTTTATACCACCTTTCTGAGACTAAAGTTAGGTGTCAGATATGAATTTTCTTACAATATTAAAATCAATGATGTGTTTCCCTGCAGCTTTTGTAGAGTGTTTGCATCCAGGTTCAGTGCCAACAGGCTTTGCAAGGGCCCACCTAGACATTTTGGACTGTGGTAACAAGGCATGTGTGCACACACAGATTTTTATTAGAGCAGTTATCCTATCTATCTTCACTATCTACTTGACCAATTTTCATTTAGGTGCTGTACAGATACTTTATTATTGTGAATAAATGATCATAAGCTAGTCTTTTGAACTTGTAGTACAAATACACAGGCCCAGTATATAACAAGATAATCCTTTATCAGAAATTCAGTTTCCCAGAATAATCAAGAAAATACTTGATCATTTAAACATTTGATTACTGGAGCCTTTAAATGGAATATAAATGCCTCTTTTCCACTTAGATTAATCCACGAATATAGGAAGACATGACAGAAAACATCAAGAATGATGCAATGTTAATATCTGTTCACAGTAAAAATTGCTTAATATGTTTATTGAATAAGGATAGTGTGTATGGATAAATAAATCACTCCAAGCTTGAATGTGATTATATAAGCAGCTATCCTGCTTATCAAACTGTCATCGTTTACTTTTCCAGCATGGAGATGGGTTCAAATTATGCAGACTCTATCTGTAGTCAAATGGGAGAAAGAAAATAAAAAAGCTGTTGTGCAGTTCCTTGCCAGACACAGAGCTTGGGCATGAAGTGTGATTCATATCAGTGTGCCAGGTGGACAACCATCAATGCTGCAGCATATCTTTATGTAATCACTACAATCACGCAGCAGGGGTATAATGTATATATCTCACTGCATTGTTATGTTTATTATGGCAGCCTCTCTGAAAAGACTGTCCTCTCGGAAAAGTGACAGCATTTCTCCTTTGGTTGAATAACAATACTACCTATGGTAAATCTATATTCAAGAGTGTCCCTGTATTTTCAGCATACAGGCAGAAGCTATTAAGTGTTGTTATCAATACCATAAAACTGCTTCTACAACATGCACCACTTGCTCTGTTATTTGGGCATACTTTTCTTATTCACTGAACTTTCTGCCTGATGGGACTGGACAGATCTGCCAACACAACATGGAGGAAAGCCTAGTTACTGTGTCTGGGGATCTGACCTTTATAACCCAGAGCAGTCATTTAATCATCCAAAGTGTGAAGTTTTAATGTCCTTAGCTTAGTTTTAGAGCAGTAACAAATGGTCACTTAAATACAAAGGGGTCATAAGAATCAACAACAGTTTTGGAAGGTGGAGACAAATACAGACTTCCTGCTGACTGGGGCGTCAGAAGAGAAAACACACATATGGGTTGTTTTGCAAAGCAATGCCAAATGATGTATTTTCTCATTTTGTTTGCAGGTCAAATAGAACAGAGACTGGGGCCCGAGTGTCCCAACTCCAAATGTTTAAAACTAATCAAAGGGCACTTTGTGAATTATCATTTGTCCAGCCAATGAGCTGAGACCACTTTGCCTCGGGTGGCCAAATCAGGCGCTTGTGCTCGCAGCAACAATGCTTTTAGAGACACTGTGGCACACAAACCACTCCAACAGAATGAGATTACAGTTTGTTGCAACGTCTCTTTCGAGCAAGAATCTACTTTGATGATGCATAAAAAAATCACTTGGAACAAATTTAATGTTTAAAAGACCCCCGGTTATGCTATTACACTTCAACTGCACCTTCTCTTATTCAAAAATTCAGAAAGTTAAAATAGACCCAGGTGAATGATAAATGGATGAAAAACAGGTTGAACTCAATCCACAAAATTGTAATAATCAGGACTTTTATAACTGCATAGCACATAATGACCAACATTTATCTTGGAGGGTGTAACAAGGTTGATCAGCATCAGTGGCTCAATGGTTACTTTGCCTGAAGCTGAGATTTCTTTGCCTTTAAAGAACCATTTGCTGCCTCCACTGTATAAAATGCCATTTATTACATGAGAGAAGATTGTTGAAATGGATAGCAACATGGGTGGTAAAGAGAGTCTTTAAGCTTTACCAGTATTATACATACAGAGTAGTTCCTATTACAGAGATTACTCCCACTTCATTAAATGTGATAAGGGCAAACATGGAGGAAAAGAGTGAAACTATAGCTGTGGGAGGAAGCCCTCCTGCCAACCTGAGAAGCCAAGAGACCTAAGGATGTTGTCACACCTGTGGTTCATCTGTTTTACAATTCAAATGAAAAAAACAGTGCTGCATTGTTGCACCTTTCTGTTGAATCCTTTTGTCTTCACACTGCAAAACTACACAGTGGTTTGAACCACACATTGTAGGCTGTATGCAAATATATTATGATTAGGCATAATTTTCAGGAAAATCCGAAGGCATTCAGGTAAAATACATTCAGCTTAAAGTCGCCAGTTGACAAGGTCACCATTTACACTGGAATACCAGCTTTCAGGGCATTTCTAATGTTACCCAATTAACCTCGGATAAAACAACCCATGGCTGACTTGGAGGAAGTTAAATGCCTTTGAAGATTTTTGTTAAATGTCAAACTCACAAACATCAGTGCAGGACAGAGAGATGCTTAAACAGCTCTGCCAGGCAGTGAGGCACCACGACCGAAGAACTCAAACACTAGTATGTAAAGGTACAAGACCAGCTTGGCTATAGTGGAAGTCCCAAATATGAGGAGGACGAATTCCCCTGATTCAATCTGCTGGACAAAGCTCTCTAAACCAGCACACGTTATGGAGTCCGGTGATGTTCCCTCACCTAGCAACAGCTCCTCTGCTTTCATGGATGGAGATGGTGAGTGATGTAAGCCTATTGTTACGCTGACTATTACAATCAAAACAGCATTGCAGCGGTATTCCTGCATTAGCTCTAGTAGCTGGGTTGATGAGTGAAACCAAATGCTCTATGGATCAATTGAAAATAAGCCGAGGCCACTTCCTGAAGGCGATCTCAACTCGCTTGTTTTGATCTGAATCAGAGTGCAATTGTTGACGTCTGATTGATTCAATTATTTGTCAAATTATTTAAGGATACAAAGCCCTACATCTGCCAGACTGGGCTACAGCCGTGCTTGTGATCTGTTATACTTGGTATTATATGAACTTGGCTTGAGAGGACAGTATTTCACCTCAAGTCTGGTGCTGCTGGAGATTTTTGCCTGGTACATTTTTTCCTCGCGCGTTACTTCTTAAATGCTGCAAAGTGCTCTACTAAAGGTTGATAAGTAATGGGTCTCTGTAAATATCAGAATAAAAAGTCAGACTGGACCATATCTTTTAGTCAAGTGTCTGGAGATTATAACTTTTAGAAACTGGCGCTGGTTAACTATTGATTAATTGATTGACCTCTTCTGTTCTGAAAGCATTTTAAACCACGGAGTTGGAGCATGCTCTATTTGGACAAACCACATGAAAACACCTTATCTAAATCCAAAGTTTTGTTTCTGCAACTGAAAACAACTTTCATATCAGCAGACACATACACACTAAAACCACTGTATGTTGGGATTTCAGTCACAATCTACCAGAAGGAGCACTGTATTTTCATTAGAGGATCAAATATTTATGGTCAACCTAATGAATCTCACAGAACAGATAACACTGTCAATGCCAAAGAGTCAAACAAGGATAGTGGAACCTGCAGAAAAGTCCTTTCACTTCTCTGTCATTGAGGCACAGCACTTTTTTATTGATAAAGCACTGTGTCATCACACTGAAGCTGTAAAGATTTTCTATTTACAAAGCCGGCTGTGAGCAGAGGTAATGGGAATGTTTGCAATCTATTTCTCACTTCAATTTCTCTCGGGAATCCAATGAACAAGGCTCAGCGCACTTAATATGCAACAGTCACTTTCATTCATTATGGGTAACTTTGGGAAACTAATGTAAGTTACCTGCTATTTGCCTTTAAACTCTTTTTGAAGCAAAATGAAAAAAAACTCCAAGCAGACATTCTCCCTCTGATAAAAGAAAAACACCTCATAGAAAGCAAAGTGACTCTTTTGGTCTAACACCACTAGTCTGCAGATCTGTAAATCAAACAGTCTTTGACTTTACAGCTTATAATCACTGTGTCAGAGGACATTTGAGTGTTTTATTATTCTAATGCTAGAGAGGGTTGCAGCACCATGAATAGAACTGCCCCTCTAAGTCTACAGTTCAATTCTACATTGAGGAGAAAACACATTTACTTGCATTTTGACACTTGACATTCTGGAGTTAGTTTTTTAAGCACCATTAACAGTGAAAAGAAAAAAGCAGGGACAAAGTCAAGGAAGCCTGTGAACTCTTTCACTAGTTTCATACTTAAAGTGGTGTTAAGATATCTTCCTTCCCCAATAAGGAAGGACAAAATCTCAGTGTACTACAATATTCTAAACTCAAGTAAGCTGCTGCCACTTACATTTTTGCTGGTTTTTAATTGCTTGAAAGAGTGAAATTATTCACAGAAGTTCCTTTCTCTTAAAAAGATATCAGTGCTTTCCACATACAGGGTACCTGCAACCCAAGTCTTATTCGCAGATCAATTTTACTTTGACCTTTTTCTTTACGATATAAGATTTCCTTCTGCAATCAATGAATGAGGTGATCTCTTGTCGCTCTCTGCTCCTCTTGTCCGATAAACTTGCAGCACCTGACACAGGCTCTGCAGGTGATCAGAACAAGACAGAAGAGGTTCCTCAGTCCATCCCTCCTGCAAATGCATTGATTGAGGTGTGACCTCTCATGTTAATATAAACCTTTTTCCAACTGCTGTTTTAAAAGTTGCTGCCTTTGTCATTTTGCATTATCTTAGTTTTGAATCGATGATAAATGTGCTGTCAATGGCAGGCCTCGTCCGTGCGCAGGTCACCTGTTGTGATAACAGGATATTGAGTGAAACATTTGGCAACACAATTGATTTGGGTGTTTTTATGAAATATGTTGTTGGTGATAACTGTCAAAACACCACACACATACAAATAACTAACATTAGACTGTATAAAACATGGATAGAGGCCCAGCGATGTCACCTATTGGTTTCTGAAATGGAGTTTTGAAGCCAATTATCAGTGGCCCCATACTAGAAATGCTGACTTGACTTTGTTGACAGCTACAGTGCCGCCTGTCAATCTGTGCTAATGCTTCCAAACTCAAAGTCTCAGTATCTTCAACACTAGAGACTGATGAAAAATCCATCCTCCCACAACAAAACTGTTTTTTGGACACAGCCAAACATGATTGTTTTTGCTCTTAACTTTTTTTTGGGATGGATGCATACGTGGCTTCTTGTGCATTTGTAGTCAGCCTCAAGCAGGCACTCATCCCAAGAAAAGAAGACTAGTCTTAATAATAATAATTGACATGAAACACTCAGAAAGCACTCAACACTGAGCACAGTATATTTACCACAGCCTGCGTCTGCTGGCAGACAATGTCAGATTGATTTGTTGTGCATGGCTAACTAAAGCAGAGTTAGCACCGCCGGGGGGAGAGTTCATATGCAAATTGTAATGAGCCGTCCAAACTCATAAGACAGTGTACCAGCGCATCTGGCCACCTGAAGTAGCTTGCTGAACGATCCAGCAGAGGGCGCTCACATTGTAACCTGACTGATCTGTGCACTCTCACTAAACTAATACGGTAATGCTATTCTACAGAAATGGAGGACATGGTCACACTGAGCCGCCAATTACAACACCAAAACTGACAAGTGCTGTGAGGAGGTATTTTGGGTAGTACGCAGGAGTAGATTGAAAAAATAACAGACAAAAGGATAAGCTTAGGTGTTCAGTTGACCTATCATGCACATCCCCTGCACCCTAATCCCTCTGAGGATTTCAGTGCAAAGTATAGCTCTGCTTGTTTGTCCGAGATGTGAGATTTTAATTCACCATGACAACCATATCTTATCTACTTAAATGGTATGCTTAAAAAAACAACAGTATATACTCCAGCCAAAAGCTAAATCTTCTTGTTGCTCAGTCAAATCTGGCTCCATCATTAAAGCTTGAAGTCAAGGAGGGCACAGGTCACATTTCCTTAGTGATGTGTCAAATCTGAATACACTATATAATATATTAGAAATTCAATGAGAATGTAGACATTTTTCAGTAACTTAATACCACCAACCATTTTTGCGTTATACACTTACAGGGAAATTGGACAGTTCATGCTGAGCCATCATTATAGATACAGTTAATGAGTTCACATCATACAAACAGCAGGACATTGGTTCGCCCTGAATTGCAGCCTTCACTAAGTTAATCTCCATATCATTAACTCTGTCTGATCACAGTCACGGATGCAACAACGAGGAGGCACAGATATAAATCCAGCTTTGCCATATCCAACCTAAAACTAATTTAAAGTCAATGCAGACCCTCTTATCAAACTAACTTCAGCCTGGTGTCAGACCGACGGTGCAGCAGTGACTTTTCCCTCTCTCATCTCCGCCCGGCTGTGACCGACTGATCCTTTTGTCTCGCTAGTAAAATCTCTTCTCAATCAATGTCCCCCGCTGAGCTGAATCACACAGATCCTGACTCATCCAGTCTCATGACCAATTTAGTTTCAAGATTACGGTCTAAACAGTCCATTCACTCCTTAAATGCACAGCCTCTGCTCTGTCAACCACAATCTCTGCCTGTTTACCCTGAAGCTTGTATATTTCGGAAGAATTGTGTCTTCAGGCCATCAGAAAAGGGTCAGAAAATCTAAACAGTATGGCTACCCTTTAAAATCAAGGAAATTTGTCAATTATATTTAGTAAGACAACTCCATTGAATTAATTTAAAAATATAATAAAGTTTTGCGAATAAACAATCTTTTATCAACCTATTATGGATGCCTAGAAACAGAGAAAATTAGTTTATGTAAATTAAGGAAATTGTTGCTGTTGTATTTTATTCTCAGAAAGCCCTGACTGTATTCTTAAAACCAATAAATTCATAATTACAAGATAAATTGAAAAGGACTACTTGATGAGAGAACAGAGAAATATAGCATTAACTAGTTATATCTGACCACATGCACAAAGCAGTGCTTTTTTCAGACGCCTGAAACATTGTTTAAACTTCCTTTGAAAATAAATTCCCTTTCAGTTTTTGTTTTTGTTCCACTTTACAAGCCTTATAGTCCTATTTGATTGCTCGCCGCTCTCCTCTCATCCAACAAAAAAGAATGGCTGATTGCTTTGGGGCAGACAAAGTCCCACAGAGTAGCTCAATTATTGACTTTGCTAAGTCAACCTTTAACGTACAAATCCTGCTCACACTCTTGTCCTTGTGGTGGCCGAGGGCCCACTGAAGGCACGCATTCAGCTCACAGTCCAGCAGACATTAATTCCTCTCAATCTTCACACTCAATTTAGTCTTGAATGTTCCTGCCAATATGGCTGAGCCATGGAATTAGAAGTGGTAAATTATACAAATAACCCCCTAATAGCATGCCATGGCCCAAACCAAGTGAACCCGCCAACGTGGCAGCGATTTGCAGTGTGGCAAGTGAAATGGAAGGGCAAGTCCAATCATGTACGTACATGTGCTCAGTGAGCAGGCTATGGCTGGATAATGAGGATCGGTGCCCATAATGCCCAAGTATCCTCGGTGTCTGTTTGTTTGTCTTTTTTTCAGGCTCCTCATCCTCACAGAGATACACCAAATGTGTCTGCAACCGCTCGAATCCACTCAGCACTCCCGTTTTTCCCATGACTGTGTCAAGATACAAATGAGAGGAGTGATACTAGTATGAAGAGGCATACGTTTGACATGGAAGTAAGATACTGTCATGGAAACCATGAGTTGAAGAAAAATAAAAGAACAAGAGGACCACAAGACTTATGTGATCAACTCTTGATATGCCAAGGTTAAGAAACAATATTTAACTTGGAATAAACGTCTCAATCTAAATAGATTTTCCAGCTAATTTCACACTTACTTGCTACTCTGTGACTCCTCACTGTGTTGCCTCTGACATCACTGATGGGAATGTGAATGGCAGTTAATTGGCCAAGGACCAATTAACAGCTGCTACTACCAGAAGAAGACTGAGGGATGTCAGACAGCAGTGAAAAGATGCAAAGGGATGCTAATTTAGCACTGAAAAGATGCCCCTTTTTGCTTTTTATTGAGGATTTTTTTTTATAATACAAACTTTATAGTAGTTCTTTAGTTCTGTAAATCTGTTTAAAGACTAAATGTGTGTTGCTTCATTTGCCATTTTGGGGTGTTTGGTTTTCTTCAGTTTTAGCGGCATCAGATATCACAGCCTTTGGTCAAAGTTTTCATGACAGTGTTGTCCTATGTGGTCACTGAAATCAAATACTGCAAATAAATAAAACAACAATTTTATCAAGATGAAACTGAAAAAATCTCACAGAAATTCCTGTGGTGAGTTGCCACCTCAAAGAACAAGTATAATAGAAAGGATATCACTAGACTGGCCTGTTTTCATCAGGGTTTTGAGCGTTTGTTGCTCCAGTCCTTTAAATTGTCCTTCACTGTTGCTTTAAAGGTCAGCATTTTCCAAGCAGCAAACTCTGGTATGACAGATTTAATTCTGGAATAAAGAACATGTTCAAAGCTGATATTTGTTGTCAGACTTGTCATTCCCTGCAAGCAAACACCAGCATCTGCACAGCAGCAACTGGGGAGTGACGATAATAAACTCCCCCCAGGGGGAAGTCAGACTCACAGCCTACAGGTGGATGCTGGGCTGATGGAGGGGTTTATGAAATTCCACAAAAGAGCAGCAGTAGCTGCAGCCAGTTAGAGCAGCACAGTAAACACTACTGCATGAACTTACTGCAGTGAATTTCGCTTCTTGAAACGTAGTTAGAAAATTAATATCCAGGTTAAATAAACAAATTGGTATTTCAATAATGATTAGAGCTGCAGCTCTAAATCAATCTACGAAGAAAGCCAGTAATTGACTGACTTCAGTTGATAAATATTTTGATGACTGGTTACTTGTTTTTCTAATCATTCAAGCAAAATCAAACTCTCAAAACAAAATCTTCCTGTTTTGACTTGCAAGGATTCTCTACTTTAAGTTAATATCTTGGGTTTTGGACTTCTGATTTGACACAAGAAGCAACTTGACAATGTCACTTTGACCTCTGAGAAATAGTGCTGGCGTTTTCACAACTTTACAAAACTTTACAAACCAAACAACTAGTCAAATAAAGTCAAAATGCAGCAGAATAACTATGATTTTTTTTTAAACAAAGAATGAGTTATTTGAAACTTTTTGAAACCAAATTACCATCCACATGCCAAAGGATGGTGCTGTACTCAATTAGTTAAGTAAGCCTACTCAATAATTTCACAATCAATAATTTAATAAAGATTTTCTTTCTCAAGATTTTCTTTCCACCTCATCTAACAGGTACGCATTCATTTTAAAATGTGTTTCCTGAAGTATTTTCAGCAAAGTTTCTCAGCCTCTCCTAAAATAAATAACTCGACTATTAGTGTCAGAAAAAATACATATTTTGATTTACCTTCAGGCAAGGTACTGGTCTACACAGCAGAGGAAATGTTCTTAAGTTATGAGCGGATTTTTTAAGACTATCATCTCGCAAAATTGATCATACGTGAGATGCATCTTCTGCCAGATCCAGGACACCATGAGGGGGATATACTTTTCATTTTGAATCGCAATGGATATCCTGGCAAACCACAGGATATGCAGCAGGCTTAGACACATCATCTATGCAGCAGGTAATTATGAACTTATACATATTAAAACCACAAGACCTCAGGCAGAAGGCAGACAGACAATCTCCTCATATTAAATACAGAGATAAGCAGCAGATGGCCATCAGTACATGGAAATAAGGCTGACAATGAGTGTGGCTGACTGACGCAGCAGTGTCAAACAGGAGCTCAGCGGTTTAGATGTAATTATGATAAGACGAGGAGTATATGAAGACTTTAAATAATTCTATGCTGGACCCTGAATATGAAGATGTGTGGGGAATGTACCATTGTGACCACTTCTTCAATGGCAAACAGTTTCTTCTCATGAAGCAAATATTAATTATGATAATAACCTGTGACAGAGACACCAACTAGCCATAACACCTTGGCAATGTAATGCAAGCCAATACATCAGCTCTACAATAAACACTACTTTTACAAAGATTCTATATTTTCAAATTTCTGTTGACAGATGATAACTGCTGTTTAAATTAATTGTTAAAGTTGTAGTGGATGTTGGTGATGTGCTGGAGCCCTTTAAATTTCAGGTGTGCCTAATATTTTGCTCTCCTCGTGTTACTGTGTAACTGAAGTGGACAAAATATAAGAACCGCGTTGTAATACATCACACTCAACAACAACCACCATAGCCAAGTTTTTTTATGATATACAAAGTAAAGCAGTCGCCTGTAAGTCAATCAAAACAGCAGGTAAAAGCCTCCCGGAACTGAAACTAGCGATGGAGCAGTAGTATTGGATCGCATTGCATTGCATTACATTACAGGTGTTTATCCCTCAATAGTAAACTTTTACAAACAGCAGCAACCAGGTTATAATTTTAAATTTGCATTAAAGTGCATCCACTGCTGACACAAGCACTTTTCTCACCAGCCAACCCGTTAATCATACCAAAAATGTCACCAAATAAAAAATGCAAACAACCTCAAAAATGAAGCCAGCAGCTAGCAAGCCACTCAAATGATTAATTTACATAATACCGCTAACATTGCACACAAACAGAAACAGGTGATATTCAGCATTAAAATGAAAATTAAAACTTACTTTGTGGAGTCAGGAAAACTTCCCAGCATATGTGAATAGATCCGTTTGAAAAGTTGCTGATGTTATCCAATCCTCTGTACGACTTGAGGACCATTCATTCGCTCGGACCGTCTGCTAAAGCCGACAGGTAAGCTAACACATTACACGATAAGATAAAACTACAACAAAACGACAGCTCAACATTTAGAGCACAAGTGTGATATTTTCACACCAGCCACAATCCCTAAACGATTTGGGGGTGAAACTAGCGACTAAACGAGTTGTTTAAACTAAAATAAGCAGTAGCTGTGTGGGCGGCAAGTTAACAGTTGAGAAGCAGCAGGTAGGGGCAACAGACTGATATACAGATCCGCCATCTTGGAAAAAGTCGTTTCACACCCAGTAAGAGCAGTTGGTGCTACAGGCAGTTTATGCATGGATTACTAAATTACTGAAGTAACAACATTCAGTCTTTGTTTGTTTTTATTGTAAAACAAGTTTTAAAAAGTAATGAAAATAACTTTTTTTTAACATGTTTGATTTCAAAGTGTTTATGTAGCAGTCTACTATAGTTGATGAGTTAACACAAAAAGTGATTTGTTAACCTCATTTAGGTCCATGAAATCGTATTGTATTGAGACAAATTACTTTGAAAATAAATGGCATTAGATACACACAGGAAAAAGAAAGATAGATAAGGAAAGAAAAATCATTTTCAACAAACTCCTTGTAGTCCGTTTATATAAAACTAATATGGAAAAACACAAAACCCACAGCTTTCTACAGGTCAATTAGAACAAATATGTGTGCATATTTTTCAATCAATCAATCAGATTTTATTTATATGGTGCCAATTCTCAACAGTTGTCATCCCAAGACGCTTTCCAAAGAAAAAGAGCAGGTCTAGACCACGCTTTGATGAATTATCAAGACCCAACCTAAAATGGGATCTGACCACATACGACTACTAGTAGTAGTACAACTAATGATAACAATAGTACTAATAATAAACCCTGTAGAGACAAAAAAATGCCTAAAACTGGGGCCTGTAAAAGCTCAAAAACATCCTTTTATTTTGGGTTAATGCTCATAGCACCCAGTCGTAATAATCTGAACTTGGTACAAATTTGTGTTTTGAAACTATTATTTGTAATGAAACAAAACTCTCAACATATTATAAATTCTGCCCTCACCTTGCTGATAAGTAAATAAAACTCTTGAGTCAAACTGCTCACGCAGCACTATAAGGCAGAGGTAAAGGTCACAAACAGCTTACAGTTTGAAGCTTTTGTTTATGCCTCCCCTCCATGCTATTTTTGATGACTTGTCATTTTTGAGAATGTTGAATAACTTGAGCAGCTTTGTGTATTTACAGAAAGGCCTGTTTGAGAGTGCACATTCTTAATTAAGTAGGCAGATTTGGCAGCTTTCCCGCGGTATCCTGATCTAGGACAGGAAGTTCAGGAGCAGGACATATAAGGACACAAGAAAAAAATGCTTTTTGAGAAATGCCTCAAAAAAATCAATATAAGTTTGGTTACTTCACTACAGGGGTGTTCTGAATTTAAAAGCAAACACATCACAGTGCAGAGTTTGCATGTTCTCCTATTTGCGTGGGATTTCTCCTCCCACAGGCCAAATAAATGTATACAGGTCAGCAACTCTAAATTGCCTATAGATGCCAGTGTAAGTGAGGCTGTCTGTTTGTGCAGGCCCATAAGAGACTGGAGACCTGCCCTTGTATACACTCCAACAGATTCAGGAGCATAAATAGAAATATGTTGACAGATCGCCTATTGATTTTTAGTGACAAACTGGGGTTACTTGAGGATATTGTTTTATATCCAAAGTCAGTAATGGTAAAAGTCTTCAGGCTTTGTCTTTCACTGAGGGAAATGTGTGAAGTACACAAGTTAATTAGGTTTTTATAAATGAAAGTATTGGTAGACTGGAATATGTTGGACTACACATGGCTTTGGCAGCACGTTACTTGAACACCACAGCACTGAATCAACTGAATGGAAAAACAGAAGTAAAAGAGTTGTTCTCATGTATGCACATTTTTAGAAAAAGGCTCCCTCACAAAGCAGCTCATATTTACAGAACAGCCAAAAATTAAACAGGCTGCAGCTGGTACGGCGTCTGCAATTCAATTTGTTTATAGAGCAGACATCTGCAGAGCGCATTTTTCAACAATATTTTTCGCAATTTTCTGAAAATCAAGAAATGTTTGTGAGGAATTGCGGTCCAATATATCCACGATTCAAACAACTGCTCATTCATCCTGTAATAGCAGCTTCATAATGGTTTGTTTTTGCCTTTTAAATGAAATCATATCGCATTCTGGGGTGTGCAAAGATGATACAAAGGTAGAGCTTGACTGTGAAAAATCTGCCACAATGAGAGCAAACATGGTGGGAATGAATTGGTCACAGGAGGATTGTTTTTGTGGTGCAAAAATAGGGGGCTTAACAGAATCCACACAGGTAAAAAAGGAAATTTTTTGTTTTAATTGCAAAGCCAAAGGAGGGCACTGCATGACAGCTGGAGGATTAATGTGTTACAGTCTTGTGTTGGGGTCTCATGATGCATGACTGTGTATTTATGTTTGTCTCCTGGAAACAATCAAAGGTACAATAAATTTCTGGCTCGATTACATCAGGAATAGCAGGGGTAAACCACAGATTGCAGATGTTAATGTGCAGTTATAGAGTGGATTTAGAGGAGGGATTGTTGTGAGGTAGAGTGCAGTTTGTGCTATTTCCCTCAAAAAAGTGTATCAATAGTGCCACCACATGGAAAGGCCTGAAAAAGGTCTGATGGCCTTATATAAACCATCATTTCCCCTGCACAGCAGGGTCTGCAGTTAGAATGAGGAGCAACATGCATGACAATTTGATGTAAAATGTGTTTGTTGACATGACACAGAAGACAAACCATCAAGAAAATATCTGAACACTGGCTTTATTATTGAAATTTAAAATCCTTGCAGCTCTCCAAAGAAACAGAGCAAAAGAAATGCAGTCATGTTATACAAATATAAACTTCGCAGAGTGGAAGTGATGCTTTGCAGAAAATTAGTGCACAACAAAGAATATTGACTTTAAAAATATAGATCAGATATGCAAATTAGCAGGTTTTTTTTGCAAACATTTTCACTCCATCACACGACTTTATTTCCGGTTCAGTCTCATCCATCACCATAAAGTTTATGGTAACCACCAGTGGCAGCACTTCTACCAGAATATCAGCACCATCAGAGGCGTTAAATTCAGCCCAGTCTGCTTCTGTAAAGCTACCGACATCTGTTGGGACCCAACCTGGTTGCAGGGAAGCCAAATAGGTCAAACACATCACAGTTTTCATGCTGGAAATTCCTCTGGAGGAGCTCATCTGGTGCTCCTCCTCAAGCTCTCCACGGTCTGCAAGAAGGACCGCTGGGCCTGGTCCTCCTCCAGAGTGGAGCAGTCCTCCTCCTCCTCCTCGATGATGCCACACTGTACGCAGCGGAGGCGGGGCTCGCGTTGTCCGGCCCTGCAGACACAAGCTGTGGCCAGAGACTGGGGGAACTCCTCCATCACCAAAGGCAGCAGATGGGCAGGGAGCGTGTCCATGCTGGTCGCCATGATGAACAGTGGCCCAAATGAGAGGATGAAGAGCTGGAGACGGCGATTCTCTCGAGAGATAGGGATTTAGGATCACTGAAAGCTGATCAGCTGTTCCCAAAAGCGACCAAAAAGATGCAAAAATCGCTGATATGGCTTAGTAAAAGCAGTTTGATATTCAGTCCAAGTAGTTCTGCTTGATGAGGGATAGTTTGGAGATCCAGTCTTTCTCTTTTCCTTCTCTCTGAAACTCTTCTGTAAAACCAGAGAGTGTGTGTTTGGGTCTGAGCAAGCAGTGGACTGTGATCACCACTGAGCTCCTCTTCATATATATACATCTCTGCAACCCACTCCTTTCTTCCTTTGGGCATCCCTCCACACACTCTCCCCTCCTACATCCTCAGTGATGACACATTTCCGCAGCTTCCATACCAGTGCACCGGAAAAATCTCCCAGAAACTGTTGGCATGGGAACCGGACAGCGATGTTTGGGAGGGAAGAGGCAGGACTGTGAAAAATAACACTTTAGTATGAAGTGTGAAAATGACGAATAATTGTAACTCAGTCAGGAGAGTAAAATGAGCTGATTGATCAGTTGTAAAAGGATGCCACATACAGTTCGGGACTGTATTAAGCATTTTCATTACACAGAAGGTTTGTGGACTTTTTACAGTGTGTAATGGTGTCAGACAGAGATGTAACTTGACACATAAGGACATCAATTAAAGGGTATTACAGAAATTATTTGCAGAATCCCCTGTTGTTTAACCTTTCAGTGGTTAAAGGCAAAAAGATAGTCTCTTCAAAAGCTCTGAGTCTTACTTTCATGTGATTGAAAACACAAGTGACATTAAAGGTGAGTCCAAGAAGTCAAAACACACAAATTAGCAGATGAAGTTATTGAAACTGATATTTATTGATGGCTGCAAGGACAAATGCAAAGTAGTTTTCCAAAGTCTACATACTAATGGTTCTGGTTTGCTCTGCTTTCGCCCCAGACAAATACCTAATACCATTACCCTTGAGAGAATCACCAGCCTTAAAACTGATGTTGGTCCCCTTCACCTTAATAGTATGACTGAAATGTCAAGTACAAACTTTCCATCGAGAGTGAACAGCATAACTTAAAGCTGGTAACGCTGATGAAAGGAGGCTATGGACGTTTAAAGAACACAACCGATTCAACAAACACACAGGAGAAGTCAGAATGTGTCAGAGATGGTACCAAACTTTGTTGGTTTGACATTAAAGTAGAAAAGCACAATTTTGATACAGGCAGATAACACCAAAAATGTAATTATGGGTACCAGCAGACAGGAAAATGTCCACTGATGTGTGTATAACAAACAGCAATGACGAGCTTCAACATATTAGCTGTATGGAAGTATTTTGGAGCGATTTTTTTCTAGTTTTATGCCTATTTTCAAAACATATAAATTGTCACAATTGAGGGTAACAAGTAAATTCAACCAGAAAGGACCTGGTGTTTGTAACACTGAAAAAAAATGTGTATACATTGCTTGTATTGGTATCAGATTAAAAGAGCTTGGAAATATCTGCATATCAGAGTCTTACATTAAAGCTCCTTACCTAGTTAAAAAAACTAACTGAAATTAATGCTACTGCCTCTTTACAGCCTACAAAAGCAAACTCTATCACTAACAAGACGGATTATTCTTGGACAGTAATTTGTGATGTCTAAAACTGCTGGTAGTGGGTAGGTGTCAGTTGAGTTCACAAAAAAAAAAAAAGTTATTGTTGTGTTTTCAAGTGCAAACCTCATCTGTGAGTAAAACATTTAGCATGAGGGGTGAGATTTTTTTGTTAGAAAGCAGCACGGACACATGTAGGGACAGTACCAACAAAAAGATACAAGAAACCACTTTGTCCACAAGAAGCGCCAAATTCCTCACAGGAGCTTTAAGTAAATACGATGATGCAGTTGAAAATAATAGATCTCGAGATGGTGGATCCCACACACAATAACCACTCAGTCTACTGTTTGCATTTTTTGCAATTTTACTGCTGTTGTGATAATTTTAGGGCTGAAAATGACTCCAAAGTGTGACCCAGGATGCACCAAAGAATTTTGCCACAAGCTTCTCCATTTGGTTTTGTTTCCCCTCACTTAAAGAGAGTTTTCTTTCTTTTTACTTTCAGAGAAAATGTCATTTGTTTCCATTAAACATGCAGTCCTCTTCATAACCACTTCAACACTGCAGAAAATATCTCAATAAAAAGGCAGACAAGAGGCTGTGATGATTTTGAATTGGTTCTCAGGAGGAAATGAATGTTGAAGCGTTTTGAACATGCTGGTTTAAAATATTGGAAAAACATCCAGGAGAATGAATGTTTTGAAAAAGCTGTTATGAACAAAAAATCAGCTGGTGAGACATTAAGTGCCAGACAGAGAGTTAGAAGTTGGTAAAAAATACCACCTACAGTGTTCTGCTAAATAGCTTTAAGCCTGCGCACATAGCCATAAGCTAATTCACATAATCATGGGAGGCTGAATCAAACAAACAAACAAACAGATGTTAACATCCAGCTTATCTTTCGCCATCACCATGTAGGCTTAATTCTCTATGATGTTTAGCAGACAGATGGACAGTTTTGAGAATTGTTTTTTTAGTTTCCATGTTAGTGTCCCACTCATTAAAGCTGATCACTCAACGAGGACCTCCACTTTGTTCAATATTTTTCACACAACCGTTTTAGATGGAAAACATGTGGCAGCAACTGAGGCCAGTTTTGCCTCATCTATGACTGAGAGCATAAAAGGGGAGGTTGCCCAGAAACTGTCACACTTCCTCCTCTTGGTCCGTGATGATGATGATAGTCCGACGAGTCGTTATCACAGCTGGTGCCCCCCCTCCTCTGTCTGCTGCTGCACATCCATCTATCCCTGCTTCTGCTTCTTGAGGTAACGAGCGCGCTGGGATAAACCCATCCCCATCACGTAGCTGTTGAGGATCTTGGCAGGGAGCAGAGCCGTAGTCACCCAGCCCTACAGAGGGAAATTACATGGTCAGCTGGTGGCATTTACAAATAACTGATTAGCATTCGTTATTAATTTCCAGCCCACAGGAGCAAAAGCTGTGGCACCGATATGAAAGGAAAACGCAGACATTTGTGTCGCTTTTTAATGCCATACAACCACTTTTGTCCATGTCCTACAATATCTGCACATATTTTCTTCTTCTTATTTTGCATTACTCAAACCTCACATCATTACTTTGCAAGGAAAGTTATTGCTTTTTGCACCCACTCACAATCTCAATTGCTGAACAATATGGTGAACTTGTCCTGCAGGACATTTTCACCAAATTTGCATCTAATTTTTCCGATATTGTGCATAAGTAGGCAGCTCAAATTACAGCAATAAAATCTTTTCTGCTTCACCCATAATGTCCATTAACTTGGCTTTAACTTTGCAGCTTCCCAGACGAGAGTATGGGGGTTCAAACAGCTCAAGAAACCCCCTGCTGTTTTTAATTCTCTTTTTAAATAAAGAGCAGTTTTATGAAGTATCAAATGGTTCTCTCATTGACTTACAATCCAATTATATTAACATCTTCACTGTATTTCCTTTCAATAATACTCTTGTCACGCTCTATTTTAATTTACAACAAGGCTATTGTGTTCTTTTTCTAATATAATAATACATAATTTAAACCAAGGTTATAATAGTTTGAGTTATGGTTCCGAGTGTGAGGTCACAAACTATGTGGTCGCACCTATTTGGATGAAAAGGATGTGCGACATTTGTGTGACCAGGTCAGTGGATGACATTTTCATATAATAGAAGGGCAACAGCAGGATGACTTGGTTTGAAATGTTTCACACTGCTTAACATTTGAGCCTTTTTTATACACTAAAAGTCTCCCTCTCTTCCACATCCATTTATTTTTATCATTACAGACCCTCTGAGGTGACATCCAAACCGTGCAACCAAAAAGAAACTACATAAAGAATCGACTATAGTAGAGATGACGGAACTTTTATTGTTGTCTATGAAAATGTAAGAAGTAGCAGCTTTACAGCGGTCCCAATTATTACTGTGAGCTGTGCAGAGCTGTGCTGCAACAACTAAAGGAGATTATCAGATAATCAGAGGACACAACACTACCCGTCTGTGGTTTAGTGAAATACACGGCCAGTGAAGGGAACTTGCTTTGTTTACCTTATCAGCACAAAAACTGTCGACTGCACAGGATCAACAGAGCTTTGCCTCTGCTGGATCTGATTTATTGACCACCTTTATGCTGTAATAGATGGGGTTTGTATTTGTATGTGCTGTATATCAATAAACACGAACATTGATATGCAGGTCACACAGTTCAACAGCATCGAGCGCAACATGGAGGAGCTGGAGGGAGAAAATGACTGCTGCTCCGTGTAACCTCTGCATAAATGGAGACTGGCTCATTTCTGAGTAATTACACTGATAGCATGCAGACAATAGTAGAAGGTAGCGGAGCATCCCACTCCATTATTTCAGAGGAGGTTTATCATGTGACAGATGCTTTAGCAACCATTGACACAATATTAATTTAGTAAATGGAGATGAGCAGGTAGGAGGCTGCAAAGTGAATTTACAGCCTGATGAGGTTTTTGTCCTGTTGCCTCCACAAAGACGAAAGCCACTGGACACCTGAATAAATGATAGCCTTGCAGCTATAAAATTAAGCCTCCTTTTTGCAAAGAAAGAGAAACAGAGATTATAGTAAAATTCAGTGTAAAAGATGCTCTTAATATCTGTTTTTATCTAAAAAGTTGTCTGCATCCCACTTACCAGTGTGACTTATAAACCACAACAAAACTCAGAAGTGTATTTTACTTAAAAAATGGGACTATAATCTTGCTAAAGCCTTGTTAAAGAGCAATGCAAGGTGGTAATACAGGACCTGATGTGATTGAGAGTTTGCCCCATTTATTAGTGTTTCGCAAGTTGCCACTTTTGCTGTACCAGGCATGCTGGGAAACATAATGACACAAGCCTTGGGCCACTTCTACCTGTTATTACCCCTCATTAGGTCATTATCATATCATATCATATCATATCATATTTCTGCTATTAAGCAGATAAACCTTGTGGTAAGCTGGTGTAAGGTGCACGTTAAGGTGACCGGGTTGCGAGGAACTGGTCTGTACCTAGCAATCATCAAAGGTACCGTTGGATAGACTCATCTACCGTCATGGTAGTAGTCCTGATTGCAGGCTCCACATGGTGAAAACAGATGGTACTAGAAACCGCGACAAGAAACTGCACATTGTGGACTTTGCTGAAGCCAAAGAAGGAGGACAGGTGAAACCTTTTTTTCCACTTGGTGACCTCCTAAACAGACTGCCACTTACTCAGGTGTGACCTATATTTCTGGATTTTAGGGCAGTTTCACTTTAAGTTCCAAATACTGCAGATTTAACTGATATTCAGAACAAATTTGGCAAAATTATTCTAGGAGTTGAAAGCTTCAATTAAAAAAAAGTCTCTTTCGAGTGTTCAGTATCATTCAGCATTGAACCACTGAATGTTTATAATAATGGATGTCATAAATGTTCACTGTTTTTTAGGCTAAGAGATTTAGAGCGCCCCCTAGTGACTACCTCAAGTATGGGTCATAAAGCCCGCCTCCCCCATGTTAACATACGTGGTTTCTGTCAGTGTAGTCTGTTCTTATCAAATTGATTCAGGCCCATGAGGAGTTGAGTGTTAATCAGCTATTTCATTAGGGTCTAAATTTGGTTCTGAGGTGAAACATTTACCCCCGTAAAGTCCCTGCTCATGGGAGCTGTGCTTTCCAATGGCCCAGGGACTTTGGGAATCAGGACCTAATGATTTGATTTACATCAAGATAACTAGTTGTTGATATTTCAGTGTTGACGTAGACATACGTCATACGGGGGGATGTACGTTGAAGTGAAAAAGCTAGGGGAAACACCATATTATACAAAATACTGGCAGCACAGACGGAAGAGGGAAGAGAGATTCTAGATTATATACAACATAAACTAATGTTATCTAATCAGAAAAACTATGTTTATGCATGAGTTTGACACTGTTTGTGTACATCTTTTTCTTGCAGTGTGTACTGGATTAGTGAAGTTAAGAAGTAGAGTGAGGATAGTTGTAGTGAATACTAACATAAGACTCATAGCCGCATAGGGACTTCTTATTATCAGTTTAATGCATGTTTTGGGTGCTGTGTCAGGTCTGCAGCTCCAACAGTCAGTCTGCTTCTGCACACACCTTAGCTGTACCTGCACAAAATGTCAACACCCCAGGAGGCGGTCTTTTTTCTTAAAAGCTCATGATAGGTGGAAATTAAAGCCTGCTGTTCATTTTACATTTACTCAGAGGTGTCACTCCATAATAATACAGCACTAGCTGACTCCGTATCATTCATTAGCCACACACAGGGCCATTTCAGCCTGCACTGGGAGCGTAGAGTGGCTGCTAACTATGATATGGATGGTAAAGCACTTTCTCAGCCCACAGTGGAGTGAAGCGAATAGTAGAAATGAACTTTCAGATGGCAGAACTTCAGCTTCCTCTCAATTTGACACAGATGATGGAAACATACTGCTCAGGAATGTACTCATCAAACTTTGTGCAGATGAGACTGGCGAATGTCAATCAAATTTGATCTGCCAAGCTCTCACAGCCCTGAGAAACGACCCTACAGCAAAAAGAGCTGAATTATGAGCTCGTTTTACTAACAGATCTGAAGGTTTACTGTCACTCAGAATGCATATCATATTTGCATTTCACCTGCATCAAGACTTATAAACGTAAAGTGTTAAAAGCTGCACCACTTCTGCTGTAGTGGTGTGAGAGTGACGCTGTAATATGCTCTCTTCATATTTACTGCCATTTAGACAGCCGTTTACTGGAGGTGCATTTCTATTGTTCAATATGTGGAGGAAGATTTGGCCTGCGGTGTGATTCCAGGATCCAGCTGACTAAACACTAACAGCAGGCATTACTCAGTCTTAGATGTCAGATTAGTGAGCGCACTAATGACGCACAGTGATGGGCCTTATGTTAGGAGTCGGTGTCAGATCAAGACAATGTTGCTGAAAGGTATTAAAACCAAAACCTACACAAGGAGAGGCGGATATATGCAGTGAAGATTTTTAATGTTCAAAGAGACCACATTTGTTTTTTAATATCGAGCTGCACAGAACTTGGCTGCTGCAGCCTGGCTAATGTATGTCAAGGCTGTTTGATGATTGACGGTTCTTTCCAAACTCTGCTCTTCTACAGTTTTTGGTTAATAGCGGATCATTTCAGAGGCTGTTCATTTTTTTAAAGAAACATGAACATCAGATTTTTATGGTATTCAGCACTTGAAAGAGTCGAACACTGTCAGTCTAACATCTGCATGCTTTACATACCCAGACTTACCATAACGGCATGGGGCAGGTAGCCATTGGTTTGGGTCTGAAGCCCTACAGTGTTGAGCTCAGCTGCGACGTAGCGCTCTGGACTCGGTTTGTCCAAAGTCGCCCGTCGGATTTTGCTCAGCTTGGTTGCAACAAAGAATGGTAGAACACTCTAGGAAGAAAATAACAAAGACTCAGTTAGTAAACAGACACAACTGAGATATGAAATATTGGTATTGTGCTACAAAAAAAATAAACACAGGTTAATACTGTCAGTTCACAGCGGAGTTTTTAAAAGCTGGTTACTGAGGAGCACAGACTGCCTGTGGACCGACTTTGAGCAGCTCTTTGAGAGATGATTCAGCACTTCGCAAAAACTGAAATTCTGAAATTTCTTATAAATCCAACTGTGATGTTAGAGCTTGTGGTTGCTAATAACTTAAATATTTGTACTGTCAAACCATTTTTCAACATTTTACATGCAGTTCAATGACTCATGATCTAGTGGCCGTAGCCTACTTCTAAATAAAAACATAGATTTACAAAACCAGAAATAAAGTGACCTAAACAAGACAGACATTTTCCAAAATAAAAGAATGCATTACAATAACTTTATGAGGCAATGAAGAAGTTTTAGTCACACAGCCAGAGTTGTGGAAAAATCATAAATTCTAACATTATTAGAAATAAATAAGGATTTGTAAATTAACTGTATTTGTTGGTAAAATGTATGAACTTGATTGATTGATTGATTGATTGATTGATTGATAGATATACATATGCATCATGTTTTTTTGTCTTACCTCTCCTCAGTTTCACTTATTGTATCTTTTTTTTTCCAAAACAGAAGATGCAATCATATAATTATCCTGATTTAATGGCCACAATAACTGTGAGGTGAAAACCTGACAGCACTGTTTTGGATTTACCTGGACTATGATCCCTTTGCTCTTGTATTCAGCTTGAATTCCTCTTGAAAAGAAATCCACAAAGGCCTGTAAAAGAAGAAAGTAGGTGAAAACTTGAACTCCAAACAACTTCTCAAAAACTTCTCTTGTGTGAAGGAACGGCAAGTGATTCACGCAACAGGATGGCCCAGCCAGGCTACATTAACAGCACTGGAAATGTTTTGGAATCTCATTTAAAATTCACCCTAGATGGATTTTAGGGGCATTTTAGACTCTTTATTGCAAAGACCAGGATTCGGCATATAAACATGACCCAGTATTGGAGACACCAGCAGATAAATCAGTTCCAACCATGAACAGCAGGCTGCGTTTAAGCTAACAAACACACACGAGACTGTTATAAAACATTATGATGCCACATGCTCCTATAAACATTTTTAATTGGTGCACTACCTCGGGACCTGAGTTAGTCACTGACTTATTTATAATCAACAATTAAAACAGCAAATATGAAAAGAGACAATCCCTCCTTTTATCCCAACAACAAAATAAAATGTTGAACTAACGTTTTTAGTCAGCAGGAGATTAGATTAGCCTCGGTGTGTGTTTGAAGATAAGACGGAATAATTCATGACACCAAAACAAAGAAAAGGGTTTTCTCCTCGTGGATCACAGCATATGGAGAGATGTAAACTGTTTATGATGCTGCTGGGATGTGACTGTAGGTTACACTGGAGTTAACACTTGATGAAACGCTCATTAACAGTGTGCTGCTGTCACCTTAGAGGCAGAGTAGACAGTGAGGAGAGGGACGGGGTACATCCCACTGGCTGATGAAATGTTGAGGATGATCCCCTTCTTCCTGTAAACACAGAGGAACGAGCAGATGAGGTTTTACACTTGAGGAAAAAAGTACAAGAGGACAAGCAACCAAACGTCAACTTTACATTAGTTCTAAAATAAGAGGGGAGTCCACTGTGTATGGACTTTTGTACGGTGCATTGTTTTATGCAGCAGTTCAAACTGATCAATAAGGTTTTAAAGAACTTATTAACCCTGGTACATAACAGAGAGAAATCATGACCATCTGCTGCATGTTTATGAAGCGTTGTGTGACTATGATGCTGGTATATTTACAAGTTAGCAGCAGTAGTAGCATCAGCAAATACAGTATATCGTTTTAACAGCGTTCACTTGTCTAGAAGAACTTTATACGGGTGCAGTTTAGAAAATCAGACAGTCCCAAAAAAGTTCTTTTTTCCCCCATAACTTAATTTAGAAACTGAAACTTCCATGTATTCTATATTCAACCCACACAAAGCGAACTATTTCAAAACTTGATTTCATTTGAATTTGTATTTTCACTGGTTGTACATTAGCATATTCATAGTCGTATGGCTTGCATTCAAATACAAAGATATAATGAGGACATGCCACCAATGTCCCTTAACTTTCAGCAATATCAGAATGAGTCTCAAAGTGCATGTTTGTTAAAATGCATAAAGAAGAGCTTAAAAAAGGGAGACAGGCTTTTTGTTTGGTTACACAAAATACCACAATCCTAAATGGCTGCTTTGGGCAAACCTCCTGTGAAATTGTGAAATTAGCAATCAAGTCAAACCATGAGATTTGATGAAAAGAGCTTTTTGTGACTTGTTTTGCAATCAGAAAACTGGAGTCTTATCTCAAACGCAATATCACAGCACAGAAATTAACTTTTGTCTCATTTCGTAAAAAATTATCGGCAAATGAAGTGAATTAAATACAGCATCTTTAAAAATCACAGCATTATCTCATGAGTTTTGATTCTTTTACAGCATGAAATCTTCTGGGGTCAGTCTGGACTTGTTTTTCCACATTTACAGACTCTTATTTGTTGCCCATTCCCTTGGCAAAACAGCTGAGATTGGACGGTGTCTGTTCGTGATAAACAGTAGTCAAGTCTCCTCAAATATTCGGTGCTGGATTATCGTCTGGGTTTTAATTGGGTTATTCTCAGACCTAAATCTTCTTTGCTTCCAAATCACCCCAGTTTAGCTCTGTCTAAATGCCTAGTCATGTTTTTCCACTGAGGTGAACCTCTACCCCACTCTCAACTCTCTTGCTCTGCGTTTGCCTCCTCCTGTCTTACCCTCTAGGCCAGATTCAGAAGACCTGCTGATTAAAAGCATCACCACGGCGCGAAACTGCTGCCACCATCGTGTTTCACTGCAGGGAGTGTGTGCTCAGGGTGATTTGCGGTGTTGGGGTTTTTCCACACATAAACATTTGGCACCAGGGGGAGGAAAAAAAAAGTTGAAGTCTGGTCTCATGTGACCAGAGTCTCATCTTCCACATGCTTGCTTTGTCCCCACATGGCTTCTGGCAAACTCTAAACAGGATTTACTACGGTTTTCTTTCAGAAGCAGCTTTCCTCTCTCCGCTCTTCCATAAAGGCCAGATCTGTGAGGAGCATGGCTAATAGTTTTCCTGAGCAAAGACTCTTCAACTGAGCTGGGGATCTTTGCAGCTCCTTCAAAGTTACCACTGGCCTCTTGGTTTCTTCTGATTAACACTCGAACTGCCTCTTCGTTTGATAGAGGTGGACAGCCTCCTCTTGGCGTTAATGCTTTATTTTCAGTTGAAGGATTTAATTAAGCCGTTTTTTTTTTTTATATCTTCTTTTATAGCTCTTCAACCTTTGAGTGGAGCTTTTTGGTCTTCATGAGGCAAAGGAGGTTTTTTTAAATTGATATAAAATTGCAAAAAGGTAGACTAAACGTGATTTCATCTACTGTTTGCCATTATCATCTACAAGTATGCTGCCTCCTGTACACCACTGTGACAAACACATGGATCCAAAATGCAAAGAGAGATATTTCGTCATGTTACGGTTTCTCCAGCAGATGACACTCAAAGAAGCAAGTGACTTCTTTGCTGTTAAGGCATGTTGGATACATAAGTTAGAAAGATCAACGTAGCAGATTTCCTCCCTAATTAGATCATAATTACGCTTTCAGAAACAAACAGGTTAGTACAAACATCTAATTGCAGGCTGAAATGACACCTTCATTTCTCAACAAGGAGGAGTTTCAGCGGCTCAGCATGAGCTTCAGCTAATCTACTTGCAGGGAACTTAGGCATCTTGCAAGGACAGCACTGAGTTCAGCTGTTGGTAGCTCGCAGACAAGATCCTAGAGAGGGTTTCACAACTGCTAAATGACCTTTTGTTCACAGATGCTACTTGCTAAGATTTTCATTTGGGAATAATTTCGATAACCATGTTGTCCTCCACTTCTCTCCAAAGTTATAGACTATTTTCTGCACTGTTTCCTCCACACAGACCAAATTACTTTAAGTTATTTTACAGGAATAATGTCAAAATATACAGCAAAGTTTTAAGGGGTGAATATTGATGGAGGCTGATGGATTTTTTGTTTTGGATAGCTTCATCATGAGGGAAAATAACAAGGATAAACTTTAATCATAAACTGTTTTCAGCAGGAAAATGTTTAGGACAAAAAAACTGACCCAGAGCAACGGACTTCTTACTAAATTGGACTCAAATCCACTTTGTTTGTTTTTTTTTCTTCTGCCTCTTTTTCGACATTGTGGACCCAAACCAGTTTCATCAGCTTGGACTTGAAACTTTTTTTTTGTGTTCTTCTCCCATGTAGACCTCACTGCTTTAGCTGTGTCCCAGTTCTGGGGCGGCATCCTTCAAAGGCTGCGTCAGAGGACCTTGTGTGTCACAGCAGCCCGTCGAAGGACATCTCATTTCAAAGTCTCCTTCAAACCGGCCCAACAAAGCATGGCCTTCTTCTTTTCTATGACCATGGTTGATGCATCAGGCGTACCTTTTCAGCCAGCATGTGATTCAATTCAACAAGCTGTCAAGTCATGTGCTGTTCAACAGAAGTCATTAATTAGAATGAACTAGCTGGCTGGCCACCTGTTGCTAGACGTCAGAGGCAGCACTATGGGATGTGAGGCTAAAGGTGGGTATAGTTGCTGATAGAAACATGAAATCCGAGGCCAGACGCTTGCTTTAGTTCAACCTGAGTCTCAAACACAGGCTACAAAGGCCGGGTCCTTCAAGGGTCCTCCCCTTGATTTGAGGCACAGCTAGAGGACTCCTAACTGTGGAATCACACTCATGAATCGCCCACTATATCATCAGATCTATCAGACTGCTTGACAAAAAGCTCAATAATGAAACATGAAGGAGTTTTCTTCCTAATCGTTTATCTAATTTTTTTTAATTGATTTGAGAAACAAAACATCTCAGACTAATTCACTCGGAGCTTCGAAAACACTACTCTCCCTGCGTCTTTTTAAAAACTTTCAGCTATTTATCATAGGGCCCTGCGCGCTGATTAACGCACATCTGCTGATGTTAATTACTTAAGATTCACAGGCATCCACGATGTATTAAAAAGCCACTTACTGCTGGAGTCAGACAAACTCACCTCTCCACCATCCCAGGTAAAACAAGACGAGTCATCTGGAAAAAAACAATTAGAGGGAAAAAGAGCGAGAGAGAGAGAGAGAAGGAGAGAGAGAGAGAGAGAGAGAGAGAGGAGGCGAGAAGAGTGAGAAGCAGAGTAAAAGCACTGGAGCGACAAAAAAGAGCCTATTAATGTGTGTAGGTTAGTGCTGGACGATAATTCGATAACAATATATATCGATCGATAGACGTGTGGAGCGATAGAAAAAAAACGGGTCGATAAAAAGTTCGATAGAAAAACACAGTTTCCCTTTCTTTTTCATCATAGCCTATCATGTAGCTTTTACTACAGTCATTACTTCCTCCCAACCAATCACAAACGCAGACCCAGGTACGCTACGGCACCAAGCCCAGCCCCTATCAAACCACAACAGACAGCACGTGTATTAGAAATAATGTAACAGCAAGGAGAAGCGGAGGAAATTGTCCCGAAAAAAGGTTTCAGTAGTTCACCAACATGGCAATGTTTTGGTTTTTAGAAGTCTGACAAAAAGCAAACAGCGGTCGTTTGCAAAATTTGCAGAGAATTAGTAAAAACCAAGTCCGGTAACACAACCAACTTGTTTTACCATCTAAACCGGTCGCACCCGCAGGAGTACGAGCTGTGTCGGCCGCGCCGCGGCTCCACGTCGTCGTCGTCGGAGGAATCCTCTGGAACCGCTGTTAGCACCAGCACAAAGCAAGTGAAGCAGACCAAACTGGACTTCGTTTCTTGCCAAAATACGACAAAGCGTCCAAGCGGCATAAGGACATCACCCATGCAGTAACATGCTCCATAGCGAGGGACATACTGCCAATAACTACCGTTGAAAAGCCTGGCTTCGACCAGCTTCTAGCCACTCTCGACCCGCGATATGAAGTGCCCGGCCGCAAGTATTTCTCAAACACAGCGCTTCAGGCATGAAAATGGGTCAGGGGTTGAAAAGGTGAGAAGGGTGCGGAGGAAATACGCTCCGGTGTAGCTTCTTAAAGTGGAAGAAAATGAGCTCATATTTTACAAAGACGCGAGTATTTGGATCATGGCTACTAGCAGGGGGGCATTCGGCAGGGGTGCATTCTACGACACAACACCGGCGTGGATAAGTCCTGCTTCTCGTGCTTAGTTTGTTTATTAAGTCAATCACATGATATTTAAAAAAAATAAATCTCCCGACCCCAGGAGAAATATTTCAGTGTTCAGACACCAGGCTGTGGGCAGTTTCCCACACAGTTAAAACTGGTAGTATGCTATTCCCACCTAAAGCTATTCTGTTTATTTATATATTTGTTTGTTTTGTTTATTTTCATCAAACGACTATTTAAATATTTATTTATCAGATTTTCTGGTCACTTTAGTCTTTATGTTTGTCAGTATTTACTGACGTCACTCAGGCCACTTAAGTTGATTTTTTTTTTTAAGTTCTTTTTTAAAAAAACTTTCAGTTGTGGTAAAAAAAAAAAGGTGGTTGAATAAAGGTTTGAATTTGAATTCAGTGCTTGTGTGTTCTTTATTAAAAGTAGGTCATTAAGCAATAGCATAAAACATCCAGGGCTGCAATTAAAATATATGTTAAATAATTATAATAATTATATCGATAATTATCGATATCGATCAATATGATTTATTTTTTATCGATATGCTTTTTTTCTATATCGTCCAGGCCTAGTGTAGGTTGTGGACAAGTGTGCGGAGGTGTGCGTTCGCATTTTTTGAATGTGTGCGAGCGAGTCTGCGCATGTGTGTGTGGGATGGTGTGTGGAGTGGTGGTTGGGGAGAGAAGACAAAGAGAGAGAGAGAGAGAGAGAGGAAATGATAATGATAGCAGAGGGAGCAGTTTAAAGAAATATTGAATGACATAAATTAAGTGCTAAGAGAGTGGGTGGACTTCAGCTGTGGCTCTGGGAAACGGCTGAACGTAGAGGAGAGGGATGGAAGTGGCTTACCGTGCTTTATGTCACCGCTGTGCTGTGTGTGCAGGTGTGTGCTTGTCTGTGTCTCTTTATGGGTCTGTGGGACCTTTTGATGGAGCATCTGAGCCATTAAAACCCACCTGAATGAGTGTAATTACTCTACAGTAACCTAGACACCGGTGGAACATACAGCAAACATTTAGACGGTGTGTTGTGTGGACGTAAATAATGACTCGGTTAAATCTCCGCCTGAGGTCCCTGAGTTCACTGCACAGGGGTATTAAGAGCATTTCCGCACCTCTTCAACTTCAATCTTTTGAAACTGAGAAGTTTTTGTTTTGACCGAAGAGCTCAACTTTAAGTGCTCTGAAGTGACAGCCGAGCTATCCACCCACATTAACGCACAGTTTCAATTAACATAAAAGACTCTTCTACGCAATTCTGACCTGAAGGAGAAGCAGCAGTTATGAAGTGTGATTCAATATAAAAAGGTCTGAAGCCTTTATTATATCAGTGTTTGAGAGAAGTGCACTTACCTGGCAGACTGATGTGATGTTAACATTGACCATGGTGTCAATGAACTGAAACAAGAAGAAGAGAAGCATTACAAAAGTTCACACAGTGTGGGTTTGAGCATTCACTTCAACAAGCCGCAAGTCAAATGTGTAGATTTCAGCGTGACAGTCTGCACAAATCACCTTAAAACATATTGAGTTTTGAGTAATCAGGTTAGTGCTGCGATCATGTGTGCTTTCCCTCATCGATTGAGCCTCAAGTGCCTCCTCTTTCAAGAAAAAACACATATGAAGCCTTTTGTACAGAATGTAAAAACACAACTAAAATGTGTCTTAATTCAGTCGTTCTGTTACAAAGTCTTTATCCCAAAAACCCAGCCTCAGCTAGGTAGCAGAGTCTCCTGCAGAGGGCTCGTGGTGTCCATGTGTGTGCTTGTGAGTCAGCCCAATGGCATGTCATGCTGAGGTATGTGTCCCTGATAAAACCTGTGCCCCTGCATTTATGTGAATAGGGTCATTCATCACCGAGTGTTGAGGTGAGGCTAAGTGTAAGGGTGAGGTTGGGTTAGTTAAGGTTAGAGACACACTTTTTTTTATCAGGCGTAAGTGCTTTGGCACAACGCCCACGATGCAGAAAGCCGGGGAGCAGGAAGAAGCTGCAGCTGCACCAAAACCCTGTTCAACTCAGCAGAGCAGATTGTTTTGGATCAAACGTTCACCCGTTTTTACGTAAATTTGCTCTTAAATGCGGAACAGGAATCTGAAAAAGTGTTATGATTTTTTTAAGACCTCTTTGTCCAGTTTCAGTCCGATTGAGATCCCCTGATCCCCAACCCCATTATCTCTGTATGTTAGTCGTCTGTGAGAAATTCAATTTGCTGCGGATTCAGACAGTTTTTTAAAAGTCCAGTTTCAGTCGGACTAAGCTAACAAAATGTTCATTTTTATGTTATCCTGTCTTGCCTCTTAAACACCTGTGCTACTTCCTCTTAAATCGGCACATCATTGGCATGCCTTGGTCCCATAATCATGTCAGTGAGACACACACTCTGCCGATGGAACGATACGGGAGCACAAATATCACCCTCAGACTCTATGAATTGGACTCCTGAGTCCCTTTATTGGGTTTATGACACTCCTCCACTTGTGCTGCTCTCACTCTCTGCTGTATTTTTGGCTCATTTTCAGCAAGAACTGCCTGATACCAAGAGTACATTAAACAATTATAAACCATTTTTATTTTCTTTGCAAGCACAATTTAATTGGTCATAAATTTAACATTTATTTTCTGGTCAAAATATAAATGTAGTTTATGATGAAGTCTCATAGAATTGGCAAAAATACCACCATTTTTAATAATCTAGAGCACAGCTTTCTGTTTTACTTTGTGTTCTCTTCTCATATACTGATAGATCTATTAATTAAAAGTCAACATGACTATCCTGTAAATAAAAAGAATGTGTTATACAATAGAATGTATATATTTTTTTTAATTTACTTTCTTTCATTGTTTAATTTTAAGACTTTTATTTAATTAACTTTTCATGTTTATCACCTTTATTATATTTTATCATGGTTTTAACATTTAAGTCCGAGATGCAGTGCTTCCCCATCTTTTTTAACTCAACATAGCATTTCCTCAGTCATCTGCAACAAGTTGAAGTGTCCTGTTCTTTAGTGTATGCATCTGTGTGTATGAGTGTGTGAGTGCTGTATGTGTTGAATGGGGGTTGGGATGGTGGGTGGGGGTTGGTATTTGTATTTTTATTTATTTTATTTCATTGTTTTTTAATATCCTGTGCGAACGGACAGCACTTTGTGCAACATTCCATGTATGAAAAGTGCTTTAAAAATAAAGTTTGATTGATTGATTGATTGAAAATAGAATAGAATAATAATCTTTTACTTACCTTATCTAGATCAGGGACGTTGAGGAAGAATTCAGGGTAGGAATAGGACACTCCAACATTATTCACTGTTAATGAAAGAAATAACATTGATTCATCCAGAGTATTACATCTAGAGCCTGTATTTATAACACAGAGTGTTATTCCTCCTTTATAATCTTAGGAGGGCAGCAAAGGGCTGAGGAAGCCAAAGAATAATTTAACCTCATAATTACATGAAAAGAGTATTTTACAGCATTCCTCATGTCTGGAGACTCTGAATCAGACTGAATTTGCAATCCTGTCTGTTTTATTCAATTTGATGAAAAGTGAGGTTGCAGCCACTGAACCCACAACCCCCGCCTCTTATCTTAAGAGGGCAGAAAGGGGATGAAATTAACCTCAACGACCACATAAAACACCTGAATTTATCACAGTGGGCTGTGCAGTATTCCTAGTGTCTGCAGGACTCGATTCAGACTGAGTTTAGCCTCCTATGACCTGCAGGTTGAATGTAAAGTGGAATGCAGAATGACATGTAAAGTGGATGTAAAGTGAAGCAGCCAAAACATGAGCTGCGTGCTCACCCAGAACTCCAATCTCCAATCCTGCAAGTCCATCTTCAATCTTAGAGTAGATGTCCACAGCGCTGAAGTCTGCTGCAATGGTTTTGGTCTCCACACCACATTTGCTCGCTGAGGGCACAAAAAAATTTTTTTTTACTTTGCAGAAATGACAAAAAAAATACCTTAAATCTGTCAGCGAGAACTCAAAATGTGCAGCTAACGAAGGTTAACTCTACATTTGAATACTAAGAAGGTGGTTGATTTGTTTCTGAAGTGGATCGCCATGGAAACATCTAGACTGCTCTGGGGCAGCTCATGGTAAGGATAAGAAATCATCCTCCAAAAAACGCTTCATACCGACCAATCAATGCGTTCGATTGTGGAGCTATATGAGCTGATAATGATGAGAGAGGAGAAAGAGGAGAGAACTGCAGGACACCTGAACATGCTGCTCTCCTGATCATCCAAAAACAGGTGAACACTAAAGCCTTAAAGTCACTGTTGTACTAATTTAAATAAATTCATTTCATATAGCTATCATCGAGGCTGGGACTGTAAAATAATGTCAAAAACCTTCATGTCTCCACATAAACAGACCATAAAAGCACTATTTTTAAGGGTTAGTGAATCCAGATAACTAAAAGAAACTCTGGATATGTTGAGCTTGGATCTGAGGGCCTCAGGATGAAGAGAAAAACTTGTGATGTGTGATAACATCCTGATGCAGTCTGTCACCTGCTTGCCACCAGATCAGAGATACAGAACCAAAAACACAAGGACTTGAAGGCAGAACAGCTTCTGCCTTAGAGCTGTACCCTCCACTTACCTTTTATTAAACAATAAGCTCTTTGAAAGTCACTGCACGTCAAACCTGTTGATGCCACTCATTTCAAAAAAGTGGCATCAACAGTGATCTGTAAAAAGATTTAAAATGAAATGCACATTTTCTTTGATGGCCTGTTGTGTCACGCTCTTAGACGTCATCTTTTTCTGCAAAATGTCAGAAAATTCTCCTGATTTGTTTTCCGTGTCTAATTAAGACAGACTCCAGCAAGTGTTTGCACACAGAGCGTTTCGGCTCGCTCAGTTTGTGTTCAGTGCTTCTCAACAGCCACACTGTTAGGACTTCATGTTTGGTTTAGTTTTGGTCATTACTGAAGGACATGCTGAAGCACCAGAGCCTAAGGTGTAACATTTACTTCCTGTGGTCATTGTCTTTCATGAACAGGGATGTGACTGTGCTCTCTTTTCTTCTGTGCACATTTGGTATCATAATATTGTTGTTTACTACTGCGGTGATCATATGAGGTGAGACTATTCCATGTTTCTGTGTTTGCAACATATCATCTCTCCGGAATCCAACCACTCCCTGCAGCAGATGTGCTCTTCTTTTTAACTACGAGGTCTCCATCTTTCACATTTTCCCTCGCCCCTCTCTCCCTCCTCAGCCATCTTGCTGGATAACCTTGCAGACACCAAACTGACACTAATTAATCTGAGGGTAATGGATGGCTGGCTGGGGCTTTCTCTGATTCTTCAAATGGCGTCAATGCATGGCCCGTGAATCTGGAGTAAAAGCTGGTGTGCTGATATAGATGCAGGCTGCGTATTTATGAAGTCTGTTGGATGTGTTTAATGTGCATCTCTATATCCTCGTGTCAATTAATACTTTTTTTTAATCTTTTGGTGCAGACTCATCGCTAACTAAGAGTCACTCGGAAAGGGGAAGAGCAGAGCAGAGGGAAAATAAAATCCTTCTTCATCAATGAGGATATCCCTTCCTCAAGAGGAAGCTTTCATTTAATTGGACAGATTCACTTTCAGCTCCAGCAGGAGGGTTTACTGCCTCATAACCAAAAGCATCCCAGCCCTGCTGGCTCTCTTCTCAATGATAGGATCACTTGTGAAAAACATGCAATTTAATGCAATATTACTTGGTATGTGCTCATATAGGTCTACCACACTCTTTAATAGAGATACATGGAGGGAAAATTCAGGGTTGGGATGAATGAGGCTCTATAGTTACATATTTAAAAAGGCTGAACTCCAGTCATTTTAACACCATATTAGTCATGTACATCGCCTGCACCTGCTGTTGATTTCCCTTGGCTGTGAAAGGTGAAATAAATTTGACCGATGGTGTAAACAGATGGGGACATGTCACTAGTTCACCGTAATTTTGATGCAGTTTGTCAACATACATTTTCATGTTCCGTCAATTTATCATGTCTGGTAACATTTCTGCGCTGTGAACATTTCTTATTGTACCTTCGACACATAAATGAAAGAGGTAAGAGACTCACTAATCGCCTTGGAGACGTCATCCAGCTTCTCCTGAGAGCGGCTGATCAGCACGATGGAGAAACCTCGACGGGCGAGCTGAAAACACATAAAACAGGAATAAATAATAGGATACACTCGTGAATATGGACACACACTGCATACAGGCAGCTCAGGAGTGCACGTCAATATTTAGGTGTGGAGTTGCATTCACACCATCTACCTTGGGTGGTCAAAAAAATGTTCAAAACAACTTTCAAACACAGAAAGTTGACTTCACGACTGAAGCAGAGTTCACATGTAGAAAACAGGGATACATAATACAGGATATTTGTCGATATCTGACAAACAACACAAGTAACACTTTATGTTATTGTAAATGTATTCTTTCTTAAATATAGACATTTATCAATGGGTCTGCTGACTCTTACTGACTCATGTACGCTGTCATTGCACGCACATATTTTATGCACCAATTCCTCTTTTTCTGCAGACAATTATATCAGCTGACAATATACAGCAGAGATTTTCATAGTTGCTGATACAGGTAATTGACTTTTTAAGATGTTACAGGAATAAGAAAAAGAAGAACTTTATTGATCCCTGAAGGGAAATTCAATTGTCTGGTCTGTTGTCTCATTTGTCAGGTCTCTATAATTCATCTACTATTTACAGAAGAGTTGTAAAGTCTGACGCGAGTAGTACTGCAATAAATAAAAGTGTATTTACAGAATATCAAATTTATTAAGTCCTTGAAAAACAGAAAACATGAGGTTTTATATTTCAAGTTTTGTCATTTTGAGAGAAACTACAGTTTTCGGCTGTTTCTAGTTCCTGTGTGTCAAACATCTAACGTTTACATTTGATTATTGTGTCACATATACAGTATGTTCATATTAAAGCTTAAACTCACCAAACTTAAACAGCCATTCCAGTATTTGCTTATCTAGCCACCACAGTCTGTGCCTGTGCTTTTAAAGGTTTATTCATTCAGAGCCACGCCAAGCTGAGAGGGAAAATAATTATGTCTAAGGGTCTGTCTGAACTCCTTCTTCAAGGAAAGGTTTTCTGATTTAGGTCCTATCCTCACAGGACAACATTTGGTATCTAATCAGATATTAAAGCTTGGACAGCATTGCTAAACGGCTTCTTTGTATTCAGAGTGAATTTACTTTATTGGATCTGAATACACTAATGAGCAAGGCACACTCTGACCCAAAAGTGTTTGCAAACAGGCTGGCTGAAAGTCAGAAAAACAACAACTATAGTGCCTCATGTATCTTTGAGAAATCCAATGTGTCTGACAGAGAACAAGGGACAGGAATTGTGTTACTGCGGCCCTCTGTTGTTCGGGTCAGAAGTTTTGCTGCTTGTACCTCTTCAGCGTAGGCTTTTCCAATCCCATCAGTGGCTCCTGTCACAACTAGAGGGACGACAGAGGAAAGAGAGACTGAATTAGCGAGACAGATAATGAAAGTCAAATTGGAAAACACAGAAAGATAATCCGCTCCATTTTCAAAGTGTTTTTTCCTGGTGAATACAGAGCTGGGGCTTGACTGGCTGAATGCTTGTTGTCCTTCATCCTTTTAGGATTTCTTTAATTGTCAATCGAGTCTTTCTGAAGCTTATTCTTGCACTGAGAGAGAGTAAAGATGGAGTTGCCTCATGTTAAATCTTACTTCATGACAGACTTTTCGAGAGGACTTTGCTTTTTTGCTGTAATCCCTCTAAACTCCAGCTCACTGCTCTATGAAATACCCTCATTCAGCTTGAGCTGCATACAAAAATATTTTATTTACAGAGAAAATATTTCAAAATTATTTTGCAAAAGAGCTTATTATTTTTCAGTCACATCCCTTGATTAAAATATAGATGAAAAAAAAATACATTTCCAAGAGAAACAGATTTTTAAGACTGCAAAACCAAGGAGTGTTAGCCCCAGCAGATAAACAGACAAAGAGCGCCACCTACAGGATTTTTCCCCCAGCATAAAGGACGATAGAGATGTCAGAGTGGTGGACAGTTTGACTGACAGGTGAAAAAGGGCAGAGAATATAAACCAATAACATCAGCGCACCATGAAAAGCTCCAGAAAAATGAAATAAACTGACTCCCCCAGGTAGAGGAGGGTTGGATGTCAGTGCAGACAGATGTTGTGCAGGAGCGGAAACACGGGGAGCAGCTGAGGTGACAAAGAGGGACAAACAGAGACAGGGAGGGAGGGAAGGAGCAGGGAAGTTAGGTCCCCTCTGTCATGGGTGGCAGTGGAGCGAGCGGATGCCCTGGAACTGCCTGGCACAAACAGCATCAGCGGCAGCAGCGGCAGCAGGGGCCTATTTATAGCTATTCCCATCTTTCAGAGTAACTATTCATCACACCTCTAGCTAAATATAACAATAAGTGGAAGAAGAGTGGGATGGGGAGTCAGGCTGTTACAATCTGTCCCTGAGTAGCCTCTAAAGCCCGGGTAGTTATTTTTAACCCCTCATTGTGAGAACTTGTGCATTCTTCTTTGTCTTGTTGTATAGAGGTTGATTGCATAGATTTATTCCATTACCACATTTTCTAACATTGTTGTTCTGGCCTACTTTTTAAGAGTACTGCACTTAAGACTAGAACAATGGTGGGTTTGATGGGTCCAACTGCATTATTGCGGCTAAGTGCAGTAAGGAGTGCAGCTTCTGGGGTCTGCTGGAGGGGCTTTAAAGCTCTTATGTTTAATAAATACATGTACTAACATACTGCAGTCTCATTCAAAACAAACAAGTGCCTGAGTTGAATTTTAGACGACTAAAAATTGACCAAAAGTACCATGTCATCATGATGTGGTGTTATTTTTTCCTATTTGTTGTCTGCTGCTGATGTAGTACAATATGATGACTTTACCCTTTGCACAATGACACAATATTAACTCGGTGTAATATTCTGGAAAAGGCTGTTAAAATGATAGTTTTTTTTGGTGGTAAACAACAACATTTTAAAGGATTCTGAGATGGTATAATACATGCAAAAGGACAGCTAACATTGCTTCATTAAATTGTTTCATTTATTAGTGGTATTGTGGATGCAGTAGAGCATGTGCAGCACTTAAGTACGTGATAAATTTCCACAATGGAACAAGACAGTATATCGTATCATATCAAAAATCGTATCACATCGTATCATATCACATTTTCCGTTCTGAAGAGTTGGTTAAGCATCCTCTGCCTTAAACTGTGGTAAGGTTTCTTTTTGCACTTTAAATTTACAGATGTGATGGAGCCACTGAAACAAACAAGTCCTCAAAATATTATGCAACATTGGCCTTACTACTATATCATGCTATTTGCCATTGGAATGCACCATTCCAACCTTTTCCCTGCACATTTTATTACCTTGAAGCTACACAACCTAAGGCTTGTACTGAGCTAATTAGGAGTCTTGTCTATTCTAAAGGGGTAACCACCGGCTAATAGAGATAGACCGATTAATCAGATGGCTGCATCTCCTTATAATTCAGAATTTATAGCTGGTGTTTAGGGTTTTAGACCAATCAGAGTCAAGTTTCTAACGTAGCAGGGTGATTAGTAAGAAAGCTGGGGCGATAAATGTTGTTAATGTTTCTTATTTTACTGTATCACTCAGTAATACACAGCTGATCGTGTAAGTGTTTGTGCTGTAGCTACAATATCCAATACAGACATCCCTGCAGAGAGAATATTATTTATTCTGAGCAAACATTTTCTGGTATTCTGATGAAAGTTTTCATTCTTCTCTGCCTCTCTCTGGTCTATCTGCCCGTGCTGTACCCATGTCCCCTTTTGTGTGCTCTTCCTGAGTACAGATGATGCTGAGGTGCCGAACATCCTCCGGGGCAGCAGCCGAGCCAAACAGCAGGAAGAGAGGGAGGAGAGAGGAGAGAAAATGACAAACACGAAACATGGGGGATCCTGGGGGCAACTAAAAATAGCACAGGGAAGAGGAGGGGAGAGCGATGGAGAGTCTGCCGGCAGGGTGATGAAGAAAACATAGGCTGGGTTATTTTTAGCTGTTTTAAGAATGAACTGTTTTGCAGTCAGAACAGAAAAAAAAGCTTTTACAGCTGAGTGCATGTTCCCTTCAGTCAAATAAAACAAGAGCTATTTTAGGAGCTGCTGTCTTTTGGAAAAGTAGGTTAGACTGGCTAGGTGCTCTCATGATTGTCTAACTGTGTGCTGCAATTTGGAGGGTGGATTTATTAGCAAACATCATTTAAGAGTTCAAAATAACTACTCAACTAGGAATAAAAATACTCTTTAATAAGTTCTCTCAAAAGATGACATTTATGCATTTTACCGAGATGTATCATTTTCCTTCCAAACCCTCTGACTACAAAATGAAGGGCAGGTTTAGAGCCGTGACTAAGGACAGGTTTGGTATGTTGGCACACAACAGCTAATTATATGAGGATCTAAAGCTCAGAGGCTCTTCTACAGTTTATTAAAGATTCCTCACATTAATTTTCCCTTTTATTGTTCACAGAAATATATGATCTGAGGATTTTCCTTCCAGCTCTGGGAAAATACGTAGTTATTAAATTGTAATTCAGATCATCAGATCAAAAAAAGATCATTGCATTGCACAATCATAAACAACATCACCTGCAGCAACCTTTGCAATATCTTAAATTATATGTAGGAAAAGCAGAAATATCAAAAAATAAGAAGATGCAGATTTATTTCATGTGCAGGCTTTAGCTCATAAAAATTTTACGAACCACAATCCCACAAAAATGGAGGAAGCACACTCCAAATCCTCACAAGCTTAGTATCTGAATGTGTCCAGCTTATTATGATACTGCTTTGTTTATGATCACAGAGTGTTTAAGATGTGTTAGTGTATTCTTAATTTGCACAAACTTAAATCTTAGCTTTTCAAGTGCATTTATCAGATGTTGTTTCTTTAGGATGGAGCAGCAGAGTGCTACTTTCAGGGCGCTCTGTCTACCACTGCTGCAGACTCTCTTCTTCATCTTCTTTCTTTTTTTCTTCCACTTTCTCTCCCTCCCTCCCTTACTCGCACACAACGTGAGACCTGGGTACCAGTGAACCAGAAGCCTGATAATCTTACGTCACATTTATGAATGGCTGGAGTCCTTGTTATATAATCGGTCCTCTCAATCAAGTCCACTTCACTGAGACAAAGTTTGTGAATGAAAGCGGCAGCCAGGGCTAACGGGTTCCTTCGCCTCATTGGATATTCTGAATCACTTTGCATGTGTAATCCAAAAATAAAAGCCCGCGTGATGCTGCCGTTCCATTTTTAGCCGCACGCCAAAAGATCAAAGGCAACTGCAGCTCGCAACCTCAAAACATTTGGGTTTCTCTCGCAGACTGATGTGGCTGTGACTGCACATGACACTGTGAATGCAGACTCTGATTCAAACCATCAAGACTGAGCAGCCAAGTGTGCAAGCACGGGGATAGAAATGCACACGGAGTAACCAAGGTCAGGAGAATTGCGTGCATGAAAAAAGTAATGTGTTTGATTTGTAGGATTTAATGTGATAGAGCTTTATCCAAACAGCATTTCTCTGTATCCTATCAAACCTCTGCACGATCTCTATTTCTATAAATGGTCCTTCTTAACTGAAAACGTCTGACTGAGTTATGTGCAACGCTGTGAACCTTGCACAGCAGACCCCCCCCTCCCCTCCATTCAGGCAATCCCAGGAGTCCGTTCAAACTTCAAGGTTTAGTCAGAGAGCAGCCTGCACAGATGGGCGGCGTTCACTTTGACTCCATAATCCCTGCCTGCCATAATCCAATCACAAGCTTTACTACACTGCACATCTGATGACAAAGCGCTGATCATTTCTTGCTGATTCTTTCTGTCTTGTCAAAAGCGTGCCAGAGAGTAACACTGATGTCTGCTGTAGGATACATCACAATCAACAGTGTCATCTATTTAACAGTCAGGGAGAGTTAACCTATTGTGCAACACAGCTGTAACACACTGCACTGCAGTAACTGGACGGGGGTTCATGAGAGACGATTGGTCTGTTTGTAACTTATATTCAAGACACACAAACTCCTACAGAATTTGATGCAATGCAAAACAAGATATCTGCTTTAAATGTCTGGTTTTAGTTGAGATTGCTGGAAAGTAAGGTCATTTTATAGATCTCTTTTCTTTTTTTTTTTTTGCATAACCACAGGAAGCAGATTTTAAGAAACCCCTTCCATTAAAATTTTCTTCTTGCACTCTCACTTTGAATTATTCATATTATTGGATCATAAATGTATCTGGTATTAAACAGAGGTAAATCTTATTTTCTGTTTTAAAACTTTAAAGAAAAAAAATATTAAATGCTGAAAAAATGTGTCTCACTCATTTGAATGCATTATGAAATACATCTCCTCAGACAGGCTTCTGTTACTCAATAGACTGTTATCTATCACTGATAAAAAGACGTGTTTGTTCGTCTCAAAGCCGAGTCTGAAAACAACATTTTAATGCCTTTTTGGATAAAAAGAGCTGTTTGTTGCTTAAATACACCCAATAACAGAATTCTTGCTTATTTGAAACAAGTGTATGGTTACAAAAATCACCTGTACGTTTACTCTGAAAGTGGACAGGGATGCAACCACTATATTTTTCAGCCAGAAGAGGTCAGTGAACAGAGCTTTTAAAGACTGACGCTCACTCCAAAATAACCTAAAATGACTTGTTATCAACACATGGCAATGGCTATCCAGAAAGTCTAAAGAAAGATGACACAAAGAAATATGAGGCACTGCATTGATTTTTACGCAGATTTCTGATCATGTTGCTGTAATGATCTTCTGTTAATGTGTTTTAATACCACTGTGCTTTTTGTACTTGATGTGAAGGGGTGATAGAAAAGTCATATGCTGTTCTTGTATTATTTAGATGATTATGCTCCAAAATTTTGCTTTTACTCGAAATATTGTAAGTTCAACTTCAAATACTCTGTATTAATGTTGCAAATGATGGTAGAAATTAATTCATCCTCCGGGAAAACTACTATTTAACACTGAGAATGGTTACAGTGACAACAAATCGTATTTGTGTTAAGGTAAGAGCGAGGACAGAGGCAACAGTGACAATGTGATTAGCCGCCCTGAAACCCTAAATGATGCTTGGCTGTTAGCCTTTGTAAGATGTCGCACTTTGGTTGAAACATACTATGTAGGCAGTGTTTCAACAGGCTGTAAAAAGCTTATTTTCGATGTGGGATGTATATCTTTGGTTATAACTATAAATGGTGGCTCTATAAAAATGGAAACCAAAGTTTTTTAGTTGAAATCCTGACTTATTTTCAGGATTTTCAGGGTGTTTTGAGTGACTCCTCAACTCAGTGCTCCAGCCTGACCATTTAAAGCTCCTGTGAGGCGTTTCTATCGAGCTAAGAAACGGTTTCAAATTGAAATCAGTGCCTTTTATAACTTTCAGAAACAAACCAAAGCATTTGCATTACGACTGATAATTCCTATCAAGTTATTTCTACTGCCTAAATTCAAAGGTAAGGGGGTAGGGGACTGGCTGTGCATTACTTCTCAGTCTTTCTTACATTTTGCTTCACAGAGAGATACATGACTGTAAAAAAAGAGAGCAGGCTGAGGTTTTTGTTTTACAAATCATCCATATATTCAGAATGAAAAATATTAGGATATGCTTTATCCACAGAGGGCGCCAAAGTCAACGCAAACTAAAACATCCACACTGGAGCTTTAAGTAAAAAAAAGTCTGGTCCTGCCAATGAGTTACAAATGTTTGGGTACAGATATTAAATACACGGCTCGACAGTGCGACCATTTCACTCACATTTGCAACCAAAAATAGATGCGTGCGATTTGTAAAGTGTATTTAGGAGCACATGTGCGCATAAAAAAAATAGATGGTTCCATAGACTGTATATACTATGGACAATTTGGTTCCACCTCCCACCAGTATATGGATTTGAAGCCAAAAAGCTCTCTGTATTTCTGATATTTTTCTTCATTTCCTGAAACCAACATTGCACAGTAGCGTTGTGCACATTTGGCAGGAGAGTCGCCGAGAGTTGCTGTGATGACGCTTGGCTCAAACAGTGTATCTCTCGGGTGAGCTACGCAATCTCCATACGCCCATAGGCTGTATCAAGTGTCAATCATAGAAAACATCACAAGCGGGGGGGGATCTATATTCTGTGTAATAAATTTCTAAAGTTTGTGCACAGCCCCATAAGCTTTACTGGCGGAGGCGGGATTTATGACCTATACTGCAGCCCGTCTCCAGAGGGTGCTGTTCTCGGAGTGGCTTCACCCAGCGAGGAGGCAGACAGTGTCTATTCTATATACAGTCTATGAATAGTACTTATGTCGACCAATAAGACAAACGTTATCTGATCAATTTTTATTGTGCCTCTAAATTTCTTTGTGTGCTCCTTACTTTTTCAACTTAGCAGCACATGTGCTCATTGTGAAAAAAAGTTAGTGTCAAGCTCTTAAATATAATAGTAAATTACATTTAAAGTTTTCTAACAAATACTCCTAGTTCATTTTGTGAGTTAAGAGTTCATTCTTCTGTTTTGGCAGATTTAAGGGAAAGTGATTAAAAATATGCAAAAGATCGCTGTAAAAGTCAAGACCTTTGCTCATATTTCAGGTTTAAGGTTATTTTGATTTCAGCTCCTTTAATCCTAGGGTTTAAAGTTTTGTTGAAACTGAAGGAAGTTTTAATAAATCAGTCAAATCCATTGACACATGAACACTTTTCATCATTTCTGTTTGCATAAATCTGTTGGGGGTTTCCTCACCTGCCCATTTCCCCAGCTTGGTGGGTGACACGAGCCTCCCGTTGCCCAGCACCCACACCCTGATCCCGGAGAGCAGCCGGTGCACGGAGCACACACAGATCCAGGCCGCGGTCACCGCTCCGAGCCAGAACAGAGGAGCCTCCACCGCCCGTAATAATGCTTCTCCTCCGGACATCATACCTGCTCCACACACACCTCTGTCTACAGTTTGTTATTCAGCCGAGTCCTGGACTCACACTCTTTAATCTAATGCAGCAAGGAGCGCTCAAAGTGCAGATGCATGCGTCAAAGAGGACTCACAATGGGACTTCCGTGTTGGACACTTCCGCATCAGCGTTTGGAGGCTTGTGATTGGTCTATTATCATCTTCTGTTTCTATACGTAAGCAGGTCCCAGGAAACATGCGCATTACCACCCCCTACTGTTCGTTCTGTTCATGTGAGTGTTGGATATCGTGAAATAAAATAAAAAAAACACTTAAATTGTACAAATTAGATTTTAAAAAAATAAAATGATATGGCACGGAGATACACAGTAAACAACTTTACAACAAGGCACAATATAAGCACATAAATAAATAAATCAATAAATCGATAAATGAATTGACAAAATAACACTGAATAAAGAAAAATCATATCTATAATTCTCATAAGGAAAAGAGAGGACTAAATGGAGCAGTAGAATAAAAGATTTGAGTATTTTTCAAGTGTATTCTTGCCTGAGGAAGAATTCACTTGAATACACATACTTTCAGCTCATATTGGCACTGAGGTTAGACTTTCTGTGTTTCTTTTTCACACATCTTAACACACAGAGACGTTTGTCCATAATCCTCCTTTTGAAGGGTGATGAGTAGTTGTAATTTTCTTCTATATAAAACAAAAACAACCAGTATTCATTTGATTTTTAAAAATCTTTTCTGATATACATATTTTGGATAATATTCCTCTTAATGTTGTGTGTGAGTGTGTAAAAACCAAGTGTGTTTTAGATATTTAAAAACAAACAAATAGAGGGAGAGAATGTGTTTATTGCCATCTAGTTTCACCTGCAAAGTTTTGATATACACATATTTGATAAACCCTCTGGATTTGTCCCCATTATTCGGAATATGTGCAATATTGTTATTATGATATTTTTTTTTACATTAACTCTTTTGCTACACCTTCACCAGTTCACTCATTATGACCACTGAGATCTGGGATTTTTACATTCTTGTCTATTCTTCCAATAACTGCACATTAATATCCCAAAACAGCCCCTAATTATTTTACTTTATTATGGCAACACTTTCAATATACCCACCTCTTATAATCAATCATAGACACATTTATAAAGCCTTATAAGTACAAAAATAAGGCTTAATAACAGCCCTTATGGATGATAAGCATACAACAACAGCTTATAGTAATAAGAATGAAGTGTTAGAAGCAGTGAGTATTATGATTTACAAGGGTATGGTTTATAATGTACTACAACTTAGTGCAAAACTGTGCTTGTGATGCATTAAAAGAGATGGGTTCATATTTAGTGTCACCAACGTTATATGAATTAAAGGCTGAGACACATTATATATTGTATTCTGTAATCTGTGTGACTGTAAATTCATTTTAATCATCCAATGTCTTCTTAACCTCTCTGGATCTCATCATTCAGTCAAAACACTTCATCACTTCCTCTGCTACTCTTAAAAGGTCTGGCTTTGTACATTCATCATATATTGTTCATATAATGTTTCTTATGTATTTCATCATGGTGTTAAATCCGTAATGTGTGTATTAGCTTTGAGGAACATATCTGACCCTTTGCATCAAAGCATAAAGGAGAGCTGTTCGATTTTAAACAACATTCATCCAAACCTGTTGGTGGTGTAAAATTATATTTCCTACACACTGTTGCTGTTATTGGTGTGTGTTTTTTAATGTTGTTAAATCATCTTGTTTCAAAATGCTGCGACAAAACCCACAATAAAATTCTATTCATTTGGGGTTTTATGTTTAATATAATCAAACAAGCATATGTTCATGTTCATGATGTTTTCTCAGGGAAACGTAAGCTCTCAGTCTAATTTTACACCAGCACAGGCGCAGAAAGCAACACACTTTGAGCTTGTGTTTTGTTTGATATGAATGCAGTTAATACTTTAAATGAAACCTATAAAAGTAAATCATTTTATTAAAACCTTGACATGTATCCCATCTTCACATGAATGAATCATAAAAATGTCCTTAATTTTGACCAAATAGGAGTTTAAGATTGGTGAAATTGGCCAAAAACAGCCTCATATAAGATGTATTATTAATGATTGAATGGTTTCTAGCTGTTTATTTGGGTTTGAAGATTTCCCCAACATCTTAATTTTGATATTGACATATGCCCAGCCTTGAACACATCTGTTTCATTATTTCCTTTTATATATATTTTATTTCATAGAAGTTATGAGATGTAATTGAATGTAACTTACTGACACAATCATACACACACATGCAGGGAGAACGCAGTTCAGCCAAGTGGAGCAGACAGCAGCGGTCCATAATGTGAGAGTGAGTGTTACATAAGAGCATTGCAGCTAAAAATAGAAATGCAGCAATGGTAAACAGGAGTCTAAACTGTTGGCTCCGAGCTTTCAAAGGGACCTGAATGAAATTTAGATTAAAGGGCCATCTCAACATGAACGGACCAGCTGATAATCATGACTGAGGGAGCCTGCGGGCAGGTACAGTCTGCCTGATGTCCACGTGTAAGAGAGTGTGAGGCAGAAAGGAGGAGGAGTGATGGAGAAAACTGTTGCATTCATAAAAAATAGAGAAAGAAGTCGACGTACGTCTTGTGAAAAACATTTACAAACTTTGGCTAAATTGACAGTTTATTTTTAGTCACACATCATCTTGAGCGTCAGACAGCAATTCAGCACCTCATGTTGACGGACAGCTCCTTCAGTGTTTTTTTTTTCTTCATTTCATTGACAAAAAAACTGACCTTGTTCATAAAAACAAAGGCCGAGAAAGACAAAGAAACAGCAGAACATTGAAGACACTCACAGTTAGATGAGGGGAGAATAATTTTTTTACTAGTGGCTAAGACACGCACCTATCCACACACACACATGTTAGATGAACAGCCTGAGCAGAGCACTTGGTCCAGTGAAATTATTTATTTCAGTTATTTGTGCATTTAGAAGAAAAAAAAGTTGATTTATTGTGGGTCTTATGAAGTCTGTTGATTACCTCACACACACATTCACACTCACACTCACACACCAGACAGCCTCCATGTATATTCTTTTTATTTATTTCCCAGTATTGTAATGCATGTCTAAGATAAACAATGACAGTATTTTAAGCATAAACAGCACATGCAGAATCAATAAGGACACTTCAGTGAAGATTTCAAATATCTTTATTAAACACCTGATATATTCATAGTCAACAAAATCATTCATCTCAAAACATTACTTACCATCTGAGACAAAAATACTCACGCAAAGGCAGACACTTAAAAAGGAAAATGTTCAAAATACGATGAATTTGCAGTAAAATTTCAGTCATTGTGAGGACAGGAATGAAAATGAAGCTGTGTGGGTTTGGAGACTTTACAAAAAGAGAAAAAAATTTGAGACCAAATATAATGACTTTGAATTAATTTGATTGACCTCACAGACAAGAAGCACATGTGTAGAAGAGGAAATAAAGCACACAGACACACATTTAAAGGACAAACCAAATGTGACTCCATGATCACAACAATTTCAAACACTTGCTTTTTAAGCCTGTGAAGCTGATGTGCATCTGATCATATTCCAGTTAATGATAGATTAATATTTCCTTTGTACATATACCGGGAGTAAAAATGATACAGTTTTCAGTTAAGTTTATGTTTAGTGGCTGATTTCTGTGTGTATGTGTATGAAACTTTAACGTAAAGGATCAGCTGGTTTTGGTGCAGGATGCTTGATGACTTTATTTTTCACTCATGAAAAAACTGCAGGAGCAGAAAATGTTTGTGTGGCTTGCAGGTGCTTGGTGACATTTACACTCCAACGTCTCTCTGTGAAATTTCAACAAAGTAATCATATAGATTGGACAATCATTTATTATATAAAGAGGTGTAACACTGGCTCAATATTATAGATATGAATGAATAATATATAGTATGTTTTCAGGGGTTATTATTGGATTATTCATTGAAAATAATTCTATGTAACATCAACATACACACACACACACACACACACACACACACACACACACACACACACACACACACACACACACACACCTACAAACGTAACTGACAATCATGCACACGTACAGATATACATTTTCTCTCTGTGTTTTGCAAAAAAGCATCATAAACAGTGATTAAATGTCTGTGGCAGAGAGTTATCACTACAGAAGACAATGGGAAAATAAGAGATGCTGTTTCTACATACAGTTACAGTCATTATTCGCTGTTCATTCAAACACATACAACACATGATATGTCATCTAAATGAGAAACAGTTGATGATTTTGATGCAGGAAATCCCCTTCAAATTCATGGTAAACAAGATAATTCAAACACAAAAACATGGCAGTGTGACATTTCAAAGATTAAATCACACACACATACACACACAGGTCATATCACTGTTGCCCAGTCTCTTTGTCCTCTGGTATTGTATTATAGACAGGTTTTGAATGTTTGCGTCAGAGTATGTTTTTCTTGTGTTTGTCATTCATCATCGCTGTCATCAACCCTCGTACATCACACAACTGTATGGAGCTCAGTCAGATTGCACTGTGTGTGTTATCTGGGGTTGAGTAATTGTCATTACTTCTCCTTTAAGCAGGTGAGCTGATTAAAAGATGTTCAGGAGTGAAGGCAGGGGGAGAGGGAAGCTTAAACACTTCATCACCTCTTAAACTAAGAGCTCTCTCATTGTGTGAGCTGAGGGACTGCTGCAGCTTAGGGTGGTGTCCCCTGATCCAGAGCCCCTGTATGACGTTACTCTTATTAAATTGTTTTATGGTATAGATTTAAAAGCGTATGATGGAAGTAAAACTGTCAGAAAATGTTTGTAAATATATCCAGTGTGTCTTTATTCACCTCAGTTTATGTTTTAATCAATATTAAACTTTTAATATTCAGGGGATTTTCACACGGCCAGGATTACAAGAATAATGGTGAAGTAAATATTTATAAACATATGTCAGCATATGCAAAGTCATATTGTGACTCTTTTGGAGTTGGGACCGATTACAAAAAAAAATCTCCCATACATTTGATGTGGAAATTTGTGGTACTTGTACATTGGTTTGGTAAATGAACTTTTTTTTTGTTTGCAGATGCAAAGCTTATTAACCTTTAAAGCAGAATACTTGAACTCCTTTTGTATACTCGTGATATGAAAAGATGAGTTAAAAGAGAAAATAGACAAAAAGTGGAAAAAAAAATCATTTAAACACAGTAATATTGTAATAAAATACAAACATGTAACAAATGAGTAGAATCTGTGATGCAGAAGCGTGTTAAAAGAAATGTAAAACGATGAAAATGATTGTTTACTTCCCTTTCCCTTTGCTCACTCTCCACCTGCTGACCTCGCTGTGGGCTGGTCACGACAGCCTTCTCCTGGCATAATAAGTGTTTGTGAGTGATGGAGATGACCTGCAAGTTTAAAGGTAGAGACAAAACAGAGAAAAAATGTGAGAAATTTAAGACAATTTCACAAAAAAAACACTCCTTTTTTATTACTGTGAAGCATTTGAATTGGAGGGAATGCTGAGTAATCTTTACACATTTGCAGCAGCGTGTGCACCGAGTTAGAAGACAAACAGGAAACAACATTAGAAACATTACATACACCAAATGTAGTAGAAATGAAATAAAGAGAGGATGTATTCGACAGTGACGTAGGAGCATTTCAGGTTTCCCCACTGATTTTTTTGACCTCTCAAATCTTTGGCATCTATGCAGAAAATGTAAAATTCCTGTTTAAAGCTTTAGATTTCAATTAATAAAGATTTGTGACTTAACTGAGGAGCTGTTTTGATGTTTAACGCCTAATTAACTTTGAGTAAAAGCAAACCCTCACAGCTGATTCATTGTTTCCTCCTTGACTGCCTGTCTCACATTCAGTCTACGTCCCACATGTTCACTCAGCAGAAACACAAGAACCAAAACATCTCACGCTTCTTCCCAAAAAGAAAAAAAAAACATTTCTACGTCTCCATCTGCACGCTTTCAAAGACCCAAACTGCTGCATTTTGAGGATCTGTCACTGAATAAAGATCAGATAAGAAAGCATGACACACATTGAGCACAAATATGATGGTGATGTAATTTTGATGCAGAATAATTAATCAATAAAACTTACTCTGCATACATTTCTGCTGTGCTATGAAAAATCCTCCACATCTCTGCCTCTTTCAAACATGTTTATTTATAGCACAATAGAAGCAAACATTGTGCATAATTAGGCACATCAGGAGCACAACAGCTAAGACTGCTGAATAGGTGTAACGCTGCTGCTGTGTGAGGGGATATTGTGTAATCCTGTGTGTCCAGAGGTGCAGGACAACACTTTCAGTATCTTGAGTTTTCCTTCTTGACCTGTGGCCTCACTCACTTCATGATTCAAGTCCATTCAAATACGCGAGAATCAGCTGGGTTCTCATCAGGTGTGTGTGTGTTGAAAGCACGGGTCACACTTTGGGGAGTCCAGACCACTGAGGTTGGGAACGACGTTCATATCCAACACAAAGTCTTTTTGGGGTAAGGGCTTCCCAGATTCATGTCTGCACAGCAAGCCCAGACCGCAAAAAGATTCGTGACGGACGATTTCTCCAGCTCCACAAATCCAGAATCCACTCCTGTCCACGGACTCTTCTGGGGTCTCCATCCTCTGAGTGTTTTCAGACAAACAGTTCGCGCATGAGGATTTGTTTTTGCGCACAAATGACTTTCTTATTCTGATTCTCAATTCGCCAAAGATACCAAAACTGTAAGCCCACTGGATTGGCATAGCTTTGCAGCAACACGCAGCCTTGTTATTAAAAAGAGCGGCGGTGAGGAGGGGCGGGGTCTCATCGCTGTTATAGACACACACAGCAGAGGGATGTGAGCGATTTCATTGGTCGGAGCGAATCATCATCCACCAATAGAGATGCAAAGGAAAAGAGCACCTTAGCAGGAGGCCAGAGCACCTGACAGTTTCATCACTTCAACATCTTCTCTTGACTCCAGTGTGACATTAAAGCCAACCAGAACCAACAGCAGGTGAAAATGCACAAGGAAACATCGTGTTCTTTTGGGTCGTTTCTTGTTTTTGGATCATTCAGAACCGAAAAATCACCATCAGTGCGTCTGGAGTCATTAATAGTAAAGTTTCCGTCATTTGCAAAGGGTTAAATTGGCTCCAGAGCTCCAGCTGCCGGAGCAGGGGCCCCACCCTCGCTCCGTTTTCATTGGGCCGTGCAGCCTTTCATTCGTGGACGCGTCTCCCAGCCGGTCACGATTCCCCCCATCTGTCTCGAGCGCACCGGAGCCAGACGCCACTGACGCAGCACGCGCCTTACTCACTTTTAGCAGTCACGACTCGAGTCTCCTCGCGCACAAAAGGGAGGAAAAAAAATTCTGCAAACAAGGATGAAATTGTCAAAAGGTAGCGCTGCATCTGAGGGGGGGCGAGCTGCTCGGAGCGCTCAGCTTCTGCAGGAAAACCATCGAAATGTGAGGAGACGCTTGATCTGGAGTCCTCCATCCTTTAAGCACAAAGCCTTTTATGTTGAGTCTAGTGCATGAAACTTGACAGAAATGCTCTCAGGATGCTCCGTGCAATAGCTTTAGCCAAGCCAGTGTTACAAGACTTCAGCACCACAGCCGGAGGACAGCTCCCCTCTCGCTCAAATCAACTCCAAAATCAGCCACAACTCTCCACTTTCCACTGCTTTAACCATCTCTTTGAAATAAAACACCAAATACACCCAACATCCACCCTTCTCCCCTCATCAAATCTGAGGGTGATTCCCATGGAGCTGCTTTCATAAAAACCTCCACCAACACTCGTGACATCGCGTTCCTAACAGCCTTTATCAAACCAACCACAACTCAACTAACCTTAAAGCAGACACACAAAGCACCGCAAAAACCTTAGAGAAGAGGAATAGGAACAGGTGCATGCAGCTAAAGAAAGGTTTGCACAACTCACCGTGGTAGCAGCGGAGCCTCCTCCAAAAAAAAAAAAAAAAAAAAATCAAGAAAAGTGCCACAAAAAAAGGAGCAAAAAACGCCAGATTCTCCATAAAATGCGCTCTGGCTTTGCGTCTCTCCAAACTGCTCACTGTACTCTTGAATGGTGAGCCTTTTATAGGAGAGATGCCCCCTATCTATTTCTGGATCACGATCCAACCCCGTTTCTATTTTTAGCCCGCGCGTGATGAAAAAAGAAAAAGCTCGCAGAGGTTCCTTGGAGGAATTTCGAGCGTGCAGCGTTTGAGAACCGGCGCGAGCTCCCGCTTCCACCCTCCCTCCGTTTCTGCACGATAGATGCGCGTGCACGCCAGCATCTCCCTAATAATGATGCCATGAAAAAAGAAACTGCACGCCGGGATTTTAGCGGAGTGAGCAGAGTTTTTTTTTTTTGGTTGCATTTTATTCAAGGTTTGCTGATGAAAACATGGTGGCTGTACAACCAAGCAGGCGCACACCAACTCACGTGAAAGCGCACGAGCACAGACGCCCACACCCTTTCAAATTAAAATGAATTCTTACCTTAACCTGAAATTCCTTCTCATTAGAGTCTAATACAGCTTTTCACGCTGCACAGTTCATGTTCAAACCCTAAAATAATAGCAGAAAAAATAAAAAAACACAGACTTCCTTCTCCTGGGGGCTGCGTCAGTCACCATTGACGTCAGGTGGAGAATCTCCCACTTTGAAGGTGGAAGCAGGAGCCACCGTTGCCTATCCTGTGGCTAAAAAGCAGGCCAGGTCCAATGAAAATCTACCATGGTAGGGGATAGGCTGGGGATGGAGCAGCCCCCTCCTCCCCCTTATTCTAAACTGGAAAGGCCATTGTTTGCTGGATGTGGTCAAACCTCTCTTTCACATAAAAACAGAAGCCAAGAGAAACCAACAGCAAACTCAAGAATCAAGAAAAATCATCTCTGAAACCTCAAGGCCTGTAAGTAAGGGTGATTCAGACAGATTCCAGGTTGGGTTTACCCCAAACGTGGCCCCTCAGGTGGATGATGCAGGGGCACATGAAGGTGGAGGGCTCATTACAGGCTGCTGCTGCTGCTGCTGCTGCTGCCGCGGTCTCAGTCCTGCAGACTCCCCCTGCACAGGGCAGAATGCTGAAACGCGTAGTAACGGAGCGGCGCTTGGCCGACCGATGATGCTATTTTTAACTCTCATACTCAACATGCCTGGCGCTGCGGGTTTCTCTGCTCAGGGTAGCCTTACTACTGTACGACAGGCCAAACATAAACACAGGACAGCTTCCAGGCGGATATACAGGCCGGACCTGCTCTCTCAGATTGAGTAATCTATCTAATCCTCCTTCAGATTATGAGGTGTGTTTCTCTATCAATGTATCTCTTTAAGAATGAAGAGCTATCTCATTCTTGAAAGCTGCAACCTGTTGGATCTCCAAGGCGTTACATTCACAAGAAATCTAACTCCTGCACCAATTTTAGATTCAATAAAAACGTCCAATGAATTTATCAATTTATAAATCTAGATAAGACTTTAAAATACAAAAAGAACAACACATTACATATTGAGCATGGTGTATGGATATTTCTGTTTTTGTATTTTGGGTTTTCAGATCCATCATTTTGTACACATACTTTTAAGAGAACACACTAAATCTAGATTTTGGAAAGCATGGGTGTGTATTTTTTAAGTTTGCGATCCTACATCTGTTTTTTGTTACACCAAATGATGTTGGAGGAGTATGGAGGTTGTTAATGTCAAGCTATGTTGACAAATTGGGACTGCAAGCAGACCACTTTAGGACCACTTTTCTAGTTTAGTGTTGATAGGCACCATTCTCAAGTTTTTAGATCATGTCTACACCCAGTTTCCTCTTTGCATGGTACAGACTCAATTTGCAGCGGTGGACGTTGCCATACACTGTCTTTACAAATTATGCTTTTTAGAAGAGATTTGAAGGAAGTTTAATCTTACCAATGGTTTGATGTGCTTTAATTTTTAAGCCGGAGCTGCAATACTTTTTGATTTTAGAAGGCTTTTTTTGTGTGTCACCTACAAAATAGAGTGGTACATCATAGATGTTAAAAATAGACCCCATTTGTGGCTCCATTTGTAAAGAGAACATGATCAGGTTGAGGGACACCACAAGTAAGTGGGGATGTCTCAGAGAAACAATCACCAGGATAGTCAGGGAAATTCCTACTCAAAGATCGTAGGTGCGGCACCTTTGATTCCTTTACAACTTTTTACAAGTAACAAGAGGACCGTATGATCAACAAGGTTAAGGGCAGCTGTAAGGTTCAAGAGCAGCAGGAGTCTCTTATAATCACAGTTAAAATCTGATCAGTGAAAACTGAAAAAAGGTTTAAAACCAGGCTGGAACTTTCCACAGGTATACGTGTCATTGTTCAATAAAGTAGCAGAGTAAAACTGATCCCCTCAAAGACTTAAGGCAAGTCATTTGAAAATTGTCTTATTTAATGGGGAGTGTTCATGTCTAGTTTTTCTCTGGACTAAACATTCCCACAATCATTGTGAGTCACCTAACCTTTCCTCTCTCAGATAACAGAAGACTTAACTGCTCAGAGAAGTCTGATTTTAGTAACTAATAGTAAGATTGACCAATACTTACATTATCAATATTCAATATTCTTTGCAGTTCTAGTGCACATGTTCAAATGGGGGGTTTAGAGAAAGGGGACGGGCAATATGGTTGCAAAACGAGTCTTCCTTGTAGCTTAACCAAACAGCATTTGCTGTGAACTGATGGGTCACCCTTAGCGTTATAGAGGCAATATGGTAAAAGTTTTGAAAGTAGCTTTACCTTTACTTAGAGAGATATCAAAGGTTTCTTCAAAGCTGAGTGTAAATCAATTGTGTTGAGTTTGAAGTAAAAATAGATTGCCATTCAGCCTTTCAATGACTCACATTAGACAAATCACTGAACAATTGCTAGAGAACAAAAGCCAGTCCACACAAGTGTGATAGCAGATGTAAAATATATAAATGTAAACCAACAGTGGTGGTTTATTCTAGGATTACAATGCCCAGTGCGCTGTATGGCTGTGACAGGTATGAAAGCTTGTGAATCTTATGCTTTAGCCCCAACAACTATCAAAGCACCCAATGAATAACCATCTTTTAAAAATCAGCGATCATGTCTGTCAAAGACCTTCAGAGTACAGTGACATTTTATTGATGCTGTTCAGGACACACGTGTTTTTCCTAATATGCTTTTGTATCCACCTGGATAACCAGTCCATAGAGTTTCATAGTAAAATATGTATTTCATGGCACTGGGTTGGAGCTGTCCGTGGTACTGAAGTAACAGTGAAGCGCTACATCGAGCAAGTCCAGATTAACGGCATCGATTACAGAGTTTTAGGGAAACGTCAGGTTAAACAAAACTAAAGAGATAGATCTGCAGATGAAAGCGTTGACAGTCGTATCTGAGGGACCAGTGCATATTCATTGAAAACTGACTGTGGTCTTGCAAAACATCACGCATTTGATTGTATCATGAAGTAGTGAAGAATTTAGATACTTGCTGGTGAAAACATAGAAGGAAAGTCTTGTCAAGCAGCAACTGCGATGGGCAGAGCCAGTTCTCAGGTACAAAATAAGCAGTTTCTCAAGGGTTCACCTAAAGCCACTGAAACCCTGTTAGACCCCATGCTTAAGGTCCAAATTTACAACAGAATGAAAAATGTTCATCAGTGATGTGAAATCACTGGAGGTAACTACAACGATGCCAAGCAATACAATATATTATGACATAATAAGAAACAATAGGATACAGTATGAAATGAAGTACTACCTTCATTATATAGGATTATATAATAATACTAATATACAGAAAGATAATTATATGTGTATGTTTGAACATTGAATGCTCCATTCACTTGGCGTTTTTATCATTTTTTTGATTTCCTGCTGGTAATATATGACAGTGGTAAATCATGTTTGCGTTTTCTTTATAAATCTAATCTTTTTAACCATTAACTGTATTTTCCTGATCCTAAAAAATTGAATTTATTTCAATACCTCAATTATAACTAGGTCCATTATAGTCCAAAAACACTATGTATTAGAGCCACTCTCATTCATGCAAACCAATGTTCTTTCCTGTGTTAATATCTGGATGCACTCTGAGTCTCTGTGACTTTAAAATAGTCATCTCCTTTCATGTCGACGTAGGATATTCACTATTATTATGTAATATCTTGCTGCAACATCCATTCAGTGTTTCTATATTCAGCCGTGGTGAGCCAAATATATCTGTCACACACTGTGAGGTGCAATAACAAATTTCAACATGGAAATGGGCATTAAAAGTTTTGCTTTGGAACAAATGAAAACATAGCAAACTTATCCTGATGCATCTTGACCTGTGATGGCTTTTCAGCATTTCTTTAACAGTAAGTAAAAAACAGCAAGCACCAAACAACATTAATATCTGTAATGTCTGCAGCAGTATCATGTTAATCCACTGGAAGAAAATTAGACTGATACTTAAGGATATTATAGTCACTATAGCTTTTTTATATTAAAATGAAAAGGTATCTTAAGTAAATACGGAGCACATTAGTGCAAAATCTTCTCTACACTTGTGCATGCATACAGATGCATTATTTATATACATAAATAACAAGCCTCTCTGTAACAGACTATTGGCTTTTAAGTATTTGCACAAACGTGCATTTAGTAAAATGCAGTTCTTAAGTGTGAGTTCATGTTCATGTGAATGTCTTGCTGATGAAATAAAAACCTTAATTCATAAATGCATAAACATGTCTATTAAATGAAATGCACTGTTTAAATGCATAAAGAGTGCATGTAAGTTTGTGTCTATCTAATGCAATAACAACATTAGCTGCGTCAGCTGCAGCAGACTTAACAAAGGACTCCCATTGAGTATACTATCACTCCGAAAACACTCAATGGGAACAGCATCACACACACACACACCCATTCAATGCAGAGTCTCTGTGGTGTGCCAACTCACATGCCTATTACATAACAGGGCTCCTACTCCCAGGCCTAACGCCCCTGACAAATCCATGCACGCTTTGCTGCACATGAGCTATTTATACACTGCACCCAAGACAGGGCTGCTCAAAAATACCACTCCAGTCAATTATTCATTGAGAAACATTCCAAAACAGAGCGGGGAGCGGGTTCAGCTGCACTAGAATAGACCATGGGGCTAACAATAAATAAAGTCTGTTAGCTTTGCAGCAGTCTGTTTGTCCTCGGCGCTTCAGAATCTGCAGGAACAGGGCGGGAAATGTGCAGCAGCAGATTTGCCCTCTCATGTGTTGTGCATGTATTTATAGGAGTCTGTGCATACACTTCAGCTCCTCTGCAACCATCTTGTTCCTTTACAGGATTCTAAAAATAGCAGCAAGCTCAGTGCCTGTGCCATTTTTAGTTCTTGCAATTTAGAGGGAAAAAAAACGCAGCAGGGAAAAAAAGTGCTGTTTCGCAGGATACTATGTGGAAGCACTTTTTTGGGGGGATGAGAATGGACACACTGTTCTATCTTTGTTCCAAGATGCTCCGGGCTCTATCTGCATCACCATGCCAAATATACCGCTTTTAACAAACTGATAGATTTTAACATATCCCTCCTATATTCATATTTGTAGAAAACTGAATAACCCATTTGTAGAGATGGTCTATGCTACAAAATTCCTGATATTGAAAAATAGATTTATAAAATCTATTAAAATACAATGCAGTGTAATAACATTTCAACACTACTTAGTTTTTACCAAACCACTCTGTCTTTTGTAAACACCAACATATCTGACGAACTGAAATTTACATCTTACTTACAGATGTTCATGTATTATCTCAAATACTTCATGCTGTCAGTTTTTTTTCTCAGAGTGTACTTTGAGATTCTCTCCTCAGCTCCCAAACAGTTCAGATATATTAGTCTGAGGAGGTTTCATTGAAAATAAAGTCTTGTTACTTTAAAAGGTCCTGACCAGACCATGGAACCTTAAAGATCCTATATTGTTCACAACCAGCCATCAAGAGCTGCTGCTTCAGTAAAGTGTGCGAACCGCACTTCAGATTCACATTACTGGTGTCTTTACAGGCACAATCTGCAGTTTTATATCTGTTCTACTTTTAATATAAATCTCAAGGATAGAATCTACCTGCTTGAATTGGGACAGACCTGGTGTGTAATAACCTCAATATAAAAATCATTCGTTTTTTTAACTTAGAAAGAGCGTTATACATCTGCATAGTAGTACAGAATAGACAAACTGGTAACTAACACACTTTTGCCTTCTGTGAGAGGTTTTATTAAATGCACATTGGAAGATGAAGAGGAGTGGTGGTCGTTGTATGCAGAATAATTTATATTATTAGAAGTCTTGGATAAGCAAACTTACTTCGCTGAGCTTCTTCATGTTCACAGCTGGAGCACTGAGGTCCACCAATCAGCTGCTCCTGGATGTGCCTAAAACTCGCCTCAGAATCAGGGATGAGTGAACCTTTGCAGAAGACCTGTGGAACAGCACATCAAAATACACCCCCCCTACACAGACACGATTGACTGTTTAAAACCAAACACAGACGTTATAATTTCTGTTAAACTTCCCTTTGAGGTACGGATGGCAGTATTCTGACAGATTTCACCACTTTTATAGATATGTTCTGTTATTTTTGTTATTTGTACTTTTACCTTGTAAAGAACTTTGGTCAACACTTATTGTGCTATAAACAGTAAGACAGATATAAAGTTGACTTGACTTAAATCTTGACAAATGGAGGATCATACCTGTCTTGCATCACAGGAGCTTCTTGACCTCAAAGGCTACCATCTCTTCAATAGCAGGAGGGGTGAACATGACAGCGTTTTGGTCTATTATTTGACCACTTGATATTTCTATAAATGCTATCATGGGTTACTGCGGCAAAGTGGATAATATACACAGACCAAAAATCAGGACTTTTTTTCATGCTAGTGGATTGTGAGGCTGAGGGCCTCCACTGCTGGGTCAGAAACGGTCATCAGTGTTGAATTTGTTCTGCAAAGTCAGAGCTGTGTGAATCCGGAAAAGCATTAACATAATTAATTTGATTGGTTTAATCAAGATAAGTCTCAATTAATGTGATTTAAAGTTTCGACATAGATGTAAAGGTGTACTTCCTGTAAAGAGTAGGTGTGATTAAAGCAGGTATATTAATAATTTAAGTACCCTGTTGAATGTTTGTTATATTCTGATGACATTTATTGACAAACATTAGTATAACACCGGTGTAATGGGTCATTTTGTCCTGTTTTCATAGATTGCTCCTTCTTTCTTTTCTATGTGTCATTAAATGATGTTAATGCTCAGTCTTTTTTACTTTCACATTTGCATACATTAAGAAAATGTTTTTCCAATGATCTTATTTGTGAATGTAGAATAAACATGTTATAATTATAAACAGTTGTAGAAGTTGATGTCTAGTGTGTGGAAAACAGGTTAGACAGTGCCACCATCAGGCAAGTTTTGAAATGTTTCTAGAAAGAAGCTGCAGTCCTATTTTCAATGAAGTGTTCATATACTGAGGCAGTAAACCGTTAATGCTGACCGTTAAAACTTAGACAAGTTAATTTACACTTTGATGAGCCCACACCGTTTTTTATTTCCCGAAGAGCCAAAGAATTAACGCAGAGGACAGAAACAATGAAATCCACACACTGCCTTTAATACTGTACATTTAATACAGATTCCACTTTGAGAGTTTTTATAGAAAGCAATGGCGAATCCTTTTTCTGCCTTATGTTTTCCATAACTTAAGAAGCAAAAAGTGATAGCTTATTTCAATTTCTCTCTTTTGTATTTAAGTTACCTTGGAGCAAAATCAGACAGTTTGTAGGTCCCATATAAATAGGAATGATATAGAAATAAAAAGTGCAAAAACTAAGAATTCCCATTCATTTGATGAAGCAGAAACATTGAGATGTAGATTGTAGTTAAAACTCTTTTAACCTCTGAGTTTGGAGGCAGATAACTGACCATCTCAGAATAACTTAAACAATTTATGTAAAAATTTGGTTCATTTTGAATATCCAGTTAAGTTTAAATGAAACATGGCGCCATCTTCAGGCGTGAGTATGTTATTATTCTTACCAACCCACCTGATGGAAACTCTTGGAACAAAAATGCTTAAAAACATTTAACAATGATGTAAATTTGAGCTTTTTCCTCCAATTAGCCCAGATTTTTAATCAAAATATTGCAAAAATAATTAACCGAAACTTTACAGTATCATTCACTTTCAACCCCCCCTCCATTTATTGCAAGTTAAGCAAACATGAAATAGTCTGAGTTTGGCTGTCTTAACTTCTTGATGGTTAAACAACAAGAGGTCCTGCATTTAAAGATGAGAATGAGGGTAAATTATCTACAGTTGTACTAGTAAAATCTAAATCTTTGGGGAGCTGGCTCTTCAACAGAAAAAGTACCCAGTTTCTCCTGGATATGAATCTTAATATCTCATCTCTAACCACGTTTTATTTGCTTACACTGCTATTCTGTGCAAGTCGTCTGTGGTCTACAGATGAGTGTGTGTGTGTGCATGTCTGTGTGTGTGTGTGTGTGTTTGTTATCTGGTGTGTGTATGATTGTGGAGTACTTCTACGCTCAGATTTGTTAGTTCAGGGCTGACGGCGTTCCCTCTTGGTGAGCAGGTAACACTGAATGGTTCTTAGTCGATCTTTGGCGGGGGCAAATTCTGGCTGCAGCTTCAGAGTGGACTCGTACCAGCGCATGGCTTTCTCAAACTCCTCCTGTTGTCATGGGAAACAAAAATCACATCACTACACAGACACATGACCTGCAGCAAGTGACTCTGAGGACAGTACTGTAAAAATGCTCAAAAATCAATTAAAAGCTGTCCTTACCATTGCGATATAGACGTTGGCGAGAGTAAAGTGGTTCACGACAAAGTGTGGGGCGATTTCTACTGCCATACGGGCAACTGTGAGAGCATCCCCCCATAGACGGGCGTTCTGGAAGATGTTGGCCAAGCTGATCAGGGGAACATCCTGGGTCACAGATTATAAGAACAGGAGGATTTAGTGATCGTTGTTTCCAGGTTTAAACTTTGCTCCCTGAAGTTTGGTTTATTGTTGGTATTAACACAGTATATGTCTGACTTGCCTTCATCTGATGAGGGGCATAGTTGAGGGCCTGTCTCAGGCAGTCGATGGCTCTCTTTCCTTGACCTTTTACCCTCCAGTACAGTGCAGCCATGCTGGATAAAACCCAGGATGTCTGATTCTGTTTGAATGCAGATTCAAAATCTTATCGAGTGTAAAATCGAGGTGTTACAATAGCTGGGTGTTACTAGTGATAAATTATACACAGAGATGGCACTTTGCTCTAATAATTTCTTTCCTACAGACAAGCAATTTGTTTCACAGTTTTACAATGAACAACAATTAGACAAACAGGGAGCTTTTTCTGTCCTTTAAGAATTTTCTGAAACGCCATGGCAGGAGAGCTCTCAATGTCTGATGAACAAGTGTCACTGCAATCTAAAGAGCTTTCAAACTGCACAAAAAGGTACATTTGCTGTTTTGCTATTCACATAAACACAAGTATTTATAAAGTCAGCTGACTCTTGACTTAGGGAATACCAAGAATAAGATCTTGACTCCATGAAGACATAAAATCTGTCAAAAGTTTGTGTATTTATTCAGACATTCATTGTTACGGCGCCTTGAAGTGATCATCAAGACTGTTGACACATTTACTTTTTGAATGCAGAAGTATTTCTACTAGCAGGAGAACATCAGCGCCCTTACCTTCTCCAGGACTTTAGCAATGCGTGTTCCCACTTGCTCAAAAGACTGTGGGGAAAACTTATCTTTGCCCAGGTTTTGCAAGACCTGAGGGTTTGAAAAAAAAGTGAAACATGCAAAATGTTAATTGCAAAATTATCATGTAAAATTCCATCATATTTCAGGTTTTGAAATCTGTCACTAATGTTTCTGTTATCTCAACATGTGACATCTCTGTCAGTGCATGAATAGGAGGGATATACTGGAGAAAATCTCTCTATGATCTGCAAAGTATATGTCAAACACTGGAGATTTTCAGATGAAAGGTGCAGAGAGTAAAAAGAGGTCATTGAAATTAATGATCTGGTTATACTTGGAAAACCCACCTGGCTTTTGTCTATGTGTGGATAATAATGCACATGCAGCATTTTCTAAGTTATCTTGGCTATTAAACTTCTACTTAGTTCAAGATTTCAGTTGCTGTGAACCTGTCCCCTGATTGTTTCTGTTGTGCCAGTTTAAGTTCATATGTAGTTAAAATGTCTGAAATTAGCGACATCAATCTGGGAGTGTTTTCATTTAAGAGAAGCCCTGTACAGCTGAAACTCAACCTTCAATGTTTTCATGTATGTCTGGGTGAGTATTCAACACGTCTTTTGCTCTCATTAAAAAATCTACAGGGTGCCTTCTGCTTCAGCCTACCTCCCGCAGCTGGCTCTCTCCGGTGTAATGGATGGCGGCTCGATTGGCAACTCCAGACAGGTGGTCCAAGGTGTGCATACTGGCAGCTAAGTTTGCGTTACACAAAGGTTCAGCAGCTGGCTCCTGGAGTGGAGTGGCAAAGTCTATGTGCTCTGTAATGCTGAAACAAAAAAAGGGATTGAATAAAAGAATAAATGATTTTTGCTCTGTGACAGCAAATATCAACATGGCAGCGGCATTTCTCCTTTTATTTACTTTTCCTCAAAATCCAATGGTTACTAAATTAAAGCACAACAAATTAAAGTTTGTACATACTATCAAAAGTTTTAAACATAATTTTTCAAATGCAACTTTCCCAATTTCAAAAAGTAAATTCCCAACTTACAATCTGTACAAGGTCAGTGTTTGAGAGATAAATTTTCAGCAAGATAGCAACTTTACTCGTGGACCCACATCCTGAAGTTTTTTGGACTGAGCTGTTATGGTTTAGCAAGAAATAACATTTGACCCTAGTCAAGACCACAAGAGCTTACTCAATGTTCTTGGCAGACACAGCCAGCCAGGTGCTAGCTACGGTGGTGAGGTCTACTCTTCGTGTCCGCTGGCACTCTTCTGGTCCAGGCCAGCCAAGACTTGTGTAATCCCTCCAGCGACCTGGAGTTAAGAAAAGCAACACAAAAGACACGGCTCTCAGTACTTTCCATGCGTTTACACTGGTGGAGGGAAATGTGATGCAGGTAGGTGAGGTACCTGAAGGGCCAGGGGATGGGATAGTTGGCCCACTTATTTCTAAGACAGAGTGTCCTCCAGGCAACATCTCCCCGATCTGACTATCATCAGCACTGGCAACGCTCTCCGTCCCGTCAACCTTGGCCTTCCTGACTCGCTTTACCTGGAAGGTGATCTAATGAAAAACAATAGCCAACCACGGTTTGAGTACAGCTACATAAAAACATCAGCCCAATCAACATGTCAATTTGTGGTGATTTTAACTTGGCTCCTGCACTGATGCTTACCCACTCAGCCCCTTCATCATCCTCACAGTTTCCAAAACAGGGCCCACCACCCGCACGGGCACCCATGACACGATCATTCTTCAGCACCCGGATACCTCTTAGGTCCCCTCGTTTCCCTCCAACATCCAGCGCTCCCCCAAAAGCGCCCATCAGGTCCTCTTTTAACTGCCACTCCTCCTCCCCTTCTACTCCTCCACTTCCCAATGAGGAGGCCATTTTCGCCGATCCTGAGGGAGGGGGAGAAGACTGCTGCTGTCCAGCTGCTTCACCCGACCCATTGCTGTCCAAGATAACCTCTGAAGATAGTTAGAGGAACAGGCATGAGCACAAGAAATAAATGACAATGTACACAAGAAAAATGTTGAAGTACAGGGGTGGGGGTGGGGCTGTCTCTGATTTTGTTTCCAGCAGATGTAAGAATAATGAGGTCAAAGTCTGAATGAAATTTCCTAACTCACAAAAATGCTGCTATCATGTCAATAAATAAAGTTCATTCACCTCAGGTTCCCGAGATACCCATGTACCAAACAGTGATCAGATAAACTCTTGTTTAAATAAATCTGTCAAATCATACAAACAACAAAGTCTCGTCCATGCTGGTGGGAGCATCAATTTTGGCACACATGAAACTATACAGAGCCCAGTAATATACCCAGTAATTTCCTTGGACCACACTCTCTTGGGATAAAGTAAACTGGATTTATTTTCACTTTGCAGTCAAGCTGACGCCATATCATATTCTTACTCTCAAAGAGCAGTGAGTCCTCTATAGCTGATATGGCTGCTGCATCTTGCTTCTCTTCACTGCCTTCCCATTCCTCCAGCTGTATACCAAGGTCCTCCTCAGTCATGCAGGGGTCACCATCTGGGTCAAGGATATTCAGGTTAAAATCAACACTCATAATCCAAACTTTAACCTGGTCAAACACTTAGAGCAGAGACTCATTTGGGAAAAAATATGTGTTCATAATTTCACAAAAGGATGTAAAATCTACTTTTCAAACACGGTTTCCATCTGTTGAAGGTCTTATTGTAGTGAAATTATTCCGCAGAGTATTTGAAGTTATCTTGCACTTATGTGGGAGATTGTGTAACCATAATTGAAAAGAAGAGGTTACAAAGGCACCTTCGATAATTACTTTGAATTGAAGACGTAACCTTGGATGCGTTCTCTTAAAGTACGGCTTCTGTTATCACTCTGACACTGAGCGATACGGTGGCTGAAACCAGATCCAGATGATAAAAGGTTTTACATCAGCGACCAATCTCCTATTACAAACTTTTGGGGCAACAACTTTATTTGTTTTCTGTCGTCAAAAACAAATCAGTGGTTTGGGATTTGATCTCGTGGAACTCGGTGGCATCGATTTGGAACTTTCTTAGTGTAAATGACGACTTGCGGCAGTTATGAGAGACCTGTTCAAACCAAATGAAACAACTCTATAGGTGAAAAGACAGGAAAGATAAGTGGCGCTTTGTTGGGCTGCTGTTTCCCTCTCACCTCTCGGTTAGCGAACGGGGATTCTTCATAGCAAATGCTGTTAATTAAGCAAAGACGTAAACCCTTTTCCAAGACTGAATTTAAAAATGTTAAGTTGTATTTTTCACACGCTCTTAAAACTTTTTCACACTCCAAACACGATTCAAAATGTGGGAAGGACTGTAACCACCAAAAATTCAACAACTTTTTTTAATATATTTCAATCTCGGTGACCTCACTTATGTGTGTGTTTCAAAAGTGCCTCTTTGACCTCATGTACTCAGTGTGCTTTATGGGAGCAATATTTAGCTTTGGAGGGTAAAATATAGACCCCTCTAAATTTGGCTTCAGCTATTTTCTGCTGCCTAAATAATTTAGTGGCCAAATTTCTCCACTTCAAAGCACTTTTCTCTCCGCTCCCGCTGATATGAATAAAGGAGAAGGCGCGGTTTCTATTCATACCAGGAGGACAATATCGTACTTGTTCCTCATAGGTACTCATGCAACTTCAAGGGACAATATGAAAGCTTCCTAGATTTGAGATTAAAATGGTTGAAAAACATGGCTGCACTTCACGGCAGAGCGTATTTTAATCCCACGTCTGATTCATTTCCAGTGAAACACAGCAAGTAGGTAGAGTACGAGAGAAGAGCTCAAAAGAATAATTACAAGCCTCATTAAAAAGATTTTCTTTTTGTAGCTAAGTTCAAAGAAAATCTGGATTTTTCTGAATCTTTTTGGTTTTCCAAAGATATTTATAAACCTTTAGATGAAGTCGAACCAAAATAAAAAAAGAAAAAAGGTAAGGCGGGACTTGTATTCATATTTTCCCTTCTGAATGACACATAAATGAGAATTTGCCAATACAGCTGGAAAAGTTCAGAAAATCACATCACATCTTTACTGTCCCTACATGTTTGTTGAATATGGCAAGATTAACTAACAAAGAGGTTTGTGTTGTGAAGCCAACATAAACTTAAGGTTCTTGCTCAGACATGGTTGAGTGATGCAATTTGAAGCTTTATACAAAACTTCTTAAAAAGCTGCCAGACATTTTACAGAAGCCCTTTAAACTTTACCCCAGGAATAATGCTAATGTTGTGAAAACCTCAATCCTAATACGCACTTTCGTTCCTTGCTGTAACAAAAATCAGAGTGTGCTAGTGTAAGGACTAAAATAAGTCTGAAGTGAAGTGGATGTGTGTGTTTTCATCCACTTACCTGAGCAGGGTGGTCTGTGTGAAAGATTGTAAAGGAAGGGGTAGAACTGTAGACAGCGCAGCAGAGGCAGGCTGGTGCGACACTGTTCACAGCCAGCGAGGGATGAAAAGGAGGAGGAGGAGGAAAGGGCCGTCACCAGGATGTGGCGGAACAATGCCAGAGCACCTGTCACATTGCCCTGGGCCAACTGCACGCTCACCAGGCTGAGCTGGGTGTGGGGCTGAACAAAACACAACAGGGGAACGTTAGCTAATGTGAAGCGAAGGTAAAAAAAACTCACTTTAAACAGACGTGTGCTCATCCTACACGGATATACCAAACAAACAGTGCTTGACTTCTGGAGAGTCATTTATCATTATTTGAAATTTACCAATAAAAATGTTCCAGCTCAGGATATCACATGGATTCTAGCTGTGGTATTTGCACTGTTCACTTAAGGTCATTTGATTCAATAAAGCCCTTCCTAACTCCAACAGGCCCCTGATTCTTAAAGCATGACTGAACAAGATGTTGGAAGTGTTCCCTATTGATTTCAGTCCTTTCTGATTCAAGAGTGTCTTGCTTATCCTGCACATTATGGGCCACTGTAATTCCCTCAAAGGTCCTGTTTCGAGTTGAAATGTGTAAGGTCTACAAGCAATTTGAGGAGGCTGAATTATATTTAAGCTTCTAAAATAATCTTGACATTGATAATGCTTTTTTTCATAATATGATTTGATGTAATATTGAATGTATAAGATTCACTTAGACATTCAGCAAACTGTAAGGCGCCAAATAGAACTATGTGTCAAATAGTCAGGCTGTAAACTGTTGTGGTCATTGTACATTTTGTTCGAGGCATGTCAACTTAGATAACCTTGTCCTGTGCAAACAGAAATTTTTGCAACTTTGCCCTCCTCATTACTTTCAGCCTTAAATCCCTGTTTTTTCTTAATCCTCCTTTCTGTAAGATATTCAAAGATCTGATTTATAGATGGATTTCTGAGTATTTTCATTACCTGCAATACTGGTAATAACAGTAAAATCTGTACATGTACTACAGTGCAAGAGCGTGAAAATACACTCATGCCTTTACCTCTGATGCATTGAGCGCCAATGCTTGCTCCAGAAGTGCTTCTGCATGGTCAGTCAATCCATGGTGTAGCAGCAAGTTGGCAGCATTGGTGAGGGACAAGTGGCGGTGGGAGGGCGGAGCTGAGCTCAACACTTGGCGCAGACACTGCAGGGCAAGACTGCCGTTGCCTTTTGCTCGCCAGTACAAAGCCGCCTCATTGTGTACCTGCCAGCGGGGCACAGTGGCCTATACAAACAAACAAGGATCCGTTAGCCCTTAAAATAGACAACATTGTATGGATTTAGCACACTAGAACTGCAGACAAGTCTAGTTTGGAGTGAAGTGTCATTTGATTCTCATTTAAAGATGGGAGCTTGAGGCCATTTGCACCATTTAACTGACTGAATTAACTCAAAAATTGGAAACTGAGCCAACCCCTTTTTCAACCATCATTTCATTAATAAAACTGAACAAATTCATAGTTGAAGGCAAAGCTTTCCATGTTTTAATCCAGAATATGAGACGGCTAATCCAAACACTCAAATCACATGCTGAGGAATACTGGTCCGGTTATTTCTATCAAAAGGTCGTTAAATTGCACAATAACAAAAAGTACTATTTATCATTTTTAATAGTTTTAGACTTGCAGGCACTTCACATGAGGTAGTGGGTGAGGTATGTTTTGGTTTCATGAAGCCAAAGGGTTGAGCAGCATTCTTACTTGTTTCATAGCTTGAGCTATTCTAGAGCCAATCTGTTCCAGGGTCCATCCTCCGCTGCGTGACTGCAGTATCTGCAACACATTGATCTATTTAAGATTGCATATCCTTCATTACTGTGTCACATTAAGTCAGGGAACACTCAAACAAAAGCACACAAAGTCAGGGCAGAGAGATTCTGTAAACACACTGCAGATGTAATCCATCGGTCTCCATTATGTTCTTATTCAAATCAGACCCACATTTTCACTGACAGGCAGACAGATACCTGGGAGGCGAAGAGATCTGGCAGCTCCTTTTCTTCCAGAGGCCAGTCTAGCGAGGCAGGCAGGAGGGCTGGATATGGTTGGGGTACGGGGCCGCAGTCTGGCACAGCTACTGTCTGAGGAGGACTGCTGCTCCCGTAAAGGACAGTTGCCACAGGGCTGCAGGTACACATGAATTAAACACAATATTTTAATGTGTGAAACTGAAACTGCAAGCAGTCTTTTTTTTAACCTAGATTCAGTTTGTGTTGCTCTAATGCATGCTGCAGTCATAGAAATCCTTCTGGGAAACTTCAAACCAGAGTGAAAAGTACTTTTTAAAAATTTCAAATCAAGGTTATTGATGCTGCTGCTCGCACCCTAAAAGTATCTGTTCAACATTCTGACCTGAGGCCCTGGGTTTCAGGTGGAAGGTAGAAGGTTGGTAGCAGGTGGGAAGGGGGAACGTTCGGATACTTGTTGGCACATTCACTCCTTTGAGGCCACAACATGTGCTGTATGTCCTACAACCAAAACACACAATCTTGTTACAAAACTGAAACCGTCAGGCTTTTTCTCATGAAGACATTTACCAACTATTGGAGAAAAATAAGAGAAAAAAAACAGTGAAAATGATCTAAAACAACTGGAGTGTAAATGACATAACAGCAGAAAGACCTTTTCTATAAGCAGAGAAGGTATGAACAGTATGCACTGTGGTTAACAGCTTAGTGCACCCGTCATTTTGGGGAAAAACAGCAACAGCTGATGTCAAAAATAACTTTAAAAACTAAAGCTCCCTCTGTTATACTAATGCCAACATGCTATTCTGTTCAGTTTCATATTTGCCCATCAATTATCAAGAGAATAAAGGTAAGCCAAATAATTCATGCAGCTTTTTAATCTATTCCAATTAGAGTTCTAAAAACTTTGGACTCTAATGAGTAATAGTCTAAATGTGTTCATGTCCCAGGGTTGTTTTCTCAAACCACTCTGGCTCTCCTTCAACTCACACACAAGACAAAAACACAGACAGCAACCTTTTTTACGATCATAGCTTCAATGTTGAAAGTGTGTTGGCTTTATGGATAACATGTATATCTTTATTCTTCATAGTTGAGGTAGTCTGCAAAAACTGAATCCAACTACAGACAACAGCAGAAATAGAGCTCTCAGTCTTGCCTGTGCGTAATCCTGTTGACTACCCCACAGAGCAGCAGCAGGGTCCTGGTCACCGGATACAGAGGGATGAAGTTGAGGGCTTTTTGCTGTTTGGTTTGAGTTGCGCTCTGACACTAAAGCCACACTGGATGCGACTGACATCTCCTCACCAAACTATGATCGTAGAGAAAACAAGAAAGAAGAGAGAAACAGGAACTGAAGAGCTTTCTTTGGAAATGTTCTGTTTGTTTGCCTCAGCTGACAAACACGCACTGACATCTCCTTTCATTGAATTGAATTGTTTTGAAACTGTCTGCTTCTCTTTACTTTTCATGATGTAAGACAAACTTGAACTCAGTAACGTCTCGCAAGACTTACTTGGACGTAGTGAACATGTTCAAACAGATCCCCGCGGTGATAGCGCACAGGCAGGTCAAAGGGGCAGTAAAGGCTGCGCTGCTGTTGACCCAGGCGACACATCTGATGGTTCCCTGCACCGCATAATGACAAATGAGTCTAAAGGGCTGTTTAGCCATCTAATTGAGACATGTTTGCAGCAATAACCATAAAGAACATGACTAAATTATTAGGACCGTAAATCTTATTGAACAGCTTATATAGGAAGTTTGCTTCCATACAATCACATTACTTTTAACTCGCAGCCAGCAAAAGTTAGGATAGTTTTGACTGGCTAAAGCAATTCATTATTTTTAGGTTAAGATTTTTGAGAACACTTTGGATCTGTTATAGCTGTTCTCCATTTTATGAGCATGCTTTCATACCAAGCTGGGCTTCCTTGGCCATCTGGGTCTCATGGATAATGTTACGCAGAATCTGCTCCTCCTGCAGCAGCTTGTGTTTGTCCAGGGCCTCCTGCTGGCGGAGGTAGTGGTCATGCTGCTTCTGGTACTCCTTTAACTCGTTCAGGGTCCGCTGCAGGGATCTACAAATATAAGGGTAAGGAATAGAGGTGCAGGACTGTAAATGCATAGCAGGGAGGCCAGAAACTTGAATTCACAGCCTTGGTAGTCACAAAAAAACTCCCAAAACATTACTTTTAAAATGAAGCTGAAGCTTGAATAAAATCTGATATTTGAGACATTTTTCAACAGCCTCACCCAAGATCTAATGTAGAGGTAAGCAGGAGTCTGATGCATGCAATGGGACATGTTTGGAATTGTTGTGATATCAAAGTTAATGCCTGTACTGTTGTGATTGTGTTTACAGTATGTAGTAATCCAGCAGAAACAGCCTTTTGGGTGTGTATGTGTATGTGTGTGTGTGTGCAAGAATGCTTGCCTACCTGTGCTGGGCTTCCAGGCGCTGCTCTAGCTTCTGCTGACAAAGCACAGCATGTTTCCTCCTCAGGGCCTGTTCGAAGCCTGGCTGGGCTTGCAGTGCCTGCTCATAACACAGCACTGAGTGGTTGTATTCCCCAAGCATCTGGTGAAACAGGGATAGAAGAAGAGGATATAAACAAAACATTGATACAGTGTGCTGATTTGTTTCATGAAGAAATGAGGCTGTAAGGAAAACGAAGACCTGGACAGACTCAAAGGAGACGCACAGGTAGAAGCATTTAACAAGAGTTTATCATTTCTAATTTTTGTTTTAGAAACCCTGTTACTAATGGGTCTTAACATGGCAATGCACCATACCCTTACATTCAGAATGTAATATCTTACTCTGTCAGATAAAAAACTGCTGACAGCTGAAATCCGCCCTGTTTGTGTTTAAGGTAATATGGAACTAAACTGCAGTCAGTGAGGTCGTAAAAAAACCTTATCAAGAACTTTGCTACCACCTTTAGTACACATGACTCTCCTGTGAGCTACTGGAGCAGCAGTGGCACATAAATAACAGGAATAAAAAGTAGACCAGCAGGATTTTGTTTGTAAGGTTTCTAACTGCACCGGTAATGGCTTTGTGCTTGTAAATTTAGGGCAGCTGGGTAAAAGTCAAACATTACTCCATGGATGTTACACCGTTTATATAATAAACACTTAAGAGCACTGAATAATTGCACTTTAAAGTAGTTGCCAATTTAAAGTCTTATTTTGCAAGCTTTTTTTAATAGATACACACTTTTAAATGCTCACCTCGATCACAAAACGCCCAAATGCAGCTGAGTGTTAAGTGTAATAGTACATTGTGATAGTTTCTGTTTGGCTTACGGCATAAATGTTGCCCAGAGTGTAGTGACTGGTGAATAGATCGGAGGTAAGGTCCAGCGCGGCGTGGGCGAGAATAGCAGCATCTGCTGAGAAGTGGGCACGGTGCAGGATGTTAGCCATGTTGACCAGGGCGACATCCTTGTGCTGCCTGCAAGTTTGATAAAAAACACACACTCAACGTGAGAACTAGAACACCTGTGAGGAGTCTCTCACAGTAAATAGTCGAGTATTGCCCTCTGAGCAGTCTGACAGTACCTTGGGGAGAAATGCAGAGCACGCACCACACAATCCACTGCTCTCTGAGGCTCATTCTTCATGCGCCAGTAAAACGATGCCATGTTGTAGAGCACCCAGGATGATGAGTTCTGAAACAGTTATAAAGATGTGCACACTGCTTTAAAACTCCCTAAAGGAATAAAACACGGTTTTGTTATGCACGTAATTACACATCCACAAAATCCTAACAACACATGTCTGCCCTTTTGTAGCAGATGGGCATTTTTCCATTCTTATACCAAAGGCTTAATGAAACCAGTTTCATTTTTTACAAACATTCAAGTGCTTCTCCAATATCTGCAAAGAGAGAAACTACATTAATATGTATCTATGTACAGCTGTGCAAGCAGACCTCACCCTCTGTAACCCTTGATGGATGCGATGGCCTACTTCATCTACACTGCGGCCCAGTTTATGAGACAATGAACTAAAAATGGGATCTTCCTTAGAAAGCAGCGGAGAGGTCAGGTTAGCTCTCTCCTGCACACCCTGGAACAAAGAGAAAGGATGAGTCAGTTACAAGACGGTGAAGCAGTCAGTTAGTCAAACACATGTGCTACATCTTTGTTGGAACACAGGTAAGGTAATTTGTACATCGCTCACTGCGTAAACAAGTGTTCAAGGTAAAAAAAAAAAAAACATGCCAACCCTCAGAGTAAACAGTGGAAGTGTAACTCTGTACAAATAAATGTAACATGCTTGTTATCTTTTAACTTATCAAAGAAGGAGAGGCCGCCACTGAATGACTGAGAAATGTGTCACTGGTTCAGGTTTTTACACTCTGACAGTTTATCAGCTCTTTGTGTCGTTGATTTGCCAAACATATTTCTAACTTTTTTTGAGACTTCTTTGTTGACTTGACATGATTTTTCCAAAAGATCTTGGCAAATGCTACAACAAAATTTTCATCAATAGGGTTGACTTTAGACTTTAGATCAGGGACCTATACAGCTCAGCTTCATTTGATTGACACAAACAACACTGCTTTCTATGAAGCAAAGAACTAAAACTAAGATTTTAAAAAGGCCAACTGGGCACAACACAGCCAAAAGTGTGTGCAGGATAAAGTTCATACACACCACAGTACTGGCAGCACACTTCTGAGTGTAATCAGTAACAGAAATTCTGCCACATGTTCACAGAGTCGCAGCAACACTGGGATGCTGTTTATCACCACACAGCTGCAGCCTCCTCTAGGATTGAGATTGTATTTCCCATTGAGCTCTAAGGGTCATTACTGTAGGTAATTACGATACTCACAACTGCGTTTATCTGAAGTGATAAGCAAGGCTTCCCTGTTTATAGAAACAAATCTGCAAAGTCCTTGACAGCAAATAGACAGCCTTCATCAGATATTTAGTGCTTTTGAACTCTAGTCATACTTAACTATGCCTCAACATTATTTCTTTAATTGGCATTGATAGGCAAAGGGACAAATGAATCAAAACACTTACTGCTGTCTATATTTCAAGACAATGGGTAATAGTTCCCCATTACTCTCTGTCAAACTTAACTCTTCGGTACTAATAATGTGTGCTGCCTGTACTACATTTGCTCTTGTACCGCTTAATCATTTTAAAGCTTTAATGTTAACACAGGGTTGCTTTTAAAAGCATAGTTAGACACATTACAATGAGATACATGAAGTATGATTTAATCTGTTTGGAATATTTACAGTTTTTTTATGCTTCACAGTTTTAAAATAACAAAAATTTCAAGCAACAACACAAAGAGTCCCAGGAAAGCTCTGTTTCTATTCCACTCTCTTCAAAAGAGGTTTAAATCTGCCTGCTTCATGTTTCATTTTGAAAAAACGATTTAAAATTTGATCTTAACTCACCCTGAGATGCTGGAAAGCATGGATGCTATAAGGTAATTCAAACACTTTTGCACAGTCCGGCTTTTCTAGGTCTGGAGGCAGAGCTGAGCGGGAATCCACATAGTCCTCAGGGCTATTAGGGTAAAGAATAAAATTGCATTTAAAGTTCCAGATTTATCATAGCCATAAAGAACATGTGCGTTTAAAGGTGGTATATTGGTGCCCTAGGAGGTGGCACCCCACACAATTGACAAAAACACAGTAGGGAAGATAATGCAATTTACATTGAGGAGGGTATACCTGATATTTTTGCTTTCCAAGGAAATATAAGTCCCATCATACAGGTCAAGGTCTCCCAGGGGTACCTTGGCCATAACACAATCTGCATCTTCCTTGTAGTGTCTCTGCTCCAACCCTGTGTCTCTGTCCTCATTTTCCTCAATGTGAATCTTCTGTGCCACAAGCTGCTTCTGCTCAGTAATGACCAAGGACGAACAATCAGCGAAAAACAGAGCAGAATAAAAAGGATGAGGTAAAGTAAAGGACAATGTTTTTGTTACTTGAACAAAGGTGCCTGCAACCATCCTCTGCATAAATGAAAATGTATTTAAAAGCAAAAACTTTTACAGTTACCAAGATTAAACAGAATGAGACCCACAATAAAGCACATTTTGAGAACATACACTGATCAGCTAAAACGTAATGACTGGCGCCTGTCAGTGGATATGTCAGGCAGTAAATGAAACTTTTCTTTCTTCAAAGTTTTTCTGTTTGGTAGCAAGAAAAATGGGCAAGTGTGGAAAAAAAAAGACAAAGGCCATATAGTGGCTGGACAGTTGGGTCTCCCACACAACAGCGCTTGTGAGTGTTTCTGGTTTGCAGTGGTCTACTCTGACGCAACCAAAAGGGCTGTACAGTTCCTAAACAAACATGGGAGTTGTTAGTGGTCAGAACAAAAATGACCAGCCTTAAGTGCAACTACTCACACATGTTTACCATAGGTTTCCAGTGATCAGATCTTATTCTTTCACTTCAGCCACCATCACTATCAGAGGGTTCTACCTGTTAGCATAAACCCGGCTCCATGTGAACTGAGTGAGATATGGGGAGAGTAGGCGGTCCCTAATGTGACCCTGCACACATGAGAGTACACACACCACCAGACCAATGCAGACAACTGCCTCTTTGATCACTCTTGTATGTGGACTTAGTAATCAGATGTCAGCGCACACAAATGAACATTCACACCTAGAATCGGAGCAGATCACCCTGATCTGATGATAATATTGTGTGGAGACATGGTCAGAGGCTGACTAGTTGGAGCCAGTGAAGCTTGAACTACAGACAAAGTTCATGCTGGTTCTGATAAAAAACGGTGCTTCAACCTACAGCGCTTTGCAGTTTGTTGCAGAAGAGTTAAGCAGTGGTCATAGTGTGATGACCGATAAATGAAGATTGACCAGCAACAATAATATGAACCTATATTTTCTGTTTTTGTTGATGTGATCAGAAGGTGATTACTGCACTTTGTGTTTATTGTAGGAAACAGGGGGTGAATGTGGTCCTGTACTAAAGGGTGTTATAGTAAAGTACAAATATTAAATGTCTGACCATATTAGTTAAACAACATAGACGCTTTGTAAAGGTGGAGTTGTTGTACTGGACTGCAGTATACTGCTCAGGTGTTCATAAAGTTATGGCTGGCTGGTGTATGTGGACAGACACGTACCTCGAGTTTCTTGAGGTAGTTAACACGAGTCTCTTGTCTCATGAAGATCACAACATCATGCGGATGCTTCAGATTTAATGGTGAGTCAACCTGAAACACAAACAGTGGGTTAAACACTAACACTCTGGTACATTGACAAATTCCTATACAGCCTCAGTGAATACAAACAGTGTTAATGAGTGGATGAATCTCCAGGATATGACCGCGTATTAAAACTCGGTTAAGTGTTTAAGAAAAAGCTGCCTGTTTATCTCTCAATTCAGATGTGCAGCCTCAGCCAATTCGATGACTAAAGACTAACATTACAACAGAAACAGTTGTCCCTTCAACATGTCTGAGGTAAGTTAGTGGCAGTCGGCATTAAGCAACATTTTAATGACCTCTAACATATATGCGAGCATTATCAGATACGGACTTTTGACACGGGCCTGAAATACTTTGGTCATCTTGACCTCGGAAACCAATCGTTTTCGCCAGTTAAAAGGTAGCTACTATAGGCTAACAGACTTGACAAAACAATACGAATTTTAACATTGCCTTTTCGTTGTATAAAACACAACCTAACCCGATAAAGAGGTTACGATTAGTTGAAATAAACAGTTCCCCTTAAGTGATCGTTCACGCTAATAAACACATCTCCAGACTCGCCACCTAACGTTAGCGTTAGCAGGTCAGTGAGCTAATGTTGACAGTCATACTTGTTGTTGGATTTTCCCATCCTCTGTGACGACCCAGTGTGTCGTAGCTCCACCGGAGTCCACAATAAGAGCGCAAAGAAGGATGAAAAGCTTCCCTTGAAGTGGCGTTTTTCGCGAATAGCTGACACGACAGGGCTCAAACTCAGGACAGATTTTCCTGAGGTCCGCCATTTTTCTGTCTCGGTTTCGCTCTGTGGCAACCGTCGTCACCAGCCTCCGGCCACGAGGAGGCGCTCACGTGCGAACGGGGGGAAAATCTCGACAGGTCACGTTCTATGACGTTTGAAAAATAAAACAGGAAACTCGATGGAAACGAAAAGTTAGAGACGTTTACAAAGCGAAGGTTAGTCTGAGATAAACATTACATGCTCTCTCAGTTATAACCAGTAATTTAACACCTTTGTTTGAGGACGGGGGCGCGTGTTTTCTGCTGGTTGTTGCGGTCAGTATGTTTCTTTTGATCCCTTTTGAGCACAGTAAGGTTGCAAAGTGGCAGTTCCGCATAAAGGGCATGACTACTTCATCAAGTGACAGCTTTACTTTTTCTGTTTTATACTGAACTTTACATTATATATATCATATGTATATTTGTTTTAGTCCGTGAGGCAATGTTTAAACCTTGTTGAGTCATCCTTACATTGAAAACCAGTGATTTGGACGAGACTTTATCGAGACTTTATTAAAAAGTTACCAGACTTAAGAATTGGTTTGTAAATTAAAGGAAAGAGATCGAGTTTTTAGGTACAAACATGTTGAGCTAATTTTTATTTATAGCTGCACTATTTTTATCGAAGTTTATTTTAAAAGATGTACAGTGTTGAACTGACTCTTATATTAAAGCTCCTATAAGAAACTTTTCAGTGTTTAACTAGACTCAAACCGATAGTAGTAGTAATAGTAGTAGTAGTAATAACAATTATAATAATAATAAAAGTTTTATTTATAATCGCTTTTACAGGTGTTAAAAAAAGTGAAAAGAAAAAAAGTTAAAAAAAAGATACAATATGAGAAGACAAAAAGAACAGTTCACAGGTTAAAAGCCAGTTTAAAAAGGCGTGTTTTTAGGATAGTGTGATAGTGATAGCCTTTTCATTTCACACTCAAGTAAACAACACTATCAGTCAAAGGACAAACAAGTTTAATGTTGTGATTTGATATTTAATGTCTAAACTCCAAGTGTTAATGTAAAAGCAGTAGTAGTTAAAAAGAAAATACGCTTCTGCTTTTCATGTTTCTCCAAAATAAAATACACGTTTATCAAAACTCAACAAGATGACCTTTTTTTGAGAGATGACACTACATGAGGACAGCACAAGATAAACAAAGGCTGCTTTGTTTTGCTTGGAGGTCTGAGGTGTCATTGGCTGCTTCATATCAACTGAACCAGAAAGTGTAAAGAAAGCAGATACAGACAGAAAGAAAAAACCCCAAGTCAAACACTAAGACTTGTACTGAAACTAACAGTGGGATAATTTTGTCATACATCCAACCTAATGCTGAAAACAGGCTGAAAGCTATACTGTTTGCCAACTAATCATGTGAGACACATTTCATGGAAAAGTTGGAATAGCTTCAACATTAATATATTTTCTGTCACTGTAAACTGATCACATTTTTGCTGAGAGCTGCAGCTTAAACAAATTATGAAAAAGACAACATCAGCACGGGCTTCAGGTTGTTCTGATAACTTTTATCTAACTATTTTGAGACACAATTGAGACTAAATCAAAGCTCTATTAAGGAACGCTCTGTTTCTTTTACTTTTGGCACCCTCTCTTGACAAGGCAGCACCTCTTACATCTAATCTAATTTGTCCTGCATACCTGCAAAAAGAAAAAACAAACAAAACAGAGTAATTTTGACAACAAAATCAATTTATCAATGAAAGAGATGATAGTTGCTCTGAGTTGTTGCTTTTTTAGCACCAACTGTGTTTATGAGGTTTCTTCAGTCTTTCAGGAGTTCAGGAGCCTCTGGATAGGTGCTGTTGTACAGCATGTCTGTTGGAGCTCTGTTATGCTTCTCTGTGAGGCTTGGAGAAGACTGTTGGGAGTTGAGAACATTTCTACCCGAAGGGGGAAGTTAAAAAGTTTGTTGCGTGAAGAGAGTCCTGTACCTTCCTGTTCCTAGAGGTAGACACATCAGCTAGGGATTGTAGCTCTGGTGCATGACTACGAAGTTGTTTACTGCTCTTTAGCCAGCCTTTTTATTTTAGTTGAAGTGCTGTCATAATGAGCATCAGTTGCAAAATAAGGATGTCTTTGGTGGTAGCAGGATATACTGTAGTTTTTGTTCTAAGCATTTCAAGGTAGGGGAAATGTTTTTGGCTTAAAAGCTGAGCACTTTCTTGTATTGAGCTGCTGCTTCAAGAAAGGGAAACATCACAGACTGTAGCTTGAAGAAACTGCACATGCACACGTTTATTTTTGTTTATCTTATCTTAATTTAATACATTCATTCATTTTTTCCCACCCAAACCTTAAATTCCTGTTTTTTTATCACTCTGTATAGATGGCATGCTATGACAGTAAACAGGGGAGCTTGGAGGATGAGAGCTGTGAAGGAGCTGTTGGTGAAGAGCTGTCCAACTGTGCTTTGGCAATGTTAAGAAAGGAAAGTGAATCCCTTCTCAGCCCTTCGGAAGGCCCTGGTACATTAATCAGCAGCAACTCAACTAGTTTGCAGGCTGATGCTCCACTTCAGGGCTATGATGTAGAGTTTGACCCACCCTTGGAAAGCAAATATGAGTGTCCTATCTGCCTGATGGCATTGAGGAATGCCATCCAAACACCATGTGGACATCGTTTCTGCAAGAGCTGCATTGAGAAATCCATCCGGTAAGTTATGGTGGATCTCTGTCGATAACAGTGAACCTGGGTTATTATGCATCTGTAGCTTCAGTTTCATGGCATGTTCTTGCAATGCATGTTGTAAATCAGTTTAACGGCCATAAAAAACAAATATCATACCTTTTCTTTGCATATAATATTAGATATCCATATATAACTCAACTCAACTCAACTCAACTTTATTTATATAGCACTTTACACACAACAGAGTTGATCCAAAGTGCTTTACAACAACACTGAGGAAAAAACTAAACAAAAGAAGAGATATAAAGCCCTCTACAGAACCTGATACTAGCTAATCCGCTTATAAGATTACTCTTTCTCATGCTTTACAGTGACACAGGACAGAGGTGTCCTGTTGACAATGAAATGCTGTCAGAAGAGCAACTGTTTCCTGATAACTTTGCCAAGCGGGAGATTCTTTCTTTGACTGTTCGCTGTCCAAACACTGGCTGTGAGGAGAAAATGGAGCTCAGACATTTAGAGGTGAGAATTTTACACTTGATGGATGTTTCTTAACGTTGATGAAAGGAACTAAAACATGTTTAAAACAGGAGAAACTTTGGTTAAAAATGTGTATGTGTATTTTCTTGGGGTTGCATCAGTTTTGATTATTTTGATATGTGTGCCAATATGTTCATTTTATCCTATCCTGCAAGTAACCCAAATATATGCAGTTATGACGGTTTGTTGACCCATCACTACCCCTGACCATCAACCTTCTAAATAAGGAAGAAGTCTCAACAGAAATAGAAATGAAGAGTTATGTGCAACGTGGATATTTGGTGCCTGAGTGCTCTGTGTTTGCACTCTGAAAAAAAAAAAAAAAACTTTCTCATGTTGGCAGCTTTAGTCGGAAACTGACATTACTGTGGACTCATCCTTTTAACTGTGACTGAAACTATGCCAGTGTAAACCATATTTTGATTCAGATGTAGTTCCTTCTTCTGCTATCCAACCACAGGATGAGATTAACCATATTGTCACTATGTTCCCCCAGAATCACTTGGCGCATTGTCAGTTTGCCACTGAGCCGTGCCCACAGTGCAAGCAGTCGGTGAGAAAGAGCCACCTAGAGGTGCACACAACTGTTGAGTGCCAAAGGAGATCTGTGACCTGTCCAGATTGTGTAGCAAGCTTTTATTACGAGGATACAGAGGTAATCTTGACTCATTTACGTAATTGTGCCTCTTGCTTTTTCCAGAGTAGCTGTAACTGTGGGGAAATTGTTGAGCTGCACTGTGTGTTTAAAAGATGGTTGTTTTTTTTTGCTACTTCAGCTTCATGAACAGCAGTGTCCCTTCGCCAACGTCAGATGCCAGTACTGTGAAATGGACTTGATCAGAGACCAGGTGAGTGAGATAATGTGTGGATATCGAAATGTTTTTGTGGCTTTTCTTCTCAACCAACTTCTGTCAAAAGTAACTTCCCTTTTTTTGTAAAAGGGGAACAGTAGCACACACACTGACAGCACACGTCACAGTCAATTTAGGCATTCACTGTCTAAAACCTTTTTGTCATTTAACTCATAAAGTTAAACTTTATTATTTTCTATATTCATGATTTACAGAGTGGAATATTTCTAGCCTCCAAATGAAACTCTGAAATACAGTATACCTGAGTAGGAGAATATTTCCTTAAAGTGATTTAGGAAATGAAGTTTCCCACTTCTGTTGAAAAGTATGTTTGTTCATACACTACGTACTTGGTTTGGACGTTTTACCTAAGGGTTCAGGTCAGGCCAGTTGGCTGATTGGTAAAGCTCTGTAATAACACAGCCAGCAAACTACTTTGTAGTAGGCCTGGACGATATAGAAAAAAAGCATATCGATAAAAAATAAATCATATTGATCGATATCGATAATTATCGATATAATTATTATAATTATTTAACATATATTTTAATTGCAGCCCTGGATGTTTTATGCTATTGCTTAATGACCTACTTTTAATAAAGAACACACAAGCACTGAATTCAAATTCAAACCTTTATTCAACCACCTTTTTTATTTTACAACTGAAAGTTTTTTAAAAAAGAACTAAAAAAAAAGAAATCAACTTAAGTGGCCTGAGTGACGTCAGTAAATACTGACAAACATAAAGACTAAAGTGACCAGAAAATCTGATAAATAAATATTTAAATAGTCTTTTGATGAAAATAAACAAAACAAACAAATATATAAATAAACAGAATAGCTTTAGGTGGGAATAGCATACTACCACTTCTAACTGTGTGGGAAACTGCCCACAGCCTGGTGTCTGAACACTGAAATATTTCTCCCGGGGTCGGGAGATTTATTTTTTTTAATTATCATGTGATTGACTTAATACACAAACTAAGCATGCGAAGCAGGACTTATCCACGCCGGTGTTGTGTCGTAGAATGCACCCCTGCCGAATGCACCCCCTGCTAGCAGCCATGATCCAAATACTCGCGTCTTTGTAAAATATGAGCTCATTTTCTTCCACTCTAAGAAGCTAATGAGTGGACGGGATGCAGGGATGCATTCTACAGCACAACACCGGAACGTATTTCCTCCGCACCCTTCTCACCTTATCAACCCCTGACCCATTTTCATGCCTGAAGCGCTGTGTTTGAGAAATACTTGCGGCCGGGCACTTCATATCGCGGGTCGAGAGTGGCTAGAAGCTGGTCGAAGCCAGGCTTTTCAACGGTAGTTATTGGCAGTATGTCCCTCGCTATGGAGCATGTTACTGCATGGGTGATGTCCTTATGCCGCTCGGACGCTCTGTCGTATTTTGGCAAGAAACGAAGTCCAGCTTGGTCTGCTTCCCATGCTTTGTGCTGGTGCTGGCAGCGGTTCCAGAGGATTCCTCCGACGACGTGGAGCCGCGGCGCGACCGACACAGCTCGTACTCCTGCGGGTGCGATCGGTTTAGATGGTAAAACAAGTTGGTTGTGTTACCAGACTTGGTTTTTACTAATTCTCTGCAAATTTTGCAAACGACCGCTGTTCGCTTCTTGTCAGACTTCTAAAAACCAAAACATTGCCATGCTGGAGAACTACTGAAACCTTTTTTCGGGACAATGTCCTCCGCTTCTCCTTGCTGTATCATTTTTTCTAATACACGTGCTGTCTGTTGTGGTTTGATAGGGGCTGGGCTTGGTGCCGTAGCGTACCTGGGTCTGCGTTTGTGATTGGTTGGGAGGAAGTAATGACTGTAGTAAAAGCTACATGATAGGCTATGATGAAAAAGAAAGGGAAACTGTTTTCTATCGAACTTTTTATCGACCCGTTTTTTTTCTATCGCACCACACGTCTATCGATCGATATATATTGTTATCGAATTATCGTCCAGCACTACTTTGTAGTCACTTTTGCACTGTAGGCAGGTGCTAAGTCCTGCTGGAAAAGGGAAAGAGCTCTAAAGTGCTCTACAATCTCTTGGTACTTGGTAAACCACAGTGGACTAACACCAGCAGATGACATGGCGGAAACTTCACACCAGACTTCAAACACCTTGGATTCTGTCCCTCTCCACTTTTCCCCCTGATTCTGGGAGAGTAGACTTGAAGAGCTTGATTACCAAATGAAAAATTAAATTCATTTTCATCTGAAAAGAGGATTTGGACCTAGAAAATCAATCCAACTCTCTTGCATGTTTCTAACTAAGGGTGATAGATCCTAGATTATTTTTTTCAATTAGATACATGAGGTTTTTCAGATATAGGTGTAAAGTCCTGCACGGTTAATCAGGGGAGTAAACACTGAAAGCTGATGATATTTTGTGTTTCAGATGGAATCACACTGTGATACAGATTGTCCAAAAGCACCCATCGCCTGTAACTTCAGCATCTTTGGATGTAAGGAAAGGGTAGGTAATCACACACTACATTCTCTGAAGTGACAGATCTACACACTCTTTACAAAGTCATCCTCCAAAAGTCAGCTTTGCAGTTTCACCACCACTCGTCCTGTCACCCCTGCAGAGCAGATGTCACCGAGAAAACTCTTTTTCTTTTGCAGATGCAGCGCCACAACCTGGCTCAGCACATGCAGGAGTTCACTCAGATGCACATGCATTTCATGGCTGACTTCCTCCGTGGCCTGACCCTTAATGGTACCTCGACTAAATCCCTGCGGTTGTTAGGACCTTCAGTTTCCACTGAGGATCAAGGAGCTGCAGCATCAGTGCTGTCCTGCAGTGGTCCAAGAACAGCTGCAAGCTGCAGCATCAACAGCGCCCAGAATCAGCCCAGCGAGGAGATGCAAAGGATCAGGGACATGGACGGACGACTAGTGAAGCAGGACCATCAGCTACGTGAGCTCATCATCTTAAAAGAAACACAGGTGTGCTTCGTCTTTGAGCTTCAAAGTATGAACTTCAAAGAGCCGTTGTGAATCAAGTTTTTGTCTCTGTAAAGCATCTTACCTGGCTTCACACCACTGTTATATCTTTGATTTTTGTTGTGTATCAGAGTAGAAATGTAATATGAAGTGAGAGCAGATCAGTGACCTGAAATCACATCTGTAGTTTTCTAACCATTAAAAAAGATTAAACACACAGCACTTTGTTGCTATTAAAGACAAACCGAAGAATAATGCTCAGTGGGATACCTCAGTTATTTGTAGTTTTTACTTTTTTATTAGACCCTGAATAAAAAGAGATTTGCTCTAATGAAAAAAGTATAGATTTACGTGCACAACTACTCTTTTATTATATCATAAAGGCAGGTTTATTTTCAATCAAATTAAAACAGTTTCACTTTCTTTTCCTTCTATTTCAGTTATTTTGGCTGTAACATGTTTTAACCAGTTTTGGCTTGTATAATAGATCTAATAATGGATTCAGACGATACATGTACTCAAACTGAAGGCATACCAGAGGTTTTGCCATGGTCTTGTTTTTCTTTACTATGTCTAACAGATCCACATCTGTCTACACAGCTCTACCGGCTCATGTTTTCTCTGTGGTAAACTTGCTACTGTGGCCAGTTTTAAGTCTGTTTTCTGTTATTTTACACTGGACTATAGTGATGTACTTGGCTCATGTAACTGCCAAAATACAAGCCCCCTGGCCTGCTGTTCCTGAATGCAACATGTTCAAATATAGACCATCAAAGCTGCTATTCTGCTATCTTGCTGTTGAGGTTAGACCTGCTGAAAAGTTGTCCAGCTTTAATGTCCTCTCTCTCCCACAGGCTGGCCAGCTTGCAGAGCTCAGACGCAGAGTGTCGATGCTGGAAGAGACGGTGAAGGAGCTGGAGGCCCAACAGTGTCACGGTATCTTCATCTGGAATCTCAAAGGTTTCTCTGCTCACCTGCGTAACCAAGAGGCCGGCATGGCTGTGGTTGAGCACAGTCCCGGCTTCTACACAGGCCGACCGGGGTATAAGCTGTGTCTACGCCTACACCTGCAAACCCCGACCACCCCACGCTGCTCCAACTACATCTCACTCTTTGTCCACACCATGCAAGGGGATTATGATGGGCAGCTGTCCTGGCCATTCCAGGGTACCATCCGCCTCGCTATTCTAGACCAGGGCCCTGAGGGTCTGCACCACACGGAGGTGATGGAAACTAAACCAGACCTGCAAGCATTCCAGAGGCCTACAATTCATCGCAACCCCAAAGGGTTCGGCTATGTCACCTTCATGCACCTGCATCAGCTGAACCAGAGAGCCTATGTTAAAGATGATACTCTACTCATCCGCTGTGAGGTGACGCCACGATTTGAAAACATGGTTCACCGGGAAGGACCAGCAGTTCAGCCCAGAGGACCAGAGGCCTCAGTGTGATGCAGACTTCTATCTACTTTGTCGTGCTAGACCTGTGTGTTAAATCTCAGTGTTTTGAAATCTAAATGGTCATTTTCAAGTGATGGAAATCGAAGAAACTTCCCTCATCACACCCACTTACTAGTTTTCCAGTTATTTATTTCTATGCCAGCTTTTAAATGTCAGTTATATGTATTTCCTTTAATAAATCAGCACATTACTTTATTTCCTTTCCATTTTGGGATGAATGTAATCACCTTCGTGGGACTAACTCGCCTTACATGTTCAAATCGTGTAAACAATCATTTAATCAGTTTTACATGACATGTTGTAGATGTGAACCTGCTGCCTACAGACTATTAATCACTTCACAGGTTTGTGGTTGTTGTAGACAAACTCAGTGTTAAGTGTTTGACCACAATGGATAACATTCACATATGCACACAGAAATACAAATTATGAGGTACACGTGTTAAACTGATAGTTGGTAGTATGATGCAGTAAAATTTAAACTTAGCCTTAGGGAGTGATGAGCTGTGCGGGATGTTGTTTATTGTAGCTTCCACAGTCGGAACTGTGAGTCAGGTGATGAACATGGATCCATAAAGACATTTCCTCATACCTAATAAAAGTATCATGTCTGGAGTTCTCCTTTTAATCACGTCTTTTAATGACACTTCCATACAGTCATTTAAGCTGTCGTTGCATGCATCGCATTAAAGATAATTGACTTTCTAAGCTATTATCTGCTGATACTGGTACTATGCCAATAATATTCATCAGGGTCACAATATTTCCACTGTAGTGGTTCATTATCGCTTAGATAAGACGGCACCTTTTTCAGACTTTGTGTCATGTTTCATCACCACTGTAGACTTTTTCCTTGCAACATTAAAGCTCTGTAAATTTGTGAATAAGAGGATTATTTTGCTTTCTGATGTGATCTTGTGATTGGTTTCAGAAGACAGACCTGAAGCCTAAACAGTCTTAACTTTAAACCATTCTCTGCCTGTAAAGCACATGATCCTGCATTTTAAGTTGTTTCTCCGAGGCTACGACTGCATTGCTGTAATACCATTTTAAGTCATTGCTTCCTGTTAAAACCATATTTTCTCACTGTCATTGTGGTTTCTGTTATGTGATGCAATCTACTGACAAAGAATATACATAAATACCCATTTGGGTGGAATTACCCAGATTTGTAGCTGCTTTTTTTTCTCATCTACATGTTGTAATGAAATTTTAAAGGGTCTTTTTTTAGTAGAAAAGCAAGTCCAAAATTAATGATAGGACTGATGATGATTGAAAAACTTGATTAGTAGTCCCCACTCTGGCCTGTGACATTTTTTGTGTTGAAGTTGTATGACAATATGGGTACTAATTTAGCCTCGCAAAGAAAATTTGTGCCCCATGTGCAGGGGCTATAATGCTTTAAGTAGGCAGACCAGATTCAATCTTCAGCTTGTGCTTTTTGTGCCTCACGTCACTCTTTCTCCCAGTTTCCCACTCCATCCACCCCCGTATCCTCTCAATAAGGAAATAAAAGCCCAAAATAAACGGTTATGTCACAGAGAACCATTCAGCCAATGAAAGTTAAGACCCCCATGTAAAGAAGTGCTAGCATTATTTTATTAGTTTGAGTTAAAATCCTCCCAAAATTGCCCCATTTCCCTCAATTACCCTGCAACATAATCTCCCATATCCTATCATATTTAACCTCCTGTTTATGACAATCATCTTTTTTATTCATCAATGTAAGGAAACTTTTTGTTAGCTCCATATCCTGGGTGACCCGGTCTGACTTGTCCTCCCTCCTGTTTGGGTTCTTTCTCTTGAGGACTCTGAGGTATATCGCTGCTGCTGCTCTCTGCGTACCCTGAAAGAGACACTGACATTTCATGCATTATTAGTTTTACGCTGAACCAAAACCACAAAGCATGTAAAGAGAATGATCAGAGTCCATGACAGTGTTAGGAGTCGCTTTGTCTTTGTATGTGTTTTTCTTTTTGTCTTACGTGGAGCTTTTGGAGCATCTTTCCCACACTTGAGGGTGCTCTGAGCAAAACACTCCGCCATCCAGGACAACACCTCTCCACAATACCTGACCTGGAGACAAAAGTCAAAACAAGCTGAAGTTTTATGTATGACTAGGTTTGAAAATGAGACTCTATTATTTATCATTTAGTGCCTTCAAGGTCACTTATTAAAGTTTACCTGACCCTCCATGGATACCAGACGTTTCTCCTGGTCCTTGAACCCCCCAACTGTCCTCAGCAAGCTCTGAACCCTTGTTCACAAACAGAAATCTGTTTAGGATCCATGAGCGATGTAGTATCAATTTTGTACCACAGGAGGGCAGAAGAGGTCTAGAATAGTTAACATCTTGCAGTTCAGCCCTGGGAGGACGCTGTTCAGCATTTTTCTCAGAGCTTCTTTAAAAAATTTGATTCCCACTTCTCATAATTAAACTGATAATCACATTTTATAAAATTCTAGAAAACATCATTTACTTTGAGGAGGTGCTCTTAAGTCTCTCCTCGCTGCTCTCCCAGTGCTGGCGCTCCAGTTTTGCCAGGTAGTTCTCTTTCTGTACTGTTTCCCATGTGATCAGCCTCTGGTCGAGCCCTGCCGGCAGCTCCCTCTCTGATTAAACACACACAGAGAGACAGACACACACACACACACACACAGGCGGGGAAGCAGTCCAATTACCAATTAACCAGCAGGCAATTTCATGGCAAGAGCAGGTGAAGGACAGAGATAAGCACATGGTGTGTTTTCCAGTATTTCATTTAATTTTAATTCAGCAACATTCGCCTCAGAAACTTTTTTTTTTAAATATCATCTGGAAGAAAGAGAGAAGAGATTAATAGCTTTTTGATGAAAATATGCATTAAATTCATACCAAGATGCTCTTGCTTGGACTCGGGTCGTTTGATGAGGCTGAGGAGGACCTGAGAGAGGTGGCTGATGATGATGAAGGGTGGGGCCAGTGCTGGACGGCTGTGGTACTCCACTATGAGGTTGTATCTCTGAAACTTCCAGAAGATGTCTGTGTTTCCCTGAACCACCTGGAATGTGTAGCTGAAAACAGAAAACAGACGTTAGATTTGTTTCCTGGTTTCAGACGGCCACAACTAAAGGTGCAATGCTTCGGTTTTAGGAGCATTTAACAGAAACTGAATATAATATGTCTAAATTAATGTGTAAATTAATGTGTAGTTACCTGAATACAAAATATAATTGTTTTTGTTAACACAGAACAAGTCTTTTATATCTTCAAAAGGGACGGACGCCTTCTTGCGCTGCTGTGTTTCTACGGCAACACAGAATGGTCATACTAGCAACAGCTGTGTTTTTTTTAGTCTGTGGCAATATAAAATGCTCTGATACAAGTTTGTGAAGGCAAAAACGTGACCAATGAAGGGTTGTACCCATCATGCATCACAGGAGCTTCTTGTCCTTGAAAACCACTGTAGCTTTACCAACAAGAGAGGTGAGCCAGGGAGCGTTTCAAACCAGAATCTGACCACTAGATATATGCGAAAGATTCCCATTTCTACGCATCTTTCTGTACCTCTCACCCAGTTTTTCACACAGACAAACATCATTTTCTGATTGCTGTGTCTCTAACCTGAACATGGCGATGAGCAGGTTCAGCAGCAGCACATTGGTGACAAGAAGGTAGATAACCAGCAGCAGGATGACCAGCCAGTTGGCGTAGATGTTGGGACATGGCGGCCGAAGGCCCAAGATAATCTCCTCTGAGTCATTGGTGCAGTTAATTTCAGGCATGCGAGCAGCTGTGTTCCATTTGACAAAAGAACAAGAACATTAGATCATACTGTCACACTGAGTATACTTTTGTATTCAGGTCAATAGAGAGCCAACCCTGATTACATAAATGATCTGAATATAACACAACAAATGTGTTTAATGCTTGAACGCTCATTTTAGAGTGGAAATCTGCATCTCGTGTAAATCACCATCTATTTCCTCCAGGGGGATCTGGCCAAAAATATGCAGGTAGGGACGGTACAAGGCTCTGCGAAACACCCAGTCGATCCGCGGGTCATTGGGGTGGAGGAGAGCCTGAGTGGCGACTCCGTATGCGATGAGCCAAACACACAGGAAGAAGAGGAAGAAGAAAACATCCTTCATCTGTAACAAGAGACAGAAATATACAGCATATAACTTCATTTTCTTAATAGCCTGTGTACTATTTGTCTTCATCTATTCCACGGAACATCGTTTCAACGATCATCTCTACAAATAAGTGTTTTTGTTTAGTGTACCATTCTTTCAACAATGATGATCTTGGGGCCCAGCTGCTTGTTGATGGCAAAGATGTGGATCAGACGCAGAGTGAAAACCATGAAGTCTATTGCCAGGACTGTCCTTCCTGCCTCATAGGTGTGGTCCACCATCCTGCAAAGCAAAAGAGAATAAACATTACTTACTGTGAAACACTCCCTGGAGAGAAAACCTAGTTTCTTCAAAGCTGCCTGAAGCTTGTATGAGGAACTTCCTCTTTGAATCAATATCAGCGCCTCCTGTAGTCAAAGTTAAATCTGCTATATTGTTGCTGATCTTGTCCTGAACACGCGCAAGTCATTATTTCAAACACAAAAACATCTCATCCTGCTTTCAGTCAGGTATATGCCCACTCTGAGTAGTTACAGACATTAAGATTTTAAAGAGTATTATTTTCAACGAGTGTGTTTTTATAGATTTGAATACCTGTTTGTGTTTGTGCACATAAACGTCACACCATGGTTACAGAAACTGGGATAAGCCTCTTTTTGCTAGCAGGAGAAAGAAAATTGAACACTCTGGGGCGTATCAGCAACGTGACACATCAACAAAACAAACATGGTGCTGCTAGTGACGACGAATAAACATTGCTTTTACCTGCACAAATTAGATGTAGCGCTCAGGAACTGGGATACAAGTATTTATCATGTTCACAAGAATATGGAGAGCCAGGTTTCTGTGTGCACGTAGACACTATAGGCTGATTATTACCAAAAATGGGTGAAAACATGGGTTGTTTAAGTCCATGTAGATGAAGTTTGCTGAACAGGACATCACTGTAAATTTTACAACAGTATGAAAACACCTCATAGGAGCTTTAACAAGAATTACCTGCATGAAACTCCAATAACAAAGAGGGAGATGGCAACCATGTCGGACTTGTTCCAGTTGTCCTCCACATAGAGCTTGAACTTTTTCAGGATGCTCATCTCTTCATCCGTGAAGAAGCTCTGTGAATTAAAAAATAAATGCATGGTTCACAGATGTAATTACTCGTTGATTTACAGAAAGATCTGCAGAGAGATGATTTGATAGAAATCTAAAGACATCTTCATGCACTAAGACAGTAATATCATGGCATTTATTGCTGTTGGAAGTCAGACAACTTTATTGTATAAGTATTCGTAGTGAGCTTAAGAGGCTTTGTTTTAGAGAGTAATGCAAGAAACAGTTAAATTGTATAAAGTCAGCATTGAAAAAGTCGTATTCTTGTCACCTTGTTTGAAAAAATGTTTCTGTAAACAGACTCGAAGACTGAGCTTGTATAATTTACACAGGGAGCATAAATCATCTCGCTAAATATAGCAAGGGTGCCACAACAAATTTGTGGTTTCATGTGTAAATGTTGTCACACTCTGAGTGGTTGTAGGTGCTTATGGATAAATGAGGCTTTAATGAGCTCTTAAGTGATATTCTTGAACTGTGTTATTTTCTGTATGAGATTGGAGTAATTTCTTTTTATAGTGGAGCCCTATTCAGGCACACCTGCAGGGCCAAAAGGGAATAGCTGGTTGGCACACAGCCTTTTCTGCTTCAGAAGCAGCTGCACTGTCCCAAATTCTCAATCCTGTAAAATGTCTGTCACACTTGGTGTATAAGGTTGAGCTGTCTCCTGTGGGTTGAACAGGGAACCTGTAAATGCATCAAGAACCAGGGCTTGGTCCCCGGATGGTATAATTGGTTTGAGAACAACCTGAGGGCAGTGTGCTGCTTTCATAAAGTGATAGACTGGAGTGTAGGCTTCACCTGTCATGCCACAAAGGTCAATATTACAACCACTTACTTTCAACTGAACGTGTATAGCTATCCGAAAGCCATAGAATCAGTCAAAGAGAGGGTGGTGGACTGTGAGAAACAGAATCACACAGTTGTCACGGTTACCTATGCAACCTCAATTTGGGATCACATAGGCCTACTACTCCAAAAAAGCTCTTGATCAGCATTTTGTAAGTAGTCACTGCAGGACACACCTCTGAGCACTAAAGTACTTTTACATGTCACATCCACTCAGTTCATATACTGAAGGCAGACGCTGCTGAGTAAAGCAGCTCATTTACCATTCACTCACTGCCGGCACAGCCACCACAGGGCAGTTTGGGGTCAAGTGTCTTGCCCCAGTTTAGTCCAGTACTTCATGCTGCAGAACCTGCGATTGAACCCTCTGAGTCTGAGGCAACGGAACTTGAGCCACAGCCACAGCCCTACCACCCCTTTTGTGAGGATGAGCACGGACATACGGTCTGTGATACGATTTCAAGCTTGGCATAAAAGTAGTTTGAAAAATAAGAAAAAGTTTGATTAATATTTTTACTTTATGGAATATTCTGCTGATTTTGTTGTCCTTTATCAGCACAGTTGTGAAAGGTTAAGTTATACAGCTTAAAAGACACAACACTTCAAATTAAAATTCAGTAACAGCAGGATAAGATTCCATTTTTATTACGATTTATTTGAGGCACTGTTGGAGGTGTTTGGCTGTTCCAAGGTAGACTTGATTCCTTAAAAGAGCCAGAAGTTTCTCTGAACTACACAAATGGCTTATAGGTACAGTAAACAGAAATGGGAATATTTAGCAATATTTAGCTGTCCAATTTTAGCTTGAAAAACTCCCCTGCTCACCCACTTATCTGTGCAGTGAAGGCAAGACGCTCCTGTGATTGACCAGTTACTTACGACCATGAAAAAGATGCAAGATGGGGACACGCCCCTTATCTAGATAAAGGGGAGGGGTGCTGCTGGCCTAGTGGTCTACGTGCTCCATATTTGGAGGCAATGCCTAGAGCGGTCCTGTGGCTCCTTTCCAGTATTTCACTCCCAGTTCTTTTACCCTGAATCCTTCTCTCCTTCTCCCCGAGAATAAAAAAAGGTTCATTTTCAGTCGACCAAAAGAAAATGATTCAACACTCGAGTGATTACACACTAATTTAAACTTGCATACAAACTATAAATTCCATTTCTACTAAATGTAGTCCGCCAAATGTCACTAAAAACTGCAGACTGTACCTTTAAATCAAGACATTAGATTAACTGATTAAATCAGTGATGTAAATTTGACATAGTTATGTCTCACAGATGGAAGGGTTAACTCTTGGTGTAACAGTGAGGTCTGTTGGTGTCATGGGGAATCACAGCACACATCATGAACCAGCCTATACCAATCCATGTAACAGCGCACTGGTTGTCAGATCTATTTGTGATTGAGTCTCACAGGTCATCTGTCAGATTTAAAAAGGGCAGCAAACCCGCAGTCTCTAACCTTGTTCAGTGACAAGTATAAAAGCAGGAGGCCCAGTAGCACTGTCTTCCTTCAGGGGGAGGCATGCACCCCTGGGCTGGGGAGTATGCCAGAGCTGCCCACAGCACAGAGGTTCTTTTTTTAGAAACCTGCGTCGTTGTTCTGCTCTGCTCAGGGTCTTTCTGAGATGAACATTGAAAGAACGAGCAGAGGGAACAGCAGTGAAGGCCTGTCTCATCTGGGGCTTTTGTGCCCGAGGGAGGAAGGCTCAGCGGGATCAGTGCAATAAGGGATCATGCTCATCTGACCGGGCTCAGTGGGAGGGAGTCAGGCAGAGAGGTGAAAGGCTCATGAATCCTTAAAACCTCGGGGAGATTGAACTCATTGAAGCGATTCACATCACCTCCTACTCAGAGATGTCTGGCTTGTCAGGGCTGGACGCTGTCACGCAAACACATTTAATGGGGACTGCAGTACTTCAAAATAAGAGCCACACTGTATAGGTAGATTGAAATCACCTCTTAATGATTAGAGAACAGAGGGTCCATTATTATTGTAAAAAAATCTGATTGTTACCTGTCGAAGTTCCTCAAGCACCAGGGTGAAGACCCAGAAGTAGAGCATTATCTCTGCAGGTCCAGGTCCGTAAGGAGGTGGTCGACGGAAGTCCAGCAGGAGCACATAGGTGAAGAGGCAGAGGAAGGCGAAGTACATGATGACATTACCGAGGAAGACGGTGACAGGGGCGCTCCAGAAGCGACGCCAGCGGCGGAGCAAGAAACGCCACCAGACAGAGGCGCAGCTCTGTGTAGCTGGATCACCCGGGGTAGAGTCCCTGCAAAACATAGAGCAGAAAAGACCCTCCAGTTCTTCCTGACCTCCTTTTATCAACATAACACAACTACTAAGGACATTTACAGGTTGATAGTACAAATATAGGTTATTTCCTTCAGTGGTAGAATGGAATTTTTTACATATTTTATCATGAAAGTAGATGATTTGTACTCACCACATATGCTTCGTATGTTGTGTTATGCCATAAAAATACTCTATGATTTTTGTTGGTTGATAAAAATATGTAATTTGTTTAAGACTTTGTGTGTCCTTTATTCATTTGGCTGCACGAAAATTCTTCCACAGATGATGAAGTTGAAATTGATGTATCAATTTGTCCAATTTATCTGATTTTAAAGGTTTAATTGAATAAAATAAAGATCAAGATCAACTCTGTGGGGTCAATAAAATATTGAGTCAAAAAACAAGAACGGTAGAATGAAATTGAGCTGCAAAAGTACTAAAATAAAGCTTGTATCTGTGATCCCAATAAAGGTTATAATTGTCAAAATATACCATATGTTTGTTTTTATTCATTTCCAACTCATTTCCCTCTTAAGCTTTTACAATAATGTGTTGAATACCTCAATGCTCAATTCCTGACCCATTTCTGTTCTCCCTGTATATGCTTGTTTTAAGTCATATTTTCCATCATCATAGCATTTCACTTCACAGTTATGCTGACGGCACTTGATTGTACCTCTCCATGAAACCCTCAGTGTATGAAAAACTGGCTATACTTTAGAGCTAATGCCATCCATATATTTATTTCCTCTGGCCTGGATTATTGTTATTCTGCAGCCAGACATTTCACAAAGCACAACTCTCACATCACTCCTCTCTAAGCTCCCTTACATTTGTAGTTAATGTCAAAACGTGGCTTGTAGTTGTCTGTGGTTCAACCATGTTCTGAAGTCTCATGAAGATAAGGGCCAATGATTTACGAATTAATGAAAGTAATTGCACTACACCACTTGGCCAACGGGAGGCAGTAAAAAGACAGCTAAAGCGTCCGAAAAAGAAGATGCCATGTAAGGCGATAACCAGGCCGACACAATTATTTGTGCAACTCCACAGTTAGCCTGTTAGCATGTAGGAAGTTCATTTTGTGCTGTTTTTGATTGTGCCTTATTGTGTTGCAAACAGATTTATTGAATCAACACTGGAAAGGGGACAAGCACCATTTCTTTCTGTGATTGTCACTAACGGTGAAATGAAATGCTGGAAGTACTCAACTAATCAGAAATGTTTGGCACTGCAGGCCCTGACCTGGAATTACCCTGGATCTACATAAAGGACCTGGTTCCTGTTATCAAAATACAAAGTTCCTAAAAAGGTTCCTGGTTCAGGGACTTTCTATGACTCTGTGGTAGCATCTGCACTTTTCTATGCGGTGGTCTGCTGGGGGGCAGGGAGCACCGAGGGACAGGAAGAGACTGAATAGACTGGTCAGGAGGGCCAGTTCTGTCCTGGACTGTTCTTTGGACTCCCTGGAGGAGGTGGGTGAGAGAAGGATGTTAACAAAGCTTGTATCCATCATGGACAATCCCTCTCATCCACTGCACCAGACAGTGGGGCTTTAAGCAGCTCCTTCAGCAGCAGACTTAGACTTCCATCTTGCAGGACGGAGCGCTACCGCAGGTCATTCCTCCCCTCTGCAATAAGACTTTACAACGAACTGTAATAATAACTGGATTTACACCATCACTTTTTTCTGGCATTTAAATTGTGTAAATTGTAGATAGTTTTATTTTTCTTCTCCCTTTTTCTAATTTTTTTCGTAATTATTACATTTATTTAAGTTCTTAATATTAGGATCCTTATTTTTGTAACTGCATTTTTGCACTCTTTGTCTGTGATGCTGCTGTGACAAAAAAATTATGCCCATGGGGGATCAATAAAGGAATATTCTATTCTATTCCTAGGCGGAAGTTTTTGCAGTGGAAAAGAATCTAACATTGCATTCAAAGGATGATCAAGATTTGGTGTAGCTCTATTATACCTTTGATTATTTCTATCTGGATTTGTCCCTTTCATTTGTTTCAGATTGCTTTATCTGAAAGTCAAGTGTTTTCTTGATTGTGTCCCTTAATCTATTTTTGCAAAGCCCTTTGTGCCCCTGTCTTTAAATGTGTGCTTGACAAGAAAAATCGATGTTGGGATAAAATTCTCTTTCCAACTCACAGAGCATCGTCGTCATCAGTGAGCAGCAAAGCCTTTTCTGTATCCAGACTGTCCAGCTCTGCAAACTGCTCCCGGCTGCTACGATTGTCAAGTTCCTCATCACTAAGAAACACACATAAGTGTCAGAGTGCACGCAACAAAACACAGACAGCTCCGCAACAAGGCTGAGATGAATGATGGGTGGCAACAGAGATTGATGACCTGAACTTAATGAGGTTGGTCCAGATGAGTGGCGGACAGAAAAAAGACACCACAAGTTTGGAGATGGCTGTGTCTGTCGTCATCGCACCCCACCAGATCTTTGTGAGCAGAGCCTGTGGAAGTAAAAGTTTTAGTTGGTATTAATATCTTATAGGGTTATATAACAGGTAAGAACTAATCTAACATTTCAATAGAAGTCACCACAAGAGGGCACAATAGGTTTGAAGATATTTTGCTTGATCGTTTAGGAATTTGATCCATTAAAGCATCATAAAGGAAGTAATTACACTCACCTGGTAGATAAAATGCAAATTTCCCTTCTTAATCAAACTATTTCATATCACATGTTTCATTCTCTTCTCTCCAAGCTGTCTACTTGCAGTTACATATGAGGTCACTGATATGAACAGACACCTGATGCTCTGTTATGGGCTTATTCATCACTTTTTCAGTAAAACAGGCTCGTAAAATCCACATTCTCTTCAAATACTGCACATGTGCTGAATTTCAATTGACAGTATCCCATTAAAAAAGGATATATTACTCTAACTGTGTGCTTTAAATAAAATATTACTTCACTGTCAAGAGTTTTCTGCGTGCAAACTTTCCCTGCTGACATTGAATACCAATTAACTTTCAATGATGACTTTGTAATGACAAGGACGTCTGGCGGATGTTTAGGCAAAACTGTGCGCTGAATTGTATCCAGCTACCTGCAAAAGAAGTGACTTTGAAAAAGGTAATGGCTAAAGTCTTAAATAACCGCAGGGTAAATCAGTATTCCTGAACAGACGGCAGCAAAATAAATGTCCCTACTCTATTAATCAAATTCATAAACTTTGACACTGTTGGGTAAAAGTGAAATCTTTTACAACAGCTAATAGAAAAAGTAAATTGGAGCTAAAGGAGCACATGAATGTGTCTCTTCTTTACCTGAACCCCATCATGCGCAAAAAAGGATTTAGCATCTGCCTCAGTCGCCAAGTTTAGAACGGTAGATTTGCTCCAGCAGTGTGTTCTTCTCACTAACAAAGCATAAGCTCTGTCTTCACTGTTGGAGTAACACTCTCCAAAGACATCTGTCACAATAAAAACAGTAGGTGCACATTGTCAGACACGCTTCATTCGTAAAACTTGCACATCCAGATTCATATTTCATTCCCTTCCAGTGGCATTTGTGAGCGTTTGTTTTGCCCTGTTGTCCAAGTCCCTGAATGTACCTCCTGCAATGTTTGACCTTTATTTTTCCTGATTACGCTCTCAGCTTTTGTTGTCGAATAGTTTCTGTACTCACCAAGGGCAAACTGCTCATACTTGGCCTCCTTCATACTCCGTGCAGACTCAGCCTCAGATTCTAGTCGTGCCATCTCCTTCAGAATCTTACAACCCGCCAGCGCTGCCGCAACCGCCTCCGGGCCCTGAAGGATTAAAAGAAAGCTGGCTCCAAGAAATGGGTCTGACAGAGGGATCTGAGATTTTTTTGCTTCTTAATGGGGCGTGCTGTGAGCATCAGGCTACAATTATTACTACCTGAGAGTCCAACAACTGTCTCTGTAGGCCTCACTTTGATATTTTATCACTATGTAAATTACAATTATATTTGCATATGATGAATTATTCAACACATAGATGTTGTGGTTGTTGTCATGTCGACTAAAACTGCTGGAAATTAGTTTGGGTGTGGTACAAGGTACCAGGAATACATTTGCACATTGGTGTTCCATTTTGTAAGAACCCATAGAAACAATACAGTATTTCTTTTAAATAAAGTTGAAGCACAATAACTTAAATTTAATGAGTTTAAAAAAAAAAAAAGACCATGATAACGTGTTTTTATTTTTTCCTTAAACTATAACTGGAATATAACTTTTTTGCTGCCTAAGCCTGTCCATTCTGTACCTTTAGCTGTCAGAGCTTTTCGAAGTGTTTCCCCTTCTTTCCTTACTTCCTCCTTTTTAGGAGACAATTTCAGTCCATTTCAGTGCACTTTAGATGATTCACAGAGAGTGCCAAGTCTTTACTTGCTTCAATCTAACTACAATTACGTGATTGAAAGTGCAGATTGATCTAAAATATGCCACACTATCTCCTCTTGTTGATTCCAGTAACTTATATTTGAATTGATGGAAGCTGAATATGACACATTTCAACTCTATATTTGTATATACAATACAATACACATATAAGACCACTTAGTCTTCAAATGTTGAGAACATTGAGGCCAACACGGTAACTGTTTTCTCTCTTATCTATACATGTATCTGGAAAAACTAGGTGGTAAGCATAGCTTTGCATAACAAAGATATAGCAGCCGGTTTAGCATGATCCAGAGGCTCTGTCTGAAGCAGTTCTGCTCCCAGAAATAGGAAACTCCCAGCAGGTCACTGTTTATTCATATGGACAACATGCCAAAATACCACTTCTATCAGCACAGACACTTGTGGTCATGCAGAGTTCAGTGTCTCTTTGTCAGTACCTGATATGTTTTCTCTCCCTGTTCCTCCTGTACTCTGCTAATCTAGTAAGACCTGCTGCTGGAGCTGTATTTGTCAACAGAACTGTCAATCAATCATCTTTTTACAATCAAATAACTAATTAAAACTAAACTTTTTTAGAAAAATGAGCTGTTGGATATTAATCAACATGACAATAAAATCTTGCTTTGACAGAAAGCATATTTAAGAAATTTGTTTGACATGCAGATGTTCCATCAGTCATAATAGAGGAGGCCGGCTCTTGGAGCAGTACATCAGTTGGTCATAAGGGGGAGCTCTAATTGTTCCGGTTACCATGCTCTGTCCATGTTAGTACAGTCTACACACGCCAAGAAAAACACTGTAAAACCACAATAAGTATGAGCCATCATATTTGACCTGTTTAGTGAGATCTGGAGATCTTGTGATCAGGTTTTGTCACTTCAGGACAGAGGCAGAACAATTTTGTTCATGATTTACAGTCTTTTTGTTTTGTTTTGTTTTTTTGGCTTGCCTTGACAAACCAATATTTCTAGCTTTGTCTCAAACATCCAAACTTAAAATCTGTCATCATCTATACCTTTGTTTGACTATCTTTTTGAACCAATATTTCAATTTTTGATCGTGTTCTTTGAGGGCCCGGTATCAGGGCCGTCAAAGTAGGGAAACAGGTACTAGGGAAACACGGCCCTCATGTTATAGGGGCTCACAAAGACAAAAAAATAGTAGTTAATGCAGGTAGAGCCTCATGTAAATGTCTTTATATAGGGTCTATGTTGTGCAATGCCCCTGCCTGACATACACTATGTGATTGTATATACATGTTAAATTGAAGTATATCAAATATCAATGAAATACCTTTTGAAAACTCCAACAGATAAGAATTAAAAGTGGGAAAACATGATCAAGCGGTGATTGTGGGTTACAATTATCACCTTTTGAGACACTGATAAGAACAAACGCATTAGTTTGCTCAGCTGGTCACAATATGACTCATCTATGCATTTCTCTTGTTCACATCAGGCAGTACGCTGCCATGCTGCTTTTAAATGCTCTCTACCATTTCGCACAAGTATAATCAGAAAACAAAAGCCTTACAGTCAGACCATCAGCTCATGGAACAGCTTTTGCCGTGCAAGACTTTGCTGTCAGCCGGCCAAATTTATAGAACAAGACCAGGAATTGCAGCTGATCGGCCCTCACTCCCCCTCGGCACATTGCACAGCAAATGACACGGGACTGAGCTGAATTTTGGCCCAACTTAAAAATCAGCTGTGTAACTCCATAATTGGGTCAGGGTCTGTTTTAATTTGCGGCCTGAGTTGATTTTACTGTTAATGGGACTATAAAGGATAAAGCTGTTCAAGGAGATATACAAATAGAGACTAAAATATAACCAATCTTCTTCATTTTATCAGTAAAAAGACTTGAGGAAGTGCTGGGATTATTAGCATATTCTATAATAGTGTCAGAGTGCATTATGTTCATAGTAGCTATCATCATTACGCATGCTATATTCAAACAAACAAAGAGCTACCCTTCACGGCCCTATCTGTGTGAACCCAACATGTATTGGACTAACATGACAGTTTCGTTGGTAGATAGGCTACACACTAATTTGCGGTGCTTTCCTTTGACACTCAACATTTCAGACTTGACGTCTCTGTATTTAAATAATGGATGCAAGTTTTACATCGCGCTGTACATTATTATTCCTCGGTTCATATGTATGCACATATCAAATCTGAGCCTCCTGCAGCTTTAGAGAGTCTGCGAGGATAATTATGATGAGGCCTTCAACGTGAATGATGCTTCAAACAATCAAATTATGAGCACAGATCCAGCGGCCGGAGTCTGAGTGGTAAAATGATTTGCAGAGGAAGATGCACACACACTGAATGCAATTAGCATAATTTTAGATAGCGTTTGAGATAAGACGTTGTAGTGGCACATCCGGGTGACTGCTTGTGAGATTACAATAATTGGTTCTCTCAGTTTGGGGAAGAGCAATAAAGAAATTCAAGAATGTTGAAAACAATGAGTAATTACCATTGACTGGTGTCATGTAGGAGTGTCATTACAGTGTATATTTCATAATTTTACTTCAGCCTGGCTTTCAAATGGCGTATTATCTTCCTTCTAGTTGACTCCAGCGCCCCATGAGTCAGCATAACCTTCATTTGAATAACGTTCCTTCAGATAAGATAGCTTTTAAGTTCACCTCAGTTCTTGATGAGCAGGCTATTTACATTTTTTTTAATCTAGAGCAACATTTTCATATGGCTGGACTGACCTGCACCTGCATTTTACCAGCACACTCAGTGGATTCAGAGTACGAACCCTCACAGTGCGTATTCAGCTCTCCTCAGTTTGACCACTTTTTCCCGATTCCAGGCACATTTTGACTCGTATTGATTGAACCACACAGAGCTGAGAATGTAGGTGCAGGATGTGAACCGACAAAAAGGAGCTGACAAGACTGACCATAGCCCAGAAGTAGTTAGCCATCTGCTGTCGGTTCTGCAGGACAGCCCAGAGGAAGAGATCCCTCCAAGGATGTTCGCAGCATTCCTCCAACTCGGCCAGGTTCTTCTGAGTGTGGAACAGCCGGCCTTTAGCTGGCTTCTCCTAATGCAAAAAGACAGAGACATGATTTGTAGACATATATGAATACTAAATAGTTCAGCCTCCTATAGGCGCCAAGACAGGACTAAAGTACTACTCAACTTGAAATTTTTGTGCAGACTTTATTTACAATATACCTTTTTAGACACATTAAAAAGAATCACAGGTGGTTCATACTTCAATGAACACAGTTGACTTCAACATTTTATTCTCATGAGGGATGTCATCACTCCACGATAAAATGATGAGTGTCTAAAAATCAAAAAGCCCTTTACTGCTGCTTTTGATGCCTTTTTACATGTAGTTTAGTTTCACTCACCTCCATTCCCTGTAAAATAAGTACTTCTACACTAAATGATCAAAGGGCCACACTGAGATCATCAAAGAGGTCACATTAGGCCCACGGCCTCCATCTGAATAGCTATGATCTATGTAATTGTATCTGTCAGGTCTCTAAGAGTTTGAAATGACAGTCGAAGACTTTCAGAAATAAAAATTACTCTCAGGTCAAAACTAATACTCAAACTCTGACAAGGAGTCAAAGATAGACACTTCTAAATTTTAAAGTGTCACGAGCCGAAGGAAGAATTAATGAGAAAAGACAAGTCTGAATTTGAATTAATTGATCTACTTAAGCTCTGGAGACAAAGTTCATTACTCACTGTGGGCATCTTCTGATAAAAGCCTTTGCAGGAGTCATGAAGAAAGTCTTTCAGCACTTTGGCGACCTCAAAGAGGGTGAAGCGAGGTTTCCGCTCCCCTTGTTCAGGTGGGTGATGAACGGGCAGACCAGGTGTCCTGGCTGCTCTGAGCAGGAGCTGCTTCTCCTCGTACTTTTTCAGGAGCAGGTTGTGAAGGAGGCTCTTCTCAGACACTGACCAGTAAAGCTCCTGCAGGCGACCGTAGGTGAGGAACTCACCCAGGTTCACGCCGATGTCCACAAAGAGACGCACAAAGTCAGGTTTGTCATTGACGAGAGCGTCCATCATCACCTCCTCCAGGTCACAGGCCTACAATAAACATACGTCTATGTTAAAATGGTCTACAATGGGGCACTGGTTCAGCTCGGCTGTTGATAGGCGGCTGTGATCCTCTTGACACAGGATCTACTCCCAGTCCTGGCAATATTTGGGACGTGTCATTCTACTTTCTTTTTTTTACATTCCCTTTTTCTTTTACCATCTAACAAACAAACTAACTATAAAACAGCTTAAAAGTGGATCACAATGTATGAGGACTTGCCACTTTTGTGCAGCATTTTAGACCTTAATGTGAATCACTGGTTATAAAGTCCCTATCAATTTGAAAGCAAGAAAGATACATGAAGATTTTCTTTAACTTTTAGCTTTGTTAACGACAACAACAATAACACAGAGAGATGCTGTATTTGTAATGTCATAGCTTTTATTCATTCTTCAATGAAGAGGTAATCCACACAGTACTGATTATAATTACACACTAAGGTGTAATGCAGGCCTAGAGACCCAGGAAAGTATGTTTGCTTGGTAATTGTGAGTAAACTGACGCAGTGCTCACTGAGGTCAGCGTTTAAAATGAAGTTCTGTTGTTCCAAAGTAAGAGCTCAAACTACTTTTTGGTACAATAATTGACCCTCATGTCTTGCATCACCTTTGCCGAGCCCTGATTTTATCCGAGTTTGAAATTTGTGTTGTGAAAAAGCACTTAAGTCCCCCTGCTATTTGCCTCACCTTCCACTCCACGTCCCCATTGAATATGTCACTCTTGGCGATGTCCACCCTGTTCCAGGCCACAGCCAGCTTCAATTCATCCATGAAGTCTTGAGCTTCTTGACTTTGGCTCTTACAAGCTGATTAATACCCACAAACCCCCACACACACACACAAGTGCACAAAATACAAAATGTCAAAAAGGTTCACAACCTGTATAGTGCTTAAAATGTCAAGGCGCGCTCTCTCTTTGTGGAGCTGTCAAGCTTCAAAACCGGTAATTGCACAGCTTGAGAAAATTGCAAGTTTCTTGATAACATACTTCTCATGAGGTACTTTACCCTTGACTAGAGCTTTGAGGATGACCGTATCCAGCTCGGAGCTTTCCTGCTCTGGGTCGTGGACTGTGAGGAGATGCCCGTGATCGAGAATTTTCTGGATCTGATTGACAGATTGATAGTGAGTGATCGCTTGAACCTCCTTTCAGTGCAGTAATGAGCTTCTTTTCTCCATCACTAATACTTTGTTTGCTAAAATTACAGCCTTGTTACTGTTAATGTCAGCTTGAAAATATCTGTTCTTCCTCCTTCATAGTCTTAATTAGGTCATATACAAATTTGAAGATAAGGATTGAAATCCCACATTAGCTCCCCTCACAAGCTTTCCCAGCATGCCCCATTTTCCTGGCAATATTCATGTCTTGTGATGTGCATATCTGTGTGTGTGTGAATGTGTCCCGACGCCATGCTGTGCACATCTCTCTCACCAGCTTGACCCAGTTACTGATGTCTGTGCTGTGGTGGGCATTTGGAAAGGTGTCCAGCATCAGCTCATGAACACTGTCCGTATCCCAGCAGCCTCTATTCATCAGCGTGACGAGGATGTCGGCCACGCCTCCTGAGCCTGCCAGGATCAGCCATGGTGTCGAATTGCCAATGCCTTTATACATTCTCTGCAGAGAGGGGGGCACGGTGTTGAGACTGTCAGGCAAACTCACATACATCCTCATTTTCACTAAATAAGTCAGCTACTAAACACAAACACAGACTTGTATTGATCAGAGTGAGCTGCATTGTATGATCACTGTTATGGTTCTGTTTATGCAAATCAACTGGTGGCTTTGAGAGGCTTTTCCAGCCAAGGAGATTTGATTTATGAGAACAGACAGAAATTGTCTCTCAGTCTTGTTTTGACGCAGAACTTCAGAAGGTAGCACAATCATCATTTGCTCTGTTGTCTAATTCTCAAGTCTAAGCTTCTCATTTTTTGCACATCTATATTTCAGGTTTAAAGAAAGGTCTCTTTGCGGTCACGTCTCTGGAGTTCTTGAGTAACTAACACATCACAGAGGATTGAAACTTACCTTCAGGATCCTCGGCTCCCCGTGGACCAAAAGACACAGAACAGGGATCTCAAAACTGCCTGTGCCTGCAAGCACAAGAAGGTAAATTTATATCAATGTCTTTTGTATCTTAGATTGCCTATGTTACTTTACACTGTTGTTTGACTGATGCATACAACTCTCACGTCAGGTTTTCATCTTTACCGACAATTATCTGTCTCACAGGTTATTTTTTTCTCTGGAATGTGGGCAGGTAAATTATTTGTTATGTGCGTCATTTAAACTACATTTTAAGGTCTAGTATTTACGTTTGACTTGATTCCTGATTGTTATCTACAGAACCGAATGACAGCAGTTAAAAGAAATGTTAGGGAGAATTAAGTATCAGAGAGGCACAAGCTTCTATGTTGTTTTTGGATTCGCAATAAATTTTTGGACAACTGTTTTAAAAGTGTCTGACCATTTTTAGAGGGATGCTGGAGCTAGCTGCTGCTTCGTTGTCTTTTTTTCTTATCATAGTGTGAGACAACCAACCCCCTCCCTCACTTTTGACCAGTAACTTAAAATGTATTAGTTTATTTTTAGCACTATTTCAATAGTTAATTTCTATTTATTCGAGTTTTTTGACATCTATGAAATAGTCAGACATCCACATTGATCATTTTTATACTACAGACCAGCAACAACAAGACTGATGATTCTTAGATCCATGTTTTTAATACTTAAAACCTGTACAAGGGGGTTTGTGTCAGCCAAGCAGCTAAAGAAACAGCCAGGTTCAATGATTCCACATAACATATTCACAATTAATGATACATTTAACAAACCTCATAATCACCACTGTCTATGCGCTCCTGCTTTATCATGTACATGTGTTTCCAGCTGATGTGTGCACGTAGCATGTTAAACAACATCCTCGGGGGTAAACAGAGTATGTCTGCTTCTCCATTTTCAGAGAAGTGCTGCCTGTGATTGACAAGTCCCTCCAACTGTGTCACATCAACTGGGATAGTTATGTATAAATGTGTCGCCGTCATGAAGTCTCAAATACAGACTGGCTATAAAAAACAAACAGTGAAGCAGCCAAATTGACAGATTCAAGGCTCCAACGGTGGATGTCACAGTGCTTAAGTCTTCATTAATTATATAGTTGCTGTTTGGAAAGCTACATTCAATAGATGCACAAGGGTTTTTTAGAAATTCTGTGAATTTTTGAGGCCAAAATGTTATGTTTTTTTTTTTTTTTTTGGATAGCTCAGAACAAGGTCCTCCCAGCAACTATGTTATTGGATCTAGCATCTCCAATTAAAAATCAAAATAAATTTAGTGTGATCTTAAATTTTTTTCTGATCCATCTCTTTTTTTATCATTAAAATCACAGTTAATGTCTCGTTTTCCTACTTGTATGCAATTTTAAATCTCATTTCTAAAGTAGAGGGTGAGAGCGAGAGGTCAGATTGTGGTCAAGTCATTTCAGGGTGCCTGCAGCGTCGAAGTTCTGCAAGAGCAAAGTTGATATAAATGCATAAGATTTAATCCAACTCAGGATGAGAGACGATGGCAGAAGTCAAAAAAGTGATCAATAATGATCAATTTTGGTCAGCCAAAGTGGGTCAAAGTCATTTCAGCAGAAAACTTAAACCACAGCACAGAAAAAGGTAGCATTGTAAGCAGCGAAACCTGCCACATACAAACATGGCTGCAGAAGGGGCAGAGGGAGAAGATTCAGTGGATCCATGTCTGTTTTGGACAAATAAACAGGAGAGCACACTCTTTTTTCACTATTCTTCACCACTGTGCTGCTGCGCGGTGTCAATATAATCATGAGCATGTCGAGAATGATGATGCTGATGAATGCATGAGGCTGGTGAGCGGGGGCGTGCATGCCTTATGCAGAGGTAGAGGTATTGTATGCTGTTGGTTTATGCATGTTGTGTCTAAATATTTGGACATATATTGTTAGTAAAAGTGAGCTCATGTGCTGTGAAATATTGAAATTGTTATTGCATGTGCAGTGAAAAGTGAAATTGCTGTTGTTTCCGCCGAAAATGACAAAACAGGCAAAGACAGCATTGTCTGTGGTGCTGAAACAGAGCAGGATGACAGCTTGTCACTCAGGCATAGAAAGAGACTGTGCACAGTTCTCCCCAGTTGGTTTTGGATCCATTTAGTGTGAATTATTGTGGATGTCCCTGGCACTGTCCATTTTTGATGCATCTAGACTTTATTTTTCCCCTAACCCAGAGGAGCAGCACTCGGTGTCCTATAAACTCTAAATTTACTAATTAAGCACTGCGAATACCTATTTACTCATCCACTGCTCTTATATTTCATTTTGAGGCATTTAAATCAAGGCCATGTATTTTAGAGCAGCCCCCTGTGCCCTTAACAGCACCACAAGGAAATAATGGTTAATGCATTGTTTATACATAATTAAACAACATAAACATGACCACTTGTAGGTTGAGCACTAGTTTAAATATTTAAATATATGTCATTGTTAATATCCATGTTAACATAAGTCTTATTTTATTGTTGCTCCTAATGGGATTTACCTCCATAACCAGTACGCTGAAGAGAGATATGTTTGAGCAGCTTCACCCTCATCTCACTTGTGGCTCCTGGTCTGTTTGGATCCTCCTCCACCAGCACAAAGTGAGAGTGATTGCTGTCCAGGGAGTACACAGACCCATGAGGCAAGTCCTGGGACTTGTACACTGCAGGCTCATCCACCTATGGCGATGCAGAGGGACAGAGGACAGCAGGACTACATTATTGTGATATGCTCATAGATGTTTTGCTGCAGTTTTTATTAGCTCTATATTGTGTGTTTATGGACAGAAACCTTGGCAGACAGAAGTGCCTCCCGGTTGTGGATCATGTTCCAGGGTGCGATGCCAATGGCCACTACACGAACTTTAGAGGAGGTGCTGGCCAAGGAGTGATCTCTCACTGCCTGGCCCAAGTGCTTGGTGATGCCAAAACGAAAGCCATTAGTCAAAATCCACGCCCCTGAGGGAGATTGAGGCAGTTCATTTGTGTGTATGTGTGTCTAAAAAACAGTGCACTTGGTATCTGGAACTAGGGCAGCCTGAGAGAGTCTCTATGGTATCTCTCAAACAGGATAGTTCCATTGTGGACTCCATATAAAAAGCTAGCCTCTTGATTATCGTAAGTAGGTTATTGCCTTCTATAAAGCATCTAGTGTTTGTCATCTTAAGTGCATTAAAATTCATGAAAATATTTCACTTCTAATGCAATTAAAACATACATAGAAAAATATATGAATAATTCATGACAGTTATTTGGATTCCTTTCATCCAGAAAAAGCATTCTACTCTACATGGTTCGGTTCATGTAATTTTACTCCCAGACAACCGAGGGCAACATTTTAGTTAAAAAAAAAAAATAAATAAACAGTTTAACCCCAAGGATTATAACCTGTGCTCTGTGCAGCCTTCACAAGCCCCTTCCTCAGAGTGTCCCTAAGCCAGGGCTTCATCTGAGCCAGCTCGTCTCCTCCCACCAGCGCCACCACCAGGTGTGGAGGAGCAAGGCCCCAGTCCTCTGTCAGCATCTGGTAGATCTGCACTGGGTCTGTGTTGCCAGTCACCCTCAAAAACTGGGTTCAAAGACACAAGCTGACATCAGTATCCAGGTGAGAGATAAATCTTCCTACAACCTTCAGTATTTGTTCTCTACTCTCACCTTTCCTCTGGTTTTAGTCGAGTTGCTGAAGTCAATGTCGCCCACTCTTCCGGCTGCCCAGTGACTCTTCTCTCTCTTCATCCTGCTGGCGAGGCCTCTGGCTACGTTCTCCAGTGTCTCATCTACCGTGGAGCAGCAGGAGCAGCCCAGCAGGACGCTGAGGGAGACATGAAATGAATGGAGATGTGCATTGCATCAAACAGCTCCTTCCACTTTGGCTGACACCAGAATAAATGAATGACATTACAGGTCCATTCGAAGTGCAGGGAACATTTGGCAAAGATGCTGCAATATCCAAAAAATATACTCTGAATCCTTTGGGGATTACATTTAGCATATCAGATGACTGTGAAGAAATATGAAAACCAAATGCCCATCCATGAAAAAGTACCGGTGATGATGCAATCTCATATTTTTGCATCTCCCTCTGCAAGTAGGTGCCTGAAAATCCAGTGATAACACCTGCTGGATCTGGGATCTTTGTGATGAATATAAATCTGATCTTTAACAGGATGTTTCTCAGTAATCGAAAGCAGAAGATAAAAGTAAGGCCATCACAGATTGATCAGATGAGAGATCGTCAAACTTGGGTATCATTTCTCATCCTTTTGCAGGTTCACTTTGTCCACTGGTGATCGTTAAAAACAAACTTTTGAAGTGCCTCGCAAACATCATACAAATCTCTCTTCCTCCTCTTGTGTGGTGCCGCAGCTGGGTAGGAATATTGAACAAGACTGAACTCCTCAAACCCTCTACTTTGAAGTAGATACAGAGGCATAATCATTCCTCAAGCACTGATTTGCTTCTTAATTTAACCTTCTGCATAACGCTGTGTTTTTGTTGTTACAGCCAAGGAGATGAGCGTGTCGTCGCGGTTGTTATTTGGTCGTCATTTGCATTGTGGTATCCCAACCTTCTTTAAATATTTAGAGCAACTTTTCAGGAAATTCAAGATATTTGTGGCAAGAATAAACTGAGCTGTGCCAACATGTAGCTATGAATAAATAATATAAATAAATAAGATATGACACAGGAATTGGGATACCAGACTGTTTTTACAGACTTTAAAGTTTGTTTTTAAATGAATTCAGTACATCTACCCTTTTGTACATGCTTTTTAAAGTGGCAGATCAATAGTTAAGAGTAAAAAACCTATTTCATCGACCTCACTTTGAGACCACTATGAGTTGGAAATGGTTTTAAGATCTCATCAGTGACTTTATTTGGCTAAGTTTCCCCAGCACTGCCAAATCATAAATCTTCTGTTTGATACAGGAAAGTGGTTTTTCAAAAGTCTCCATATCAAGAACCTTTTAACCGACACTAATTAGACCACTTGGATAAGAGTTTCTCCTAAAGCCCAATTTCTGATAGTTGTTTTTTAGGCTAGCTATTAGCTTTCATTCAGGGTAACTGATGCCAACAGTAAAAACAACAACAACAACATGAATGAATGACAACAACAGAATTTTAGATTTCATTTATATGTCACAAGAACAATTACTGTATAAAACATGAGACTGGAAGATGATACTGCAGCTCTGAAGCTTGTATTATAAATGAGGGAACCCCACGATTCCAACTCAAAGCATGTTGACAAAGCAATTTGATGAATAGGCCCATTTGTCTTCTGCAACCACTGCACACCATCAATGATGACTGTGAGCTGTCACACTAAAATCATGAAGCTGAAAGATCTGAGCCCCAAAAAATAAATGATAATAAATGTAAGGGCTCTGAGACATCACAAGGTTACTTAATTGTAACATATTGCTCCAATGTAGATTTAACATGCAGTCATAAAAGTATACATAAAGTTTTCCTTTCATACTTTTTATAAAGCACACCAGAGTATGAATATCAGTGAGGTGCAGCAGTGCTTTAGACAGTCATTATGAGGACTGCTATTAGTTTCAAAAGCCCCCAGATGTCACTGGGTTTGCTGAGTTTGAAGCTTCAAAGCTTTGAGTCATTTTCGGCACAAGAAAAAAATGCCCCAAGGCTTCAGAAGGCTTCATTTGAACATCGTTAGTAAAGCATGAAAAACGAGTTTAGAAACAGAGTTGGGCCCACAAATGATTATCATCAATTATCTGTGATCATTTCATGAAGTTTTAATGTAAATAAAAAAAAAACAATCAAAATTTACCTCCTGTTAGATTTGATTTTCTTTCATTTTGTGTTTTTGCCATTAAATTAATGAAGTTACCACACTGTTGACACATCCGTATCGTGTAATGCCAGCGATAAGGAGAAGAGGTTTTGTATAAGATGCTTAACTTCCTCATGTCAAGGACCATGAGGGCATACTAGGTTCAGCCACAGTTATTCTGTTTACCTGAGAACAAAGAAGGATCCACACCCTGTTCTTACACGGTCAGATGGATCAGAGACAATTTGAGCAAGAGCGGATGACTTCTGTAGATTTGTAGCAGTTAACGAATCTTAATGGATATAGTGTCTTAATGGTTTTACTGGATTTGGAAGGAAAAATGGTGGACTGTCAGACATCCATCAAGTTTTGAAGTTCAAGAAAATGTTAATTTCTGTTCTTTTTTTCAACATCTTTGCTAACAGAGCCCACTTGCGTATACACACTGCATACTCACATCTTGTTATTTATAATCATAGCACATTGCAAACTGATACATTGCGAACTGAAACTTCAGTGTTACATTGAATTATCCCTGATTAGCCAAAAAAAATCTGATAATTCCAGATAGGGTTTTAAAGCCTGTTGCTGCATTATAATGCATATTTTATAGAAATGAATATACAGCTAGTGTCAAAAATACTTTTGTGCCGTTAATCACGAAGAATTAAACTCCAAAGATTTTGTACTTTCAGAGGTTTTCTGAGTGCTTGGTTGTTCATTACTGTCCACGCTTGGCTTCATCAAGAATGCAACGCCAGTGCTTTTCCTCTTAGTATTTAACAGGGGAGAAAGTTTTCTCTTCAACAGTGTGGGAATCCTGAACAGCTCTCATGAATAATTGAAATAGAAAACTGTACTTGGAAATAGTTAAAGCTTGTTAGTCCAGTACAAATGTTTGCTTCCTGCAGCACCTCTTCCACTTACAGCCTGCTAATCTCTGTGCTCATCTGAATACTTGAAAATGTCTATTTTCAGTTCATCTGATGGAGTCTTCTTAATCCTGAAAACTGAAAAGCACTGTGATTTGTTTCGGATGAGAGCCTCTGCCAGTTGTCCTGACTGTGCTGCATTTATAACTCAATGTGAGGGGAATAGGCTGTCTGTTTCCATTGTCTTTGACCTCTTAACACACACACACACACACAGACACGCACCTGTGCTCCTCTGACCACTCCAGCACGTCCCCACATCGCAGGCATCGAGTCTGCGGCTGCAGTGTGGCCTGTAAACAAATGAGCACAAAGATATTAAGCCCATTTTCCTCTAAATCTATTATGACTCACTCACCACTTTTTTCACTGAGAGAAAAGGTTCTTAGAAGTATTCGTGGTCAATGCAAAGTCGGCAGAATTTTCATCCTCGCTTCATATGCAAAGCACTTCCTGAATGGTGTTTAAAGTCGAGAATACACAAAACGCTGTCAATCATATTCAGGAAACCAACAAAACTAGGCCACAGTATTGTGGGCTCCCACTGAAACCCTTTGAACGTTAAATGCTTCTGATTTTATGTCAAATAACAACAATGTATAGAGACTCTTTGACTGTAAGGAGCCGGTTTCTATATATTTATTGTTCCGTGGAGGAAACAGACACTGTTTGTTTATCTGTAAATAGAATAAATGACTCTGAGATCAGAAAGAGAGCGTATTCATAAATGATAAGATTATCCAGGTTTCCTGAGTAAACACAGACTCTTATCAGGCTGTATGATTTGCGTGGGCACTTGAGCTGCCTGTGAAAGACGATTACAACAGAAATGCAGCACAAGATCATATTTTCTTGGACAAATAAAAGCAGCAGTCTCCCTGGCTACCTTTGACTAAAGGAAGTGTATTAATAGAACTGTGGTGCAATAATTAACGCGGAGACTCAGAGTCGATTTGTGTTAAGCCATCTGTTTTAATGTAAGTGAGCAGCTTGTTGTGGCAGCCTGTATTTGACTGCAGGTCTGGGTTCGGGAGGAAAGGACTATTGAGCATGCAAACAAGACACTTTGCATGCAAAGGTAGGGGAAAGGGCGCCCAGCTGAGTGTCTGTGTGTGTGTATTTCACAGACACAGAAACCCTTACATGCACACACTTTCCATCTTGCTCAACGTCTGGCATAATAAACTCCTATTTTCCTGAGCTGATGACATGGAGATATTGGATTCTTAATCTGTTGTTGTACATAAGCAGAACACAAACAAACAGCAGCAGTGGATGACTTTGCAAAACCTGGTCCTGGGAACCTCGTTTCCTTTTATCTGCAACCTTTTTAATCTTAAACATGAATTAAAATGCAGTAAAATGTTCAATAATTAACTAGTTTTTGAATGAAATTATTACAATTCATAGAAACTTAATTAAAAAACAGTGTTACAAACTGCAGTAACACTAGGACTACTGTGAAGGAAATTAAGAAGGAATAAATTTTGTCGAAGTTTTGCCTCTCCGGACCCTGAGAATAACAATCTTTCGCTTCACAGAGAAAGGTGCGATATTACAGTTCAAAGTGTTTTTCCTCCTGTTTTAAGCACTAAATTTGTGGATTTCTTCATTTAGTTGCGTGAGAAAGATTATAAATATATCTAGAATGGTGTCACTTGTTGAGAAATATTAATAAGAGCGTCTCTTCAGGAATTTTGTGGCCGAGAAAAACAACAACTGCTGCTTTACCTTCAAGGTAAATACATCAACTGTCACAGGACTGTATTTATATAGTGTTTCCTCTCATCACCTTACCACTCAGAGTGCTTTTACGTAACATGTCACATTCACAGACTCACACCACATTCATGCACCGAGAAGAAAAATGGTCTTCAGTGTTGACTAATCCCATTCACACACAGCCATCAGGGCAGTTTGGGGTGAAGTGCCTCGCTCACAGACACTTTGGCATGTGGACCTGAAATGATCAATGCGGCACAAATCTCTAACCTTCTGGATGAGAGATAATTGACTTTTCACTCAATTTTACTTTGTATGAATTAAAGAATAATGATATTTTCTCACACTGCTTAGTCACTCTTGACCTAAGAGGCAGAATTGTGTGTTAAAAACAGACACACTGAGAAGACACTGGTCATCCACCAAAATGCACATTTGCATCATTTTACTTTGATGAATTTAAGATTATTTAAGACAGAGAAGTTGAAAAAGTCGATGCCTTTCACATACTCACCAGAGGTGTGTCTTGCCTCCCCTGCATGGCTGCATGAATACTCTTCTTCTCACCCTGCTAAACCTCACCTGTAAGAACTCAGGGGTTTCCCTTCAGGCTGTCCACCTGAGCCACCAGGAAGCGGAAAAAAGGCGGGACTCCCCTCCTTTTCAGCCAATCCCAGACGCTCCTGTGCACCTTTACTTTGCATGATGGTCAGCTGCTGCATCACCTACCCCTGCAACCTAATACACACTCATATTTCACTTTCACAGTCAACTTTATCTTCTTTTTTTAACAAGTAGCTGAAGATTCAAACTGGGCCCAAGTTTTGGAGCTGCATACACATAAAAAGTGTAATTTTTCCCACCAGCTCCAACAATGATTCCTTTAATGTTACAGCTTTTCAGTATTTAATGCAAGGTGAAAGGAGGCAGATGTGTAATAAATATCAAAATCATTGCCCATTCAGATATAGATTATGATTGTGCTGGCTCATAAAATGTTGGTTTAAGTGTCCTTGTAATTGTTATGCTTAGATTTTTTACCCAGGCATCTTTATAGCATTGAGGATATACAGACAAGCACATTATGAAGGTTGTAGCCAGCAGGGGACTGAGAGAAGAAATAAAAAGAGGCACCAGTGCAGAAAAAGTCGTGATGCATTAATGAGAAAGAAGTTCTAAACTCTTTACTAGCATGTAGGGACGTATATATGGCACTGCATCACATATTCACTTCTGGAAGGACACCCAAGATGGCACTTAATCACATTTGTTGCATACAATGCCACTAGAGAGCACTTCATCATGTTTTATCTGCAGTATACAAGGATCCAAAGGGAAGGGAGTTTTTATTTTTTCAGTAGCATTTTCACTTTTTTAGCATTTCTCACATAAAACGCCTGTGGAGATGTGAAGCCAGTAAAGAAGAAGAAGGGGCTTGAAGGTCACTGGATTGATCTCGTGATGAAAGTGAGCGGCCACAAAGGTGCCATCAGGCGAAGGCCCATAATACTCTGACTGTTCCTGCAGAGCTGCATGGAGACCACCAAATCAGACTGGTTTTAGTGTCAGCCATGAATGTGTTACACTGAGTAAGTACTAAGAGTCATCTCTCCTGTTTTGCAGTGAAAGTTCATCAAATTGGTTTAATTAAGCAGAAGTTATAATGTAATTTACATACAGCAGCTGAATTAATTCAAGAGAAGAAACTAGCACATTTCTACAACTCAAACCTGTGGGGAGAACTCTTTAAATAAAGCAATTAAAACTATGACAGCATTTTTTAATTACTGCAGTCTTGACCTATATGTAAGTTAAAGTAAATTTCATATCCTTGTTTGAACCACTTTCACTTTGGATCCTATACTTGCTTTCAATCACATCTTGGCAGGAAGACTTTGGTCTTTACAGCTTGGAGGCAGAGATTTAGATCAGCTGCTGCTGATCATGAATCCCTAGAGGCAAAAAAAAAAATAAAAAAGTCAACAGAAATGTAATGACAGCAACACCGTGAGTTTTGGAGTTGTTTTTTTCTGCTCATAGTTCAAATATGCAAATACACAAAAAAACATTGATTAAAAGTGGGATAGGCTCAGCTCTGGAAGCACAACCTGTTCACAGCAGCCCGTGGTTTATTCACTGTAACAAGCATCCAACCGGTCTCCCTTGGAGCTTGTTGGTGTGAATGGAGGACCTTTTTCTGTACATGCAAGGTTGCATCATATGACAGTATATTACACGCTTTGACTACCAAAAAGAGGGATTTATTTTCATGCTGTTTTGCCTTTATTTGGAAAGGACAGGGAAGAGAGAGAGAGAGCAGGAAATGACATGTGGTAGAGAGACCTCAGGCTGGAAGTGAACTCAAGCTGACCGTATGAGGCACAACCTCCTGATATGGGACGTGCACTTAAACTGCCGGGCCAGTGGCGCCCGATGACACATCATTTTTAACAAATGACTTCACATTACTCTTATGAAAACAATGTTTAAACAAATGAAAACAGTAACAAGCAGAAAAAAAGAGAAAAAAAGACAGTGCTAATTATAGTATGTGGACTGTACATGCTGATTGTGGTTTTCAATGTTGAAAGCTGTATTTTTCTGCTTTATTTTTATCTTTTTTTTTTTTTTTTGGACCAATGAATGCTGAGATGAAAGAGGAAAATTGCACTGGAGTAAAAGACCATTTTTACTCAGGTAGAAAAGTGCTCTGTTATAGTATCATACTGCATCCTAATACATAATTTTGTATTGTATTGTATCCCATCTAAATTATATCCTTTCATTTCATATCATACGTCATTATCTCACACAGTATTTTATCCCATGGTATCTAGAGAGAGAGCAGGCTTCTACTGCTGGTCATTCAAATTATCGAAATTGCCTGATGCCTACACTGACAAACAAATACTGTCTTCAGATAGGGCGCTGTTAGCCCAGAGGTCTAAACCATAGACTGTATATACTATGGACAACTTGGTTCTGCCTTCCACCAGTGTACGGATTTGAAGCTGAAAAGCTCTTGGTATTTCCCACTCGGCTCTCGGTTTTTCTGAAACCAACATTATGCAATAGCGTTGTACGCGTTCCACCACTCGCTGAGAGTCGCTGTAACAAATTTCAAAAGTTTGTCAACAGCTCCATAAGCTTTGCTGGAGGAGGTGGGATTTATGACCTATACTGCAGCCCATCACCAGGGTGTGCTGTTCTCACAGTGGCTTCACCCAGTGAGGAGGCAGACGGCATCTATTCTATATACAGTCTATGGTCTAAACTAGTGGCTGTGGCTTAGTAGTAGCGTCTCAGTCATCTCCCAGTTGGAAGGTCAGGGTTTGATCTCAGGTCCTTCTGCCAAAATGTCCTCAGGCAAGACACCTGACCCCACCTGCCCCCGCTAGCTGCGCTCAGTGGTGTGTGAATGGGATAAGTCAAAACTGGTGGGTGCAGAAGCCTCTGTGATCGGTGTGTGAGTGGTCAGAAGTCTACAGACAGAGAAACTTAGTCCATATACCATATACCCCTACAGCGGTTGCTGGTTCCATTCCCTACTACGACCTTTTGCTGCATGCCTAACCCGACTTGCTACTCCCATTATTCCCTGTCCCTGTCTCTCTCTCTCTCTCTCTCTCTCTCTCTCTCTCTCTCTCTCTCTCTCTCTCTCACTGATGTATCTGTCAATGCAAAAAGAATATGACTTACAAAAAGACAACAGTGTCTTCATATGTCACAGCCAGCCTCATCGGTGTGGCTGCTGTTGAGCAATGCTAATGTCCTTTAAATTATAGCAGGCTTTATAACATCATATTGACTTATAACAGTTTGTGGATATATATGATATAGATTCTGATGTGATGTAAAGCATAATGCAGTTTAATATGATATCTGACAGGCTGTAATGTGGTAAAAAAAAATGTAACTGTAAAATTGTTGAATTTATCAAATGCAAAGAAATAAAATAAAATAAACAAATGCTGCAGAGAGAATACTAAAGATTGCCCACTGATCTCATCCCATCCTGGTGTATCCTATCACAAAGAGATGAAATGTCTGCTGCCAAGTTTTCCCAGCATGCTTTGATCAGCCAAGTAGCTTTACAGACTCTTGACTTCTGCAGCACTAGCTTTGATTCAGACTTTGGCCCTTTGCTTCATGTTTCGCACTCTCTTCCTCGCTCTCTTCCTCCAATACCCCCTGTACATTTTTCACAATTCAACAAAGGCAAAAATCAGGCCAGAGAAAAAGAAGATAAAATAGTTGAACAAAATCACAATGACTGAAGAAAATCTTCCAAATAGGATATGCAAATCCAGATTGTTCACAGAGAGATGAAGCTGTTTTTGATGAAAAATATCACAGAAAAACTCATTTCCAGTGAGGTAACACTTTTTTTCATGGATTTGGTGATTGTTTTCTTGCTGCACAGAGGCATGTGTTGACCTATTGGGCGACTGAGAATCCACATCATGGGCAAGAGGCACGTTCTGCATAAAACGCGGTTTCTGACGTTTTAGGATTGACAAAGGACTGATACACGACCTCAAATGGAACCGGAGTCTTTTATTCTTGGCAGTCTTTACAACACAATGACTGGATTTCGCCCCCTCCCGTGAGCCATCAATTCAGAGAGCTGCAGCCAATCAGCAGCCTCTGCTCATTGTGTACAAACAGAGCATCGTGCGCGCTGCAGCCTTTAAAATCCCCCCTTGAAGCTTTGTGAAGACCAGATCAGACCACAGGGAGACAGAAAAGACTTCCTCACCAAAACTCCAGCAGAGAAATCCTCAGGATGAATCCCATCAGACGCAGAGAGTCCGTCTGCAGGAATCTGTTTGGCCCCGTGGACCAGGAGCAGCTGCGCAGGGACTTGAAGCAGAGACTGAAGGAGATCGCGGAGCAGGACAGCCGCCGCTGGAACTTCAACTTCCACACTGACACGCCGATGTGTGGCAGATTTCAGTGGGAGGAAATCCCCGCAGACTGCGCTGCTGCTGTGTACCAGGAGTCTGCACAGCTGAGGGAGAGAGCTGCCTGCACCCCACAGACTGAGGAAAGTGACAGGTTGAGCGCCTGCCAGGAGACCGACCAGGAAAACTGCTCCAACATCTCCAACACGCACAAGTACCCCGCTGAAGTGACGCCGGTCCGGAGGAAGAGGACGTACCAAAAATCTGCAACTAAGCCCAGAAACAACACAAAAATTACAGGTAAAGAACTAATCCAACAGATTTGGTGTTCATTACAGACATGTTCGACGAATAAAAGTGGACTAACCTCTCTATTTTTTTTCTTTTTTGACAGATTTCTTCGCAAAGAGGAGGAGGTCGACAGAAACAAAGAGCATCCTGAAACCTTTCCTCACAAGTTCCAGTGAAGCAGCTGTGTGCAAGACAATACGATAGAGCTGCGTGTGAAAATGGACTTTTCATGTTTTGAAGCATATCTCTATGAACTGAGCCAAAGCCTATTCACTGCACCAAAGTTTTTCTTAATTTAATTAGATTTTATTTCACGTTATTTTATTTCATTTTGTCGTCATTTTAAGTTCCAGTGAAGTGGTTAAACAGTGCCGCTTAATGATATTTATTTTATTTATGAACTTTTATTTAATTTCTCTGCTTTTGCTTGGATGATTTGGTAAATCTGTTTGTCCTCATTTCCATCAACGTTGTCATTATGTTTTATTCTTGTTGGTGAATTTAAGCTGCTTCAGAATGTAATGAAAGCACTATAATGTCATGTTTTTGCCTTACCCAAATTAAATAAGATGTGAACCAAAAAGCTTGTGTGCCTACGGATATAATATGTCAATAAACTCTTCTTTTAATGCCAATCCTGCTTCAGATAGAGGATCTTTTTTATTTTCTGCACACACAAAAGATAAAATAATCGAAATCTGCAGATTAATTTGGACTTGCAATCATCACATCAGATTAATTTAGTTAGAATATACACAGAATCTTAATTTAGAGTTTCTATCTCAACAAAAACATGATAACTAGCTCCAAACATGTCGGCACTTCTCCATCTGCCGCCCACAAATGTATGATTTAGAATTTGCTTGTCTAAAGCTTTGAGTAAATTTGGCCCTGCAGCACACTGGAGACGGTTCAGGATGTAACAATCTGATGTACGAGTGAATTATGTTTATGTGCCACAACATGTCTCTCCTGCAGTTTGCCTGGAGCAAAGATCCGCGCAGTCAACACAGTTTGAACTAGAAAACTTCTAATCCCACTCTGGCAGCCTCAACTGAACCCTGCAACTGTCCTCATACAAATTATTATAGTTCAACTGCAGTTTGAAGAACTGAAAGTGCAAAACTGTCCCCCATCATATGAAGGACAAACTAGCTATTGTGAAAACTGGCACAAGAACTGACCCTGGAAGTGTGTGATTGGAGCCACTTTTGTGCAGAATATCAAATAATTGGGTTTCAGCCTCGGCGCAGTTATATGAGAAAGCAAATCTTAAGTATAAAGCTGACTCTGGGCAGGTCACAAACTAGTGAGTTAATTATGATTTTCCCTCGTAAGTTGAAGAAAAGAAAACGGGCCAACAAAGAAGACAAACATCTTAGCGTAATTGCATTTTTTTGTGTTGTTTTATAAGATGTTCCATAGTCACAATCACAAAGCCGGCACTGTCAGGCTTAAAATTACATCCACTACTATGAACTGCCAAATTAGCCCATTAGAGAGGCCAAATCCCTCTGAAAGCGTAGTCACCCCCACAGTGTTGGAGTTTGAGCTCTAAAGGATTTCTTCAGGCCATCTGGACACAGAGCAGGACAAAGCCACGGTGCAGAGTGTGCCATCTATTTCACCTGCAAATCAGCCTTTGGAGCTCGGCGACCCCCCAGGTCTTTCCCCCACTTCTCTCTTTTCACTCCATCTCCTTTCATAGTCAAAGCAGCTATTATCATTGACATGTGCCCAAACTAATCTTACCAATGTTTATTCTCACTTTGGCCCATGTTTACTTGTATGGGAGCAAAGGGAGTGTGTTCAAACATCGAAAGAAAGAGCTCACATCATATTTACACTTTGAAATGCCTCATTATTCCCAAGGACGACTAATGTTAAGTGTGTTATTCTTGCAGGAGGAACAGATGATCTTCTATTGTCTTGTAATGGATTTGCGTCTAAATTAACAGTTTAAAAAAAAAATCAATAATCAAACAGCCCCGTGAGTCAACACAGTCCCTCGAGATCCCAATTAACACTCCCACTAGCAAATAAAACAACTTTTATTATGTGCACTGAGAGCTGATCAGAACATCATCAGGAGGAGAAAGCTTTAATGGCCCCACGGTGTTGTGCAATTAATGTTACAGCTGCTTTGTGTACTAAAAATGTGTCATCAAGCTCACAAGATAGCACCTAACTTTAATAAATGTGGTGGATTTGAAAACCCAAGAGCAGAAAATGTCTAATTAAAAGAAATGAATCTGGATTTTTATTGTCTTTGTGGCTGCATGTGGAACAGGAAGCAAGGAAATTAGTTGTCAGATTGAAACAAAGTAATATGAAATGATAACATTCAAGCCTTGGTTACACTTGCTATGAACAATTAAACAAAAATGTGAAGATGGGATCAGATTGAGCCCCACCTTGTAAGATCAGAACCACTCCCATCCCATCTTCAACCACCTGAGTGTTGCACTTTGCAGCATTTATTAAGTTGTAGTGAAAAGGAAGAACTTCCTTTAAGAGGGAGAAACATCGAGCAGAACCAGACTCATGTTAGACAACCATCTGACGTTACTGCATTGGGTTTAGAGGGGGGATAGAGGGAGATGCAAAAAGAGAGAGGTGGTCAGAATTTGTTCTTAGCTACCCAACTAAACAGCCCAGGATCATCGAACATGTGAAGCCCCTTCATTCCGACATCTCACCCATAAGCAATCCAGTATGATCCTGTTTACGCATGTGTAGGTCATTCTAGCCTTCATATTAATTGGCAGCATTAAATAAAACATTAAATTTCTTCCTTAAGGGTGAACAAAGTTCATCTTCTCCTGATATATGAATATGATTTTTAAAAAATGCAAATCGATTTCACCCAAAGCTAAAGATAACATGCCCAAGGGTTTTATGTTGTCTGCAACCTAAGTGCAGCTCAGTTTACTTACTTCAAGGAGTGAAGAAACTTTAAGAATTGACATGTAAGATATTGGCAGAAGAGAATATGGCTTTTTCACATTAACAATCAAATATTTCTTGAAAACGAGACAAAGTGATAATGGTGAAGATTATATTATATAATTGTTGTCAAATAATCATTGACTGATGCAGTTTTAACACTAAGATACCAGAATCAATTACTGGGGGGGTAGGGTCAGGAGAACATCCAGTCTACAAATGCCCACAGCCATAGTTACTTCTATATTACACTTTTATTACAGTAGCTAATGCAAATTTCTTAGAAACAGCGAATTAGACTGCTGTTTTTTGATGTATTGTTTCCAGTTTTTGTTTTAGCATTTACAACTGTTACACTCATTACTGTCTTCCTCTACCAATATCCCAACAAACACTGGTTGAACCTGCACACCCCCCTCTTATAATGACTCCCTCCCTCCACCCACCTCCTGGCCAGCACAAAGGCCAGCCACCCTCAGCACACTTTAGGAGGGTGGGGCCCATTGTTGTGGAAACCAGAGGCAGATGGTCATTTGGGCCTTTCTCCACATGGCCACTTGTGTGAAGGAATGCCTGGACACCCCATTGATGGCCAGCAGGAGAAAGGTCACCATCTGCTGCTCAAAGGTCGCCCGGATAAAGAGCAAGTGCTTAGCTCTGCTTATGGCCATTTCCATAAGTCAATGATGACATTGCAAACCCTCCTCCATGAGTAATACACGGCCCCTGGAATGAATCTGCAAGCACAGAACAGCTTGTGGGATAACAGAGAGAAATTCTGTGAAAACACTAAATTTTTAATGCAAAAATAAAAGTTTTTGCTCTTCTTCAAACCACCGCTGGCAAAAGAAAAAGAAAGCTAAATGCAAGTTACTCAGCTCATTTGTTTTAGTCAGAGATTCCTCCCTTTAGGCAACAAATACAATACAAAGACACTTAGTACCAAAAACTTTTATTTCTAGGAGACTTTTTTTTATATTTACAAAACGTGATATTGAGTAAAAATCAGTGAAAATATATTGATAAAGCTGAAATTTTCAAATGAAGTATGACAAGGTTTGCCTCTTCCTCACATTAATGTTATAAAATGTTTTATTTCACAGAAAAAATGGTATTGAATCACAGTAGTCAATGAGGAGCAGGGCAAATGACGCTGAATTGATTGTAATTTGTATTTCAAGTACTTTTAAAAAAAGGCACTTCCAGGCAATAAAACTAATGCATGATATTATGAAATATCAAATTTGAAACCGTAATATTGCGTTTCTATCACTAACACTATCATCTCAAAAGAATATGCAGTGATGAATCACAGTGAATAACAGTCTTCAGCACAGACCTGGATGGATTATTAATACTACAAAAGGCAACCTTCCCTTCAGAACTTAGTCTGATAAATTACTCTGAGATCTCAGTGATATTTCAAATCAATACCTCACCAAACATTCAGCGAACCAATGGGTAAAGTCATAGTTCAACATCTGCCTTTGGCTATTTACCGACTTGACAAGAATAATGATGAAACTTTCAGTCAACAAAGTTTGTTTTGCAAGCGTTGTCACTTATTTTAACTTGTTTTTCTCAGCTTACAGTGTACAACTGAGCTAAATCTCGTAAATTCTGGTGTTAAGGCTTAGTCTAAACAGGAGTTTAGCGTTATCATAACTGTATTCAGGCCACCATGTGTCAGTTTAGTTGAGAGTTCAACAGAACAAGTGTCACTCTAATCCTATAAAATGATCATATTTTGATAAACTGACAACAAAAAGGCAAACACAGCTAAGCTAAATTTAGCAATTTCATCATTTGCTAAGATAGCTTGCAGTGTTATAGGTTTAAGGGCAGTCAGAGCAAAGCAGTGGTTGTTGTTTGACATAGTTAAGCCACTGTTGGTAATAGAGAAAGAGAAATTAATAAGCAACACATCAGTTTTTAATTTCACAACTTGAAGGTTAAAACTATTAAAGATTTTTTTGCCTTTTTTAAGGACAAGTATTGACCATCTCACCAGCTAGCTAGCTTTGCTTGATGTAGCTTTGTTGCTTTAGCTTTCAGGTTCTCTGTATCTTTGTAGCAGTGTGATACTCGAAGGCAGTGAGAGTTTAGAGATGATGTTCAAATTTGGTTAATCTCAATTTACTTAAAAAAAGGTTTTCTCAGGAAATACACATCCATTTGTTGCAGTTAGCTGGCCAGTTAGTTTGTGGTGTATTTTCACTCATGCATTTTGATTAACATAATGGTTAATATATAGTATATAATTTGCTTTTTTCCAATGTTAGTAATATAAAAACACAAGCTGAACACCTTCAGGCACATCCAGTTTTAGATTTAGGTGGGCTTAACACCTGATACAGCTGTGTTTTGTAGGTTTTTGTATATCACATACTGGTAAACTCTGGTTTTAACTTGATTTAGATTAGACATCTAGATTTAGATGGTTTAGTTTATCAAAAATTAAAAAAGGAGTGTTTAAATTTAACCTTCTTTCACCGTGTTAGAAGAATATCTGTGCTGTCATAGGGTTAGAGGTACAGTATGTCTATATGAAAGAAACATGCAAGCCCCATGCAGGAAGACCCCAGCCAGGATTTGAACCAGGAACCTCATTGCTGTGAGATCACAGTTCTAACCACTAAACCACTGTGCAGGCCTTTCATAAAATGTGATCCAATCAGAGATAGATAGAGAGAGATAGAGGGAGAGAGAGAGAGAGAGAGAAAAATAGCTGATGTGGCCTTGTCAGCCTTCATCCTGATTTGTGCTGGTGGAGATACCGAAGTGCGGTCTTGGGCCGGCTGCGATGCTGGCAGAGTTAGGGTGAAAGGATGAAGGTTATGAAGATATCTGGTCGTAGCTTGGCAGGCTGTCCTGACTGGGGGGAACATGTGAGGTCTGTCCAAGCCCTGGCCTCGGCCTGCCTCCACCTTCACCCTCAGCGGCATTTCTCTGGTCCAGCAGAACGGTAAGGGACTCTGCTACTCGGTGCAACGACTGGTCCAAGCGTGCCATCTATGAGAGTTGACACAAACATTAATGAACAAAGGTAATAGAAACATCCTGTCTTATAATTGAATTAACCACTTAGGATGCTTTCCACCCGTTCAAATCAAATTAAGCACTGAGAGTCATTTCATGTGGCTAAAAAAGAAGTCTGTGGCAATTATGTCCTTAATGTAATTTAATCACCCTGTGTTTGTCAAACCTTAATGGTAATGACAATTAACCTGTGACAAATTATTTTCTGCTATGTTGAGCACAAAACAAAATTTCACTTCAGGGGCAGAATTTTGATGAAGAGGCTTTCACAGAGTAAACTGTCATCCCTGTAAGTCATAACTTTATAAATATTTCTGATTTTGATTAAAAACTACTGAGGAAATCTCACTGTGATACACAATATAAAATTAAAATTGTCTGTAAGGCTGGGATTGAAGGTCAGATTTTGAAAGAGAATTCATATTAGTGGTTGTGTTTCAACTTATTTTGTATTCTGTGTTATGATGCACCCTCAAATAAAAACTGACAGTTTCGGTCTTCTGTTTATTTTAAAGAAACAATCACAAGGCGGCATGTCTATGCATACAGAATTCATATGGATCAAAATCAACAAACATCGCGTAACCAGTTCTTTGCAACCAAAATAACATTTGATAAAGGGTGCTTTTTTGTTAAGCTCTGTTGATAGAAGTTTTATGTATATACAATGAAAAATAAACAGATTAAAATTAGGGGTTGACCGATAACTGTTCTTGGCTGATTATTTGGGCAGATATCCAGGATTTGACTGATTACCAATACTAGTCAATCAGTAAATCAGACTTTATTCATCAAGCACTTTTATATAACGCAACACAAAGTGCTGTACAAAAAGAACTCAATGCAAAAAAGACCCCCCACCACCTCAACTCTCAATTCTTTGTATGAAGCTAAGATAGTTTAAAATGAATCAAATATCAATTAAAAACTGCGCTGCTGTGGATGCGTCATTCACTCTGGGTCACTTTATCATATCACTTTGTCTCACCTAATGTCCCACAACACGATCTGACGGGCTAAACCTCACAAGACTGTGATGCAAATATAAAGTAATTAAAACTAGTCAACCTGTTTATAATGTTTCAGTTTTTATAAAACATTTATGTTGGTTACAAGAATCGGTTACTGTCCCATGAACTACATAAAATACAAGAATTCCCACCTTGTCCTCTATCCTGTTGAGTCTGGATCCGATGGAGTTGTTGCCTTTGTCTTTGGCTCGCTCTTCAGTATGGTAGAGTAGGAGAGTAATAGATGGAGCAGTATAAGCAGGGATTTACAGTAAACGGTAGTTTAACACACTGAAACTACAATATACTGTGAGAGAGCGGCGGGTTGATTGATTACCTGAGCTTGTCTGGAACAAAGTCATCTTCCCCAAAGACTGGTCCAGTCTAAGAGAAACAACACCAAGATGAAGCCAGAAAAAAACAGAGCTGCTATCCACACACTGCCTCTGTATTCCTCCTCATAATGAAATGTTATGTTGTTATTCACTTTACCTCCTCTGCAACTCCTTGATTCGCACCATAAGGTTGAGGTGACCCTGAGAGTATTGCTCAATCACATCTCGCACATCGTATGGCTTACGAGCTTGCTAATGTGGGAAAAACAAACATTGTCAGCACACTGTTTGTGACACATTAAACCTTTATTTCTCAATGTTACATGTTTGAGCAGTGCTGGGGAAGATGTTTCTAACAGAGCGCTGGAGCTCTCATGAGAGGTGATGTTTTTGGTTTCATTGCTTCCAATTATCTCGGCTGCTGAGCTTGGTGTATGTTGACACCAAATATTTATTCTGTGCAAACACCCCCTGCTATTTATTTAATGCTATAACAATTTCATGTCAACAGATGAGTGTAAATGGAACAAAAACCGCGTAGTGGTTTAAGACGACTCCCCGCAATAAGACAATAAATTAAGGGTGTCAAAGCCGTAGTCTCATTGATTGCAACCATTTAGTTTCTGAAGTGGTATTATCAAGCCTGCTTCATTGAAAATATAGCCTCCCATTAACTTCCAACTAACCCTTACTGGCACAGAAGTGGAGCTGAGACCACTTGTCTGCTGCCTAGCATTTTTCAACAGCAGAATTTGCCACTCTGTTACTGTCCAGGTTTGAAGTTTGCAGCCCTGAAACAATTTTTTAAATCAAAATGAAAAATAATAATCCACTTTAGTCAAAGCATAACACAGACTTGACTGTCAATAAAGCAGAGCTCAGTAATCGAATGCTCTCTGCCTCTGGATATTAACACAACAAACTCCCTCTTTGTTTTTTTTTAAAGGAAATGTAAGACTTATCTTTTTAATCAGTTTTTTTTATTTTTAGTGATTTCACAGTTTTAGCAAAATCCTAATGGATTTTACACCAGATTTACTGTAGGTGTTATTTCTGTTTTTAACCGAACACATTGTTGTATTGATTTATTATATTTCCATGTCTCTTAAATGTTTTTGTAGTCATTGCTTTTAATTTCCTCTTTTTAACCTCATTCTGCCGTGAAGCACTTTGAGCTACATGCTTTTATGAATGAAAGGTCTTATAAACAAGAAAAATAAAGTTGAGTTGACTTGTCATTATTAAAGCTGCTGCTTCTACAATAAACTTAACCATGCTCCACCTTAAGGTCTGATTAACACTTGATTACCCAGGGACCTCTTAAGTAACTGCTGCTCAGTCTAGTGTCTGGTTTTGGATATGTGAAATCTAAAAGAAAATAATGTCACATTGAATTCACCTTTTTATGATAAGAAATTTGGATTTGCTGAGAAGTGTTAAATTTGATAAAATGGCTAATCTGGGTTGCTAAATGCTAAAAAATCACCAAGGGAACTTTTATTTTTCCGTCAACCAAGGCAACCCCTCTAATGCAATGTACTGATTAGGCTGATTTTTCTCCATTCATGCTTAAAAATGATGTTTTTCTGATAAAAAAAATCTTATCCTGCTTTCTCCTAACAGTCTAAAATGTGACTCACTGTGAATCTTTGCTGTGAAAAATGTTTCAGCCGTGTACTCTTCATCACTTTTTCTGTCATAGACCGAGTAACAGGGATGAAGTCCATTAAAAATAATGGTACAAAAAAGGTCAGTCTTGTTGATAATAGTGGTTTTCCTCTGTAGCTCATGTCAAAGCATGGTTATGAATTTAATTCATCTAAAAGCTCCTCAGAGGAGCTTTGAAATCTAGGAAAGGGTTTCAGGGCCAAGGATGGAACGAAATAATGAGAGGATGAAGATTTTACTCATGATGCACTTTGAGAATAAAGTCAAAGTGTCCAGAATGAAGATGAAACTTCAGAAAAAAGGCAAAATTCAGTTTCTGGGAAATTAAGTTTTGAGAAAAAGTCGAAATACACGTTTGATTAAAAAGTCAATGTGTCAGAGTCTAAAACATGTTCATTAGTATTTTTCATAGGATAGAAAGAGAAAAGAACAGAATCTGAAGTTGATCATTTAAAGCCCCAGCAGGTTTTTTTTTAATGCGTTATGAAACAAAATATAAAGAATATGTTTTCACAGGATACAGGGATGTACAATCATAGTAACTATAATCATTATCATCATTGTTTTGTTGTTGTTTTGTTATTTTCACTGTGGTGATTGTTTTTATTGCTATTATAATTATGATGATTATTAATATTGTATAATATTATGATTCATATTTTAACCATTAGTTTAGGAGAAGGGGTGGGACTAGGTAAGTCTCGACTTCTTCCCACTCCTTTTTGAACATGAATAACTTTTTGTCATTTGTTGTTGTATTCTTTACTTTTTAAATTATTACTATTTTATTTGTTTATAGGATATTTTTGTCAATTTACACCACTCAGCAACAATATCAAGGTTACCACTTTGTCCACAAGGGGCACCAAAAACAACACAGACAAAAGTTCCTCACAGGAGCTTTAAGTTACATCTTTTGGTCACTGATGCTTCAACTAATATATACAGTTACTTACTATTGATGTCACGGTTGCATTTGTTATGCTTGCTTCTTCAGTCAGCGTACTTCTTGTTTGGCTATCAAGTTGTTCCACATGACACTGAATAGCACACATGATCGGCCGACTTCAGGGATCCCCCACATATACAGATTTCTGATTGTTTATATTGGGCATGTTTAATAATTACGACTTAAAGTTGTGAATGTTCACATAGTCTTCCCTGCAGATTGGAGCGAAGAGAAATCACTCCCCCCACACATGAGGACACTATAAAATAATCTGAGAAGATAATCATCAGAACCTTGTCAGTTTACAATGACGAGCAGAGTTTATAAGATCAGTGAAACTTCAAGAGAAGACTTTGGCAACTTTTGATCAAAGTGTTTGTAAGGGACCGGTATTCACCGGGCTTGACTTTTGAGTTTGTTCTTAGCAGAGACAAGCCAATGAGCAGTTGAGATGTGACATTTCTATGTGCATACCATTTATTTTGATAATGTACTTGGTTTCTATGTACTAATATTGATTTAAAGAGCAGTGGAGGACAAGTAACGAAGAAGCCTTTTGACCCAAAGACACATTCTATATGTGGACATTTGGCATCGCCACCAAGCCATCGTTGACTTTTTTCTTGAAATTATCACTAGACTGTCATTTAATTTTCTCTCTTGATGCTACAATTTTAACCATAAAAGAGTTTTAAACTTTTTTTAAAAAAAATTTCAACTTTGTTCTTCACAGTTGGACCTTTTCTTAATGTACTAATAAAAACTCAATCTTGCCCGACCCTAAAACTCCACTGTAGAAATCATAGGAGGGATGAATGAGCAAATATTTACTGCAGTTTTAGTTATAATTAAAATTAAAAATCTATCACGATGAAAAAAAGATTGTCTATCAAATGCGTCAAACTTACCTGAAACTTCCTTTTGGCCACTAAGTAACGCAACCTCTGGATGACCCGGATTGCTTTGCGATGAGAGTTGGTCAATCTGTGAGAGAGAAATGAAACTGTTTCTGAGGAGCATTAAAATCAGACAAGCATAAAATCAGAGAGTGAACCCTGTAAAACTTTAACACCAGGGTCAGTCCTTTGCATTGGCCCTGTGTTTCATATTTCTCTTATGAAACAGGTTTTACTGAGAAAGTATGTAAAAGAAAAAAAAGAAAAAAAGGTGGTTGACACGGCCCTCACAGCCAAACGCTTTCAGTTTAGGGGAAAATATTCAGAGCAGCAGCGTCTCATGATTATTTTTCCGTCTACATCAAAAGCTTCTCCCTCATGACTTCTCTCCCTTTGAATGTGATCAAGGTGAGCCACAGGGAGAACAAAGGAAGGATGATTTGGGGGGCCTGTGTGTTTTTCTCAAAATCATTAATAAAAAGCTCAGAATAATTGTGGTGCATTTAGCCTCCATTATTATGTTGCAGGAAATATTAAGGTGCTATTACTCATCAGGGTTCATTAGCATAGGGAGGCGGTGAATGAGTCTGTGTGGGGGAGATTGGTGAGCTTTTTGTCAAACCAGTTGGGTGAAAGAGTGCAGGAACAAGGTCAGCATGACTCTCATAATGGGCTTTTTCACAGGCAAAGCAATGGTCAGATTTTCAAATGAAGCTTTCATAACATTCAGTCAAATTAGCACTATATTATAAAATGTAAATACACCGGAAAATCCATTTTTTAACACTAATGGTGGTGGTGATGGCATAGAGGGGGATGCAATCAGGCAATGGGGGGCATTGTTCCATTCAACCCTAATGACAGATTTTCAAAAAGAGAAAGGAGAGGCTTGAATAGTAAAAGTGTTTTTTTACCCTTGATTAAATTTCAAACAGATATCTTCATGTAAACCCCCTCCATTCGCCAAAGTATCTCATTACTCTATGCCACATGTTAAGCTCCATGTGATAAGATGTATATGCTTGTTTAGAGTGATATTTAGACTAGAAATAATACAAATACACTAGCTCGTATTAGACTGTTATTGCAGTGTATTTGTAGTCTGGGTGGTATTGAGCGGCCATGCTCAAGTGATTTCACGCAAGAAAACCATAAATCTCAGGAGGAAGAATAGAGGCTAAAAGCATCATCCAGAGCACAGCTGGAGCCCAACAGTGTCTTGATGGATGAGTGTGATTTCTATAAGCCTTAAAAGTAGAAAAAGGCATCCGAATGCAGATATCTGTCCAAAGATATAAGCTGTAGACATCTCCTCCCAACTCAGTCTTTGTTATTTTAAGGCATTCAAGAGATGAGATAAGATAAGATAATAAGATATGATAAGATAACCATCCAAGCAATATGATGCGTTGTGCACCAATGCAAACCTTGACACGAACACCAAAATTTTACCATTGGACTCTTGGAATAGGAGGAGGAACTTATCTTCCCCCTCTCGCCATGCCCTGACCTGTCCAGTCCTTTTTATGGCACGTTTGGTACATGTGTGATGCTAGAGGGTGACAAGTGCTTTGTTTTTCCAATTCAATTAAACTTTATTGATCACAAAAATGTTATGGGAACTGTGTGCCGTTGAATTTAAAGAAAAATAAAAAATAAAAATACACATTACATTAGTAGTTGCTGAATAAAGTAATGGCGTTACGTAGCGGCGTTACTAATAACGCGTTACTAGTAATGCGTTACTACCCAACACTGATTTCTCCGAGTCTGGCCTGCATAGTCGGGGTTTAGAGCTGGGATTTGTGATGTAGGAGATCTTACTGTGTCTGAGCCTCCCGTTGGGTCTGCCAGAAGGTTCATAGTGATTTGAATGCAGAAATATTCAGAAATGCAATTTCGCACTTATTTTTCTCATGATATGTCCTGTAACATCAGAAACATGCCATATGAACATGCAAAAAACAATAAAAACATGATTTATATGGCAATGGGTCTTTAAGTCCCAAAGTTAAAAACTCCACGAGAAGAGGCAGCTGTTCTGTTTCGGGGTGTTTTTTTTTGTTTCTTTTTTTTTCTTCTCATTTTCACCTCTCATTGTGTCAGTCTGGGACCCCTGGAGAGAAACTTTGCCAGATTTGCAGCTTTTTATAACCTTTTTTTTTTTTTTTCATCTGTGAAAACTTTGCTTAGCTTCTACCTGAAACACATTTTTAGCTGTTTTGAGAGTTACTCACAACTTGTGGGTGTTACTTTTCACACAGTAGATGTGAAACAGCCCAGAGGTTATGTTTTTACGGAAATACAGCGAGGCTAGCTGTGAGCATCCAAGATAGCTCCCCATAAGCTATTGTTATAATATGACTTACCATCTGTGGCTGTGAACCTTCACAGAGATATAGATGAAACACATCCAGATGGAAGTGAAAATTGAGACACAAATCTAACATTTTTACAGGTCTGTGCAGTTTTTTGTACAATCAAAGAGTTTAATTCCTTTTATGTGCTTTCTTCATTTGCTGCCCAGCTTCTTAGCAGCACATTTATGCCGTTCAACATTATCCTAATGCTAACATTATTGTATCTCATACCTCAAAGCACTGTCGTATATTAGTTCCCTTCTTGATGCAATGCTCAAAATATTCTGCTACATCTGAATCTTGTGATTTTTAAAAAAATTGTTCCTCAGTACATTAAAAAAAATGTCATGTTCAGCCTTGGCTTCAAACACCCAAACTTTTACTGCTTTTGTTTGAGATAAAAACAAACAGGTCAGACAAACAGAACCGGCTTCAAGAAGGCTGGAAACTTTTACCCCCTGCATGCCAAACTACTGCAATCCCAGCCCTTGAAGTCTCACTCTAACAGCCGTGTCTGCTGTGCTACTAAAGGTGCAATTTCTGTTTGTTTGTGACAAACATTTGGCAGTTTCATAAACACTCTCAATTATCTTCAATTTTCCCAAACTGTGATGTCAATACAACAGTAGCTGGAGGAATATGAAATCTGTGAACTATTTCCCAGCTAGAGTCTGTGCTGCATCTCAGATTTCTCACAATAACCTAACAGGAGATTTCTCAACAACTGTAGGATATAAATGATTAAAAACTCAATCTGCAGTTTAACTTAAAAGCAAAGACTCCCTCAGAAATAATAATAAGAAAAAACAGAAACAAAACACTCAAGCTTTTAAACCTTGTGTTCACTCATCATGGATAAGAGAAGCGGTAGTATCTCATAATGGTTCGATTTAGCGTTGGATTTGATGTGGCATTGCTCTATGAGAACAGCTGGTTACGTATTTTGGAGTCAGCAGAGCACAGAGTGATCTTTGCCAACAATGCTGCAGCATGCAATTCCCACTCTGCATCATTACCCCACCGTTTAGAAAGGAAGTCCCATGGGTCAGAACTGTCGCTCCATTTGTTTCACTTACTGTGCACTTACATTACACTGCAGTTACTTAACACTCATTTCCTCATACTGGCCTCGGTCTTATGCTGGGCAAGTGACAGTAAGCATGAGCACTCTAGCCTAACAGAGAATCATTGCACAGCAGAGACAAAAGAGCTCTGGGGTTTGAAATTGAGCAAAGGTTGATTACAAAAAGCAAAAAAGCACATGCAAATGAGCTCTGATATTCTCATTACACTGCACCCACACCAAAACACAGCCTCGGCGTGATGGTGCAATGATAGCGTTGTACTCACTGTGACACAGAGGCAGCAGGAGCCAGCTCATTATATCGCTCTGGTTCCAGCTCCAGGTCATCTGCAAAGCTACAGTTCCTCTGAAGGGGGCCCGGGGAGGGGACATCCAAAAGGCCAGGGTTTGTTTTTGCTGCAGATTCAGACACAGCGGCACAAAAGACACACACATTACAGATGGCAACTGATCTTTGCATCCGGGCTGTCAGCTGATGTTGGTGACGGAGTTTCGCTGCACTAGTTTGAAAATTATTTTCATTTTATAGCTTTTAACTCGGGTCAGGTTCAGCTGTGAGATTCACCCTCTGCTTTCATAGTATTTATTTCATTTCAAGCTCATATTTTATTCTACCATTAACGATAAATATACTCTTTTTCAAATTGGACTACATCTATTTTCAAATCTACTTGGCAGTGAGGCTCAACACGCTGACAGGACTTGCACTCTATATCCAGATATCAGTGGTGAGGGTAACTGAAGTAGCATTACTGAGGAGCTTCTTTATATGTCTGAAGACAAAACCTCACAGTTCAGATAAGACTGCATCTGCGAGGTCACACTGTAGGCATGGTGTAGTGAGGCTCCAGGTACATCATTAGCCTGCAGAGGCCTGTACCTTCCACCATGCTGGAAAGGTTGGTTATTGAGAGCAATGCACTAGATTTCTGTTGAGCTCCTTTCCGTCTGGTTGACCGGTGCTATAACTCTTCGCTTTGTCAAGTTTTACTAAGATATAGGCTGTGGGCAGGTTTTCTCCAGCACCAATACTTTTTCTCTTTTAATCACTGAAGAACTCCTGGTGTTGTTTAGGAGAACAGATTTCATAATTGTAATAAATGTGGGGAGTTCAATACTGTCTTACTATAAGTTGTAAAACCTCAATAATCTGGAATAATGGTTATTTCCCTGCACTTGACTGATAATTTGCTGGAAATCATAAGAGAGATCAGGCCGTATCTTGAGCTGTAAATCATATTTGACAGAGTATTTTGCATGATAAATGTGCACATCTGTATTGGTGTCTATTTTACATGTATGTAAGCCGGCCAACAATACCATATTCATATAGAGTACAGAGGTCTTTCTTTCTTCACTGGGAATATAAGCTTGAATTGCTTTATCCTTTTTAATCCTGTTATTTTTGCCACAAGCTAACCAGATCACTTCTAACCCTTTACATCAATGTCTGCCCCTGCAGTACTTAGCATGCTATAAAAGTTAATGTATTCTATTGCCAGGCCGGCGGGTTTAATGCCACTCCAGAGGTGCACACACTTTGTTTGTTATGTGAGTTGCATGGGTGAAAATGAAAATGAGGTTCATTCTTTGTTTTACTGTCCTATGATGACACGAGGGATGTGCTTTTCAGTTTCAATTTCACTTTTACCATTGTGTACGATTTCTAAATACCATTCATAACTGGGAACTGATTAATGTCAATGTCGGCTGTCAAATATGTTAAATTGTGTAAAGTATGACCCAATCTCTGTCCATATATTTCATCATGTGAAGTCTTTGTGCCTGCTGATCAATTGGCAGCTGTGAAATGACTATAATTGGTGACAATATTGAGTTGAAATGACTTTTGACCTGAAGTACAAAAGACAGGCATCAAAAAGAGGAATAAAGTCTACTGTTTGATGAATGCATTGCACAGTTACTTTGTTGTCTGTTGAAGCTCATTGTTGGGGCATGAAAGCTGTCACAGAGGAGCATAACTAACGCATCAACTTGTCGCCTGTACATATAAGTAGACATCCTCACATCTGCTGATTCAGACAATACATTTTTAGCTGATGCTCACATTTGTCTAATAATACTGACCATTTCTAGTCATGATGAAGACCTTTGCTAAAACCAAAAACCACATCCTAATATAGTTGATGCTCTCCTTTGGGCTGTTGAAACACCACAGCATATCCTCTGATACCAAAATAAGAAGTAAGACAGAATTAAGCCTACGTCTTGCATTAGCTCTGCTCAGCTAGATTCACAAATGGAGGAAATTGTTGGCATTTAAAGAAAAATCTTGCACGCTTTAGGGGATGTTTTTTTCATCACACGAATACTGTGACCTTATTCAGTGATCGACTAGACCTGTAATTGTTCTGTTTTGGATTTCAAGCTGATCTCTCCTTTTCAGATTTAGGAGTTTCAATCAGCTTAAATGCTGTGATTTTCATTTCGACACATCGGTAGTATGTTGTGGTTTCAAAATGTCGTGTCAAAAGTTCACAAAAACACACGAGCGGAGAGAAAAGATTTAGTGGCTGTTTTTGTTCATTACTGAGTTTTGATTAAATACATACTGCTGTCTGAAGTATATATTGAAACTGATGATAAATAAAAGCATGGACTAACAGCAGAACTAATAAGATTATCGTTTTGTAAGAAGCCCCTTCCATCTTCCCACACTACCCCATCCCGCCCAGAGCTACATGTGTTTTTCCTGTGCCGCTGCTTTGTCTTATTCTGCAGAGGTTCATGTATAACACAGACACATCCAGAATAATAAGTAAAAACTACAATAAGAGGAGGGTTTAAATATATGTTATACATTTGGAAACACAAGCCAAGCTCAGTCAGGAATTACAATTATTAAATTAGACAATAAAAACAGTGAATTAAGAAGCAATTGTAGATCTGGTGCTCTGAAACTTCTCCCATTTTTAGAGGTGGCACTGTTGTGAAGTGGAAACCTGTTAACTCCCTGAATCCACAAATGCAATGTTTTGAAACTGCAGCAGCCAGAGAAGTGTGATGCAACTGTACCGATGATTGATTTTTCGATGTGTGAAACTAAAGAAATGGTGTGAAATGCTCCTAATGGACTTTGAACAAAATGGATTTAATTGGAGCTGTCAATCAGGACAGACATGACATGACAAGTCTGAGAAAGCTGACAGATATTTCCTCAAAAGCAGAGAGCAGCACTGGCTTTTGACCACTTGATGTATTCGCGTGGTGTCTACAAACAGATCAGTGGCTGAATGCTTGGTTGAATACACCTTTATATAAACACAGGTATAAAATAAATGTTTCACTGCATAACATTTTCCTGATTCATCCATCGATCCACCTATTATCTTTCCTGCTGTTTCCGGTTGTGTAACTCTGCCAACAATCTCTGTTTATACTGAGAGAGAGTTCACCAGGACTCCCTGTCAATCAATCAAGAAGCTGACACATTTATAAAAAAACAACAATTTAAACTCATATTCAAACAAGCAATCCAAGTAACCTTTCCATGACGTGACACTGTAAACCAAGACTAGATAAAACATGAGCATTATCTTTCTGAAGAGGTGTAATAAAGCCCAAAGATATGAATGTAATAATATTAATAATAATAATAATAATAATAATAATAACTTAATTTACTGACTTCTGTAAATAAGACATACTTGCATCCCATACACTAGTGTGACTCGACAACCAGTGCAAAATATAGAAATTCATTGCATAATACTCTATTACCCAGAAAATGGTGCTACAAGAACCACCTTGCTGCCAATGCATGCTGAGGCAAAGTGAAGAAGACAGATCTTGCTATATAGATTGATATACTTTGATCTATATACCCATCTATAGACATCAAAATTGATCTATCTACATTTCATCTCATTATCTATCTGTCCATCTGTCTATCTGTCTGTCTGTCTGTCTGTCTGTCTGTCTGTCTATCTATCTATCTATCTATCTATCTATCATCTTTCCATCCATCTAAATCCATCCATCCATCCATCTCTATATATCTACATATACATATATTATATTAGCCACATATACACACATATCTTTAAATCTGTCTTTACACTTCTATCTTTCTATAACCACTTATCTAGTTAGCTATCTGTATCCATCTAGCTTCTTCTCCCCCATTCTCTCTCATATATCTATGTATATACATAAAGAAACCTCTAAAAATAATTCTTTTCCCCATCTTTTTTCTTATTTTTTAAGGCTGTTTACACTGAGCTGATCAGAAAAATCATTTCACTTTTAGCAGCAGTTTGAAATAGTTTCTTTGTCTCTCTAGAAGTGCCTCAAACAGGTCAAAGAAACTGAGAAACCATCTGACACTCCAATCATCACATGATGTTACCTGCAGACTGTGAGTTGAACTGAAGAGATGACAAAGATGTCCAGGACTGTTGGCGCTCTGAAACACACACAAAGAAAAACCACAAGACTGATCAATTGTTATCACCAGGCAAGAAGGACAACAGTAACAATGTTAGTCCAAAACTATGGGGAAGTCTTAAACGTATTACTCAGTATACCAAACTTATCATAACAGGATCATGCAGTGATGATAAAAATCGAGAAATAGAGAGACTAGACAATCAGGCAACTGAAGACAAGTGCAGGACATTGACACTAACAGCAGCTCACCACATCCTCCCAGAGAGTGGGATCCTGCCAAAGCTGGGACACAGACACACCACCAAGAGAGGAAAAAAGGACAGCAAAGAGGAAGAAGGCTGTTAACTCAGATATGAAAAGCAGATTTTAACGCGATGACACAAAGGATGAAAGCTGAGAAGTTTTACGGGTAAAAAATGAAGGACGGCTGACATTAGAGTTTCTGAGAAGAGAAAGGTGTCCAGAATGACTTTAACAATGATTCCACATGCCTCTGTAATCCAACAGAGGAATGAAATACATTTTTCTCCCAATAACAAAAAGTTGCCAGTTGAGCAGCCTTTATGATTGAAGTACCTGCCATCTGCTCCCTAACAAAAACTGCTCTTTAAAGTCACCTCCATCTTTTATTCTTTTCATCTTTACACAATATCAAAATCAGGAGGGATCTGCATGATTGGATGTCAGCTGCTTTGTTGTAACACAAAATGTTCGTATGTGAAAGCATCTGCAGCTGTCATGAGTTCCTGCTTTTTGTTATCTATCTGATCATTTAAAGAAGTGTCAGTTTGTTCTGGACTGAGTTCTAATTAAAAAAAAAGATCAGTATGAGGTTATCTAATTCAGCTACACCACAAACTGCATCTCCTCTAAGTGATCTTGTAGTTAAATCAAGATCTATTTAGGTTGCAGTCAATACAAATAAGCATTAAAACTGTGATGGGGTAATACAAAGTAATTATATTAGAAGCAGTAATTGAATTTCCATTTATGTATGTGATTAACTGTTTATATATATTTTCTTTTCTATTCACTGTCAGCTCAATGGAGCATTCTGCTTATCTGACCTGGCTGCTCATCATATTAACTGGAGATAACAAGTCAACGGATGACGATAACAAGTCATCCCAGTCTCTACAATTAAAGCTACTGTTAAGCACTTTTGGTTGCTATAGAAACAGCATTTCCTGTTAATTACAGCATTTACTGGGAATCCCTGCCAAAGAAAGTGAAGAAGAAAAAAAAAGACTGTTTCGGTAGCCTCTAGTTAATTGAATTATTTTTTCACCTGTCCATTGCCAGCAATTTTTTGCACCAAAAATTCCTACGTAGAAACAAACAACCTTTTTTGTGACGGTCAAGTTTGATTTTGTCAGTCATATCGAGGCATCAATATTACTGTGACTCTGTTTTGTAAAATCTCCCTACAGTAGCTTTAAGGTCTCATGGGTCATAAGGCTTTCTTTTAAGTGTGTTAGTGCCTAATTCTGTCCCATTAAGACTCTATCTCCTTGTAGCCGGAGACTTGAAAGTATTATGGGAGGTTATAAAGCTCTTCTTCTTTGTTATTAGCCACTAGTCCAGCGTCCAGGAGGCAGACACCCTCTCTAATTTGAAGAAACTTCCTTTTTGACAAAGCTTGTTGTAAAGGCTGGCTCTGGCTTGGACTGGCTCTTGGTGACGCATACACTACCAGAGGAATTCTGAACTACGACCTTTCCCTCTACCTCCTCTTTCCGTCTGCGTCATCTTCATTTACCATCAAAGCCATTAACTACAGATCTATCTTGAGCTCTTTACAAATATGCACCCTGTACAAGCACAGGAAAATTTCAGGGGCTTTCACCTCACACCAAGCTGGGTGTGACCTTTGTTGGACAGGGGTGCGCAATCATGACGTCAAATAGAAGCTGCAGTAATCACAACATAATTTTTCACAACCTTGTCTAAGTGTGTGCATGTTTGTGAATCTACTTCTGTGTTATTGCCATAAAGATATATACAGTATACATATTTTTTATAGTAAGCACACGTAGATGGATATACATTTTTTTTTCTTTTTACACTTGTTCCAATTTGATGAGTAACTGCATCTTCAGTGTTGACAAAAGAGTGAAAATACTGGGGATGAGATGCAAGCTGATGCACACCAGAACACTTCTCCTACAATCTCAAATAAAAATTTCATCCTTAAGTACCAAATCATGTTGCTGTATTTTTACCGAAAACCTGTTCATGTGTATGGCATGAAAGCTTGACGAAATGGCGTGAACCATCCACTCTTTTTACTGATTTGCACTACAGCAACGTTTTTCAACTGAGAAGCAAAAATTGTCAGAACACTCCTTTGCCTTTGTGTGTGTCTGAAAGGGCCACAAGAGTCCTTGAGCTCCCTCATCCTCATCTGGTATGGTTTCTCTGGATTGTCACCACAGAGAGACTGCTGCTGTGGGCCTGTCTGACTCCAGCTGCTTCAATTATCAACATTATTATTATTTTACTGTACATTTAACCATAAGTCTGTATGAGCTCTTAGTCTAAGTGCGACCGCTGCTGCTGATGTAGTACTTGTGATTGTTGGTCCTCATCTTTTTCTACCTTTCTGCCTCTCCTTCTATCTCTCTTTCCAAGCCTGACAGTCAAGGACAGCTGCTGTTCAACAGGAGTCTGCTCAAGGTTCCTGCTTGTTAAAAGGAGGATTTTCTCCTTGCCACTGTCACTTGTTCATGCTGCTAAATGCTCAGCTCCTGGTGGATTACATTAGGATAAGATTAAACCGTAAGATAGAGTGAGGTGGGATGCTGCTGGCCTCGCGGTCTAAAGCACGCCCTAAGTACCTGGGCGGCCTGTGTTCAATTTCAATCTGCGACTCCTTTCCTGCATATCACTCCCTGTTCTTCCCTGTCTTAAGTCCTGTCGTGACAAATAAAGACCAACAAGCCGGTTAATAAATCTTGAAAAAAATAGTAAAAATGAGGCCAAATCTAATTCTGTCTTGATTTTTGGTCTTTGCGCTAATCGAAGCAAACAGTAGGATCTTGACGTTCCTCTTATTTTAAAGTGTCCGAAGATAACATTTGATACAAAAAACAGATTGTCTAATTGATTAACGAAGAACATAATGGTGGCAAAATGCATTATCTCAGTCTCCTAGTGTACAGGACTGCACTACATGTAGACAAATGTTAGTTAGCCATGGCAGAAATCAATGAAATTTAAAACAGAAGAAAACATATTTATACACGAAGAAAGATAGCAAGGTCTTAATGGGAAAATGCAATCAATTTATCTATGAGTATGAGGTAAATCACTTCTGTGGTTATCTATTTCATGCTTGTAGAGTTGTTGACGTTACTCAGTGAAATAAACACACTGAAATAACAGCTTTTCAGCAGCTTTTAACAGTTTACTGGAATCTATACAAGAACACATCTATGTAAAGCATGCATTTAGATCCTGTATAGGGATGGGGGTCGATAACCCAGTCCATAAAACTCACGATAAAGAATTTATCAGAACCCGAGAATCATTGATGTTTGAGCTTATCGAGTCTGCTACCTTGAGGGTCCTGTGAAGCCACATCATGTTAATTAAACAGTGCATTGACATAAATTGCGAGGTGTTCTGGGTCAGGTTGGAAAAATGAGAGTCAGGCAAAAGTGCATAACACATTTTCCAGAAAAGAGAGAGAAAAAGAATTTCTTGGTGTAAAATCTGTATAAATACAATAGTTTAAAGGAAATTAGTATAAAGAAGACTCTATAGGTGGTATCGATATGGACTCAGGTCATTAAGGAGTCTTGATAGCCCAATGGGATCAGGATCAATAAAAACTAACAATCCTCATCCCTTACCCAAGAGGTCAGTTTTTTGTTAATGATCATAGCTGCCTCCTAAATGTGTTATACTATTATAGTGTGCACTCCTCATTTTCATCGCATATTAAGCCCTTATGCAGTGCACATCTTACACCATTAAAGTCAGTGAGCATTCAAAGCTTGAGCTCCAGGACAGAGATCAGGAGTGAGACAATGCTATTTCTCTCTCCTGGATCTGAAACAGTTTGGATATGATGTCTTTGGTTCCTTTCTATGCTGAGTTTTTCTTTCTGTCTTGTTAAACGGAAATATTTCTCCTTTATCTCATGTGTGGTCTCCACTTTTTTGCCTTGCTTTGAGCTGCGCGGTGGCATTTCTTTAACAATTCATTCAACTTCCAGGCTAAATTTCATCAATCTAAACGGTGTAAGACATAACAAATCAAACCCCAGTTAGGCCTGAAAAGACTTGTTCGTGCTGTCGAAAAATCCACAAAGGACATTTATTTTAGTTGACAACTCGGCAAGCAGCTCAGCTCCAAATCCACCTCCAGTGTGTATCCAGTCAATGCAATTGCACACCAGATGGCAATATGGCAATTAAATTAAATGATTCACACTTAAAAGTAGCACGATATAAATGTAACATGTGCAGTGCGACCTGTAGAATTCATTTAGAAGAAGCTGTGAGACACTGATTTTCATCGAACATGAAGCAAACAGACATTCATAAATCTTTAAAACTGGGCAAATTAAATTCTGCTGTTACTCAGAAAACTGAGAGCAAAGCAGAACCATTTCCAGTAACACGTGGGGGGGCAGCGCTGCAGTCACGCATCCAGGCAGCTCTTCAGTTAACCAGCTGGTGTTAAAGAAAAAGGTTATATAACTCAGCACAACAAAGGGAGCGATCCAATTAGTGGTTCACATAATATAGACACGCTAAAAGTATCCATATTTATCTTTTTGGAGAGGACTGTAAACAGACTGCACCCAATATCTCACTATTTGTTCATCTGCATTCACCCATTTATGCCCTCTATGCAGCACTGATGGTAAAAAAAACGACTCATAAATCGTTTCAAAAGCTAGGGTTCACAGATAAATGTTGAATGCTAAAGAAGAAGAAAGAAGAGAGGCACAATCAAGGATAAAATTAATAAACATTGAAAGTAAAATATATATTAATATACTGTATAAATAATGCAGCATTTCAAAGAGGGTATTCAATTAGTGAGTGTACGCCACTCTGGAAAAGTTTTCTTTAATGAAAAAAAACAAAAAAAAAAACTCTCTTTCCATTTCATTAAACACTGAAAGAAAGACTTAAAGTTAGAAAAAATCTGTTGATGCCATACTGCAAAACAACCATGTGTCCTTTTCTGTTTGACAGACTCACTTATGTTATGATTTATGAGGAAATCTCTGGCCTATTTGCAAAAGCAGTTCTTTGTTTTTGCAGAGCTGTCAGCATATATGCGTTGAACCTGCTGTGATGAAAGTCCCAAATGAAAGGTTACTTTTGTGGTCAGGTGCTTTTTTGTTGTTTTTAACAAGCTGGGGTTGATCCACTGCAGTGGATGAAATGAAAAAATAAAGAATATATATTTTATATCAAACACCCCCAGGAGGTTCAGTTGAAAAGTCAAAAGAAATTTGCATTTTGTGACAAACATCTAGTGAGCTAAGCATACAGGTGAATTTATAAAGGAGATTATTCAATTTATAACCAGCAGGGGGCGTGGGTTGCAACCATGTGGTCGTGGGCAGTCTCTGTTACCCCAGGCGAGGCTGGTGATATCAGATGGTACTAGAAAGAGCTACACAGCTGCACAGAAACTGCGTGTTGCTGAACATAGTGAAGGGCTAGTTCCAATCTTTTCCCCTCTTAGAGCTCTCCAACAACAGACAACACTGCATACAGCGGTGTGACTTGTATTCTGGATTTTAAGGTAAAGTCCGTACCTCTCTATGACTTTATGAAAACCAAGAGATCACTGAAGTCAGAGGGATGCATCCTCTTGTGACACATGTTTTGATAAGTAACGTTAAATTGGAGGAATCTGAAGAATTTCAAACAGCTGGTCCAAGTCAGAGGTTCTCCAAAACCAGTAGTCATCTAGTGCTGGTCCTCTTGGGGCTATGATACATGATATATTAGTCTATTAACTGTACTTTAAACACCCCCTTTAAACTCACTTATTCTGTTGAATTTCCAGGTATCAAACATCTTCACTCACTGTTACATCTGTTCACCGTTCTCTCCTAAACTCCCCCGCATCTTTATCAGCACTCTCTCCACAGATATCTACCAGATCATTTTCCCGGTCCAAGGCCCCAACTACAGGAGTCCTACAATTTTCATAATTTTGAAGGTTCAATGAGTCTGGCAGGAAAAATGTTTGGGGAAATGTGATCGTCATGATTCATCTTTTTTCAGCCAGAACTGTGGGGGGAAATACTGTCAATACTTGAAACCTGTCAGCAGCAGTGTGCTAGTGTGTGAGCTATTGTTGGCTGCAGCTTCTGTTTGTTATTCGCTTTCCTGTCACAGCTGGGAAAGTACTTGTGTGATCATCCAGATACGAAATCCTAAAAAATGAAGAAGTTTTGAATCATCTTGCTGTCCCCAATGACTCTATTAGCAGCTGAACGGGTTTGATACTGGATCTTCAAGCCCCTCAAATTACCAGATATTCTGGGCCTTACATCAACACTGATCAAAATCCTGGATCAGCTTTCTCTTCTGATTGTCAGGCAGGGTGAATCAGGGACACACTGGCTGACAAACTCCTGCCTGTCTTTGGTTGTTGAGCGTTCATTTATTTTTCCTGCTTTCCTGTTTCTGATCACAGGCTGCCTCTGCCTGCTTTGCCCTTGCCTGCTTTACTGCTGACTGATAGCCTTTTGCCAAACTCTGCCTTGAACTTTTAACCACGTAAATGACTGATTGCTTTCAACTGCCTGTGAGTCCCGCTTTGGAGTCCACTTCTGTGTGCAAAACCGTGACAGTACTGAAGGCAAAGACAAATTTGCAAAACGAAAGTCGACTGAGATTCTGTGAAAAAAAAATTCAAAATGAATTGATAGAGAAATGTGGAATTGCACAACCGCCAGGCTGCCTTAAATAAAACTGGAAGGATACAAAGGATATGGTTCAAATTGCCTCTGTATATCACACAGCCCTCCTCTATTGATCCAGCTGCACTGAATGTTGTGAGGAGTTTTGAGTTCAGCAGTGCACCACTGGAGTTCATGCTCATCAATGCAACCTCACGTTTCATCTCTGCGATGTGCTCATCTATCTTTAATGGTCCATCATTAATGTTTGGACTTCGTCCTTTCCGCCTCATATGGTTTCAACTCTAAACTGATGCTTATATTAAACATTTTCTTGTTGCTGTATCGTTGTTCCATATATGATACTAAGCCGGGGCAGCATTAGACATTTATCTCCTGGTGTGTGCATCTTGAGTGGCACTTGAGGCATTTATTCTGAGGTTTATAGATCCACTTTACTGCAGGTTCAACATCAAGCTTCGAGAGAATTGGTTGATAAATATATGAACCTTACTGGAATATCATGATTTCTGCATATGTCTTGTTTTAAGTGAGGGTGAGGTATTTTTTCTTTCACTGATAGAATAGAAAAAAGGAGGAAGCAGACATGTAGCAAAGGGTCATCGACCGAAACCACGACTGCTACAGCCTCAGACATTCACACTGCTGGGCCAACTGCTGCCCCCAAGTCTACACTTAATAACATTTTTGGCACCGGCTAAACTGTACTGGAGCAAAGCCAACTGCATCAGAAATAAACATGCTGTATAGTTAATCTTCCCCTTACCTGTCCCGACAGTGCTGTAAACATCCGAGTTCAGCTCCCTTCCACTTTCGTATACAGAGTCATAGGTGATGTTTGGGATAGTGGGAGAACCGAGAAAGTTTTCTACGTCAGTGCTCTTCCCCTTCTTTTTTATTTTCACCTGTCCAAGAAACGCACCAAAGAAGATACTCAACTCAACAAGATGCATATAATACATTTATATACTTGTTTGACACCTGCGCAAGTCTCACTCACACTTCTAAAAGAGGGTTTCCCACCTCCGAATCTAAGAGTTTTTTATTGGTCCAGATATTTTGTGATGTCCTCTCGGTATTTTTAGGCTTCAATGACTAAGCTTGTAGCTATGCCACAGATTTGGACGTATTTATGTACTGATACAATTAATCTTTATTCAACCAGGAAATTAATTCACTTGGTTTTTGCAGAATCAGATGAATATGCTATGCAGTATATCTGGGCATAGATGATAGTATCATCCGCATAGAGGTGTAGCCTATTCGTGACTGAATGTACGTACTTTGATTATTACTATTGATTATTGATAAAATATTACGGGACCCAAAATAGAACCTTGTGGGACACCTCTAGTTATTTAAAAAAAAACAAAATAGTGGCCCTCTACATAGATTCCCAAAGTTTGATCCGTTGAAAACTTTATAAATCAATTAACAGTCTTAAAACTCAACCAGCTTTTCAAGATTTGATTGGAAGCAGTTCATGGTCCTCTTGGACAGATCTACAAATAAAGCAGCTGTGTTGTTTTCTGTTTATAACTACCATAGCAACAGTAATGGTACTGTAACCAGATCTGAACCAGATTGAAGGTCACTTTAAGTGTGTGCATATTGTAAAAACTGCTTCAATTGTATATGTATGTAACAATTGACATATCTGGACACACCATATTGATATGTAGGAAACTCTGCTCAGTATTTGCTGTGATATGAAGCACATCATGAAATCTCTGTATGTGTTACAGATATGATCCAGATTTTTGCAAGAATCAAAAGAATAAACATCTTTATAATTTTTATCACCAAAAAGCAGATATACATAAACATCCTAAGTCATCATCTCTTCATAAACATATTAGAACATTTCTGCTGTGCAGCACTGTGAATAAGTCCACTGTCTGTGGTTGCCTATCTATTGTGCTGGTAGAATCAATAACACAATAAAGGAGTCATGATTGATGTAATTTTCTATTTTTGTTGCCAGGTGCATCTGTGAGCAATGAGTAATTGTTTGACTGAGTGCCCAGGTGCAGCGATAGATGAACTATTATGAGCCTAACTCACTTTTTAGTACATTTTTCACATTGCCGTTATACTAAAATCTTTAAGTAATAAAGTTGAAGCTCTGCTAAGTCTCCCGGGAACCCTTTTGACATGTAAACACTGTAGACATTAGTGAGGACATGATATTGAACTCAAGTAGAAGATATACTGAATAATCAATATCAATATTATGTTGCTGCTGGCTGTTGTCTTGGTAACACATCTTTGCTTTTCTTTTTCTCTCTTTAAGTGTGAACAGTTATAGGATTAATAATAGAAAAAGTCTCTGGAAAAGACAGTTCTTGTTCTTACGACACTGACCTTTTCATTTTTAGATAATGCACTGCCTTTCACAGAAGTTAAACTGTAGCTCCATCTTAAAGTCACCATGAAGTCAAAACAATGCTTCTCTTTAGTACAACCAAAGGAAATGACATCCTTTTAGAGGATTGAGTTTGCACTGCTGCTGCTTCAGAAAGCAGTAGTTTGACCTTGATACCCACAACAACATGGAAACTGCACACAAGGAGCAGGTAAAAAATTTTCAAGTGATTACTAACCGATTTCTTGGGTTTGGGTGTGGACAGAGAGGAGGTGGGGATGTTGGATTTCTTCTTCAAAAACATCCTGAATGTTGCAGAATCAGAGTTCTCCACAGCATAACATCTCCACGCCGTCTGGAGGGGCATGAAGAAAGCAATATATTGGTTGGACAGGACAAATTTCACGCCGGCTTGTCTGCCATGCAAGACAGAAAGTACTGGTTACATGAAAGGATGGTCTCAATAATAAGACGGGGGCTCGCAGACAGTTCACTTCCCCCAGCTGTATTGTGGTTCTGTTTGTGTATTTTTACGGACGGATACCTGAATGAGACAGGCAGCTGCAGGGATCTGCCTATTGAAGTGTTTTTGTCTTTGCTTCTGCTGTACCTTCAGGGCAAAGCCTGAGCCCAAGATTCCCTGTAAAAGACAGCACAGCAGAGATACTGCTCATTAATTCAGTTTTAACGACACACTTGGAGGCGGCGGAGACAGAAATAAACACAAAGTTAACCAAAAATGATGGAATAATCTGCTGTTTAATACTGAAACATTAAGGTTTATTACTCGGCTTGTTAATTACCCCAAATTAATGCATTCAACATAACAACCTGAGTCATTGCTTCACTCAGGGTGGTTTATTGTTAGGGCTTCAGTGTGTTTGATCTGAGGGATGTCTTGTTTTTATACATTTTATTTCACTTTACATTACAAACTATATGATGCAAAGTACTCTATTTATGACGCTAATACTTTAAAACTGAAGAATATCTAATTCTTCGATTTTTTACGACCTATATTTGGTGTAAATGGGATTAAAATCAATGGCATGTGTTAATGTAAATCTCTATAGAAGCTGAAGTCCTTACACTCTCATTTACGGAGTTAGAGGATGTAAAATATGCACAAAAAAAAATGGCTTGACTAAGGAGAAATATGTGAACAGATGCAAAGAGAAGAGCATCTGAATAAGACTGCGTTCAGTCTTTTATCAGTAGCCTGGCAAAAGATCTGTATTAAAAATGAGATGCTTTTGTGTGTCTTGTCAAGGTCTTTACAGCTGTACAAGATTATGAAAAGGACATAAAAGTCTCAAAACTGTTATCTAATCTTCAGTCCTTTTAAATCCTCACAGTGGCAGGTTAAACAAGTCAGTGCCAGCTTTGATATACTGTACAGTATATCTGGTTTAAACATAAATCATAGATACACTTCAGCCCAAATCAGGCTCTCTGTGTTTCCTTAATAAGCACTTAAAAGACCGACCGTAACTCATCTAAGGGAAAAGTGTCTAATTTAGGTCAGAGATGTTTCAAACTGGTTTCTTTTGACAATATGAAAAAAATGACAATGGTTAGAAGTTAAACATGATTAACTTCAGGGTAACATGATTAACTTTCAGGCACATGAGCCTGAAAAATGTCCAAGTTCATAAGTTTGTATTTGCACTTACTGCGGGCAGAGCAAAGAAGGAAATGGCAAAGATGGAGAAACAGGATGCAATCGCCTTTCCAAGCCAGGTTATTGGGATTATGTCTCCATATCCAATTGTAGTCACTGTCACCTTTTGAAATAATGAGAGGAAAAATATGTGACTGGCATGAAATCTGGCAGTTATAAAGTTCAGAGCATAAAATTAGGCTTAGTGGCAGTTTTTAATGTGACACCACTGGAGGGAATCTTCTAACCCATGTTAACATTTGAGCCTCGCTCCAGGAGCAAATATTAACCATGAAAAATAATTGTCATCAGTCACAGAGTTGACGGCTTCACACAAAAAGGGGATCTGGGATATAATTTGATTTGAAGCTACTGTGGAGCGCCAAAGCCTGCGGTGCACAGCGGCGCTCCAGGTGAATCCTAACTTATAAACACACACTTACGAGGCTCATGTTTACCTGGTACAACACACTCACCACCTGAAATGAGTGTGTTAAATTGACAATATTTTTAAGAGCCATGTGTAACCAGCACAGACATATGCATGTCATCCTGCAAGGAGGGTTGAAGGTTGTTGGTGGTGATATCTTGCTTATCTGTGCCTACATTTGAGTGTTTTCTCACCTTTGAACATGTGACTAATCAGAAATGAAATAACAAGGATAAGTCTCTTTAGATTATTCCTGGTTAAAGGATGGACTACAATATTATCCAAAGTTAAGAACAATAGCTCTTTGCAAAATGTCATAGTATTTTAATAATTGTTGGAAAATTTTACTCCAAACATGGTGTCATTGGCTGAAAAATCAGAGCACCACCGAAGTACAGAACCAAACTTCATTCTTGAGACAACATACGTGTTGGGTGCAAATGTAATGGTTTAGTCAGCTAAGCAGTTAAGTCTAAAACAAATGATGGATTGATTGAACGAAAATGGCCTTTAAAGAGTTATGACAGAAGGAGGAATTTAAAAGAATTGAAAGAACTTTTTGGTGCACCATAACTTTATAAGGAAATATTTCACAGCCTGCTTAAATAGGGATGAAGGGACAGACAACATCAATCCTAACACTGAGAACTACAGTGGCTTTGGACAAAAAATCAACAAGATACATCTGGCTTGATTCTGAATCAATGGCGAAGAAGTGGATCGGGTCGTCAGTTTTCTGTTCTTTTATGTTCATGTTCCTCCCGACCTGACCTGGTGTTTGAACACCTCCCTTCAGAGGGACTCTGAAGTGCAGCAGACACCTCAGAAAACTGATGATCGATTTCTACCTTTGCTCTTTAGAGAGCATCATAACACACTGCTGTGCAGTCATCCACTCTAGTTTGAGACCGGGAGGACCTGCACTTGCACTATTTATCACTTGATAGTCAAAAACAGCTTCCTATTGCTTAACCTGAAAGAAATCCATTCTCTACAAACAGGCTTTTAACAACATGACAGTCCTCCTCCCCAAGTGCCAAATCCCCAGTCTATGCAGTATGATACCCAGCTCCTGTGGGCAACACATTGAACCTCCAGATGAGCCCCAAGGCATAAACATCACGTGTGATGCCATGCTTAGCACTCTGCAGTCCCTGCCCTCATTGTTTGAGTGAAAAGGGAAAATGCTGAAGGAGTGATTATAGAAACAACTGCCAATGCTAACAACCTGTTATTCCTATATTTCTTTTTAAACAACCTAAAAGTATAAAAACTACAAATATTTTCATCTTGTCTATTTGTATTCTTGATGAAACTCACTAAGCATGGTGCCAGTTAAGACAGGTCAAAATTCGAGTTAAGCATCACTCATTATAAATACCAGCTGAATATTTTTCTGTGCAACAGAATGAACCTTCTATTAAAGCTGATCTAGCCTGCATACACTTCCTGCTTGTCCTACAACTCCACCCTGGCTCCTCCTTTCCTTTACTGGTTCCTCACAATGATGGTCTTTGCTGCTGCTCTCCCTGCCTGGGCTTGGCGTTTTGTGTTTGCACGTGGGAAGGCAGGTAGCTCTCAGAACAGAGTTAAAGCACTAAATATCGTTTATAGCATTTAGATGTCTTGGGGAAAAAGTGGTCCTGACTGAAATGCATTTGACCTTTTTCGACAGTTACGCATGCTACAGCTGTCGGAGTACAGCTGTTCGGCTGAGTTCTGTTGTGTTAAACTCGACTTCATGTCTGCTAAACTGTGAGTCCTCTCTGTAATACACAAGAATCTGGTTTCCCTCAGACCATTTGACCCCCTGACTCTCACTCATGTCTTTGCGCACAGTGAGTTTTCAATACAAACTTGAAGTGTAGAGGGGTTGACCCCGACTTTAGAAAACGCTCAGTAAATAATGTGTAAACATTGTAAACCTTCATATATAAGAGTTGTGGTAATAACTCTGCTCTGTGTGTGTGTGTGTGTGTGTGTGTGTGTGTGTGTGTGTGTATGTGTGTGTGTATGGTTTTTAATATCAGAGTCCCTGAAGTTTCCAAGAAGCAGTGTGGGTGGCGACTTATTGTCTGAAAATAAAATCTCATCCCGTACCCTCTACACAACATGTTTTTTTTTGTTGTTGTTTGTATTAGCAGCCCACTGGATGTGCCCAAGGGTTTTCACACTACTCCTACTGTAACAACAGTAGTACAGATAAAACAGAGTCTATATTCGACCTTTCACTTTCAAAAAACTGTTTGTGAAGAGTCAATGTTTTCTGCACAATCTGACTTTTGGGAAGACAGAGAAGTCAGTGAAATATTATTTAAACAAATCATTATACCTGTATTTGAATAACATTTACAATCTGTGTCAATAGAAGAGCTTGAGTGTAATAGAAAACAGACTATTTTCATTATGGTATTAGATTAAAACTCATCACAAGAATGAAACTGAAAACAATGAAAAGTATTAAACTACAAAAGGAGAGGAAGGAAAGGGAATTTCCAGAATTATTGAAGCATGATAATTAGCTGACCCTCATTATGCTTATTTTAAGGCTTCATATAACTCTTTGAGACCTCTGCAGTAGCTTCACATGATTTACAGCTCCAAAAGTTAATATCTTTTGCTTATACCACTGTCCACCAAACCTTTAGTTCATTCTCTTTCAGACACAGTTCATTTTACTTGCTGTCTCTACAAGGACTCCCTTCCAGCACACTATATTTCTTCCAATTGCACAACTTTCAAGAGACCTGACAAGGGAAGGAATTCAGCATTTGAGCCCCTCGTGTCATAAAGAACTGTACACATTCTTAAACTCGAAAAATGTAACTTTAAAAAAATAAATTTTAAACTTTTTTGTCTTAAGTTAGTGAGGACAGTGGACAGAGCTGGGAATGTGTGCAGAGTCCAGGGAGTGACCTGGAGACAAGAGCTACAAGTTGGGGCACAATCTCTGTATATGGGGCGGGCATGGACTACACTGCTAGGCCAGCAGTGCCCTAATTCTTAAACTAAATTATGAGATTTCGTCATACATGTTGGACACCAAACATGACCTGACTGTAATATTTATCAAACAGTGAGACCAGAATCGGGGTAAGGACTGAATCTAGTTTATTTGTGGTTTCTTTTAAGCCAAAGTTCATAGCTTTGTTTCTGGGAAGCCCACTTCACCGCAGACTGAGTTTTAAATTGTCTGCTTATAGGGTGTATCATTGCTGTTCTTTCACTGTTTATTACTTATTTATTAAGAGTACGTTTTAAAATAACTCTGGTGAGTTCATAAAGTTCGTACAGAAAAGTTCATATTCAACTGTTCAAACTCATGATAATACAGCCCCCATCCTAACCTGACCATTGTATGCACACTTGACCTCTTTAAACTACAACCCCTATTCCGCTAAATTTGGGACATTGTGTGAAACACACACACACACACACACACACACACACACACACACACACACACACACACACACACACACACACACACACACACACACACACACTCTTAAGATTATCACTTACCACTCCCCACCAGAGGGCATCAGCATAGCTTCCAAAGGAAGACTCAGCATTTTGTCGCTCTACCAGGTAGACGAAGTAGGAGGCAAAGATCAGGCTCAGAAATCCAATGTACAATGTTGTGATCAGCTCCTGAAATATAAAAAAAAACACACACGGGACATGATAACAGGCAGATTATCTCAGAGCAGAAGAAGAATCATTTTTAGGGAGACAAAAGGTTAAAATGTTAGAACATCTGTGGATCTACGTGTATTTAGTTGTGCAATGGTGCAATATCCGCTGTCACAATATACCAAGTCTACCAGTTAACTGCCTGGAATGTGTGGCTGTGTTGGCCTGTTCTGTGACATATGGATGTGAATATTCATGTAAATGTGTTTTGAATGTGATGATTGAATTTTCCTCACAGTGTTAAGCTCTCTCTGCTTGAACACTAAAAATGGTTTCACACTCACTTTAAGCTCAGTAGCTTCCTACCACATTGAAAATCATTATCATATTAAAGGATGGGGCTGAAATTATTAAAACATTTTTGAAGGGTCTAAAAAATTCCTGTGAAGACTGAATCCACCAATGTATAGTCCACTTCTTCGTACTTTCTTACTCCTTGCTTGTGGCTCACAGGTCTGGGCTTGCTGTTGGAGGAAAATCTTCTCCAAATGTGTCCCAAAGATCAATTTTCATGTTTAAAAAATAAAACTCACACAGATTCGCTGTCACAAAGTCTTTCTAATCTTTAATTTATTCTTGCAAAAACCAACTCTGCCTCATTAAAGCACGGTCACTGATACATGCCACTGAGCAGGTGAATAAAACATTTTCATCTAATGGCAATGCACACTCGCATCGCCACTTTACACGAAGTTCAACCACTTTCTTTTGCTTTTACAAGTATGTCCTGAAGCAACAGCACACGAGTGTGTGGTTGACCTCACTTTGCACCGTTGACATTCAGCAAAACAAGGTACACATTTAGCCCCAGCATGTAAGGGTCTCCCCCCTGTATCTGCAAATGTGTAGCTGTGCCCTTACTCTGCCTTACTCACTGGTTTCTCCTTCCCTGTTTGTTTTAGTGTAGTAATATCCACTTACACTCCTCCCTTGCAAGATTTTTGTCCATTTTATCAAGATTTTCTGCTGTAACATTTCTCCAGTTAATCTGTCACCCCAGCTTTAGCCTCTACCTGCAACTTTTGCTGTCATATTTTTTTGGTTAACCATTAATTTATTGTCCAGTGTCTCATTTCAGGGCATGAGTTTATATACTATGTTGCTTTTGACTTTGAATCAAGTTCAGCTGCAATAAAACAGCATATATGCATCTCAAATCATGCGAATGGAGGCCTGGTTAAACCTAAAAATAAGAAGCCTTCATAGCTAATTAGCACCATCCTTTGTTACACGACAAACTTACAATACAATACAATTCAAGAAATTAATTGATCCCTAAAGGGAAATTCATTTGTCTGGAATCTGAGGTCTATCTTCTGATTTTGAATTTAGTTGCAGGCGGCCTCAGCCTACAAAGTTCGTGACAGATCTGCAGATAAAAACTCCCCCATAGTGTCTCTTTTGGGTAACTTATGCCGGTCCCAAGCCAGGATCAAGGAGGAAGGTTGTTATTTTGACATTGAAAAAATGAAAATTGCACATCATTTGTAGTTTTTAACCCACTTTAAGGTCTTGTCCGCACGGAGACGAAAAAGATATGTCAGTTCATTTTGAAAACGTTGTTTGTAAAAATGGATTGTTTCAGGAAATATCTGCGAAAATACAAAACAACTGAAAACGATTGAGAAAATGTAGTTCACATGCCAAGCCAGTAAGTGGTGCTGTAACGTTACCCAGGAAATGTACCAAAAGACAGAAGAAGAGTACAGAGCATGCATACAAAGGTTGTTTTGGAACAAGTGCCTTAAGAGAGTTACGTTGTGTGTGGCATCACTGTTTCAAGAAAGACGTGGACAGGCATCCATGCAGAGATGAAGCTGTCGTCGTATTTATCCACTTTGGGACCCATTTTCAAAAAGTATCGTTTACAGACATCTGAATCGCCATTTCTGTATCAATGAAATCAAATGACACCAATATGACGTAAAACTTTGCATTTACCCCTGAATTCATTTTCATGTGGACTGGGCCTAAATCTCTCTAATGACACTATTCCTCTCTCCAACAGCGTCCATGACAATGACATACAAAAGGGCTATGATGCAAATTAGGCGATGATGTCATCTAGTGACTTCTGGGACAGCCACCTTCCTGATGAGTTGGCAGCACTGCAGCTCTCTATGTTCATGTACACAGAAGAAATGTTTGAAACGAACTGTTATCTGGTGATCATGCAGTCTAGTGTAACTCGATCAGTGAAGTGTATAACATGGACTGCAGGCTGGAGTCTCACAACAGAAACAAATCGTACCAGCTGTTTCAAAAAGGACAATCCCTCTGCAGGTTAAAAGTGCAATCAGCGATCTTTGCAGGTAAGTAATTTTGGAGCGCATTATCAGTAGGAATGCCTTCACCTGCAGCAGAAAACCCATTCCAATCTCAGCAGAAAACTTATTTCTTATTTCTCTTAAAAAAGTTTTTGCTGTGCCTTTTCTGATGTACTGGACTGGTATGAAATAGCAGTGCCACCACCAGCATTATTGTTGACAGGCTCTGATGAGAGCTAAAGGTGGTATGGAAATGGGTGAAGGGGGCCAACAGTTTAACACAAAACCCAGAGTATGAGTAACACCAGTTTATAAAGGTGCAGAATGATTTTGAAGGGTCTAGGAGCCCAGAGGGAAAAAAGGTTTTGACTGTCTTCCTGCATGAAAACTCCTATAGTATTCATCAACATATATTTTCTGTGCAGATACAAAGCTTTTACGAGCACCATCTATAATTGCCAACCCACCATCGTAAATTTACAAGTCATTTAAATCGAATCACCATCAAACCTAGATTTACTGAATTACTAGAGTACTTAAGTTTTCTTTAAATGCATGATTTTGACCTTATGGGACAGAAAAGCATTAGAAAATTGCGCCTCTGGACTAGTCTGTGTTGTTTGCATGCATGTTTGAGTGCCATCTTCCAGGTAAATTTCATAGCACAACTAAAAATCTCTTTTTATTTCATAATGTTATAATGGTCACACCAGTGTATAGTGTATCTTGGAAAAAAAAAAGGTATCAACACCCTGTCTTATACACCAAGTTTAACGGTAAAATGCAGGTTTACGCACATGTACAGGGCTGAGTCAGCGAAAAATAAAGAGATTCCTTGTTGTGCACTGAGAACAAAATCAACACAACTCAAAACTCCAGCTGTGATTAAGTGTCTTGTACTTACACATACAAACACATTTGACTGCATCCAAACTGTCTTCAACTCTGTGAAGACATCACCACGTGTAGCATGGTGTTTAAAAAACGCCCACTCAGCTCTTAAAATTTGTAGAATGAAATTAACTTTTCCCGGATGCACTGGGCTTGTTCTTGTTGATTTTTTTGCTGTCTTTATAATTGTTTTTTTTTTTTTTTTTTTTTTTTTTACCGTATGCTAAATTCATCTGGGGACCTCCTGTGTTTCAAACAAACAAGAACATTATTCATGTTGGGACGAGCTGCTTTGGTAAACAGCATCAGGACAAACACCCACTCTGCAAAGTTGCATTGTTAATCATACGCACTGTCAATCTCGGTATCACTTCTTTTAACCTTAAATAAATCGTATTAGTCAATATTTGAAGGCTATGTGATTGGAATTTATTTTTTGTCCTTGACTAAAAATAGACGCAAATGTTTACAGCTTCTTGGTTGCTGGAGGAGTTTAATGTTTTCTTCAGTGAAAATCAGAGGAAATATTTATTATTTTCTTTTATTAACAGGGATTGCATTATTCAAACTTTCATTCTTATCTGACAACTGAGGTGAACAACATAAAAAAAACACACCTTGATGTTTTATGCAGCCAAAAAAGAACCATAAGTGCATCTAAGATGAAGCTTAAAATACTCTCAGAAATGAGCTCTGATCACCGGAGGGGCATTGATTGAATTCAGATGAATACATAATCATTATAAATCCGTTTGAAAGCCAGACAGTTGATCTCTCCTGGTGTGTATCAAATATTTATAAAGCATCTTATTGCGGATTGAATAAGGAACCGTCTGCTGTTTGCTTTGCTCAGGAGGTCTAATTGGGCTCGGCTGTAATCCTGTCCGACTGTTGTTGGAAGACTTCTTTGTGGAGAATCTCTTAACGCAAATGTTCTTTCTGCAATCACCTTATTTGAGATTTAAACCATGTTTAGCCACTCAGAGTGTCAGAGCACCCACTGCACTAAATCGGACTGACTTCCTGATGAGTGAAGTTCTCGTTCGTCTCTCGGCCCAAAACTGTCACTCCCAAATTTTTCAGAGCAGAGGCAGCAGATTAATGCAAAAACACAATCCAGGAATAGTCCATCTCCCTTAAAATATCTTTAACCTATCATGATATTCCCCTATACTGTTATGTCTTTCACTGATGTTAAACCTGCCAGTAATCCTTCAGATCACCACCCCATTTAAAAAAGTTTGAGCATCAAACTCCAGCAGTGCATCACCTTTTACCAATACCTCGGTTGCAGCTTATAAGTGCAAATTTCCAGGATATAGCAGCTTCAAATGCATTCAAGTAAAACTTCCTGGAGTCACTACCTGAGGTTTAGTAAATATAGATGCTGCCGCTGTGACCTGGCAAACTCATTCAGGAGACGTGTGCTTCCAATCCACCGGCGAGGAGCAACTGTGCAAATTGTGTTTACAACCCACAAGCACTACCTGCTGCTCAGTGTGTATTTAGATGCAGTTTCAATACGAAGACTGGCTACTGATTGAAGTAAATGAAACTTCATTGACTTTAAAAGCTCCAGCTGCTAACACAGAAAAGCTGCACTTCTGTGTGTGTGTGCGTGTGTGAGAATTGCTAAACAAACTATCAGGTCTGTTGTTGACTTAAGCGAAAATTTAGAAAATCACTGAGGAACAAACAGTGAAAGCAGCGCATGCTGGTGTCCAGCTGGTTGATGGGTATTTGACCTCTACTCTAATGCCTTCTGTATGATAGCAGACTATATTTTTCCCGCGCAGAAGTGTGGAGGATTTTAGCATATCAAGGCTCTAAAGCCCATAAAGTAGTTTAAAGTGCAAAAAGGACAAAAAAGAGAAAAAAAGAACCAAGCTCTCAGAGAAAAGCTATCTCTACCTGACACATCTAAGTCTGTGAAGCCTTTAAAGCCCAATCAGGACTAAGTATAACCCTGCCCCTGCCAATGTCAATCTCCCTCTGTCACACGTTACACACTCAGAATCTCACCTCTGCTTCAATTTAAGTATTTTGTGTGAAGCTGTGCCCCATAAAGTTCCATCTTAAGCTGACTAGTGTGTGGTAGGGCAGGCTGTTTCATCCTCCAAAGGGTCTACAACAATGCTGCTGTTTTATTCTCCGCGAGCATACCACTTCTTAAAATTGTATCTCAGTTTTGTGTGTAGTCTGAACAGCACGTTACCAGCCTGTGAATGATTTATCTGAGAGGTTCACAACATGAATGATGGAATTTGGAAAACAAATTATTCTGTGATGATCGGCTTACTGGTGCTGCGGTTAACAGTGTCGTCTCACACCAGAGAGGCTCTTGAATCTACTTGTTGGACTCCCTGTCATCTTTCTGTGTGGCGTTCGTGTGTTCTTACTTTGTCTGTGTGGGTTTTCTGTCACACTGTGGCTCCTTATCACAGTTCAAAGACATACAGGGGAAGTCTAATTTGCAAATTTGAATTACTTATTGCTCTGAATTTGCAACCGTCTTGCAACAAGTCGTAATTGTACCCCACCTCAACCATCACAAATTTTGGACAGATTCAATCAAAAATCGAACCACTTGATATCGCAGAATATTTCTGATCCTACCTTTATACCTGCCTATGCGTATGTACGCATAAATGGCAGTTTTCAGGGGTTTATGCCATCCCTGACTTTCCCCCCTCAAACCAAAATAGAAAAACTCATCAAAACCTGCTAACAGTTCACTTCAGGCCTTAACTCATGCACCAAGCAAACAGTCAGTGCGTTTACATGCACAGCTTAATTAGACTAAGCTCATTATTATTATTATTATTATTTTGCCAAACCGGACTTCTCTCCTTGTCTGCGTATACATGCAGCTGAGAAAATCGAATTATTGATGTGAGTGTGTCCTCCTGCCCAAAACTAGGGGGCGATATGGGTCTTTCCAGCTGCGCTGTCAACAACAACAGCAGGTCCGTGCCAGACGTCAGACGTGGCTACAACTGCTGCTGGGCACTTTCAAGCAAGAAGATGGAGCATCATACAGCGTTGTTTTTGTCATACATGATGTACGCACTACTTTTTCTGCAGATGAGGTGCACGCTACTCCTCTTCTCTGGTGTTTTTGTCACAGGTTACGGGTGCGTTGCGCACACACACATGCATTGTCCAATCATACTCTGACTGCCCTGGTTACATGGTAGAGAAAATTGAATTCCAATCACATTATCTGGCTGTCTTAATCTGAGTTGTCCGACTCCAATCGAAGTTCTCAAACTCTGATGATAGTCAGACTAAGGTGTTTACATGCACTTCAGTTGTCTTAATCGGAGAAAGGCAATAATTTGGTTTTCTCGAGTGTCATGTAAACGTACTGAGTGTTTTACTTTGAGAGGTCAAAGGTAGAAAAACATGAAGGACCATCAGCCTTTACATTCACAGATTTTATGACAGGTTCAACAAAAAAAAGTCAATTTTACATAACTGAAATATAACACTAACTTATCCATTTGATAAGTGACATATCCAAACATGAGGTCTCTTCTATGAATTAAGAGTTCATAAATAAACTATTAAAGTGCTCAGAAATCAACTGGGGGATGCTGGACACTAGTTTAAATGTGATCCATCAGTATCCATGGTGACAGACATTTCCTGTTTTTCTGAAGCTGCTCTGTGCAGCCACAAATTTGACTTCATGCAGAGTGATACCCCATAGCTAGCTGGAAGGAATCAGCGTGGAAAGGCACCATTATCATCCCACACTGACAGTCACTCTCTTTTCTACTGAGGTCAAAAGCTGCTGATGACCGGTTTCAGCCAGGAGCAACATGGTCATCATCCAAGGCCAATACAAGGAAGCACAGCAGCAGTAGTAGCTGAGCAACAGCCCGGCCACTCTGTTCACCTTCATCACTCTGTTTTTACACAGACATGGAAGAGAATTACAGCAGCCAGTGGGGATAATCGCATCCACCCTTGTGTCTCAGCTGAATGATACTCTGGAGGGGCTGCAGTCAACTCCAGCAGAGCAGTGTATGACCCTAACAAAACTGCACAGTGGCTCTTTTCTTCTAGCTACGCAGTGTATTCTTCTTACTGAAAAACGTATTCCCATGTGCAGGCTGCACCTTGTAGTGGTGAAAAATACTGCATGACAATGAGGAGCTTCAAATCCCCAGACAGAAAGCCTGCAGCTTGTTAATAATAATTATCAGAGCCTCTGATAGCTTTGGGCCTTATATGTGATGTATTTTAAAAAAACCTGTGAATGCTTACCTGCCGATGCATGTAGACGACAGAGCCCAGGAGACGCCAGGTTCCACCCTGACGGTCCACATGGAGCATTCGCAGGATCTGGAGGAAGCGAATCCCTCTGAAAAATAACACCGGGGTTTAAATGCTTAGGTTATCTACAGCCTAAATGAATGCAGGTATTATTGTTTACTCACTGTATAGAAAGTAAAATGCACAAGAGAGAAGTTGAGAAGTTAAGACGGAAAAAGTTTCAAGTCATTAAAATTTATGCTTGTATCTTCTGGTGCAAAATAGAGCATAGCTACTGCAATATGTCTTCTCTTATTTTCAAGCGAGGATGTCATGTGACTTTGGAGATCAGTTACTTCTACAGACAACCAGAGACCTCTTTCATAGAATAGCCTCTCTACTCATACTTAGAGATGCACCAATCCATTTTTTTCCAATCCAATCTGATACCGATACCTGGGCTGAGCGTATCGGCCAATATGTTAAATGAATGAACTGTATACCTTGCCCTGTGAGGCTTGACTTTAGCCTTGTTAAAAAAAAAAGGTAACAAATTTACATAGATATAAATTTACTTAATAATATATATCAACAAATACAAATTGCACATTAGCACACAGCAAAAAGAAGTTAGACTTCCATGTAAACATTTAGTGCAAAAGGATAGACAGATATAGAATACAGAGCGAACAGAATCGCTGTGCTGCTGTGTATGATATTCATTAAAAGAAAAACAAGACTGGATCAGAACGCTGGATCAGCATTATTCATCAGATATTCAATCCAGTTAATTTGTCAATATTGGAGCCGATAGCTGATCCAAATTTCGGATAGGTGCACCTCTACTCATACTGTGAGTACATTTCAGAGCCAGTACTTTTTACTTGAACCCAAGGCTGCTCAAATCGTATTTCTACATTTACCAAATCTTTTTCTATCAAGAATCTCATCTCGAGTAAGGATATGTGCACTTTTAGAAAGTGTAGTGGACTTCCCCAGTTCATTCCTTACATTCATCACCTGTCGCCACTATCTCCTCATTTTTAGTTTCAGGCTTTTGTGAAAAACTGTAGCCTTGCTTCCTCTCATTCAACCTCTGCAGTGTCAGTGAGGTTCACCTCTGGAGTAAAGGCCTGAGTCACAGTTTGCCAACTCCTCCCAAGGGTGTGAAACAGGTTTAAGTTCAGGGCTCTGTGCAGGTCAGGTAAGTTCTTCACCAAGAAGGAATATCATGTTTTCACAGACCTAGCTTTGTGCAGGGGAGGTTTTCTTATTTTGAAGACGTCGAGGGCTTAGAAAGTTGTCACAACATCAAAAAAAACACTGTTGTCCAAAATAAAGTTGCATGCCACCTACGTGAACCACGAAAAGCCGGTCCAGTAACACACCCACATACTTTCTGTGATACTGTTGCCACCTGCACACTCTTTGTCTCTTACCTGACAGCAGAAGTGGCGAAGACCTGGCCTTTAGAGCCCACTAACAGTACGAAAATTGAGGCGACAACCACGATCAGATCTGTACAAACAGAGATTGAAATATTGTCTATTACACAGATGTTCGCCATACGGATGTGCAGCAGGAAAAATATGAGCACTGTCTTCATTACGAGCTCGGAAAAAGTCAAAGCAAATAGCACAGATATTAAAACGGGGATGGCTGGTGCTGCATCAAGACACTAACGTAGGTTTCATCTCTAATTCTACTGAGGTGAGAGGGGTTTCAAATAATATTAAATGCCAATTTTAAATCCTGCATGTATAATACAAAAACAAAAATCACATGGAGATTACAATTTGAACAATAAAAAGCTGAAGGTAGAAAATAATATTGCGGTGACGGTTTAATTTCATGCTGAATTTGTCTGAGATATTTCATTTTGGGTTGAAGCTCAGGATATATTACAGATATTGTTGAAATAATGCGTGTGGGTGGGAAGTGATAGGTCTGTTTGTCTGCATGCATACAGATGTGTGTGTGTATTGGCATGTATTCCCACCTATTACAGAGATTGGCTTCCTGGCAAAGCGTAGTCGTCCACAGATGCCAACATATTTACTGCGGCAGCCCGCTGACCAGAGGCGCACTAAGTACTCCACCCCGAAGAAGACGACGAGGAAGATCTCCTGTTGCAGAAATGAGGAACAGATAAATGAGGGAGAAGAACAGGTGGAGGCTTAACATGTTCACAGCAACAACACCCAGACATCTGCTCAGACCTCAGCAAAGGAGTATTTTCAAACTGGTATTGTTAAATTATCGCTGCAACTGTTCTCACATTTTCCTCTGTTAAGTGTTGCAGCTGTCACAGCTATCCATTAGAGACTATTGATTTACACTCCACAGTTTGCACCATTCCTCATTGTTTCATTTGTACCATGTAATGGACTAACTCTTTCTTTCAGCTGTAACATATGTAGACCTGGAAAAAAAGAGTTGATTAAGAACAGGACTTTAAGTTTACTAGTAGAGTTATATTGAGGACAGACGAATATGAAGATTTGACATCCAAGTTAGGTGGGACATCACTACATATGGTAATAAATCACATGTTATTATGATATAAAAGAAACATGTAACATGTAACAATTCGTGACTTTCACGGGGAAATCGTATAGAAATCATGCAAAAGAATGGTGAGGGTTCAAGGAAATTCCTCTGCTTTCTTCCTTGTTAACGGGTAAGCCAAAAACATACAGGATCCGTATTGAGCGCGTTCCGTATTTGCTCCGTAGAGCAGCATTAGGTATTGCACACAGGATGCAGTATTTGGAGCGTAGCAGCAGCATAGTACAGCCCCGGTCAGCTGGGCTCAGTGTAGAAGAAACAACATTCTCACAACAGGTTGTTTTGCTTTTCTGTGGTCTATTTCCTGCTTATTTGGATATAATTCAGTGACTGTGCATGATTTTACAGTTTCAGTTTTTGCAGGTTCACTCGTGTTTAATAAAGTAAACTATGTTCCTTTACGCTGTGCTGTTAGCTTCAGACAGAGTTAGCAGTTAAAAGTCCTGTTGGGGTCCACATGGATCAGGGATTGACCATCAGGTTGTTCTGTGTTACTGATAAATCCAGAACCAGGAAGTATTTCTCAGCTACACGAACTGATACTTAGTCGGGAGTTTGCATATGTTGTTTTATTTTGAAATATTGGATGACATGCACGGTTTGCGTGCTTGACTTCCTGTCTAGAATGATCTTCTCTGTGTGGATTGACGGGCATTGGAACCGTAGAGCGGCAAAAATGGACTCGCCGCATATCTTTAGCAGTGCTCCTCTCAATATGATGCTGCCACTGAGTTGATACGTGTCCTGTATGCTTTGCTGCATTGACTAGAATGGCAACCTATTTGCTGCGTGAAACACAACGCTGCTGCCACGCTCCAAATACGCATCCTGTATGTTTTAGCCTTTAGACGACAGCACAGACATCACTTCTGCACATGAGCAGTAGATAAAAATGCAGCTGCTAACAAGCTTTGCAAGAATTGTACGACTAGGTCATTGGTGCATTTTTCATAAATATGTTCAAATCAATTAAAAAAATATTTAGGTCTTGAGCCTTTTATATCAGCATGGAGGCAGGTCCCTTTTTGCAGAGACCGCCATCATGCACTGCAGCAGCATCAATTGGACAAACATCATGCTTCTGTATTTAGTGAGCTGCTGTGTAACACAACAATTGGAGGATGAAGAAGACAGGTGTTGTGTGCAGATGAAATGTGTAGAGGATCATACTTATTGCAGTAAACACTTGTCCCCAAAGGCTACTATTGCTTTACCGACGGCAGGGGTAAATCTGGAGTCCGACCTCTAGATGTGCACACTGTACTTATTTTTTGTCCTAGCAGTGGGGATTTCCAAAAACTTTGATTTCCCAGCTGCGACCAGTGAGCATAAGCCTTTACCGCAACATCAACAACAACCAGGATATGTTCATAAAAATGATCCACTTCAGGATGTGTAATAAGTGATTGTTAGAGAGCTGCTGTTGTTATGCTTACACCCTCTGTTTCCTGTCAGCACTAATTCAAACTAACCAAATACTGGCAGTAGCTTCTTATTTATTACAACTCATCAACCCCATTTTTCTTCCCCTTCTAATCTGTTATCATTTCAAGTTCATAAAACAATAATAGACACAAGCCAAAACAGCATGTGGCCTACGCAAAACACAAGCCTCACACAATCAAAGCTTCCCAATTAAAGCTCCTTCATTTCAATTCCACACAAGTTCCCTCCAGTACTCCTTGAGGACGGATAGATTCAAAAAATCAATTACAGCACACAATTACACCAACATGTGGAAATAAATGAACTGGTGTGAATGAGAATGCAATTACCTCCGTGCGTCTCTTAATCATTGACAAGCATTTGGAAATGAAGCTGTCTGAAAGAGAATCAATAGCCTTTCATGGATTTTTAATGGCGACACCATCCTTTTGCCGTGAATGATGGTTGGAAAACAGCGGGGGGATTCAGGCAGAAAATGTGTTGCATGTTGTACAGCAGGGGACGTTTTCAGCTTGGATTTAACAGAGATGTTTATCTTCATCAGCGCTTTAAAATGAAAATGTCTGTGGGTATGAAACAGCCCATTGTTTCAAACAAAAATTGGATTAATAAAATGTCAGACTGTTTTCTTGTACTGGAATATGCAAAACGCTGGGTTTCATTAATTTATTCAGTGAGGATTTGTACTTCAAGGATGAAAAACAAACGGCCAATCCCCAAAAAATCCATTAACAAACAGGAAGGATCCGAAAAACAGGCATGGGGGGAGGAATCACAGTTAGTGTTGTTTTAATGGGGCCTGTAAACTTCGACCTTGGACACAGCAGTTGGGTCTTCTGTCCAGTTACTCACTCATTGCAGAGATTTTGTCTGAATATAATCAAAGCAGAAGACTGTGCAATAGTGTCGAGGTTCTCCAGAGCAAATGAGAGACATGAGATGGAGTTAGACTGTTTTGCCAACTACTGTTTTCACAATCATGAATCATCCATCAAAATTAAGTTTTAGAGAAATCACAGCAGTCTTCAGAATAATGAAAGTTTAAAGAGAATTTAGCAGAATAACAAGTCCTCATCGTGACTGGCTGAAGAAAGGTGCTAACTGCTGGCTATGACTTAGTTGGGTATATGATGGGCCAGATACAACATGATGCTAAATAAACAGCATGTTACTTTGTGACACAAAATGCTGCTTTACATTATGTTATGATACAGTATGATAAGACAACAGATTTATTTTAAATGACCTTAAAGGAAAAGTTCACCCAAAAAACAAAAGTCTTTTTTTTATTACCAAGTTTGTATGCCAGCAAAAAAATGTCAAAAAGCTCTCGGCGTTTCCGCGATTTTCCTCCACTTCCTGAAACCAACATCACGCAGCAGCATTGTACGCATTCGACAGGAGAGTCCCTGTGGTAACGCTCGGCTCAAACAGCGTATCCCCTGGTAAGCTACGCAATCTTTGTATGCCCGTAGGCTGTATCAAGTAATCATGGAAAACTTGAACCCCCTAATAACTTTTAAAAATGGAGCTGTACAGACAAAAGAGGACTTGAGCACAAACCAGTCTTACAATAACTAAATGTCAACATCACAAGCAGGGGGGAGAAAAATGTATATTCTGTATGATAAATTTCTAAAGTTTGTCCACAGCTCCATAAGCTTTGCTGGAGGAGGCAGGATTTATGACCTATACTGCAGCCCGTCACCAGAGGGTGCTGTTCTCGAAGTGGCTTCATCCAGCAAGGAGGCAGAAGCCGTCCATTCTATATACAGTCTATGGTAGGATACAACAAGTTAAAATCACATATAACATGAAGGATTATGTTATGGTATGTTATGTTGTGTTACATTTCAACAAAATTGGATACAATGTGATAATATTCACTGTGATAAAATACAATATGAATAAAAATATGGTATCTCAGTGGTATCATTATTCTGTTTGTATGCCACTTTTCTGTTTTCTTTTGGTCTGTTTTGAATCAAGTGCAACATTTTCAACACTTCACAACTATAATAGGATAGATGGAACAAAAGGAGCAACAGTTATCAGCGCTGTCTTTTGAACACCAGGTTATGAATTCATTCTTAATCAAGGTTGTCTGTTAAGTCGTCTGAGGGAAAGCAAAAGACCAATCCTCGGTCTGATCCAACACGAGGCAAACCACTGTCTCTGACACACTTCCTCGCACTCACATCCCTCAGCTATCTAATCCTCTCTTCTGAGCTTCCTCACCTCCATCTCACTCATTACAGCAACCACAAGGGGGACAATAAAACCAGGAAACCTCATCTAGTCATCACCCCCACACCGACTCTCACTCCCAGTGCTTCCTTCCACAGCATTTTTCTTCACTTCTATCGATCCTTGTTTGACCCTCATTTTATCAGCCTCACTCTCAACTCTCATTTGTTCCCACTTTCAATCTCGACCCCCCATCATTGCTCCATCCCAAACATCATTCTCCATTTCCAATAAACTCATTTGCATTTATAAATGACTTCATAGTCTTAAGACCCCTTTACATATCCACAACATTATCTCAGAGGGTTGCGTGTGTTAATATAACTGCTAGACATGTTCAAGTTGACTCAAAACAAACTCTTTCCTGTCAGCCCCCAAATAAAATGTTTTGTCGAGTCGGGGGAAGGTTGTGCGATTGCAGAGAGTAATAATCTGAAGCTGTCACAGCAAGGCAGTGGGCGGAGAACTGATGCTGTCCGTGTTAAGAAGAGTTTAGACTCAGTGTGGAAAACTGAAATGTCCTGGAGGAGGTGATTCCTGGTACAGTATAGAAATGCAATTATGCACAGTGCAAAAATTGAAAATATTAAAAAAACAAAGACAAAAATCTGTAAACATTTATTGCTAATGTAAGATAATGTTTATCTTACTACATGATTACCAATGTAAGTTTTAAGCAAGTTAGCAATAAATTGATTAAAAATGATATTAATATTATTATTCTTCTTAATATTATTTTTCTGTTTGAAAACCTATCAATCAGAATAAACGGTTGGTAACTCTTCAACAACAATCTTCTTGTTGTCAGGCTACAAGATTTTCTCCTCTTTAAATTTTCTGTAGGCATTTTCTTATCACTCAACCAGTCCTATGAAAACCCACACTGTGTTGAAGTTTGTGTTTTCTTAATGTCTGTTTTCTTCAGTTTGGTGGATGTCCCTTTTGCACAGCTCCTTAAAAACATGCCTAGCTTCTTTATCTGGATGATTTTGATATAACTTGCTTGATCACTCCCTGGGATTGCTCTTGCTGTTCAGAACTCTTATCAAGAGGTTTTGATGGATCAAAGTGAAGTGATAAACACAGCCCGCCAAATTCTCAGATAGTTCGGTAGTTTCATTGGGGTGGGAAAGCTCAAACCAACACTGGTGTGGACCAAAAAAAGTGAACTCTAGTCTGTTTGAAGACAGAGGTCTTGGATCACTTCTAGGTGAACTCTGGTGCAGTTTGTTTGAGGTGTGAAAGCAAAGCAGAGCATCTCATGAACTAAAAGCAGGAAGTGAAACACATGACCTCCAAAGCAAAAGCAGAAACCCTGAGACCATGTTGCTCTATTGTTGAAATGATAAATAAGCCAGTGGAAGTGAGACTTGCTGTTTTGGCCGATAATTAACTATTCTCTTCTTTATCTTCGTCTTCCTCATTGTCAGCCTTTGTTTAGGACAACACCACCACAAACAAGGGGTCATCATAATCACATGATGTGAATCAGATGGTTGAGTTTGCTGGATCTAAGCCTTAATAACTACATCATGTTTAATCGAGTTATTCTGGTATGGACAAATGAGGTTTTAGCTTGGTTTGTTGATTGGGTTTCTGTACCTCTGACCACAAAGGATCAGCTCCAAGTCTAGTTCTTTAAAGCCACAGGTCAGCTTCCTGTTAAGTCTACTCTCACAAGTGATAAGTGCACGACCACTATATTAGCACACAATACCATAACAAGGAGGCTCACACTGACAGTTCTATAAAACAGTGATAATGCTGTTGTTGACCCAAGTTCACAGCTTTGTTTTCTTTACCGCTCAGTTCAGATGCTCTTTGTTGTTTTCTATCACCATGTTCGTAATGAGGAAATGTTCTCCTACATATTATTGCGGAGGACTTTCTGCACACTCTACTCAGGCTCTTAACTATCACCTTGACCTGAACCGATTAAGCGTTCTAAGTGTACATGCCATGCTAACAGTCTCCTTCTTTGAGGTGCATGTGTGAAAGAAAAGTCCAGAAAATGTCAGGAGCTGAAACTGTGTGTTCATGTGAAAAGACGCTAAGGAAACATGTAATGCTGCTTTTGCTGAACTTGGCTGACAGACGTGAAATCAGATGATACCTGTTAAGAGTTCAAAGCCAACTTGGATCCCAAAAGTGCACAAACTCTTGTGAGAACGAGGATTCTTTGGGCGAATTGCCAAGCTTCTGGCCTGAAACACCACAACTACAAACACAGCGTCAGCTAATGCTGCATCTCCAAGCACAAAAACAGAGTGGTCTGTGTTAACCTTGAGTGTGCGGAAAAGACAGAAAGAGAACAAAGAAGCTGCTCCTGTGATGGGGGAGGAGAGAATGAAAGAGTTGCAGGGTCAGAGCAAATCTCTAGAGCGGCGAACACAAAGTACAAAACAGGCCCTTTGGGAATGAAGGCTGCAAAAGATGAATGTTGGAGATTTTTGAGGGTTTAGAAGCGAAGCAAATATTAATTATTCATTATCTGTGTTGGAGAGAAGAATAAGAAGATTAAATATCCACGGGGGTGAACTTAAAGCTGGGTCATTAAATATATATTTCAAAATATTTGGGTATTTATCGACTTTATTCATTTTCTAATCACATGTCTGACTCACACGGGTAAATTTTCAGCCTCAAATCTTTATAAATCCAACAACAGACCTGTAGAATTGAGGATACTGCTCTGCCAGCTCATGAAACACCATGACCGTTTCATCCTATTATCCCCCACCAAGGTGAACTGAGTGGTCGGATTTTTGTTCACCAGAGATACAAGGTGAACATATTCCAGCCCCCCTGTTAAGAAAACCCTCAAGTCCTTTTCATCCTTTCTTGGTGGTTTTACTTTTGTTTGAGCTTGAGTGACTCACTCAGCACCCAAACAGTTCCTCCGCTCAGCAGCTGATGTCTCGGGGTTAAGTTTATCCATTTACTATTGATTCCAGAGGAGGAGCCTTCGACCTCTGAGGCCAACGGGACACCCTGAAATAGTTTCCAGAAAAAAAGCCTTTGTTCTTCCAGCTAAAGAGCCCCCAAATTGTTTTTGTGTGCAGCAGGTAGGTCAATAAACCCATGAAATTGCTTTTCAAGTAACAGAAACCGAGGTGTGACATTTGTTGTTTTAGCAGAATGACCACAATCCAAGTGATGAGTGCTGCAGAATATAATCAATCAAAAAAATATAGTAATGAAGCTAACATCTTTTTATTTAAACAAGCCCACGTCACCTGAAAGAACTGCACAATGACTCAATGTCTATTAGCAGCATTGTTTTATGAGCATCATCATTTATTCAAATGAGATGTCCGACATGGGACGGGGACAAAGCCCCTCCCTTCACTACTTCATATATCAGAATCAGGCCTGTGTGCAGATGTAAGCCGACAAAAACAGAGAAAAACAGAGAGGCTGAGCAGATGGTGAGAGTCAAAGGAAAAGATGAGATCAGGAGAAAAGGCTGCAGGCTGTATCAACAAACACAAACAGAGCTGTTATTAAAAAAACAAGGTGTATTCTGCTCTTGAGATTCAGTTTCTTTCCCATCTCAATCACTTGGCCCTTATCTTTAACTCACACATGTGGTATATGGACCACTGATCGAGATCATTAAAACTGCACTATGATGTTTTCTTGTAAACAAACTAACAAGCATTAGACTCAAAACATTGTGATCACTATAGGGTTAAAGCTGCATTAATTATGCCGACATTGTTGGGTTCATTATATTTTCTTACAATAATTGAGTACACTGCCACTGTGTACGGAGCTACAAGGGATTAAGAGACGAAAAACTACAAGATAATCCGGACAAATTTGGACCTTTATGACAAGTCAGCAAAAGCCTGTATTTTTTTTCATGGTTTTTCGATTATCTTGCCAGATATTGCTGTGGTGTCGTGTAGAATTTGACAATAGTTAAGAGTGGCCACTTTACAGAGCTGATTATGAAAAAAGTGTGTTTCCTAATTCAACTTAAAAAAAAATCTAATCATAACTTTTAAATAATGCTCTCTTTATGAATGGATTGGGGCTCTTTTAATGTCTTGATTTGTACGTTGTCTTGTTTGTGAGTCAGGTCATTGTGTCATTTTACAGTCAGACCGCAGACATTTTTCCACATTGTGAGCAAAAAAGATTTTTTTCATTCATTAATTAACTTTCTGAACAGGGTATTTCTATGATCTCCTTGGGAGAAAATCAAGATCACTATGGTTATTAAAATTTCTCCATTACTAAATGACCTATTAATTAGATATTATTGTTCAGGTTAATGAAAAAATCTCGTAGATAATGATCTTCTAGCTTGTATGCTCGTCAAGAAACTGCATACAATCAGTTGTATTGTATGCAGCTGCAGTGACAAAAAATAGATAAATCAATGCATAAGACAAAACAGGATGGTGCCACACACACACACACACACACACACACACACACACACACACACACACACACACACACACACACACACAAAATAAATAAATAAATTAAACCTTTGCCTGATTTGTCAGTAATCCTAAACTGGGCTCAGACTGGGTTAAGTGTTCAGTGCATGCTCCACAGTAAACATGTTAAAACATTCTGTTTACAAGTTGGGCTCTAACTTGGAAGTCACCTAGCTGCATTAATGGGTTGAAGGAAAGTGGTTATCAATCAACACTTTGTCAGCTGAAGAAGTAAAAATGGTGAATGGACTGGGATGAGGAAAAAAGTCCAGTGAAATCCCCTGATTTAGGCGACACCATTCATATAAGCGTACTGAGAGTGGCACGCCACGCGCTGAAAGAAGAAAACTGTTCATTCATTCATTCATTCATCATTCTTTGTTGTCATGTGTGAGATCTTCCTTTCACATTTGTAAATCTGTCAGGGTTTAAAAAATGAATACTGCATGTTTGCCAAGTACGGCAAAAAAGAAGTGCAATTTGAAACAACTTAACTTGCAGCAAAAACAAGATGTTTTGCCTGTAAATGTGTGTCTAAATCTAAAACTAATCCAAAACAGCCTGGAACCAACTGTCAGGCAAAAATGTCTCTTTTCCTAAAAACTCCGTTTAATCATTGCCAGGATCAATTTCGGAATTTTTCACACTTTACAAAACAGGGCGTCGCAAAATTGAGCAAAACAGAAAACATCACGCACCTTTGCTACGTTTACGCCAAGCCTTCACACTGTCTGGAACACTTGTGGAAACCCTGCTGACCCTGTTAGAGATTGAATAGTACTTGTCTGTGCTTCAGTTTGTATGGGCAGAAAACTGACAGTTTTTTTTAAACAAGGGCACAGCCACCGGGGAAAATTGAGATGAATAAATTCAGAAACGCTCGTCTGGGCTGGCTCTCTGAGGCAGAGAAGCTCACATTGATATTTGATGAAACAAAACTTTTGAAGTCAGGCTTGAAGATTTACACAGCTAACCAGTTGCACACTGAGTAGGCAGCGATGACCTTTTAGGGGAAAAAAAATAGACCCTGGAGTTAAAATAGTTGAGAGCTATTTTGTTATCAGTATCACTCTGTTTAACTTTTCATAACCTTTCCTCTACTGGAGTCAAAACTACTCTCAGAAAGATGGAGCATGCAACTACAGAGTGCATGAACATACCGATCCTCGCCAGAGAAACCAATACGAACACATTTCTTAATGAGCCAAGAAACCTTTTGATCTTAACCTTGGGCCCAAACGTCCAAGCTTCACATAAAACCACCACATCTCCAGCTTTTCAGCACTTTGTGAGCATACAAAGATAATTACTTGTCCAACCCCAGGCCTAGTCTGTTTGTAGCTGTGATCATCTGGCTCTAATGGGATCAGGTTTTACTATCATATGATGCAGCTTGATGAGTCCACCAAGAGTTTCTGCGACGGTGCTGACATAGCGGGGGTGTCGTTCCTGTTGTAGGATCAGTCATAAACACAAACTGCACTGCCAGCAACATGTCTGCACATCAGAGATTTTTATTGATCCATGCATTGCAATAGCTTTTGTCGAGAATGTGAGCATAAAGATATAAGACACGAGTAAGAAACACGTATGTCAGTTACATGTTGCAGCAGCACAATATGCAATGCAATAGCTGGCCACAGACAGGAATGAAAGAAATGATTTTCAACATCAGAAAATATGTAGATCCTGAATAAATTGAACATGACTAACAACTCAGATGTTTGGACTCTCAGTACAAGGACGACGTTATAATTTTATCATCATAAATTCAGAGAGGTCCTGCAATGATAATGTCAAAATAACGTGACCGGTCTCACTGCACAAATGTGGGTTCAGTAGGTGTACAATTAGAAAATAATGTATAGTGAAGTGGTTCTTATGCATAGTACAATCCCAACAAGTTTCTCGTAAGCATCGACCAAAATGTGATAGAAAAATAGGAGAAATGGTGTTGTTATGAGTGAATTTATGGGCCAATGGGCGGAGGACATTGTCCCGAAAAAAGATTTCAGTAGTTCACCAGCATGGCAATGTTTTGGTTTTTAGAAGTCTGACAAAAAGCGAACAGCGGTCGTTTGCAAAATTTGCAGAGAATTAGTAAAAACCAAGTCTGGTAACACAACCAACTTGTTCTGCCATCTAAACCGATCGCACCCGCAGGAGTACGAGCTGTGTCGGCCGCGCCGCAGCTCCACGTCGTCGGAGGAGGAATCCTCTGGAACCGCTGCCAGCACCAGCACAAAGCATGTGAAGCAGACCAAACTGGACTTCGTTTCTTGCCAAAATACGACAAAGCGTCCAAGCGGCATAAGGACATCACCCATGCAGTGACATGCTGCCAATAACTACCGTTGAAAAGCCTGGCTTCGACCAGCTTCTAGCCACTCTCGACCCGCGATATCAAGTGCCCGGCCGCAAGTATTTCTCAAACACAGCGCTTCAGGCATGAAAACGGGTCAGGGGTTGAAAAGCTGAGAAGGGTGCGGAGGAAATACGTTCCGGTGTTGTGCTGTAGAATGCACCCCTGCATCCCGTCCACTCATTAGCTTCTTAAAGTGGAAGAAAATGAGCTCATACGCGAGTATTTGGATCATGGCTACTAGCAGGGGGTGCGTTCGGCAGGGGTGCATTCTACGACACAACACCGGCGTGGATAAGTCCTGCTTCTCGTGCTCAGTTTGCGTATTAAGTCAATCATATGATAATTAAAAAAACGAAATCTCCCGACCCCGGGAGACACCAGGCTGTGGGCAGTTTCCCACACAGTTAAAACTGGTAGTATGCTATTCCCACCTAAAGCTATTCTGTTTATTTATATATTTGTTTGTTTTGTTTATTTTCATCAAAAGACTATTTAAATATTTATTTATCAGATTTTCTGGTCACTTTAGTCTTTATGTTTGTCAGTATTTACTGACGTCACTCAGGCCACTTAAGTTGATTTCTTTTTTTTTTTTAAGTTCTTTATTAAAAAACTTTCAGTTGTGGTAAAAAAATAAATAAAAAGGTGGTTGAATAAAGGTTTGAATTTGATTTTAGTGCTTGCGTGTTCTTTATTAAAAGTAGGTCATTAAGCAATAGCATAAAACATCCAGGGCTGCAATTAAAATATATGTTAAATAATTATAATAATTATATCGATAATTATCGATATCGATCAATATGATTTATTTTTTATCGATATGCTTTTTTTCTATATCGTCCAGGCCTACTTTAGGAGTGTCCTGGACTGACCCATGGATTTATTTGATGTGACATGCAAATCTAGCTGTCTCTCAAAATTATAAACACAGTTGTTTTAGGATTTTGACTAATGAGTCAAGTTTCTAACACAGCTAAGTGACCAGTAACAAAGCCTGGTCATGAAGGATTTTAACTGTTCTTTATGATGCAGCTCTGACTGTAAAACTGACAAGACACACAAGTTAGAATAAAACAAAAAGAAAATTAAATGAACTTTTTAATGCCTATCTGAAAACTAGTTTAATTACTTATAAGTTAAACAAGAACATGGCTTCAGCGTCTTTATCATTATGTGATGTAAGAGATACAAAAGCACAATGGTTTACTTTGATAAATATTTTCATTAACATTTGTTAAATTCAAAATGTTCACACTTTGACCTTTGCACATATTTTTGTCCCTCTGCGCCTCCCCTCTCTTCATCAGCACATAAAGACCAGGACAGTTAATTCGTCAGTAGCATGTGCTCTCTTATCAGAGTGTATATTTAGCTTTCCACACAGCAGGTTAGTTGTGCTGCAGGTTTCCATGGCGATGTAAAAGTAGACCACCTAATTCCTGTGACTGAAAAACTCTGAACTTGTACCTCACTAACCTCATATCCTACTTTGTACTGCAGACCTCAGGGTTTTAAAGTACCCAGTTTTTTGTGACATCCCCTGCAGCACAACCCCCATGAATCTGATCCTAAACCCTGCTCAGTTTTGGGTCAGGACTGTCCAACAGGGATTAAAATAACCCAGTGGGATGTTTGGATTATAATCCCAAACCTCTCATAGTCTGAGATCCACTTGGACAACAATACAAATTAGGGGGAAACACTGCTCTTATCATTAATCCCTTTTCAATTTCATCAAATGTAGGACTCACCACCCAGAAGAGCGTGGTGAAAGCCATATCATGAAACCCTGGCATGGTAGTCAGGACACTGAGGATCAAACAGGAGAGGACCATGAGGAACCTGCAGAGAAACAAAAAAAAAACAGATTAGAAATTATCAAGATGTGATCATTTTCCCCATTTGATCGTCTTGGTTCTTTTCAGTCTTACACATTTTATACCACCCAGTTTGATAAGGATATCCACTCAGCCTCCACTCATTTTGCTCCAAAATCAAAGCTTAACAAGTTGAACTCGTAATCAGACGAGTCAGGCTTCAGCATTCCACCTCATATTTATGTCAACATCTCAGACTTTGATTTAAACACCAAAACCTCAGACAACTTTGGAGTCTGGTTTGAGTCTGAGTTTCTGAACGAAAAAAATCAAGACAGCATAACATTACTTTATATTTCTGTCATGAATAGCATCTGAGTGAATTTGAGCAAACATTCAAGGACAGCTCTCTGGAGGAAATTCTGTGAACCTTTTACACTCCACCATGTGAATGCAAAGTGCATGACTAACCTGACAAATAATGAGCATGCAGGTTTGCACAAACAAACAAACAAAAACACACACACACAAGGTGTTGAGAGAGTAGAAATGCTTTTTGACTTCCTCCATATTTTCCTACAAGGTCACAAATATTTACATGCGGAAACAATAACACATCTGTAACTCTTTTCCTACTTCAGAAAATATTTTTTTTTGTATTTTTAGCCTGATTTGACCTTGAGATTCTGACCAAAAACAAAGTCTGGATCATAAATTTTGTATTTGATCACGTTTTATGACTGTTTTCAGCTTTTTTAAAAGAACAAAAAGTTTTTATCAGCAACATGTGTGGAAAAAGCAAATTTTCAAAACGTTCAGAGGCAGAAATGTTGTTGACTTTGACTGTTGATGACAAGACTCAGAGCTGGCAGCGACGCACATGATGATCTCAAACACATAACACTGTGCAGCCTTGATTCTGCCAGCCGAACGTCCTGTTTGTTATTGTAGTATCATTCCTATCAGCATTTAGCCGGAGTAATGTTTCACCCCATTTCATTATGTTTGTCTGTTAGCAGAACATCTGAGTAAATTAAGAATGAATGTGCATTAGACTTGTAGAAAGCTTGGCATTGTGGAAAGGACAAACTCATTAACTTTTCATTTCCGCTTGCGGGAGCCGCTGTGGTGAAGGGCAGAACTTCTGAATGGAATCACGTTGAAGACGTCTGAGTTCATTTACTGAACAAACTCAGATGAACAAACTTCCACAATCCACACATTTCCGAAGTAACATGAAGGTCTTAAAAACAGCTTATATCTATTTAGACTGAACTGTGCCGACCATGTTTAATGCCTTACCGAGCCTTAATATGTTATATACTTCATTCTGATTAAGGCACATGTCTCATATGACAAATCTTAACCTTCAGGGACAAGCCTGAACTTAACAGCAGCAGTGGCTTAAAGGTAGAGCTGGTCATCTCTCAGTCAGAGGGTTGGTGGTTCGACCAGTCGAACTCACCTCCAGCAGGATCCTAACCCCAGGGTGGCTCCTGAGTGGCACAGTCGGCGGTGTGTAAATGGGATGGTTTTATGTTAGTTGTATTAATCAGTGGGAAAACATGAGGTGTGAGAGTGCTTTGCGTGGTTTAAATCCGGAAATTCATTTGGTCATCCTCAGCCTTCCAGCAAAGTTTCCAGTCATCCACATCCTCCATTACTCTGTCCAGCTCACCAGGTCTATCTGCGCCTGCATGTCTCATGAAAACATCCACTTAGGATGATGGACACCAGCCTTATGGCCGATCCCTGGGGCTTTCAGTGTCTCTAGCAGTGACCAGCCAGCCTCATCCTCCTATTTTTCACTCACCCTTGGAACCCTCCCTACATGGCCCCTTGATTGTGACACGAGCATCCTGGTTGTTGTTTAGAGCAGTGATCTAGTGTAGCATCCAGGGTCTGTCTTAAGCCTAAGTCCTGGACTCCAGCTCTAAATCACAGCAGGGCACGACAGAATATGTCGTATTTTGACCATACTGGGCTGTGCTGGTGGAAATATTTGCTCCATAGCAACCGTGTTCATATTGTTTGTTTGAAATCAGCTTGTATAAATCACTGTCTTGTCTTGTCTTGTCTGTGTGAGCACACTTGATGGAAACTATGTGGGGAGAGTTCTAGTTTCCAGTCTGTGTTTGCACCATGGAGGCCCTTATCACCGAATGCTACAGCCTGGGATTATTGAACGCTGGCCAGGAATTCAAATACCCCCCTTCAAACCGGCTCATACACACACAGGCTTAAACGTGCACGCCACACGTCAACACAGATAAAAGCGGAGAGAGAGAGACCTTCTGAAGGGGAGATGGACTGGTTTGTAACACGGCTAACAAAGCAGCAGTTCCTGGCAGAGAGAACTAAACACGCAGACAATACATGTCTCAGTTTGGAGTCTGAGTCCTCATCAAAATGACTCCTACGGAGTGTAGAAAGGAAACAAATTGTCTGTATAGAAAAGCGGGGCTCGACTAACAGTGTTTACAAGCCGGCGTGCAGTCTAATATATATAAAACCGTGTGTTCCAATATGAAGCAGGGAGTTAAAAAGAGGATCAAAGAAACAAAAACGAACATCAGACTTTCCAAACCAAACACCCCGGTATGCTAATGGTTGTAATTTGTCAGAGAAGCTCTGCTCAGATGACTACAGAGAGTCTGAAATGCCAGTAAACATACACGCTCAGTATGCTGTGCATACACTGCAGCTTCACTTTTAATCCATCTGAGACGATCTGACTGGTCTGTCCCTCCATACTAACAGCACCATCATATTTCACCGCCCTTACCTCCTGTAGGCAGTGTAGCAACTCATAAAAAAAACACCCTGGCTCATCTACAGAGGCACCACTGAACTCTGAACAAAGCATTGCCCCTATCTATTATTGATGGACACGTCCTCTTGTAGTCTGTTTTGCCGTGTGTGTGCGCTGCATGTAGAGACAAAACAGGCGATGGGATTCGAGTTAAAAGTGACACCGCTGACCATGTCACTGCCTGTTACCGTCAAATACCCTGTTTGGAGGAACAAACACAGGGCCCTAACCTGAGAGTGATAATGCAAAGCAGGACAGAGGTGTAGCTGGATAGCATGTGACAACTGGCTCTCACTCTAAAGTCTTCAAATACGACAGCTTGGTCCGCCAAAATAAGACTCTGCAGGTGCCTCCCGCGTAATTTACAGACGCTGTCTTGAAGGGTGTTGATGTTTTGGGGATGTATAGGAGTCAAGCGACACTGGAGAGGGCAAAGGTCACGAACATCCTACATTGATTAATTGGAAAACAGTAGGATGTTCGTGCAAATTATCATAAATTTAGACACATTAGGATTTTAGGAAATTGATCTAATCCAGAGAAAACTATCAGTGAGGATGCAGATTCAACAAGATCAGTTACATTTCACCAAAAGAAAAAACTAAAATAAAAAAACTAAAACGCTGCTTCAGTTGTAGGAGGGACTTTGAGTGAAATAAAGACCCAGAGGGAAATGGAGGGAAAATTGGTGCACTTTTGAATAAACTGATCTCATCTGTTATCAGCCAAATATCAGCCCTGTCAGCTTCCTTAAGGAGAATTTAAATGGTTATGAAACGGACTAAAACGATCATTTATGTCTTTTTATGATCTACAAAAGCAAGCTAGACCCTGAGTAAAAAGACTGACCATGTCTGTTTTGTAAATTTTAATGCCTGTAACCGCTGTGAAGGGAGTTTAGGTGTCAGAGAGTGCAATTAAAAACACGGTGAAGAAAAACCCCTCTGATGTATTTTTCAAAGAAAACGTTCAAGGTGAGTGAGAGACATGACTGTTTATGAAAGGAGGATGAATTTTCTTTGTTGGACAATTCTTACACACTTGTACTGGGCAAGATCTGCAAAGATGTAACATAAATTATCCACAGAGGGCGCCAAAATCAACACAGAAAGAAACATAAATTATGTAGCCCAACAATGAAGTACAGGGTTTATTGAGAGTTGATGCAACATTAGAAAAACTGCAAACTTTTGACTTGGCACTAGGGTTGTCAAAAGTATCAATACTCTTCGAAGTACCAATACTAATTTGCCGTGGTATCGATAGCAGCACAGGCAAACAGCATCCGGCAGTCAGGAGAGCACCCGCTTGCTGTCCCAAATTTTACTGCTGCTAAGTATGGCCAGTGTTTCAAAGTGGTGGCGATGACGAATTTGGCAAAACACCTCAAGGACCGGCACCCTGGCCTTAATGACGAATTCCGGCAGGTAAGTAAAGCTCCTGATCATCCTTTACCTTACTGTATCAAACTGGTTATTGATGTTTGTCTGGCCAGTGCCCAGCATTAATCCGTGGTAACCGCGGTTAGCCTTACGCTCAGTGAATGTTGGATGTTTTTTGATTAGCTGTGACGAGCTCTCCGCTGCAGTCAGCGGTAGCCGTGGTTAGCTTTATGCTCAGTGAATGTTGTTTGCTTTATTTTTAGTCATTAGCCTTGGACACGCGGCTGGCAGCCTTTAGCTCGCTAACGTGGCTCAAACGTGCTTTCTTCTCTGACAGACGCAGACTGAAGCAGAGAGAAGTTGACCTTCAACTAAACCGAAGAAACCACAGCCTACTCTTCCACTGCTGTTTGAAAAACAGAGAAAGTATGACCCAAATTCTCCTGAAGCTGTCAAAATAAACAGAGCTGTAGTAGAGTATATCTCTGAGGACCAACTACCCATTTACACTGTGGAGAAACCTGGGTTCCAAGTGAAAAAGTCATTGAAAGTCATTCATTTAATTGATTATTTATCTGCCGTTCTGTTTTTCATGATAGTAAAAATATTTTTTATGCCTTATAAACTATTTGTCATTTTTTATCCCTGCAGTATTGATAATGGTATCAAGTTTTTTCCTGGGTATTGATATTGAGTTTGAAATTTTAGTATCGTGACAACCCTACTTGGCACAGTGCAATTAAACCATCTTTGAAAGTGTTTCCTGCAAACTCGTTACACTGAGTATCCACCACACAATGAAGTGGAGCAGTGCTGTTAGAAGAAGTAGAAAACCATACGAGGCTACAATATATCTAAAAGACCACAACAACCTAAGCGGAGCTGCAAATCTAGCAAGTGGTATTCTACGCTGGACACTACGCTTGGCCACAGACCGGTGTCTGCCGCTAATGTGGGCACGAAGGATTCAACGGCCAAGCTTTTAGAAGCTGCAGTGTGCTGGTGGGAGCTCAACAGAGTGTACAGTGTCCTCTGAACTGTCACTTGTGTCACATAAGTGACAAAGCTTAATCAACAGTCAGCTGGCTTATATCACTGTGAGGTTCATATAATCCCTCCCCAGGCTGGTGACAATACCAACAGATATCAAGTCCCCATGGTGTGAAGTTCTCAGAGAACTCAAGAAGATAGTTCCTCCTGAAAAAGTCCCACAACTATTCATTTCAAAAACACCTAATGTGAAGAAATAAAGCATATCTGGCCGAGACTTCCCTCTTTTCATGCTGACAATTTGACAAGCAAGAACCTACATGTAGAAGTCTGCTAACAGAGTGTGATTCAAACCCACCTGGAAATGCATTAAGTCCACATTGTTCTGAAAACTTTGCTCTCCACATGTACTTTTTTGTTGCATAAAGCCAAAGCTTGCTGAAATGTAAGTGGATGATACCACTCGAACAAGTTATAATTAATATTTCAGGGCTGAGCAGACGGGTTACATTTGAACAGGACCTCAGCCTACACTTCAGCCACTGAAGGGTTAAAAGCTCAGAAACATAATGTGGTCAACAATAAGCGACCTTGTCTCTGTGCTCCATTAACAACCCTATCTCCTGTGTTTGAGGCAGAGAGGGGAAGACTAAAGCACTGATGCTTTAACCCCAGTTGATAAAATGTAAGCAGAACACAAACAGCTCCAGTCAAAAGTTGTTGCTCAAATTGAAAAGAATAACAGTGCATGAGCTAACAAAAATGTTTGTTATATTGTGAAATATAGCGTCTGAATTGACTTCCTGCAGACTGATACTGTTTGACAGAACATCTAGTTCAGTTTAATGGAGCTGAGTCTGATTTGAGTTTTCTCTAAACTCTCCTGATCGACTCATTTATAACCAGCATGTGGGATGGCTCCATGCTGCTCCGCACCAAAACACCCCATTTACTTTTAGACTGTAGAACAGACACCCAGGGAGAGCAGAGGTATACTTTACTTATGCATAAAGCTGATTGAATAGCATGCTCCTTTCCCGAGAGGTGAACTGTTGCTTCCTTTTTCGCCCACGTCCCTGCAAGCATCATGTAATACCACACACATTCAAGCAAGCGGACAATATTTGCTCTTGCAAATACACACAAACACAAAAGGGTTCATCTGATAAGGCCTCAGGTCAGTGTGACGAGTTCTGGGTCAGTGATAAAGCCGAGCTTGTTCCAAAGTGTTTTTCTGCACCTCAAACATTTAAAAACAGACCACTGAACTGACCTCAGAGGACCTGCCGGGTGGTTACACATCCCCACTCCATACTCCTACAACAAACAGCTGGCTCCAATGTTAGCGGTGAAAGGGTTTGTCTGGAATACAATAAACTTTTAAATGACACCTACAGTTCACAGGCACTAAAGCATGAACCATAGGTTGCACAGTATCATATCTTCACCTCGACTCACATTTTGAACGTTATCACAACAGTTGAGCCTTGTGTGGATAATTACCTGTTATGAAAATCAAAAGTGAGAGCAACAGCAGCCCGCTGTGTGAAACTTTTTTAACACTGGTATGAGAAGGTTTGTATTCAATATGAATTGTGATCTCAATCATTAGCCAACAATAATAAGGGGGACCTGCTGTGCCTCTTTATTTTTCTCTGATCACCTGCAGAGCAAACGCAATTCGTAACATACACGGGGGGTAAGGAGCAAGCGGTAATCGTTCACTTATTGATTGCAGATAACTGTCTCCTACAGATGAAAACCTGTCTATGGGTGGGCTTGAGCAGACTTCCTAGTTATGGTCTACGTGTAGAAATGCTCTGCCGTTGCATCAGCCGGGTATGTGGTATGCCTGCCTGTGCACCAGAAGCAGAGGATTAGGCATGATAAGCAGCAGGAGACAAAAATACAAACTAGAAAGATTATCTTGGAGTGCTAAAGCTTGAGTCCAACCTCAAGTCACTCAGTTGAGTCTCAAGTCACATTAGTGTGCAGCTAAGGTGCGTCTCAAGTGCAAGTCTCAAAATCATGTAAGTGGGGTATCTCCTGTGATGTGATCTGCACTGCAGTAGTAGCCAGACTTCAGTAAAGGCTTCGACAAGGGACCTGATTTGTGCATGCCTTACAGAAGAGACTACCCCATAAACCTATTCTCTCTTTTCCTTTAATTTGACACTTTCACTGCTTTACATTTATGTTGCTCAATTTCCTGTTTAAAAAAAGGAAAAACAAAACATGCTGTTATTTTGAAACTTCGATAAAAATAGCTAAAATAACGGTTAGGAAGTATAAATGTTCAACAAATTAGCACTCCAGGAGGCCTCGTATAATTGTAAACCTTGTAACATCATATTTACAAATACTGTATTTTTCTGACTATAAGGCGCACTTAAAATCTTTAAATTTTCTCCAAAATTGACAGTGCACTTTATGTATGATTACTTGTTGTGCTTACTGATCGACTTTATGTGGTACAATGCACTCAAAATTCTATTGAAATGTGTAAGTACGACTTTGGTAAGCAACAAAACCGCTCCTCTTAATGAATATTCAGAGCATTACGGTACGCTGTGTCACTACCTGATTGGCCCCGTATCAGGACCCCTGAGCAGTCTACAACACTGTTTGACTGTTATGTCTAAACTAGAAGTGCATTCACGTAAGGCAGCCTGGGCCCAGAGTTTGCGCTAGAAACAATAAAACAGTAAATGCTCCAATGCTGAATGGCCTTACAATCCGGTGTGCCTTATGTGTGAACATAGACATGTTAATTCACAGTGCGCTGTATAATCCGGTGTGCCTTATCGCCTGAAAAATACGGTATATATAAATAAAGGGTCTGGCCATCTTTCATGGGGCCACTACAGCAAGCCAGTAAGCTCTTCACTTCCCTGTTGCTGCTTCTTCATCTTCTCACATTTTTAAGGTGGGTGCAACACCCAAAGGGTGAAGACCGACCCCCACTGTGGACCTAATAGCTACAGAGGACTAAATCTCTTTTTCTTTTAAAGACAGTGAAAGTCAATACCAGTGTACTTGAACAGCCTAGTTTGTATGTATCAAAATACAGAGGATTTGTGCACGGGGATTGTATTTTCTGATATCAGACAACAATGACACTGAAAATCACAAATCCCGAAACCCTCCAAATTTCACACATAACATCCTTAAAACAAATCACTGAAGCTCTTTAATCTGACCTTGCCATCTCACTTTTGAAAACATAAGCCTCTAACCACTCTGACAAATCAGACACCGAGCCTCCCCTCTGTGTAAAAACGTGTCATTCCTGACATCTTTTCTGACGTGACTCGCCTAGTCAGCTTTGCAAACATGCAGTGAAATGTTATTGACTCTGTCTTTGTGTGCAGTTTGCCTAAAAATCCTTTGTTGCATTTGCATGATTGGCAATTGTGATACTCAAATCTGATTTTCCCAGGGGCAGATTACAGAAATCAAAAAGCACACAATATCCCAAAATTACAAGCTCTGTTATTGATCTGATCTGCCTGTTTCTTTTCTTCTTTAGTTGAACCCCAAAATGTGGAAACCATTGAATCCATTAAAAGACAGACACCCTTTGCCCTGTGAAATGAAAGTTAGCAACACAAGAAAGAACATTATTTACACTCTGAAGAAATGTTTTCTTCCAAGTTGACTGACTGAAGGTTTCTGAAGATTTTTTCCTCTGGGGTTCAGTTTGGCAGCTCTCTGTCGGTAAACATATGAATAGAATGAATAGAAGTGAAGGACTGATAGAATTTAACAACTTAAATGGAAACACTGGCTCTGTCTCCCATTCACTTCAAGGTTATACTTCACTATTTGGTGCAACTTCTAATTTCAGTTTAAAAATCTCTTTAGCTGAACTTTGAAAACTTGTTTGTGTTACTCAACAGAAATACTGCACAAAATTCAAAACACAAAAGTCTGCAATTTAAAGGAATTATGAGATGAGTATATTTGGCAATATTAAGTGGTCAGGTTTTAGATTTTATGCTCCCTAGCTCACCCCTCCTCTTACTGAAGGTTGAGAGGTGATGTTTGCCTTTTAGGACAAAAAGTTCCTGAGATCAGTGGCGGCTCTAGACTATTTTTAATGGGGGTGCTGGAGGGGAGCTTAAGAATTGGTGTAGGTAAGACGGGGGGGACTTGGGGGGACAAGTCTAAACCAACACGCAATCATGCACATTATGAAGTGAGACAGGCCACCAATGACATGTTTAAACATGAAGGGCTCTATTTTCGTTCGCGCCGGTGAGGCGGCGGAGGGCGGCAAGCCCCGCGCAGTTGTATTTTCGTCTGGCGGAGCCCAGCGTAAGGCGAGTTTGGTATTTTCGTGGACTGAGTCGCACGGAGGCGAGCCGAGATCCGCCAAGCTGGGCGTGGTGGCGTGGCAGGGGGAGGTGTTGACAGAATCAGCTGGCGCAGTGACATTTTCGTGCTCGCCACCGGCGTGTAACGTGCGCTGAAAGCTCGCCGATTCAAACCTGGTCAGCTTTCAGCGCAAGGCGGAACGCAGCTGGTCTTGTAGTATTTTGGTAGACCGGTGGCGTATCGACATACGTCACTGATGCCTCACCGGCAGGTTTCCACAGTGTCAGGCACATTTCAGTGCAATAAATAATCATCAACAACTATTAATCTGAGTCAGCACATACATTTAGATCTATATCGATATATTCTGATCTATATCTGATCTGATGAGCGCGTTTGGCACGCGTTTGGGCACACAACCTGACCGAATCAATACAGCTGAAACTGCATCAAATTAAATTAAATATCTAGTAAATAAACACACATGATGAAGTTAACAAGATATGTAATGTGTCTCCCTCCTTTTCTTTCTTCCTCTTATTTCTCGCACAGCTCGACCTGGACACGTCTCCGTGTCCTCTGTCCGTCTTGCTGCAGCTGCTGCGGCTGAACAGATGATTTGTTTCAGTGCTCAGATGCGTTATCTACTTTAAGCCGACATACGGATATTATAATATTCAGTTTTGTGGGCCAAATTTATTTTATATGCCAACATCTATGAAAGAAAGAGCCAGGCCACGGAGCGCGATGCGTCATTTACTCACAGATGGTTCCGATTTTAATGCCATTTTTGGAGTTTATGTTGTGATCTGTGCGCTAAACCCACCTTTGTCACGTGAGGTTTGAATATATGCAACTTTATGTGAGTGTCTTTTTTGTGGAAAAGGGTGTTTGTCTTACCAGTGGGTCCAACATTACGCACACCAAATCTATCTGTGCTCAGATGAGAGAGTGTGGAGGACACTTGTTGAGCAGCTGCCCTCTGTCGCCATCGTGTGGCATAGCTGTCTTCAGACATCTCTTGATCTCTTTGAATACTTCATGAAAATAGTAATACGCCTCGCCGGTGGCGGATTTAAAGGCAAGGAGAGGAGCTTATGTGATTGGTGAAAACAGGTCTCGGCTGTGTTAAACCCCTATACGCACTCTCTCCTCCCCTTCTATGATTTATGCTGCCGGGAGGAGCTGAGTTAGGGAGGGGGGATACTTACGCCGGGCTGCGCGGCTTACCAAAATACCAAAATGTGCTTGGGAACGCCTTGTCAGCGCGGCGGATCTGATTGACTCTGCGCTTGCGGCACGTCTTCGGCGAAGCACCAAAATAGAGCCCGAAGTCTTTATTTTAAATTTGCTGGGTTCGACCAGCCTATCACTGCTATTCTCAGGTCTGATGTGTAATCAAACATCATGTCTGGAAAAGACAAAACTGAAGCTCCAGAAACAATTCTCATAGCATTCCTCAATGGCCTTGCCTCTCCAAAGCAGTGCAGCACTTGGCCCTGGACATTAGAGTTAAAAATAATTAATAATAAATCCAACTCCGACTGAGTCTCCTCCGCCTCCATCACCAGATTGGCATTTCAGTCAATTAAAAGTTGACCCCGAGACCCTTCCTTCGCCTTCAATAAAGGATTTACAGCCGCATTTGTTGTCGATCTTCCACAGCATCGGCACAAGCCCACCTGACCAAAAATGTACTCATTTTTTGCTGGTCCTTTTCCACTCTCTGAGAGTCTGAATTGGTTGCAGCAAATGATAGGTTCAGTATGACAGGTGATGAGTTCAGGTACCGTCTGTAATTAATGTAATTGCCAACACCAATAGGACACTTGAAAATGTATTATTTACCAAGCGTTTGTTAGTCGCTATATTTGCCTAAGAGATACATAGACTGCAACTAATTTGGCAAGTGACAAATAATGTCGCATATTTTAACAAACAATAGTTTATTTGCTGACAGGCAAAAAAAAAAAAATGGTTTAGCATTTCTGGGAGGTGCTACGGGGGTCCTATGGGCCCCTTTGGAGGCACTATAGCACCCCCAAGTGCTCCCCCAGCGCAGCCACTGCCTGAGATGTTAGATGAGTTTGATCCTCTTCTTGTCATGGTTTTACCATTAAAAACTACTTTTCCTCTTTGTTTACCAACCGATACACCAATACACCACCGATACACCACCAAGTATCGGTTGTGTACCAACCGATACACATGCATATTACCAGTTTCTCCATTCTGCGCATTGGTACAAACCTGGCAGTGCTAGATGGTGAGCACCATGGAAGGGTACCTGCTTCTTCTGCAGCTATATAAGGCTCATTTTCAGTCACCAAAGACAGAAGGATTTTTATATTCAGGTGATTCTATACCTGTTTTAACACTCTAATGACTTTCATATTCCATTTCTACCAAGCCTGCTCAGCCAAAAGCTGCTTAATTCAATTCAGTATTCATTTAAAGGCTTATTTATGCATTATGTTTGAAGCCAACATAGACAGAGACTCAGATGGCCTGCCTGTATTCTGCATCCATTCCCTCCATGTTTCCGCACATTTTCCAAAAATTTACCAATTACGAATGACAGCAGCTTTACCACCTTGAATCATGGGACCAGTGCAGCCAGATCAGCAAAACCCAACAATGATGACTGTAGAAGAGCTAGTTAGTAGCTGTAAATGCATAAATGATGTTGGATGGTAGTGAGGGAGAAGGGGAAGTCTGTGTGAAACCCCCTGGAGGCATTGTTAAATGCACATCTGAATGTAAAGGATGCATGGGAGTATGAAGGTAGGGACAGTGAAAGTGTTTAAAATGTATGCACCTTTTTTCATACATAATAAAAGCACAAACAAGCCTTCAGACTACAAAACTGCAGCATCGCCCTTGTAAACTGTTTACAAGCTGTGATCAGGCCTGGAGTGGCTGATTGGTTCTTCAGCCAACCTGGCTCACTTGGGATCCTCCTGGTTCTTTCAGTGACAGTAAATAAATAATGTAGGCCACACAGCGGATGGATAAGAGTGCTCATTATTCAAGAAGCCTTTACATTACTTTGAAATAATGTTCTCCAACAGCCAAACAGTATGCCTGGTTGAAAAGGTCTGTGCTTGACTGGAAACTCAAACCTAAGATTGGTTATGAAATTATGTTTGTGTCTTGACATCGATTGATCCCTTCAGTCCAAGAAAGTCAATAGGTGATGCGATGGGTAGGTCAAACAAGAGAGAAAAAAATGCAAGAGTGGAGCTAAAAGACAGAAAGAGAGAAAAGCACAACGTGACCAAAGTCATGTAAACAACATCTGGTGGAGATCTTAGAGGTGAGCTAGCAGAGCAAAATGGAGTTACCAGATGTGCAACACATAACATAACAAATAATTGGCAAAACACAGTTTATGTGTAAAGTAAATGAATTGTGTTTTGTTATATGACTTAACATATATGATACAGGTAAGTTCTTTGCAAATAGTTTGTTACAATAAGAACCATCTTGGACAAAACTGCCATGTGGCCCCTCATGAGCAGCACCTCAACTAGTATGCTGAATGGAGCTCCGCCTGCACTGCAGCTTTACACTTAAATGCAGCACTCAAAACATCTTAATGTCTGTGTCCCAGTGTGTCATTACACCGAGTATTAAGGAGTTGCAGATGAAGGGGAGACACAGCTTGTTAACACACTGTAGGAGCACCACGTGTATCTTTATCTTTTTTCTTATTTGACCCTTATTTAGCCAGGTTAGCCCCATTGAGACCTACAAAGTTTCAGCAACATAATAACGCTTAACACCAAAATAAAAGGCCACAAAGTTCATATGGAAAGCCTGGCTTTCAGACTTTTAACAGGAGATTTGAATACATTCAAGCCAACTATGTTTGTAGATTGATCCAGGAAAAGGTACAAAAACAGCTTTCTTTCCGAATTCAGTTGAGACTTTGGGAACAATAAACTGACCAGTGAATGAAGGTCGTGAATTCTGTCCTACTGGGTTTAAAAAGAGGAAGGAAGAAAGAAATTCCAGTAACCAAGCCAGCATGAACTCAAAGCCGTCAAATTGACTTCCAGATGTTAAGTACAATAGTGAATAAGATGGCCACAATGTGCTATAAATCACAGTGCACCATGAAACACACAGTCAAGACTGTGAGGACTTTGAGCAGGGGCATTCATGCACAAAACAACTCCATTATCCAGACTGTGTAAAAAGGTAGACTCCACCCATTTCTTTATTTATATACAAGGAAAAGTAGGATTTGTTCCTGTAAATGCATGATAAACATGTATTTTAACAGGACACAGAATAATCTGCATCATGTAACGCTGCAGAGAAAAGGACATCTTAAGTCTCTCAACAACAACTTTCCTCACTCACTCTCTCCTCTCTTGCCTCTCTCTGTGGATTCCCTGGTGGGCAGAGCTAAGACACAGGGGAATGTTGCAAGTGAGGGATGCGTGAGTGAAACTTTGGAGCTTTGAAAAATAGTCACACAAAGACGCACACATACAGCATCCGACTAGCTCTCCCACTAGTGCCTCAGGCCTCCCACCCGCTCTGTTCAGCATCTGTTCTCTGTTACCAACTCTGAGGAAGGGTCAGAGGAGGAACAACTTTGACCCATCTTTGTAACTCCATGTGTTACACATTACAGACAAGGCATCACAAGGCATAAAAAGCCTGCTCTGAAATGCAACATGGGCAGCCTACTGAGAGCCCCTTCCAGCCAGGGTTAATTGTTTGATATGAAAAGGTGCCTGGAGGACTCAGCTCTACATAAATATGACAGGTCATGATTATGAGATGATAATTTTGAGATTGTGGGTCACATTTATGGGATAAAAGTCAAAATTTTAGCGCACGTTTGTATTTTACTACCTCACAGTTTTATCCCACAACCAACCATGAGATTTTCTTAAATTAAGATCAAGTTTCATTTATATTTTCAAGCATAAAAAACAAGTTATTTCCATATTTGTTCAAATAAATGATAGGATAAATTGGAAAATCAGACTTTTTGTAAAATACTCCATCAATAACAAGGAGGTGAGGGATATTGTCCTATCTCAGACTTTCATACTAGTAAAGTTTAGGTTCAATTCAATTCAATTCAGCTTTATTTGTATGGCACTTTTCATTCATAAGGAAATGCAATTCAAAGTGCCTCACAGAGGCTGAAAACAACAGTGAAGACAAAAACCCAACCCTTTCACCCACACATGCACCCATGGACCCACACACACACAAAGACACACACACACACAAAGACACACACCAACCCCCACTCACCCACACATTCACCCATGGACCCACACACACACAAAACAACACACCCACCCCCACTCACCCACACATTCCCCCATGGACCCAGACGCACACAAAGACACACACCCACCCCCACTCACCCACACATACACACACACACAACCGCACACAGTGTGAGAATTTACGATATAAGTTAAAAGTTAAAGAGACATGGCCTGACACCAAGACATTAAATGAGGATGTCTCATGGTTGTGACCATAGACTGTATATACTATGGACAACTTGGTTCCGCCTACCGCCAGTCTACAGATTTGAAGCTGAAAAGCTCTCGGTATTTCAGGAATTTTTCTTCATTTCCTGAAACCAGCACTGCGCAGTAGTGATGCACGCATTCGGCCGTGCAGTCGCCGAGAGTCCCTGTGATGATGCTCAGCTCAAACAGCGTCTCCCCCGGGTGAGCTACGCAATCCCTGATCGCCCATAGGCTGTATCAGGTGTCAAATCATAGAAAACATGAACCCCCTAATAACTTTTAAAAATGGAGCTTCACAGAAAAAAGAGGACTACTGTAACTACATGTCAACATCACAAGCAAGAGGGAGAAAAATTTATGTTCTCTGTAATAAATTTCTAAAGTTTGTCCACAGCTCCATAAGCTTTGCTAGAGGAGGTGGGATTTATGACCTATACTGCAGCCCGTCAACAGAGGGTGCTGTTTTCGGAGTGGCTTCACCCAGCAAGGAGGCAGACTCTGATCACTCAGGATTTATCCCAAACAGATGTGTAACTGACATCTTTAAGCATTTTTGTGCCGCAGTGACCTTTAACCATGTTTTAAAGCAAACAAACAGAGAGCTCTTCTGGGGGAAAACAAGTCCCAACTTGGCTGAGCGAGCGTGACAGAAAAACTTGTCAGTCATGGCAAAATCAATCGCAAACCGTGAGAACCTGCTTTAAGTTAATGACAGAACAACAGACCTACCAATTACCACAAGTGCAAATAATAAAGAAGAGAGATTCACAGCCAGCGCTTGTGAAAACATGTAGATTTAACATTTCCAGAGCTGCTTTCTGCTGTGTCTTGTTGCTACATGCAGAGTCAGCTTTCTTGGAAACAGTATGTAGTGTGGCCTTCAAAAGAAAGCCCTTAATCTTGCTGGTTTGTACCTGACATGCACTCAGATGATATAACACTTAAAAGATTCTCCTGCTCTTATAGTAGCCACCAGCGACTGAGTTTGCGTGCATCGCGCTGTTATCCTTGGTAAAGCTTTAACCTATTTGAGTTGCACTGTGTTGGCTCATGCTCCCTTTGAGTCACACAGAATCTAACCTGCTTCGACAGGCTGCATTCCCCTGCGTCCCCTCCGACACTGCGGGGTCACAGGGTGGCAGCGCCAGACAGGGCCGCTGCCTCCTGCACAGCTCACACATGCTGCCAAGTTTAGCTGCCTGCTATCAGTGCCAGCGAGTAGGGACAGGCAGCAGGCATGGGGGATCATATCCTACATTCCTAAATCTCTGCAGGACCACTCACTTTGGATCTACTGGATTGACAGGGGTCATACCAAGAGTAGAAAACAGTGAAATGCATCTTTTGGCCCAACATCAGTACTGTGAAGACAGATATCTATCATCACTTTCATTTCATCTGTCAAAAAAGTGACATTGAAGCAAACTGACAGAACTGTCACATCAAGTTTGGTGGGTGAACCTTAAAGTGACATCTTCATGGTTTAGGGGATTTGGCAGATAAATGTACCCACACTGAGGATTTATGTTCATTACAGACTTTAATTTCTTTTTTACTCAATAAAACCAGTTTCTTGTGTAAGCCTGTCATACTTAAATACCTCCTGTCTGCTTGTTTTTTAAGTTCTGTTGTTTTAGTCACTTTGTATGCAGAGGAGGACACTTTGGAGTTTCTGCTTTCACACTGTTCAGGCAAATTAAATGTTCAATAGAGCTGAGGAAAACTATCCCCCAAATGAAAGATATGGATAATACTCCTTTACTACTCCCAGGAGGACATATTCTGACTTTGGTTCTCTCTTCTGTGATGAATTATATTCCATTTTTTAATCTGCCATAGCTACACTTAAACATCTTTAAAATATTCCTGCGGGGACCTCGGGTTGTGCTGTGATATCTGTGCAGCATCTTTCTCAAAATCACAGGATTAACACTTCTTTGTAGTGAGGGCTTCCAAGGCTCTACATGCGCAATTAACTCCCTGTTTAATAAGCATCTTAGAGTTGCAATTATATCCTTGAATACCCAATGGATGCGGATGATTAGGAAAATAAAAAACACTCACACTATGAAGTGATACAAGAAGCATTTCCAACCAGACGGCCTCTCCAGAAAGTTATACACGCGTCCTTGGATGTAGGAGAGGGTGAGGGCTGGACGCGCCCCGGTGCTGTACACCGACATCCGCACGGACATGCGGGGATGAGAAACGTACGGGTGGAGGTGAATATGGGGCACCTCCGTTGGAGTGTTTCCTTCCTCAGACATTTTGTCTCTTTGGAAAAACCCGTCGCTTCCCGCTGGTGTTTCTGGATCAGGCGCGCAAAACGTGGTCTCCGACAGCTCCAAATCCGGTGGTCTCTTTCCACGTGCCCCTCCAGAGGACCTCGGTGCGTTCTCCTGAAAGATGCCGGAATTAGACATAGCTTCCGCCTCCTATTCTTCTGTTGCTTGTTGAACTTTTCACACTTACTTTACTCGATTACTCACTCAAAACGGACAAATGTTCGCCCATGTGCGCTCACCTTCTGTTGAGCGCCTGACCGCGCCAGGGCGCATCAAAGTGTAGCATAAACTGAGTTACTGCTGCTCTGAATCACCAGGGTGGTGTTCCTTCATACAACTTTACAGCTCTCTGGGTTGTTGAGAATATGGCGAGTCTCAGCCGTGAATGAATATTCCCACCTCTGTCAAAGCACTTATCAGCCTGGGGGGCTGTGGGCGCTAGGCGGTGCACAGTGAGTCGCCAGCTGTCCAGACATTTCCTGTTTGGCAAAACTACGTGGAGGCAATCTGGAGCTGATGAACTCTATCCTCAAATATGTGCAGAGAGGCACAGAAGTTCTGACTTTTTCAACCGACACAGATTTCCAAGTTCAAGCAAAACAAAATCTGTTTGCAGCCTGCAAACATCTTGCAAACCCGCGATAATCCGGTGCAGACAGTGAGACATTTTCAAACGAGTTATGAGAAAGTAGTTTGAGTGATTTACTGATAATCAATAAGGTCCGTGTTTAATTCATTAGTACTTTTAGCTAATGAAGGGCAAACATGGCACTTTTTGACAATGAATGCCATAAAACTAGAGAAAATAGTACAGACAACAAATAAAATGCTGAAACGAAAAAAATGACATTGTTTGATTTGGGAAAAAAGCTGATTTTAAATGCCAGAAACAAGTTTAAAACAGCTGGGTTAAAAAAAGAGAGATCACTGTTCAACAGAGACAATGCTGACAACCGACTATATGGCTGTGACCATTACTGCATCAAAAACAGGCATCGCTCTGAGGTAGAAATCCCCGCATGAGCTCAAACTCCCATCCAGAAGCAATTTTCTGTGAACCCAGTTTGCTACGTCTTACACAAATGCAGGTGAAAACTGTTCTGTGCAAAGAGAAAACCACAATCCTGATCCAGAAACGCTGACTGCCCTTCCAAGCCCAAAGCCATTTTGGATGGACTGAATCTGTAATTATTCCTGTATTGATTAATTCATGATATTAATCTTTTAAGACATATGAGTTTTATTGACTCGGCACAAAAGAGAAACTCTCAATCATAAGTTCATTTGGGAAACTAACAAGAGAGATTGTCCTTTCTTTAGTGCCGCTGTTTGCAGCAGAAGACTTGTAGTCAGCTGTAGTATTTTTCTCCTGATCGATGATCAATGCACTTGAGTCGCATTTCTTATCTTATTTTTTTTAAGAGTGTTCAAGTTGATTTGTAAAAGCCTCGGCGACTCTGAGGAAGTGGTATCTAAGACAGACAGTGAAATGTAAAGAATGGCCTCTGTTGTTGAAGATGACATACTGACAGTGAGTCATTTCCGCTCATTACACTGTCAAGAGGAGAGGAGTAAGAAGTCTTTGTATGATGTCTCTGGTATGTTTTGAAGCCTTTACAAGCTCTCTAGATACAGTCCTCAGAGCTGCAGCTGCTAAGATTGTAAATACAACTCAGTGGAGCTTTGCTATGTTGCAACAGGGAACACTTTTTTTGCCTCAACTGTTTTAATCTGACCACTTTCCTGTCCTGTCTTCCAAAATGTAGGTGAAAAAACTCACATAAAAGTTTAAATATTGATCAAGTTTCTTCTCTACAAACCCGGGCTGCAGTAACACAGCCCAACATGCCCTAAAAACTGTCCCTGTGCCCCGGACTTGTGTGATTTATTATAGTTTGAGCGTAAAGCCGTCAGCTCAGGTGTTAAGAGTAATCCAAGGAAACTGTGTGGACACATGCAGCTTAGTTTGACAAGGTTACCCTGTGGATTGTTTCTGCTCTGACCTTGGCTCAGTGAGTCCAAGGAGGAGGAAAACAAGTCCACTGCAGCAGGCTTTAATAAGAGTCCAGAAGCATCCTCCTGTTGACAGGATCTGTTGCCAGGTAGATATTAAACACAACTCTCACTGCTTCTTCCTGTCCGCGTCAACATACTGGAGTTGGGTTATCAGCACAGAGAGGGCACTTATTTTGAAGGTCACCTCTGCTTCCAGATTTGATGGTGTGAAGGAAATGAAATGTTTGATTTCTTAAGGCATGTCCTTGTGGTTTGTAAAGCTGCTATACAGACATAAATCAATTAACTGTGTATTCAGGGTGTCAGTTTTTTTTTATTATCACTGTTATACAGGCAGTGAGCATGAACAGTGCTTATCTTTCATTACACATTTCCCTGATAAGGAAACAAGGTGCACCTAATAAAACATTACTTCATATCATATCATATCATATCATATATCTTATCATATCATATCGTATTGTATCGTATCGTATCCCATCGTATTGTATCGCATCATCTCCGTTCTCTGAGTCATTGGTAAGTAAACTAACGAATAAGGTTGGACACGGTGAACATGCCATTCTTGAAACTGTCATTTTCACTCGATTACGATGAGAAATGAGTGTTTTGAGAACATTGTAGATGGAAACTACAATTTCCTTTTTTCTGTTCGTTTATGCAGTAGATTCAAACAAATTGCAAACTCCAGTGTAACTCAAACTCAGCACAGATAAGACAGGGTAGAAACACTTTTTTTGCCATTTCACTTAATTCTAAGGTCGACCGTTTGCCAAAAACTGTGTCTAGATGCAAATTTGTACAGAGTCAAAATGCAAATTTGTCAGGTCTGTTTTCAAAAGGGATAAAGGTTTAAAAAGCTTGTTTCTGAACCAAGGTTGGTTGTATCTTTTCTGATGCATTGAGAGGATCTAACTGCTGATTGGCCTTTACAACACAGGGTTGAACAGATTTGTTGCTCAAGTCTTCTGGCAAGAGATAATAGCAGCACTTGCATGAGGATATCCATTTACAGGAGTGATAAATTATAGTCAGGTAGCTACCAATGGGATATAATCACAAGTGTGTGCATTCTGCCTGAATTTACTTTCCATACAGACTTTTTTTTCCTGATTTTTTTCCTTCCCTTCCTCCTCAGAAACAAATAGACAGTGTCACTGTTTCCTACAGTCTTTGGGGTGTTCTTACTTGTAAAAGATAAGGACTTGTGACTGTGATAGGTGTCAGTCTCTATTTTCTCACATTTTAAACCTTAAATGATTAACTGATCAAATTCCTCAGCAGATTAATATGTTTTAATTAAAAAAGAAGAACGTTATTAATATTCAATGACTCTTTCTTATATGCCCCAAAGGAGCGCCAGAGAGAGCTTTCTGTTTTTTACAATGGTACAGAAAATAGCTTTATTGCCCAATTTTTGCATGCAAAAAGCTGGATGTGTCTATAACTTTTGAATGCAAATATAGGCCATAAAAACCACAAGGTAACACATTACACAAAGAGACATATTTTAAACCAGGGAATACACTTAAAGCACAAATAAAAAACAGACAGGATACAGCATTGTTAAAGAAGGACACCAGGTCATTAAAGCAACAATATAAAGTGTTGTGTGTGGTATGAGGTAGGAGCCTGACTTTAAAGCCAGAGATATTTATAATAACTGGGATAAGGGGTGTTTTTTTATCTCATGATTTTATGCCTCAACGCTGTGAAACTCACTACATCCAGGAATCAAAGATGCTCTCTTGGTATTCGTAATAGGAAATTTATGCTTCTTCTTTTATCCGTTTTTAAATTTGCTGGGTGTTGTAATCATTGTTATTCATTATGTCTTTAATATCCCCCTCTCTGCTGTCTGTTGTTGGTTGTTTAACAGCTTTTTACAGTTGCCATGCCTCATTTTCACAATCACCTAACAAACATATCCTCCAAATTAGGCGGTCTGTCAAAGCTGCAATATTTCCAAGATATGTTCAAATAGACCTTTTTGTTTTAGAAGGTCCCTAAACCAGTCCTAAAGTCTTTGACTGCTGACAAGCTGTCCAGACTCTCCAAATGATAAAGAAAGAAGTTTAATTCACAATTAACCTCTACAGACACATAATGTGACTTCTGCTGTTTAATTGACATTGATGATGAAAAACAATTGGTTTGCCCATCATGATTGAAATTTATAAATAAATATCTAGGTGGTGCAGTCTACTGTGCTTCAAATATTATTTACTAGCTAATAGCAATACAGAGCCAATGGAGACAAAAATATAATAAGATTTGATTATAAGATTTAAACAGCTTTTATTTGTCTAGAAGAATTAAATTAGTAATTTTATACAACAAAACCATGGCTGCATAAATCGACTCAGCAACAGCTCATTGCGTATTTTGTAGTACATCTGCTGTAGGTTGTAGTTTTGACACAGCAGGTTCATGTCACATCAGAGGTATCAGCTTAGTGTAAGGAGAGTCGGACTCACCTGTTAGAATAATCAATTTATGTAAATAAATTATCATGCTTTCGATGATTTGAACTTTTATGCTATGCAAAGAGATATGAAAGAGTTGAACTTTTGTGCTATGCATTGTTCAAGGGATATGAAAATGCTTATGTTCCTCATTGTGTAAGGGTAACGGAACTATTGCAAAATTGACAGTTGCTGAAGTTGGCAGAAATGAATTACTACACATAATCATAAAATAAAAGATGCCCTCGAGGAAGAAAAGGTCAGAGGAGGACTGACCGAGAACTCGAACAGTTCTCCTCAGCCGTTCTTTCCTTGTGCAAGTATATCCACCTGAACCTGAAAATACCTTCTTGAAATTTATACATTTTTTTTTTTTTTTTAGAAAATTTAAATATGTTAACTAGTTTTCTTGTTTTCATACTTTTTAAATATCATAAATCATTTTTAAATAAAGGACGGCTCTGTTAAAAAGTTATTTTTTGAATAATGTTGTAGTTTAAGTGGGCTAACTCAAATTTTGCCACGATAGTAGTGGATAAAATTTTTGCCACTCATACAAATATGAAAAGCACAAAAATGGAAGAAAAAAATGCAGAACACGGTTGTATAAGGGTCATTCAACATTTTGTAGTTTATCTGCTGTAGGTTGTAGTTTTGACACAGCGGGTTCATGTTACATCAGAAGTATCCGCTTAGTGTAAGGAGAGTCGGACTTTTCAAACACTGCTTTCTTCAACTCCTAACATGTGCCTCTTCTTGACCCCATGACCTTTATGATCGGGGTCAGGGAAAAGGTGATCTACCTGCAGGCCCTGACTGTAGGAGGCTAAGATGTAATCTCAGCACTCCTCAATTTCTGTGTGTAAAGTCAGTCTGTGTGGAGTGATGGGATTCAGAGCCCAGAAGCCAAATACAATACAGCAATGGAGTTTAAATAAAACAATGTAATGTGATTTAATGTAATCGTCCTTAGTTTGTAAAAGTATCAGGTAATGTTCTAACTTCAGCCCACAGGAAACAGTGATGGC